TGAACATCTTTGTCTATTATCTTTTTCAATTTTACAATTTTACGATGAGCGCCGTTTCCAAACAATCCTTCGATTGTAACTGTAAGTAGATGTTGTGTTTAGAGTAAAGGCTCGTCGGTTCATTTCAAAATGAACATGATTTAATTGCTCAAAGGACAAATTCATTCCTTAAATCAACATAAATCAACATAACAGCAATGGTTCCAGCTCCTTTTTTAACGTTAAAATTTGGCGTGCATTTGGTCTCTTGAGAATGAAAAATAGACGGCTCAGGGAGCTTATCATCCAGGAGTTACTCCTGATGAAATTTGGCGTCCCCAGAAGGAGGGCAACAAGTCCCCATTCTCCTTAATACTTTGCGCCCTCGAAGTCATAGAAAATTGGCTCAGCGCTGCGCGTTTATGCGCCCGAAAAATGCTCCTCGCGCTTACTGGCGCCCTCTTTCCGAAAACCTTTTTTTCACTTGTCAATTGGCCAAAGACGGGAGAAATAATAATTTCTCGTATTCTTACCGTCTTATCCTTACTTATTATATAATCAAAAAATCAGAAAACGTTTGAACTTTTTCAAGAAAACAACGAAGAAAGCCGCCAAATCCGATTAGAAAAAAAGAGAGAACGATCAAAAAAAGAGCAAGAATCAGAGATTTTCAAAGAGATTTTCTGACGTATACGGGTTGAAAATTCAGAAAAAAATTTTTCCGACTCAAAAATTTTTCAAAGGGGATTTTTGTTCATTTTTACTTTTTATTTAAAATAATTGATATAAATGATGATAATTTATGATAATTATTTTTTTTTATTGAAATTATAAAATAAAAAGGGATGAAATAATCTTCTACGAAAAAGCTTTCTCCGCGCCCCTTATCAAAATCCGCTGCAGAGAAATCGCTAATCACCGATTTTTGGTCAGCTTTCTTTTCGTATTTACAAAATCGCCCAGACAGAGTAACTTGTACGGAGAGGACCTTGTATTTCAAATCTCGTAAACATTCTTCTCAGCCTTGTTTGTGGGCAAAAACCAAAAGTTCAGCTCTTGCGTCACGGAATGAACATTTTCTGCGAGAAGGACTGATAAGGACTTAGCCACCAGGAGACGGTCTGAAGGGAAAAGTAGAAGTTTAAGAAAATTAAGGCTCCTCCTCCACGTTCCAAATAAAATGCCACGTGATTAATTGAGTCAAAAACGCGAAAAGGTCCGTCTCAGCTAATTTCTGAGAATTTAAGTGCTCCAAAAATTGCATAAGCGACCGTTGGTTAACTCTTTCTCGCGTTTTCACCAAATTTTTGGGCATGGGAGAGCCCGAGTTCTGACTAGAAATGATAGTCCAAATATTTTTAAGTGTCATTTTCCGTGAATCGTGAAGGGGGAATTTCGGGAGGGGAGTCGTTTTGAAAGTTAACCCACAGCCGGACGCGATAGAATCAACGCGGACACATATTTGGACAAGCAAGGACGTCGTTACAGTGAACTTTTCGTAAACTCATCACTAATTCGAAGCTACGAACGGGCCAATTTGGACTCGGTAATTACGACCAAGGAGCTGGGCTCGAGACATCTTGTTCCACTTCTAATTTACTTACTTCTTCCTTCCTCCGAATCTAATTAATTCAAAGATTAAATAAGTTTAACCTGTGTACGTACACCGGCCATTTTTAAACTCAAATTGAAAAAATACAAAGTTTCAAAAAGAAATTTTTATTTTGAGATTTTTTTTAGCAAATCTTAAGGGTGTAAACAACGATTTACCGAACCCTAATAAAATCTTTGTTGACACCCTTAATACTGTTAAAGTATTTTTGAAAAAGACGCAAGCGGCTTTATATAACATAAATTTTTAAAATCCTGATAGCTTTTTTTACTGTAAATTGATTTGAATCCGGCTTTGGTAAATTCCTTCTTTTGCTGCGAATAATTTTCGCGGAAATGACTTCACGTCCCCACGTTACTGCCTTTTGCGCTCCCCTTTGATCGCTAATTAATTACTGCAATGATTGAGAGAAGAGAAGGGAGGAATAAGAAGTAATTTAAGCGGGCGTTTAAATGTTTAGTCAGCATTTGCGCGGTGGTTTGTGCTAATGCCAGGCGTTTTGATGTGAGTTTCCGGCGGTGGGTGGCCTTTTGGAAAGCGAAACGAAGGAAATATCCCGAAAGGGAATACAGCACTAGAACCTTGCGTGAACGCGCCGATCACATGATCACATGACAAATTGAATTAGCAACTTACAACAATTCTAAAATGACCAAAATTTAATTAGTGTTTTTCTTTGAAAAGGTCTTAATTTACGAGAAAAGAGCGAAAAATAAGTCTATCTTAAGGGCACCCCACCTACTAAATTGAGACACGCGGCTGAAAGAAAATTTCTATTAATTGATTTAGTTGATTGTTTAATATAAATTAAATATTACTATTTTGATGACAAAAGTTAATTTTCCGCCAAAAATAGAGGCAAATTACGAGCAAAAGTACCAACGGTGATTATTTTTAATTTTCTATTTTTTGCGCGGAAATGTTTTAGCCAAGCGATTGCCGCATCACTTAGCCATAACTTTCTAAATTGCAAACTCATTCAAATCGATGATTTGTTAAATATTTACAAAGCGTGAAATTCGCGCCAGATCCCGTTCAAGCTCAACTCGGATAAACTTTTAAGGGGGTTCATGTCTGGCCAAGATAAAGATGAGTTAACAAGTCTATCCTTTCTGGAAGTTCATTTCAACGTGTACGTCTGCGGCGGCTTTTTTTTAATCGGATCAATGGCGCGTCTTTTCTTCATGCAAAACTACTGTCAAATTTGCATTTCCCAGAAACAGCAAAAGAAGAAGCGGCCTGATATTCACTTTTCACGTTTTTTAGATTGTTGTGATGACGGTTGCAAGAGTGTCACAGGGGAATTAGGACACGGACAAGAATCTAGGAAGTCGACAACTTATTTACTCAACCTTAATTTAACCAATACTACAGGAAGATATTACAACAACTACTGGTGATAATATAGGTAAGAAGAGTCCTTTCTTGTTCGATTTTCATGAATCATGAGTTTTCACGAAAAGAAAAAAAACTTTTTTTTTCGCTTGAAAATTAGGATCAACAAAGACTCTTGGATCTCTTGAGTTCCAAAGAAGAGAGCTCTGAACTCTTAAAAGTTTACCCAAGTTTGCCGCTTGATTCTACGGAATAACAAACTTACGTACGTTCCACTCTTCGCCCAAAAAACACCCATTCGCTTCCGCGCTGCAACAATCCAAAACATTCAAATAATCTTGCTTCTTATAAGCCATGAAAAATGCCCAAGAATGTTACGCTTATTTCAAAAACATCGTCTTACGGTTTTACCTTACTTTTCTATGGTGATTCTCTTAAGACCGCGGCGCTAGAAGTACTTGAACATAATATACGATTTCGAGTGCGGAAGAAGGCGAAACTGTGAACTTATTTTGCGGGAACTCATTAGCTTTTTATTTTTGGTAATTTTAGACAGCGCCCTAAATATGTCATTTTCAGAAGCTGCAACTTACTAAACAACAAATCAATCGAAATGGTTCCGAATCCCACTGCCGCTTATGTGGACACGCTCGCCCGGCGCCAGAACGACAATCAAAAGCTTCAGCCAAAGTTAAAGGGTTTATCCAAATGCATAAGTCCATCTCGCTCTTGAATTCCAGGGCCCCTGGACCACTCTCTTTACATAACCCTTTTTTTTCAAATGAAAAAATAAGTGTTTGTCTTTTATTTAACTAGAGCGTTTTCTCGGCCAAACAATTCGAACTATTTCAACTGCTCATTTTGTTTCTTTCACGTTTATCTTCCAAAAAAGAACACGTTGAAAAAGTTGCGCGAGCTGATCCGCCGGCTCAAACACGTGATCATTAGAGGATCTTTGCGCGAGCACTTTTCTAGCGCGTAGAAATAATAAACCATGACCTAGGCACCCGGCATTATCAGATGCTTACGTGGTCGGACTGTCATAATACGAACTTGAAGCACGGGATATTTAATTAATTAATGCTCCTCAGTGGCCCGTTTTGATTAACAGCCAGCAGCATGTGAAACCCGCCCCAATTTGAACCTCTTTCACGAGACTATTTCGAATTGAAAGTTTGGACACATGTTTAAAATAGTGATAAGAAGAAATTATGATTCTAGACTCTAGAATCTAGAGCCTCCAATTCCACGTTCTAGTTCGCCGCGGTTTATTTTTCGTCATAATTGCTACAATTTGTAACAAGTACGGTTGAAACCCAGCGATTATAACTTGAACCCAGCTGCCAATGTTCCGTCACGTGACACTGGTAATCTCCAACCAGGTTGAGCTGATAAGCTCATTTTTTCTTTTAAATTCCGAATACCGAAAGTAACTTTGTTAAAATCTCGGGAAAGCCGGTCGTACAGAATAAATCCAGTTGTAAAGGTTCTGATAAGGAGAAACGTAATCGCCTGTTTTGAGTAAATACGAAGAGTGTAATTGAATCCATTTCGCTGGGGACTCAAGCTAAAGTCAAACTTTTTCAATGTTTTTCAGTGTTTTTGAAAGAAACATAAAAAATTTAACTAGCAAAGTTTTTAGGCGTTCTATTTCGCGGCTATCTTATTTTGAAAATTTAATTTACTTCAACTAAGACGGCCTAGATTCGATGTCAATTCTTAGAGCAAAAAAATATTCGCGAGTTGGCCTCTTGAATTTTGAATCAAGTTCAAGAAGTAGCTTGGCTTCCCCTTAGTAACGATTACAACTATGTGATGACCGTTTACGTCATTTTCTCTAATTCTAGCTTTAATCGTAATCGCTTTGGTCGGTGAGCGGCTCCACCAAGGGCGTCGGCGACATTCCGAGCTCCTGCTACATAGTCTCACTGGCTCCCATCAAAACGCCACAGAAATAGCCAAGCTTTTTCTAGGAATGTTACGATCGTTCTTACAATGACGATTGCACATAAAGTAGCTTGATGTTTTTCAAATAAACCCAGAATAGAAGGCTAACTTGCAAAGTCGACCGTCGATGAGGTCGCGATCTTCGCTTTCTGTGGAGGAGCTGCGCGAAATTACGCAAAAGATGAATCTCTCTACTTCCATGCAAGCTAAAACGTAAGCTTAGTGGTCTAATTCAGCGAGTTATCGGAATTCTAGAGCTCCGAAAAAGACGCCATTCGGCCGCTCCTACTCCGCTCCAGTAGACCTCCAAGCTCATGCTCAGCGCCGCGCCGCACCAGCTCCAATTCAGGCTCATGCTCGTTACGGATCTACCGGCTCAACCGGCTCCACTGGATCATACTCGGACGGCTCTATAAGTTCCTCCGGCTCATCCGCAACCTATGTGGACCACTTGCCCACTACTGGGCTGATTGCCATCGCGCCACCCAGCAGATACCACACCAGCAGGATGCCGCTCAGAAGAGTCACGTTCAACGAAAGAGTTGAGGTCTTCGAACTTTACAAGCCGGAGCCTGTTGCTCATGCTCCAGCAGATAGACAATTGAAAATTCGAGCGATAAAGAAGGACACGATTAAATTTCATGATCAGGTAAGCCCCTTTCTCTAACATGATGGATAATTGAGACATTTTGTAAATGAACCATTTAGGTCCAGAAACCCGTCCGCCGCCCGACATCCCGAGTCCAGCGCCGCATGACTTCATATATCAAGGACAAGCTGAAATCCGTTTGAGCCCGACCTTCATCTCTCGCGCTTCAATTCTTCAGTAGATCAGAATTTCTATCTTTTTAACTCGTTCTCGATAATTGTCAACAAATCGTCTTTCACTTTCTTAACCCGTCACTGCATAATTTGGACATACTCTCTTCCTGCGACGGCGGGTTAAATTGTTTTTAAATCTTCCGTTCTGAATGCTAGTTTTAAAATACCGAGACGCTGCTTTATCAATCTACAACTAAATGAAACTTGAAAATATTAAACCCCGAAATGGACATAAGTTTTAACAAAAAACCCGCTCGGCAGAACATCGGATCACGATTAAAATGATGCCGGGCAATATTTTTATATGATAATATGTCTATACTTCGCCAGTAAAAAAAATGAAACTCATTAAAAACCTCCCCTGGTCCGTTTCCGTCTACTTCAGTTTTTCGAAATCTTATTATTCTTGCGAATTTTGAACTCTGTTTATCTGTATATTTGAAACCTAAATAAAACGAGAAAAAAAAACAAAAAAATCTCTTCGTTGATTCCAAGCTGGAATTTTCAATTCACATAATTTATTGACTGTATTATCGAGTCATATTAGGAAACAAGCTTTGTCATATACATGTATAAGTTTCATTTTTGAAAGAAGTGTAGAAGCTTTTTCCAACATCGTTTTTCTTCGACAAATAAATAAAAAGTCTCTTCCATGATTTCTCAGTAACTTAGTATCAGCGCATATTTTTCATCATTTCTCGAAATCAGGAAGCAAAAAAAGACAGACCAGAGACAGAGTCATCCCCCCTTGCGATTAACACATGTCCCCAAAAGATCTTAGTCACCCCTTGTCTCTTTTAACGCATTACTGGAAGCAGGTTACTGCAAGCAATAAAAATAGATTCTCTTTGTTCGGATGAAAGAAGAACTAGAGATTGAAAGTAATGAAGATGAAAATTATGAACGAGAAATTGTAAAGTGCAATTTTTGCGAGCTTGAAGATGAGAGGTGGAAGATTTGCGAGCACGAGAAAGAACTGTGCTCGCAAAGAGAAGTCGACTGTATAAATTCGATTTATGGCAAGGTTGTGAATAATATTTTATGATGTAAAACCCTAATCTTATTTTACTAACAAAATCAGGCTCAAAACCCTTGAAAAGCTGTCCTCGACGTTTGAAACGCGCCCACATGGCGATTCATCTTCGAGTTTGCCCCGCCATGAACGTCCCTTGTTCTCATTTTTGGAAGCGCACTCAAGTCTCCCACCTCGACGAAGCTCCAGGAAAATTCATTCCTAACCATTCGATTCTCGATTCCAACCTCGATCTCTCGGCCGCGTTGTTCGACCAGCACAATGTTTTCTCAAACATTCTTCCTCTTCGATTTTTCGAAAAGCAGAAGTTCCAGCCGAAGAAAAAATTTGTCAAGATCAGAAATGAATACAAGCTCATTGCGAAAGCACTCGTCGACGCTGCAGTTGAAGCTGCACTGATGATCATGAAAGCGCCCGAACAAACAAAAGCAAATTATGATTTTGGATAGAAAATATAAATAGACAATTGTAAAAAGTACAATTTTATCCATAAAAAGTCAATGGAGTCTCACTGACTGGCCTTGAAACAGATGCAAATCCATTCGACATAGAAAGTTCAGGTAATAATACAGTTTTTTATAGAATTTTTGGACATCAAATTTTTGGACATTTTTCCAATTTTAAGGGGTTTTCTTGGGACACTTTTCAAAAGTGCCTGTATCAAATTTTTGGACATTTTCTGCGCCGAAATTTCAATTTTCTGTTTTTTTTTGCCAGATATGACGTTTTTTCTTATCAAAAATCTTACTTTTTCTTTGAGAAAGATAAATTTGAAGGTTGATCTCGTACCCCTAGAACATTTCTTGTCTTGAGAAGAAGGATGAAACAGAGGATGATGAGGATTTTCCTCAAAAAAATTTTTTTTAAGCGATTTGGATGGGACATTTTTTCTGGCAGCGTGTATCAAATTTTTGGACATTTTTGCGAAAATCTTGTGACAAAAAATGTCCAAAAATTCCATAATTAACTGTATTTAAAAACTGAAATTAAATTGCTGAACCAGACAGGGAAAGATATCATTTTGTTCAAAAATTATTTTATATAATTTTTCACAGATATTCAAACTGATGATAAGCAAATAGATTGAATTAGTAACATTAGAACTGCTACATCGGATTTTGAAAATCTTGTTGCATTTTAAATTTTCTGTTTATTCTTTTTCTCGCTTTTATTTATGTTGTACTTCACCACTGTATGGCGCTAACGTAAGGCTCTGCGCAGCTGGGCGCTTCAAACATAAGCCCTTATCGCCCTACCCGATCAAGATTGACTAGACGCACGAACCAAATTGCAAGGAAGAACTGTCGCAGACAGTTTCTTCTCATATCAGCATATTTGGCCACTTCAGATTTCTGGAGATTTCTAAGTGGCAGACAGTAACTTTTTGCTTTTGTAGATGATGACGACGCAATTAGCCGCTCCTCCTCTCGGACCTACCGATCATCCACTTCCGCCAAGTCCTCCTCCAGATCTTCACGTAAGGTCAGTTTGGCAGACTCACTTCTTGAAATTCGAAAATCTATCTTTTCAAACTTGCAAAAGAGCGGCAATGCATGGGACGATGCCACTGTTCGCCAAATGTTCAGACGATATCTCTGCAATTCCTCCAAAGATCCAGCTGTGATTAAGGAAGGGTAACGTGACTTTAGCCCACAAGTCAAACCCTAATCCAAGATAAAATTTTCATTAACTCCGTCTTATATAATTTTCAATATTTCCAAAACAAGAGCAAAGCTGCTTAAAATTTATCATTATTTACATTCCGCGGCTTTTTAATGAGAATTCGCGGCTAAGAAACGTGTATTACCCTTATCACAGGAGCAGCTGGGTGTGATAAAAAATGAGCTACAACTTCTGCTAATGGACAGTGATTCTGAAAAAAGTAGCGATGAAGGTAATCTTTTTTTGAAAATCATAAAGTCATTAAAACTTTTTCCGTATCTATAATATTTTTTTCCTTCTGAACTCGACCTTTTCATTTCATCATGAACATCTCTCAATTATTTTTTGAAAGCCTTACTACGGTTATTCTTGCCATCAATACCCATTAATTTTAGGTATATATAGTTTTATTCGATACAAATACAGTAGACATCAATATTTGTGGAATTCGCATGGCGAGGCCGCGCCATGTCAATTGCCACTTTAGCAATCATTGTAAAGAGATGCTGTCTCTTACAGCGATATTTTTTAACATAAGAAAGTTTTCGTTCGCAGACTAGGTGAGTTTCTAGTCTGCGAGATCTCATATTTGAGGAACATATAAAAAAGAACATTTATACATATTTTACAAGTGTTTTTGACAGGCGACTTCTTAGGTTTTTCTTAGGAGGATGAAGAGATGAAGAAGCATTTTTTTTAATATTATGTAACTGCCTTTGAGAGTTCAAAAAGGTCGCTCAAATGATTGGCGCGAATTATGAATTAGAAAATTGAGCAAATTTGTTTTCTTTAGAACTCTTTCCTTACTAATAAGTTGAATAGAAGCTTGATGCTTAGTAGCCGCCACAATATCCAATGCCTTTGATCTCACCACCGGCACAGCACTCTAAAGTGTTAGTGTTGTAAGTCTTACCACTGCAGCATCCTCGCTGTCCGTAGTTGTCGGAGAATGGGAATCGCTTCGGGTATTCTCCGCAGCACTGGTCTGCCTTTGGTCCTGGATTATTACCGGGAATACACCTTGCTTGGGTATCGAAGCCAGTAGCTTCGGTCAAGCCATTTAAGTTTGAGCCTTCTTCGGCGATGTTTTGGACGAGGTTGTTCACCAAGTCCAAATCGCACATACACGCGTTCAGAGCACATGGGTCCGTGTTCTGCTCGCATGTCAGCTCGTAAGAATCAGCATCGATGACAACCTTAAAACGTGGTTCACAAATTTATCAAAGAAAAAGGAAGCTTACAGTGTAGGCACTGTTGAGGGGATCACAGCCGTAGTCCATTCCAATGCATCTGTAGCAATGCGTCATTTTCTCTAATTCTAGCTTTAATCGTAATCGCTTTGGTCGGTGAGCGGCTCCACCAAGGGCGTCGGCGACATTCCGAGCTCCTGCTACATAGTCTCACTGGCTCCCATCAAAACGCCACAGAAATAGCCAAGCTTTTTCTAGGAATGTTACGATCGTTCTTACAATGACGATTGCACATAAAGTAGCTTGATGTTTTTCAAATAAACCCAGAATAGAAGGCTAACTTGCAAAGTCGACCGTCGATGAGGTCGCGATCTTCGCTTTCTGTGGAGGAGCTGCGCGAAATTACGCAAAAGATGAATCTCTCTACTTCCATGCAAGCTAAAACGTAAGCTTAGTGGTCTAATTCAGCGAGTTATCGGAATTCTAGAGCTCCGAAAAAGACGCCATTCGGCCGCTCCTACTCCGCTCCAGTAGACCTCCAAGCTCATGCTCAGCGCCGCGCCGCACCAGCTCAATTCAGGCTCATGCTCGTTACGGATCTACCGGCTCAACCGGCTCCACTGGATCATACTCGGACGGCTCTATAAGTTCCTCCGGCTCATCCGCAACCTATGTGGACCACTTGCCCACTACTGGGCTGATTGCCATCGCGCCACCCAGCAGATACCACACCAGCAGGATGCCGCTCAGAAGAGTCACGTTCAACGAAAGAGTTGAGGTCTTCGAACTTTACAAGCCGGAGCCTGTTGCTCATGCTCCAGCAGATAGACAATTGAAAATTCGAGCGATAAAGAAGGACACGATTAAATTTCATGATCAGGTAAGCCCCTTTCTCTAACATGATGGATAATTGAGACATTTTGTAAATGAACCATTTAGGTCCAGAAACCCGTCCGCCGCCCGACATCCCGAGTCCAGCGCCGCATGACTTCATATATCAAGGACAAGCTGAAATCCGTTTGAGCCCGACCTTCATCTCTCGCGCTTCAATTCTTCAGTAGATCAGAATTTCTATCTTTTTAACTCGTTCTCGATAATTGTCAACAAATCGTCTTTCACTTTCTTAACCCGTCACTGCATAATTTGGACATACTCTCTTCCTGCGACGGCGGGTTAAATTGTTTTTAAATCTTCCGTTCTGAATGCTAGTTTTAAAATACCGAGACGCTGCTTTATCAATCTACAACTAAATGAAACTTGAAAATATTAAACCCCGAAATGGACATAAGTTTTAACAAAAAACCCGCTCGGCAGAACATCGGATCACGATTAAAATGATGCCGGGCAATATTTTTATATGATAATATGTCTATACTTCGCCAGTAAAAAAAATGAAACTCATTAAAAACCTCCCCTGGTCCGTTTCCGTCTACTTCAGTTTTTCGAAATCTTATTATTCTTGCGAATTTTGAACTCTGTTTATCTGTATATTTGAAACCTAAATAAAACGAGAAAAAAAAACAAAAAAATCTCTTCGTTGATTCCAAGCTGGAATTTTCAATTCACATAATTTATTGACTGTATTATCGAGTCATATTAGGAAACAAGCTTTGTCATATACATGTATAAGTTTCATTTTTGAAAGAAGTGTAGAAGCTTTTTCCAACATCGTTTTTCTTCGACAAATAAATAAAAAGTCTCTTCCATGATTTCTCAGTAACTTAGTATCAGCGCATATTTTTCATCATTTCTCGAAATCAGGAAGCAAAAAAAGACAGACCAGAGACAGAGTCATCCCCCCTTGCGATTAACACATGTCCCCAAAAGATCTTAGTCACCCCTTGTCTCTTTTAACGCATTACTGGAAGCAGGTTACTGCAAGCAATAAAAATAGATTCTCTTTGTTCGGATGAAAGAAGAACTAGAGATTGAAAGTAATGAAGATGAAAATTATGAACGAGAAATTGTAAAGTGCAATTTTTGCGAGCTTGAAGATGAGAGGTGGAAGATTTGCGAGCACGAGAAAGAACTGTGCTCGCAAAGAGAAGTCGACTGTATAAATTCGATTTATGGCAAGGTTGTGAATAATATTTTATGATGTAAAACCCTAATCTTATTTTACTAACAAAATCAGGCTCAAAACCCTTGAAAAGCTGTCCTCGACGTTTGAAACGCGCCCACATGGCGATTCATCTTCGAGTTTGCCCCGCCATGAACGTCCCTTGTTCTCATTTTTGGAAGCGCACTCAAGTCTCCCACCTCGACGAAGCTCCAGGAAAATTCATTCCTAACCATTCGATTCTCGATTCCAACCTCGACCTCTCGGCCGCGCTGTTCGACCAGCACAATGTTTTCTCAAACATTCTTCCTCTTCGATTTTTCGAAAAGCAGAAGTTCCAGCCGAAGAAAAAATTTGTCAAGATCAGAAATGAATACAAGCTCATTGCGAAAGCACTCGTCGACGCTGCAGTTGAAGCTGCACTGATGATCATGAAAGCGCCCGAACAAACAAAAGCAAATTATGATTTTGGATAGAAAATATAAATAGACAATTGTAAAAAGTACAATTTTATCCATAAAAAGTCAATGGAGTCTCACTGACTGGCCTTGAAACAGATGCAAATCCATTCGACATAGAAAGTTCAGGTAATAATACAGTTTTTTATAGAATTTTTGGACATCAAATTTTTGGACATTTTTCCAATTTTAAGGGGTTTTCTTGGGACACTTTTCAAAAGTGCCTGTATCAAATTTTTGGACATTTTCTGCGCCGAAATTTCAATTTTCTGTTTTTTTGCCAGATATGACGTTTTTTCTTATCAAAAATCTTACTTTTTCTTTGAGAAAGATAAATTTGAAGGTTGATCTCGTACCCCTAGAACATTTCTTGTCTTGAGAAGAAGGATGAAACAGAGGATGATGAGGATTTTCCTCAAAAAAATTTTTTTTAAGCGATTTGGATGGGACATTTTTTCTGGCAGCGTGTATCAAATTTTTGGACATTTTTGCGAAAATCTTGTGACAAAAAATGTCCAAAAATTCCATAATTAACTGTATTTAAAAACTGAAATTAAATTGCTGAACCAGACAGGGAAAGATATCATTTTGTTCAAAAATTATTTTATATAATTTTTCACAGATATTCAAACTGATGATAAGCAAATAGATTGAATTAGTAACATTAGAACTGCTACATCGGATTTTGAAAATCTTGTTGCATTTTAAATTTTCTGTTTATTCTTTTTCTCGCTTTTATTTATGTTGTACTTCACCACTGTATGGCGCTAACGTAAGGCTCTGCGCAGCTGGGCGCTTCAAACATAAGCCCTTATCGCCCTACCCGATCAAGATTGACTAGACGCACGAACCAAATTGCAAGGAAGAACTGTCGCAGACAGTTTCTTCTCATATCAGCATATTTGGCCACTTCAGATTTCTGGAGATTTCTAAGTGGCAGACAGTAACTTTTGCTTTTGTAGATGATGACGACGCAATTAGCCGCTCCTCCTCTCGGACCTACCGATCATCCACTTCCGCCAAGTCCTCCTCCAGATCTTCACGTAAGGTCAGTTTGGCAGACTCACTTCTTGAAATTCGAAAATCTATCTTTTCAAACTTGCAAAAGAGCGGCAATGCATGGGACGATGCCACTGTTCGCCAAATGTTCAGACGATATCTCTGCAATTCCTCCAAAGATCCAGCTGTGATTAAGGAAGGGTAACGTGACTTTAGCCCACAAGTCAAACCCTAATCCAAGATAAAATTTTCATTAACTCCGTCTTATATAATTTTCAATATTTCCAAAACAAGAGCAAAGCTGCTTAAAATTTATCATTATTTACATTCCGCGGCTTTTTAATGAGAATTCGCGGCTAAGAAACGTGTATTACCCTTATCACAGGAGCAGCTGGGTGTGATAAAAAATGAGCTACAACTTCTGCTAATGGACAGTGATTCTGAAAAAAGTAGCGATGAAGGTAATCTTTTTTTGAAAATCATAAAGTCATTAAAACTTTTTCCGTATCTATAATATTTTTTTCCTTCTGAACTCGACCTTTTCATTTCATCATGAACATCTCTCAATTATTTTTTGAAAGCCTTACTACGGTTATTCTTGCCATCAATACCCATTAATTTTAGGTATATATAGTTTTATTCGATACAAATACAGTAGACATCAATATTTGTGGAATTCGCATGGCGAGGCCGCGCCATGTCAATTGCCACTTTAGCAATCATTGTAAAGAGATGCTGTCTCTTACAGCGATATTTTTTAACATAAGAAAGTTTTCGTTCGCAGACTAGGTGAGTTTCTAGTCTGCGAGATCTCATATTTGAGGAACATATAAAAAAGAACATTTATACATATTTTACAAGTGTTTTTGACAGGCGACTTCTTAGGTTTTTCTTAGGAGGATGAAGAGATGAAGAAGCATTTTTTTTAATATTATGTAACTGCCTTTGAGAGTTCAAAAAGGTCGCTCAAATGATTGGCGCGAATTATGAATTAGAAAATTGAGCAAATTTGTTTTCTTTAGAACTCTTTCCTTACTAATAAGTTGAATAGAAGCTTGATGCTTAGTAGCCGCCACAATATCCAATGCCTTTGATCTCACCACCGGCACAGCACTCTAAAGTGTTAGTGTTGTAAGTCTTACCACTGCAGCATCCTCGCTGTCCGTAGTTGTCGGAGAATGGGAATCGCTTCGGGTATTCTCCGCAGCACTGGTCTGCCTTTGGTCCTGGATTATTACCGGGAATACACCTTGCTTGGGTATCGAAGCCAGTAGCTTCGGTCAAGCCATTTAAGTTTGAGCCTTCTTCGGCGATGTTTTGGACGAGGTTGTTCACCAAGTCCAAATCGCACATACACGCGTTCAGAGCACATGGGTCCGTGTTCTGCTCGCATGTCAGCTCGTAAGAATTAGCATCGATGACAACCTTAAAACGTGGTTCACAAATTTATCAAAGAAAAAGGAAGCTTACAGTGTAGGCACTGTTGAGGGGATCACAGCCGTAGTCCATTCCAATGCATCTGTAGCAATGGTTCTGTGCTCGGCAAGAAATGTCCATCGATCCGACTGGCTGGCCCTTTCTCTTGTCGTAGTTTCCGATCAAATTGCACCAGCAACCGGAGCTAAGGACGTCCAAAGAGTCCGTGTTCATGCCGTAGTAGTTCAGTTGGTAGTGGAGCATATCGGCGATAGTCTGTCGGTTGTCTGCTAGGCCTGGTTCAGATTGAGAAGGAAGGGCGATGACTCGAGGTGCTTCGGTAGCTTTTGGTCGGTTGTTCTTCTTGTTCTTTTTCTTTCGCTGGGCGTTGGCGAGGGCAAAGGTGTATGCGTACAGGGCAAGCTTCATCTTGTTTCAGGAAGTCTCTACAATTTCGTTGTCAAAACGTAGTTCAATAATAATTGTCAAAAACCGCAAGGTTCCCTCTCTAAAATCATTAATCATTAATTACCTGTTAAAAATATAAAAATAATCAAAGTCGATTCTCGTCTACTCCTCAAAGGGATCACTGGCTTATCATGACTGCTCTCGACGCTTATGAGCGGCTCCCCGCGCGCGCCCTCTTCGTCCACCCTGTGAGTCGCGCTCCTCACCGACGGAAGAAATCGGTGGCTCAACGATTTTTTGGCGGGTGGGCTTGTTTGCAAGTGTTTAATGTAATTGTCGTAGACGGTCATTATAACTCGATTTTTAAGTTAGGCAAGGTGATTAGCTTTATGGGTAGACACTGGAAACGGGTGCAAGCGGAAATGAACCGCGGGAAAGTGATTATTTGCGTCAGCTTTTATTCAATCTTGCGGTTTTTATACAGTCAAGTTAAAATTGAAAACGAAAACTTCAGAGACAACTTGTCTCACTCATATTAAAGAAAAAAGAAGTACAGTCTTAAATTTTTAAAATATAAAGCGACGTATTTTAGATCCCGTTCAATTTGATATAATTCAGTCCAAATATTAATGGTCGATTTTCGTCCGATTGAAAACCAAATCCTCAGAATATGCTCATTCTAAGTTAAATATAATTTGCCGTCGCGGTTTTTCAATTTCCTAGAGACGCGGTAATGGAACCATGACATGTTAGGCCTTTTTATGATTCAGATTTCGCACGTTACCACCGTTGTTTTAAAAAGGTCTAAAACTTTCTTACCCTTTTGAATTTATTGCCCCGTGCAACAAAACAAGTGCAGAAGGAACACTCTATCACGTCTCAAACCCTCATCAAATGGTTAGATAAAAAAGAGATCCCTTTCTATTGACCAGTATAAACTTAAAATCAGACCTCAAATCGCGTTGAAAGACACCTACCGGTAATAGGATGCTAATAAAAAACTTGGACCCCAAAAATTTTCGACCGGTGAATTTGCTAGACCGGCAGTTTTGACCCACTTCCGGTGAAATTTCAAAAATTAATTTTTTGAGAATAAATTGTGATTACATTCGTGATGCAGTGCTCTGCCCACTGTGACAAATTTGTTGACAATCGCGCGGTCGTGGAATGGATCTTCGCCCGTCTTTCCTCGAATTCTACTTTGGTGAAAAAGGCTCAACTACTAAAATGCAATTTTCAAAAGCCATAATGACGCTTTTTGCCGGTTAAATAGGTGTCATCAAATTTCCACTAGAAAAATAAAACGGCCGTCAGTGAACGTGGTCTTTAGATATTTTTAATGACAAATTTGATCATCCCGTATGTCATCCCTTTTTAAACATTTCCTTATTATCACGGGTGTGATTTTTCTTTTCAAATATTAGAAACAGTTTTTGGCTCAACTTGAAATGAGCCTCTCGAGTCAATTAAAATCCAAACTCGAAGCTCATTAGGAAAATTTTCTAAATCAACGTGCAGCACTTAGATTTTTATTTTCAAGGGTCTCATTTGAAGTTTTTTCGTTTAAGGATATCCCTAACAATAATTTGAAATTTGAACTTGTTCTTACGACGATTTTGTTTAGATTCTGATGCTAGTTCTGAAGTGATCACGGGCTGGCAACCTCCTTCTTCAATCAGGAACAGGTTCAATCCAATTTAAGGGCTCCCTGCTGGATTTATTAAGGGTCTACGGGCTGAAAAACTTAATCAAAGATATCACAAAGGAGACAGATACGGATTGCGGCAATATATTCAAGGAAGGTTTGAGTCATTCATCCTGAATGTAAGATCAATTAGAAGCCCTTTGTGTCACGTGATTTCAAACATTTGAAAGTGGAAAAGGCCGAGTCAGAAACTCAGTGCAATTTTGGAGATAAGGAGACGGTCAAACGATGATTTAATACGGATCAAAGCTTCATAACAATTCTTTGAACTCCATTTTTGACCATGTAAAAGGTGTTTTCAAGCCCAGCCGACGTGGTGAAAGCGTTGTTTAACCAGTTGCTTCCATCGGACCAAGTGGCCGGCTCAATCAGCTCGAGCGAGGACGCTGGATGGAGGTGAGTTGCTCCGAAAACAAGTGCTTTTTAAACTATTTTAACGTTGAAATTTTTTCGTGAGCGTCAAGAAATTATATAAGAGTGTGGCACTTTAAAAGCTTCAAATAACACTTGAGGTGGTAGACGTATCATTATTTCAAGAACTTAAAAATCCGTCTTATTCAAAAACTGAATTTTAGCCATGGATGGTCGTGTCGATCGGAGAGCGCCCAAACTGTGGAATTTCCAGAGCTGATGCATTTGAAATTAAAGCCAGCTGCCCTCGGCCGCCCAAGTAGAAAGTCTCGGCTGACTGAGCCCCTGCCCTATCTTGGATTAGGCACCGCGGATCAACGGCAATTTTTTAATAAATTGCGTGCCAAAGGAGTTGCGTAAGGGGCATTTTAATTTTGATCCGTGATCGAGAACCGTCAACGACTAGTTCCGGATTCAATCCTGCTTCGCTAAGTGCATCAGGGCCGGTGATGATTTTCGGGTGCGATCAAAGGAAGAAAGTTTTGAAAAATAGACGCGACCGTCTTTGAGCTTTCCTATATCACTCCTACTATTCCATGGGAAACATAGGCGTGAAAGGAACGCCCAGGAAGTTGGGATTTCGCAACAAAAGACGTATTCTCTGTGAACAGCCAACTTTTCAAACTTTGAACAGTTTTCGACGTGATGAAATCAGCGAGCATCTGGCGAATATCCACGACGGGGTTATTCCCAATTTATACGGGACAATTATTGAACGCTGCCCCATGCATCGATATGGCTGTAACTTCTACAGAAATAGACTCGTTCCCGATCGAGGACATTTAAAACACGATACAGGTACTTCTACATTTAATTCAAAAAAATGTTTAAAATGTTTAGTGAAAAAATGTTGGCCCTGCCCACAAAAAGTAGTGAGAAATAGAAGAACTTCGATTGGTTTGGCTGATATGCCGGTAGAAGTTCTCATACGAATCATCAAAAATCTCGATAGTTATTCGATGAAGAGTTTGCTGGCGACAAACTATGATCTCAGCGTACTGGTTGATGATATAATGAGGTAAGACTTGTTACCGTCAGAGAGTCTATTTTTGTAGCGCGAAAAATGCGAAAATTAAGATTCATACTAACTGTAGTGACTGTGGAATGGTTTTATCCCAATGGAAGAAAACCGAGGAGGGCTGGTCCCTCGACTTTAAATGGACATTTTCGAACCATTCGAAGCCTGCTAATTGGCGACTATCTGACGAGCCTGCGATAGGAGCCCATCTTACTTCTTGTTCTTTCCTAAAAAGTTCTCAAACACAATATGGCACTCGTCCTTTGCCCCAAATTGGCATGGCAAGGGGAACCCAAGTGCGGGATTTGCCATTTTCTTACTGAAAAGATAAACCAATAAACAACTACAAAAACTCTGGTAAGAGCTACTATTTATTCGGAATAAAAACAAGCTGACCATTGTCGAAGCTGAATCGACAAGTAGAATTTAGTTTTTCCTTAATGTCGTTAAGCTTTGCGTTCACAGGACGCAAGAGTCGCAAAAGTTCATTTATATTTTCATCGATAACATAAATTGTTTCGTTCACAGCCAGTCCGTCTCTGTGAAATTTACCAGCAAAGGTGCCAAAAACAACAGCAAGTAAAACTGCACAAATAAATACAATACACGAGAGGATTATAATTGTGTTTCGAGCTCTCCGTTGTCCATAATTTTTCTCACTAAAAATGCAATAAACGAAAAAGATTATCAATCTATCTTACTTCTTTAGCGTAGCAACTTCTATTTGAAGCTTTGAATATTCTTCTATTGTATATTTCGGTCTCAAGGGAATTTCCTCTGAGTGTGGGCTTATTTCTGTCCCTGGCCTTGTTACAAAAGTAGGGACCTTAAAAAAGTTTTTTTTTTATTTAATTTAAAAACTAACCTTAAAGTCTTTTGGGGTTCTGATTGTAACAGGAGAAGTCATTACGGTAGACGTTTTAGGCACTGGTCCATGATGAGTTTTTAAAATGCCCATTCTCTTACATTTACGACTCGATGAATGTTAAAGATAAAACTTTATCCTAAAAGAATGGGCAGCACCGTGAGACAATAATGTTTTTATCGTATTGTTTACGCTTTCGCTCCATGGAATATTCCAAATTAACATAGATTATGAACTATGATTGTCCATGGACCATGGAGCTCTGAACTTAGATACAGGCGTGTTAATTATTCAATATCTTATAACTGTTCTCATGATAAACTGACTGGCTGGTGGGAAGCCGCCAACTGCTGTATTGCATAAAAAAAGTTTAAAGATTTTGAAATAATTCAGTTTTTGATAAACATGAAACTTGGTTTAACACTTTTCGGGCTAGGTGCCGCCCAGTGGGAGGCTGCCTATGCTCCAGGTCACAGCGGTATGGTCCACCTCTTCGAGTGGGGTTGGGACTCCATCGCAGAGGAGTGCGAGAAATTCTTGGGACCAAAGAAGTGGGGTGCCGTTCAAGTTTCCCCACCTACTGAAAACAGAATCGTCGGAGGTCAATGGTGGGAAAAATATCAGGTAATGATAGTCTTCGTTGATTGCAATTAGTAATTGATTGCTTTAGCCAATTTCTTACAAAATCGGAAACCGATCCGGAGATCATGATAGATTTGCTAACATGGTCCGACGATGTAACGCTGTTGGTGTCCGAACCATCGTCGATGTCGTCCCCAACCACATGTGTGGCGGTGGCGGATCAGGCACTGGAACTGCTGGCACCTACTTCGACGCTAACTCCCTCGACTTCCCCGGTGTTCCATACTCTCGAAATGATTTTAACGATAATAACTGTTACACAAGCAGTGGAAACATTGAAAACTACGGTGATGCCAACCAGGTCCGAAACTGCCGATTGGTCAACCTCATCGATCTCAACCAAGGCACTGAGTATGTCAGAGAAAAGATTGTTGACTATCTCAACCAGTTCATCGATATGGGCGCTATTGGTTTCCGAGTTGACGCTTGCAAACACATGTGGCCAGGAGATTTGGAAGTCATCTTCGGCCGATTGAAGAACTTGAGCGTCAGAGAGGGCTTCAAAGGATCAGAACGACCTTTCATCTTCCAAGAGGTCATCGACCAGGGAGGCGAGCCAATCACTGCCAACGAGTACACAGGCTTCGGTCGAGTCACTGAATTCAAGTACTGCATGGGCGTCGGTTCCAACACTCACAGTCTCAAGCACCTTGCCAACATCGGTCCCGACTGGGGCTACCTCGGCCCCATGTCCGCCGTCGTGTTCATCAACAACCACGACAACCAGCGAGGCCATGGTGGCGGAGGACACGTTGTTACCTTCGAGGAGTCCTGGGCTCTCAAGACCCTCACTACCTTCATGATGGGCCACGACTACGGTGAGCCACGAGTCATGTCTTCCTACTACTTCTCCGATCCCGATGAGGGACCACCTGGATGGCAACCAAACGGTTACGATGGCGGCTACGGCTGTGAAAACGGCTGGGTCTGCGAGCACAGATGGCGAGCCATCCAGAACCTTGGAATGTTCCGAGGTTCCGTCCATGGAACTGGAGTGACCAAGTGGACTGAAGGCTGGGATAACCAGATCGCCTTCTCCCGAGGCAACAAGGGTTTCATGGCCATCAACGGTGGCTCAAGCAATTGGTCTGGCTCTATTGCTACTTCAATGCCAGATGGCGAATATTGCGATCTTGGACAGGGTGACCCAACTGAGGGTGGATGCACTGGACCTACTATCCGCGTCTCTGGTGGACAGGCTCAGATCAATGTTCCAACTGGAGACTCGCCAGTCAGTTACATTTCAGTCTCTTACCCTGCTTCTGGCGGCGGGGACGGGTTCAAATCTATGATACTAGTTTTTTTAATGTAGTTGTTCTTGAACCTTGCTAGACCTGCACCAACACTTCCATCTACCACTACCGGTAGTCCTGGAGGCGAGTGCACCTCGTGCAATTGCTCGAACAAGCGCGATTGTGGCGAAATGGGCACCCAACAAGGCGAGTGTGAATCCAAGGGATGCTTGTGGTGCCCATCTTCAGTTTCTGGAGAGCCCTGGTGCATTCACTCCAGCAGGTGCATTGACTAGCAAAAGTAATTATTTGAATTGAACCCTTCTAAAGCGGAGATGGCGGCGCTGGCGGATCTAGCTGTAACGTAGCTGACAGCAGTAAACGAGATTGTGGATACATGGGAATCAAGTAAGCTCACAAAAATTGACATTGACAGATTTATTACGCATCTAATTTAGCTCTTCTCAATGCCAAGCCCTCGGATGTTGCTGGTCTGAGTCATACACTGGTGGAGTCCCATGGTGCTACTACCCTGCTTAAATTTAACTTTCAAGAAATTTCTTTTTTCTGTTTATTTTTTCTGTATGGGAAGCAAAAACCTGTTCAAATAAATTTATTCCACTGAAAAAACATTTGTCTATTTTCCTGATGTCGTTAATTCTGGCCCATTCGAATGACGCGTTTGATTCCTTGAATTCAATAATTTCGTAATCATGACACCTTCAATTTCATACCTTTCTTCCACTCGCAATCGCAAACCGCATCATCTATGTTCCGCCACACAACTCCAGGGAATTCGACCTCAAGTTTTCCATCAACAAAGAAATTCCACTTTGGCAGAATTCCAGGATTGCTGAATTCCTTGATTCCGGATTCAAAAGCGCAAGCTTCATTCCAATCTGTATTCGGGAATTGATCCACGATTGGCTGGAAGTCTTTCTGTTTGAATCTCTTGCAGGCCTTGCAGGAGGGCGCTAGAATTTCAATGAAGAATAATCAAGCTATAAATTAGTAGCTTACAGGTTATCAGAACAGCTTGCGGTCTCTTGTGCGAGTCTTCTAAGAGATTTTGAAAGTCTGCTGTATTTTTTATCTCTTTCCAAGTTCTTGCCATTTTGAGAAAATAATAATATACACGGATTAAATCGTAAACTTTCGGATAATCTCAGCCAGCTCGTAAAAACTCCCTTTCATTCACTTTCAGCTGATTTTGTTAGCTAACAATAAGTATTTTTGATAATTACAACTCATCATTTTTATCCGCCACTTATAAAGTTTAAAATTGATTTCTAATCAGAAATAGAGCTGTCTATATTTGCACTGGCGTTAACGCGCTGGAGCGGGCGCGGCGCGCTGGTGGAGGAGGCGCAAAGTCTTGTATGGGAATACGTGGTCCGTGGTAGCATTCCGCGAAGTGTTTTCACCCTACCAGGAAACTACCGCCACTTTCTATTGGCGGATACGTGGCCCGTGGCGGCAGAGCGCGCAGCGCATCGCGCGCATTCAACCTACCGGTCGCACTGGACTAGGGTTGTCACTATTTTTTTGCATAAAAATATTTCAAAAAGTTTTCAGAATGCTCGATTCAGGGTTTTAATAAGATAAGACACCAATAAAATGATTTGACTGTATCTTTCGCTTGTCTAAAAATTTCAATTTTCAGTCTTATATTTATCATTTTTGGAAAATAAATCAATAGATTAACTATAAAATCGATGAGTTTTTATAAAGCAGATTTTATTATTCGTTTGAATTGATCAAAGGAGCATACATCGTGCATTTTTTTCAACAAGGAATCAAATATAGAAATCAGAACCTGTCATTATTCGACGAGATCATTGATTGCTGACGAATATTCGTGGATACCTAAATTTTTAATCGGTAATAAAATAATTGAAAGTATTCCAAATCTACCACCCTAGACTTCAGTTATGTTTACTTCGCCGGAGGGAGCAAATGTCCTCCAAAGTGAACGAATAAGGATGCACCGCTAGCATGAGTTATCACGATCACAATGAGAGCATTAATATCGTTCTAGAGCTGACACCCGCTACATATATCTACATTTTTTATTATTTTCGACCCAAAGGTAGGATTTCCAACATTTTTTCTTTTTGGAAGAAGGGACAAAGAGAAAGAGGAAAGGGACTTAGAGCACATTGAAAATTTATTCTATTAGAAAGCGTTTAAATTCTTCATTTTTATTGTTCGCATTTACGAACGCCTCCTTAGATCTACCTATTGGCGAAGTAATTTACATAGGGGTGCAAATTGACGTAGATTCTATCGTTTGAAGATCAAAAATAAGTAAGGCGGGGTCGTTGGGGAAGAGCTTTTCACACTCAATGCTTGGCGCAAAATCTTTCAGTACCTCTAAGAAATTCAGCCAAGCTTGAGGTTTTTAATCATTTCTAGCGTCTCAAGATTCAATAGAGATTTAGAAGAAGCGTCTGAAAATGCGGCTTTTGCTAGTCAATTTTTGTACTTGAATCGAAAGTAACTTTTTCTAGGAATTAGGTTGTCTCTAGAATCTGATATTGAATTGGTTGATCTGATGAACTATAGAATAGTTTAAAAGGAGCATCTGAGCTTTTTCTGATAAAAATTTATGTAAGTTCTACCTACTTTACCTCTTCTGAAGGCCACACCCTTAATCGTAAAGGAAAACAGAAATCCTTAGGGTAAAAATAAGACTGAAATAAAGTTGGAATTCAACATAGAAAGTCGAAAACGAGAGGGATGATAAAATCGCAGCGCGAATCCCTTTTTGGTTTCCGTCATTATTCGAGTTTCAGATTAGTCAGAGCAGATTCAATGTCAGCCCTTAATTTGAAAGATGCGCCACTTCGAATTTCCATCCCTTCCACGTTCATCCCTCTTTCGATTTGAAGAAAAGAAACAAGAGAGTATTCAGACTGATCGAAATTGACTTGAAAGTCCTTCGATTTTGTAGAAAAAATCGAAGAGTTGAAATATCTACTGTGATCGGGATTTTTCTAGAATCCGTATTTACAGTCGACGAAAACACTCGCCTCCGGCCAGTTTAGAAACAGAGCGCTGCTGCCATGGGTCAGAATGGCTCAAAGAAAGGTGGCGACAACCAGGAGCAAGGTAAGAGAGTCAAAGTGATTTTTAAGGGTATCTACGGCTCTAAGTCGTAGGAGCAATTATTTTTCAAATAAGAAAGTTTTTCGAAAAATGAAACTTACAGTCAAAAAGTGCCTCTCAGGGGTAATCGAAGGTCAAAATCTTTCACACATGCGCGTTCAAAATCTCGATTTGTATCGCTTGTCTAAATCAGGAAACATTTAGCCGATCTAAAACCGCCTTTGCTGTCTATTTTTTTGCCACAGTTCACGGAGGGATAATAAGATATCCATCCGAGATTTTCAGATTGCAACTCCTTTTTCGCGGAAAATGTGGCATCTTGATGGAAATCTTTTCTAAAAAACTAAATTTTAAAAGAACTTGTAGAATCGCTTGTAAAAGTTAACAACCTGAAAAGGCACTATTCAACGAAAAAAAAGACGGTGTACTCTAGCCAAAGTTTGCTGAGTTCCCTGGAAGCGAGTACAATATCTTTTGTACAATATTGATACGTTACACCACTCTTTTCAAGCCCCAAAATGGACAGTTCGCTCATGGTGACCAATAAATGATAAAAAATCGACAGCAAAAAAAGAGAGTAAGAAATCATGACCTCACGATTGAAAAAATCCTCATCAAAGGAGACCAAAAAGGGAGATACTAAATTTGACTGTAAGTTTTGTTCTTCTTAAAAACTGAGATATATTCTGACATACAAACACAGTAACACACAGTAGGTCTAAAGTAACGGTAACTTTAGTGGAATCAAAAGCCGATGAGCGTCGTAAGTCAAAGCTTTTTTTTCATATGTATTTTTGACGTGGTTAATTTATATGAGAGTGCCTTTTTTATTGTCGTGTCATTTTTTGTGCGTCAAGAGGAGTGTATAAATGCTTCTGTTTATTTATCCGCTGTCTTGGCTGCTCATCATTTTCTAACCAGTTCATCAATGGTTAACCTCTTCCGACCTCCCCGCTGAGTTCCCAAGTGCGTGCCTAAAAGCCCCCAAAGCTCCTTTCATGAATCAGTTTGTTTCAATTTTTGTTCTCCATTCTGGATCTCTATTCACCTCTCCACGGTTTTATGAAACAGCCCTCTTTTTTTCCTGCGCCGTTATTTTACTAGAGCTCGCGCCTCGGGCAAGATCACTGGAAAATTGATCCACGTTATTCTGAATCGACCTAGGTTGATAAAAAGAGACGAATGAATTTTCTGAAGAACAGAATTTGGGGAGAGAAGCCGCAAGAAGATTTTGACTGTAAGTCGAGGTCATCGGACTTTTTTTCTAGCGCACAAATGAACATACAGGTAGAGCCTTTTAAACCCACAATTTCGACATTTTGTCTGGTAGACATGTTCGTTCATTTTTCTTCGTTGATGTATTCTCCTCAGTGTAGTTTATTAATGAGCCTCGAAATTGACAAACTGTCGATTCTTCTCAGAAAAAGAATCTTCTGGATTCTCAACATGAGCGCTGCATTAGATTATTCAACCCTTTGCCTGCTCCAACCAGCGTTTTTTCTGCCCCAATTAACTTATTTTCCCAAATAACGAGATCAAAGTTGCCCTCGTTTTTTACAACTTTATTGCTCTCGATTTACCTCTCTCTCTCTCGTCTTTCCCAGTTTTCCCCCTCATTTTTTATTGCCTCCAAATTTTGTTCAATAAAGAAGTCGAGCATTTGATCCACTAAAACAACCAAAACTAACTACTAATTATCATGCCAGTTTCTGACCTTTTTCAACCAACCTCAGGACCACACGCGAAAATCAAGAGGTCAAGTCGTTCAGATTTGACGTTTAGGAGACTTCAATCGGGTTCCTGAGCTTGAAAACATTTTTATATTTCTGAATATGCTCTGATTCAATTTTATCATGTTTCTAGCTTTTTCTTTCAAAAAAGGAGTGAGCCATTATTGGCTACAGCCAAAGAAACTCACTCATCGCGACGTGCTCGAATCTTTTTGATATCAAGGATGAGAATTTCCATTGGAAATTGAGTACCTTTCATATCAAAACACGTTTCCTTACGTGATATATTCGTATATCATATTTCCAACGATATTCTTTATAATTGAGTGTGTGTGTGAGCGCGCGTGTGTCTAATTGCCCCGTCCGTCCTAAAACGGCGGCGCTCATCCGAACCAGAAAGCGAGAAACAGAAATAAAGAGCTCAGAGCCTCAGAAAAAAAAAAGAAAAAGAAAGAGAGCTCCTTGAGTCCAGCACCTTCGATTTTTTCCGCGCGCACTCCTTTTTTGCAGCTTCCACCCATTGTGCGTCCGTGCCCTTATCTGGTTGGCTTCTTTTTGTCAATTTTTGGATTTTTTTTCGCTTTTGTGCCGGCGAAAAATAACGCCGTCGGAGTTTGCGCCCGGCCGCCGTACAAGTCGGACGAAAACACCCAAAAAACATCGAGAAAACGTCTATTTTTCCAACATAAATTTCAACGGGAAAATTTCTACTTTTCAAGAGAAGAAGCATCATACGAACAAACAATTCTAAAAAGACAGAAAGAGAGATAAAGAGAGAGAGGCAGATTTCCAGAGAGTTAGATACAAAAAGGAATGGGCTCACAAAAACGAGAAGGATGATTTTCTCTTCCTTGATTTCAAGCGTGAAATTAGACGTCAGACGAAAAGGTCGAAAAAGTAGCCGGTATTTTTAGAGTCGTTAAAAATCACATTTTAAATTGGTTTTTTCGTCCTGATTGAACATCATTGTTTTCAACTTGCGGTCGAAAAAAATATTTTTTCAAACCTCATTCAACGAGGCGATGCTAAAAGTCCTCCTTTCACTTTCCATTTTTCTTTTTGGAAACTGGTGAAAAAAGATGTCATGGAATTGAAAATTGACTTTGTTCATCGATCGAAGTACATTTTCTCCATCACTCGCTTCGGGCAAGTCATTTTTCTTTCCTCGTTTTTTCCTGAACAACTTTTGAAATTTGAAATTGCTTTGTTTATCCACATGTGGCCATTTGTCCACTTCCGGAAATCAGTTTCCTTCGATATAAAAAGATTCTTCTTTAGACTTCAAAAAGCGCCATACTTGTGCCCAAAGTTTTTCTTTCCGAACATAAAGCCATCGAAATTTTACGCACGGTAAAAAGTTTTATGAGCAGCAGTAAACGAGTTATTGGAGAGTAAGAAGGCCGGGCCAGTATCTAAAGCTTTAAATAGATGGCCTCGGTCTTTGAATGACATGAATAGATCATAAACTCTATTCTGTCGACTTTCAGGCTAATTTATATTTATTGCTAGTTCATAAACTCGCATCCCGATATTTCACCTTATGGCTGAATGCTTGTTTGAACTCATCGCGGTTAGGGTTAGGAGATTACCTGCGTTGGGTCCCGGGGGAGAAGACCCCTTGAAAACGCCCTAGGGGGGTCCCGGGGCGGTAGCCTTCTGGGTTAGGCTTTTGGTTAGGGGCGGGACGACCGATACCCCGCTACTACCGAACAAGGGTAAACAAATCCTATTCCTTATCGTTATCAACTCCCTTCTGAATGTGAATTAACTCGCTCTCGTTCCCAAGGTCTACCCTTCTCTTATTTATTAATAATCGCAAATCTAACTCTCCCCCAAAAACACAGTGAAAGCTCTGCACAAATATTGTTTTTGCCATTTTTCTTCTTGATTGTACCTTCAATCGAGAAACCAAGATGACAGTAGCTAGTTGCACTAGAGATCAGAGTGATTCTTTTTCGGAATCAGAGGAACAATCAGAGAACGGGGACTTTTTGGGCAGCTTGGAGTATCCTGAGTATTGTAATAATATTGACAGCAAACGTAAGATTTTATGCTTTTGATATTTTATCCCGAGCGGAAATACTGAAGAGCTGATTTTTCTAAATTTATATAATCAATTGAGAACTTATCTTTTTAGCTATTATGAATAAGTTTTCCGAAGTAATCAAAATTTGCGCTTTTGATTTCGAAAAATTTCTCCAACTAAGCCGAGAATGGGTTAAGGGTCCTCTTGGCAGTTTATCAAGCTACTCAAGTTTTGCCACGAGACTAGTAGTAAGGATAAACAATCAAAAAACACCCGAAGTCATCATTTCTTTTGTCGTGAAAGACCGCCTTCGTCGTGTCGGTTACTAAAGGTGAAAGCTTTCCTCCTTGATTGCAAGGTTCGAACTTTTATGAGTTCGAAACTGGAGTTGGGAGGAAGTAGCTTTTATTTCTTGGCAAGAACCGTCAGGAAGGATACTTTGGCGTTTTTACGGTCAGTTGCGATGAGTAAAGCGCCAATTTTACGGTCAATTGAATTCAGAAAGAAGCCATCTTTAGACTTGGATTTCAAGTTGCTCCTTGTCCCGTTCCAAGCTGAAATTAGATTCGAGCTTACTGTAAATGCTACCGTCTCAGCTCAGTAAATACAGATCATTTCCACGACGTCAGAGTGTCAAAAAATGCGAAAAAGGCGGAAATAGATTGATTGAAATTTCCGATTTACGTATTCTGAAAATCAAGAATTCTAGGATCCTGCTGGGCGTGGTTTTTATTTGTCAATTACTCGGACGACTACTGTATTTACAAACGTGATTCTGAGAAAGTTCCTTTCGAGTCAATATTTTCAGGAATTTGTTATTCAAAATTTGCATAGATTAGGTAGCCAAATATTCTAATTTCGGGTTAAATAAGGGCAGATAAAAAAAACTTATCGATTTCATTAAAAATTTCAACATTGCTTATCGATTTCTTAGAGCTCATTTTTAGAGAAAAAATGAAGACTTGTGTCATCATCTTTTTCTTTGTATTCCTAGCTCAGAATGCGCTGTATTTAATTTGCCTGGCGAAGATGAGGAGGCGCAAGTTACAATTATTATGTGTGTGTTTTCGTGTGCCCAAATATTGGCAGAATTCTTTTTCATTGCTTGTTCAAACAGGTCGGTGCCGTGTAGAGGTCAATTTTTATCCAGAGCTGCCACCGATAAACGGCGCTCGATTGGCTTTATCGATCTTTTCTTTTATTTTTGGAGTCTTAGCCCGTGCTCCACACCTTTGAATCCGAGAGAACGCGAGAAGAAACTCTGTGTCTAAAACCGGTCGAACTGTTTCTTCCGTTCTTTTCACCGTTGGGAAATTCAGGCGAGGCTCACTGAAGGGAGCAGTGGAGGGGGCGGCTTAAAATTGGGGATCATCTCAAATCATGGGTTTGATTAGCCGCTTCTGATCTACTTTCGCGTGCTTTGATTTGGGGAGCAGACTTGGAACGAGCACTTTTATACGGGATTTTTTCTGTTTGAGGAGGCTTGTAGCACAACCCAAACAAATTGAATTGACATTTTTCCTGATTCTTCTTGGTTAAAAGTTGATGTTCTATTGGAACGATGCCCTTTTAAATTTTCAAGTTTGAACTCAAAATTGAATCAACTTTCACCCTATCAATTTTTCAACCTTTCCACAACATCGTAAATTTAAAAAACAGCTGATTGATCATTTTCCTAACAAGTACTGTCCGCACTTCTGAAAAGGTCATTATCATCCTCGAACAGGCAGTGCGCGTACTGTGACCAAAGAACAATGGGAATTAATTCCTCAGGCGAGAGAGTTGACTTGTTCGCCCCTCTAGCGCTCCTTGCTACGGGCGTTCGCTGAAGCCGACTGTCGGTGACTGTCGCCCACGCGCTCGACAGGACTTGGGACGAGGGAGAGCGCACTGAGCCACCCCAGGCGCGCGCTCTCTATCTCTCTCGCTCGCGGGCAGATCGCGCTCTGCACTGAACAAGCATCTTCACTACCCGCTTTCCCTCTTTCTTCTTTTTCAAACAAAAACATCGTCAATTGTCAAAAGAATCATTAACGTGAGCCCAACACACAGAACTATTGTCAGATTGACAATTTTGATGAATTAGCGATCCTCGTGGCCAGATGTTCCAATTTAAATTCCACAAAACTAAAAAAGAGAAACCTAAGAGCGACAAGGACAAAGCGTCCAGCCAAAATTCCGCACAGTTTTGTAAGTTACACGCCGTAGGCGAGCACACCAAGCCAAATTTAAAGTAGGGGTGTATCCTTGATTATGCTTATTTACGCTGAACCAGGTCAATAATTACCATTCTAAGGAACTGCTACAGTTTTTATAAGCATAATTAAGGCTTCATCCTAGACAACCTCGAGCAAAAGATGCCATGGCTTGGGGCTAGTGACATGGGGAAATCGATATTTTTTGAGTCTCGTGTCGGGCCCGGCATGGCTGACGATACATGCGAGTGACCTTTTAATAGTTACCACCTACGCACAGTGGAACTTGTTCTCCCTGTGTGTTTCTGTGTGTATGCCAGATTTTCTGATGAGTTACTTGTGTGTGTGTACCTTAATTAATGACGAAAGCACATTCGCTGCATGCCATATTTGTTCAGCGATATAATTTTAACGATGTCTTTTTAGTCAAGCAGTTTTTACAAGAAGCCAAAGAAGAGTTCCTGAGGAAATGGGAAACGCCAGAAAAGGTAAATTACTCCTCCTTGATTCCGTATTTCACGAGTGTTGTGACATCATTTATTCCAACTTGCATCGACCCCAACTCGCGTCGATTCGCAAGTTGAAGGTCAGCCGAGTTTTTTTCTCTCGACCATTTGCATCTTGCACAATATTGCGGCAATTTGCACAGTGGCCCTAAGACAGCTTGTAAAATTCTGTTCCTCAGGCTGTGGAAGCCCTGACTGGAGTAAAACAATCCAGGCAAACTTCGGTAAACAGTAGATATACTCACAAATCTAGCCCCTTTAATTCACTATTTTTTACCTAAGGATCCACCCAAGGATAATTCTTTCAAAGAACCTTCGATTTGAAGCTGAAAATCTTGATGTTTTTTCGAAAAATTATCAAGGGCGGGTCCTTAATTCTTGGATAATAAGAATTAACAGAATATCCTTTTAACAACTCAAGCAGATTACTTCTTATTGATCGACCTTGAGCCCCTCTTTGATGGTTTTTAATACTTTCCTACTCAATAATTCCCTTTTTTATTGCTACTGTTTTTAACTCAAAGCACTGGTTAAAAGCGGACGCGTCAAATCCCACTTAGCATCGATGATTTTCTACTTAGAGGTGTCTAATGGAAGGCCGTCTCGCTGCTTTCCATATGTATCAACAGAGGCTTCTGTTGTCTCACCAGCGTGTGACTGTAATTACCACAAACTACGGTCCTGCTGAAATCCTTTTTTATATGATTGAAGTGTCTATTTGATCTACTAGCGATCCAGAAGGACCTCAAGGCGGATTTGAACTTGCCTAAAACGCGATGTTAAAACATAATTCATAAATATTTAAAATACATTCTCTTCCTTTTTTTCTAAAAGCTTTAACAGTAGTGTAGCTCACTCCAGATCGACATTTTTCTGAAGCCCGTCTGTCCAAGAACTGTCTCTTCTGGGCACATCGCCCTCCGGCAGGTCACGCCGGAGTGGATTTTTTCTTCATCAAGGACCAAAATACTAAACTCTACCATCTTTTAGTGCGCCATCGGCCTCGAAGCCTTCACCAGATTAAAAACACTCGGCACTGGCAGCTTTGGTCGAGTCATGCTCGTGCGGATGATCGATGGAGAAAAATATTATGCTATGAAAATTTTGGATAAGTCAAAGGTAAGATTGCTTTTTCCTTCTGATCATAAATAAAATTATCTTTAAGGTCGTCAAGTTGAAACAAGTAGAACATACGCTGAACGAGAAAAGAATTCTTAATGCAGTTACCTTCCCATTTCTTGTAAATCTTGAATATGCCTTTAAGGTTAGTAGAGCTAAACTGCTTGAGCATGAGTGGTTACGGTATTATTCTAGGACAATACATATTTATACATGGTGCTGGAATATGTTCCAGGAGGCGAAATGTTCTCCCACCTGCGAAGAATAGGTCGATTTAGGTAAGAGCAAAGCGAAAGGGGTTAAAACCTAATGCACTTCTTCAGTGAACCGCATGGGCGATTTTATGCCGCACAGATCGTACTGGCGTTCGAATATCTTCATCATCTCGACCTTATTTATCGAGATCTTAAACCAGAAAATTTACTTATCGACCAGCAAGGATACATAAAGGTGAGTTTCATTACGCAATGTGAGCCGCTCTTTTCCACGCCGCGCAGATTGAGCATACAAATATGTTCGAATTAAATAGTCTGATAATTCACCATTATCTGGGTTTTTGCGAAAGTCAGTGAAATCTGAACGATTTTGCGTAAACTTGAACTATATTTTGTGCATGAAATGCTGCGTTTTTGTCCTTGCCGGAATTTTAACCCGTTTTAGATCACAGATTTTGGCTTTGCGAAGCGTGTCAAGGGACGAACGTGGACTCTGTGTGGAACTCCTGAATACTTGGCACCGGAAATCATCTTGAGTAAGGTAAATTTCATCTACTCAGCATTTCAAATAGTCTACCAGCGAGTCTGACTGAAGAAAATGCCAGTTTTTGAACCTCTTATCGGATTATGCAGACAAAAATATGCCTGTCTGAGACAGATTTTTCCATTTTTCAGCATATCTAAGCATGAGAATGCAGCTGGCATTTTCCAAGATAGAGTCAGATTCGCTCGGTGACAGATTCTTGGCGACTGTAAATATGACTGTTTGATTTAGGGTTATAATAAAGCAGTGGACTGGTGGGCACTCGGAGTGCTCATCTACGAAATGGTGGCCGGATATCCTCCATTCTTCGCCGATCAGCCGATTCAAATTTATGAAAAGATTGTTTCTGGAAAGGTGAGCACGCAATTTTCATAATTAACAATTACCCACGGCGATCCGTCATGATCCCGTGACGATTTTTTTAAACTGATATAAGATCTCTCAATCACGTTGTTTTTGAACGAGAGTTATTTTTGTAACAAGCTTCACGATCGTTCTGGAATTTTTTTGCTCGAAGAACCTAATTTGATTTGATAAGAAGCCCCTTAGAAACTTCTTATTGGAGGATTGTATTTCAAATTTTCAAATTTCAAGACGTTTTTTTTGCTATAGAAAATTAATAACAAGGGTCATTGAAACCCAAGTCAGTGTAAATTATGCAATACTTTATCATTGAATAAAAAAGCCGGCTAAAGTCGACCACAATAGCCCTAGCCATAAAAGACCTCAATTTCTAAATTGGCATTGAATTGGCTAATCTGCAGCTTTCTACACTTCCTTTCTCACCTTCCCACTTTCAGGTTCGATTCCCTGCGCATTTCTCGTCTCATCTAAAAGATCTTCTCCGTAACTTGTTGCAAGTTGACCTGACAAAGCGATTCGGTAACTTGCGCGCCGCCGTGTTAGACATCAAAAATCACAACTGGTTCCAGGCTACTGACTGGATTCAAACATACCAGAAAAAGGTAAGATGCCCTTAGTTTTCTTTATCCGAAATCATAGGAGAGTATTCCTAGGCACTTGCCTTTTTTCAATCTTCAAGGAAATCTTCCAGATTCTCCCGAAAATAAGCATATACAAGCAAAGGCAATCAATAATAAATCTCCTCCTCCATGTCTGTGACCGCGGAAACAAAAGGGTTTAGTGCTAATTTGTCAATTGTTAATAGGTTGATCCCGCTAATGCGTTCATGTTTTTCCGCCCAGAATCAATTAATGGGTTCGAATGAAGAATTGTTCATTTATTTCTCTATTCGAACTTTTACCGCTTTTTAATGAGAATTTTTTTATCTTAAAAGCTCCTTAAATATTTCCGGGCATACATCCTTTTTGCGTCTGATTGCTTTTCGAATATTCGCAGTTCAGTAATGCTCACGTGAATTGAAAAAGCAACGATAACAAGATCAAATTTATTAGTGGGTGATTATGACCTTGTTCTTCCAATAAAAACAACATAACGCAATTCGCCAAAGACTTGGTTTTTCTTGACGTCAAAGCAGGTCTCTTTTCTGACCATGTGACTCGCCAAAGTTGATTTTAAACTGTCACCGAATGACGTCAAAAGGCGTTTGTCCCTGTTTGTGTTTGCGGGCCTCTGGGGAGACGTGGAGGGGTAATTATGAGAAGCAAAGTTTTATATCACTTTTTGGCCGTTACTTGGTCCTCTGGGAGATTCGGTTCTTAAGCCGGTTATTAAAGTAATGCGTCTTTTGGCAAGACTCTTTTATGATGATCAAAAACGCGGCTTAGCCCCTGTTTCTAACTGCCGACTTAACTCTTCTATGATTTCACAAATCGGATATTTAGAAAATCTAACACACTTTATTTCAGACAGAAGCGCCATTCATTCCAAAGATCCTGTCAGAGGGCGATACCTCCAACTTCGACGACTACGAGGAGGAGGAGTTAAGGAGACACGCGACCGAGAAGCACGCCAAGGAGTTCGCCGACTTCTAAATTTTCGCCGCGAAAACGATTTTTCTGCAGAAAACTACCAAAGAATGCGCGACTCACAGAAAAAAAAACGACACCACCACCTCACCAAAACTACTTTTCACCAGAAAAACCCTTTTTATAAATAATATAATAATATTAATAATTAAAATCGAGAGAATTATTTGACCACACATCCACACACCTACACATATTATATCACAAATCCTGTATATTTTTATATAATGGCACCTTGGTTATATTTTCACCAGCACAACTGCACCTAAATACTTTTAGTTATTATTAAATTGATCTGGCAACTCTATATAATTTCTCCTATTATATAACTATTACGTCATGCCAAACAGTATCAAGCCATTGTCGAGTCCTTTCAGTCTATCGTAGCACTGTAATTCCGTCCAGTTGGACCATTTTGTAACACACTAAGGAAGTACTATCTATATCTGACTGATTGTATATTGCTTTTTGCAGGACTTTCTGTTCCCTTCTTCTAGACCAACTACGCCATGTTAATAAAATAATCAAATTTACAAATCTTCCAATTTTTCATTTACAAAATTTCTGAAGTTTCAAGCATTCGAATCGCTGCATACTGGCATTTTATTGAATTACAGAATGAAGAAATTTAAAAGACAAACAGGGCAAATTGTAAATTGGCAAAAATGGCTGTAAAATTAGACTTCTAGCTTAGACTTCAATATTTTGGAGAGCTCGTGATCTTCTGGCGAAATTCGGGCAGAATCGGCAGAGTTAGAGTTGAATGGTGCTTCGGAGGGAATAAGCGAGAGGCGTTTTTGAAGGAGGTCGAACGCTTTTGACTGAGGCAAGATCATGAGAAGGCCGCGGAGAGAAGCGATCAAGGCATGAGGCTTTTCGAGCAGTTCGAATCGCAGCCACGTGAAACCTGAATTGAAATAGTTAACGATCAGGGCAGTTTGATTTACCAGGAGATTCAAGAAGTTGAATTAGTCGATCGATCTCTCCCAAATGGGCACTGTTCAAATTCATCTCCGCGAGCGTCTTCACTGTCGAGTACGCAAGTTGATATCTCTTCCCCAGAAGAGCTAGACACAGTGACGAAACGGGACAGCTGACCCAGGCCTTCCAGACTGTGTTGAAATTCTCCATTACTTCTTGAGGACGCTCTCTAAGTTTTCTTCGGAAATTGTAGAGTTCTGGAGCTGTCCCGAGCAGCAGGTTGAGGAGTTGAATCGTCGCGACTTTTGCATCTAAAAAGCATTATTTCGAGCTTCTTGATTCGATTTAACAAGCAAAGATAAGATTTTTCTTTACCTGTTTCTTGATGATGCACAAGTCGACTTCCGAGTTTCAAATAAATCTTCTCCCCATCAAGTTTCTCACAAAGCTTTCTGACCACGAATGCCACTTTCTGTCGATCAGATCTTGCAGAAATCTCGTTCAACGAAGAATAAAGCACTTCAATGAACGTATCAAAAGTTTTATCGTTCAAATTTGCGATTTCAGTCAAGCACGCCATGCCAGATTCGCGCACTCGTTCATTTTCGTCCAAGTTGATCGCCGAGAAAACTTGGAGCATCAACCAGGGAACTTCGTCTTCGATCTGGTCTTGTTTCAACCGAAAGACTGAAATCACCCATTCAAACGCCGCAAGTCGTTTTGAAACGGGCTTGTCGGGGCCGAGAAAGGGACAGGTGATTTTCAAAAGACGAATCGCTGTTTCTTGGGGAATCTCGTCTTTCGTTGAATCGAATTGAAGAAGAGTGTTGACTTGAGAAGAAAGGTCTTTGACTTCTCGTTTCTTTTTGCTCTGCCGCAGCTGTTCGGTTGAATCACCTGAATTCTGAAAGAAAGTGATTATAATTGCTTTCTATGAGAAGTTCTTACTGTATTTGTGAGCTCATCTTCTGGCAGTTTGAATAACGCTTCGAGAACAACTGGAGTAGCCTTGACTGTAGCTTCTTTCTTGAGCGGTAGAAGCGCTCGTAGCCAAATCAGCGCCAAATATCGTTGCGTCCAAACGACATCGCTGGTTTTCAACAACTGTTGGCTAACGATCGGAATCATTTTTTCCACATCGCAGCGGGGTGCTTCTTGCAGAGCGGATTCTAGCGCCGTCCACACGAGAGAATGCGTTTCTTTGTTACTATCCGTCAGCGCGTTGAAAAGCCCGTCGACCAGACCGGGAAGGACAGCGCTCAAACCAGCGTGAGGATTGCCAGACAAGACAGAAATCCATCCGGCGACGAAAGAACGGGCATTGGAGTCGATTGCATAAACTCGTTCGCGGAGAAGGGCGCCCATGTCAGGAGCTCGCTCGGCTTCGAGGACGATATCTCGTAGAAGACGATCTGAATTTATTGTTGTAGAAAAGACGCCCAAGGCTGTACTTTACCTAGAAGCTCGGTTCCACTTCGTACATTTTGATCCACGTCCGAGTTGAGTTTCCCAACAATAACAAACAGGTTCACAAAATGAGTGTCAATCAAAACTCCTCGAACAGCTTTCGCAACATTGTAAAGTGCTTCACAAGCGAAGTATCGAAGACGAGAGTCGGATTCTGTGGCGGCGCAGAGGATTGGCTCAAGAAGCTCGGTAAGATAAGGACCGGAGTTTTGGGAGAATCCGATGGCGGCGGCGGCCAAGGCGAGAAGAACGCCTTTGCGAAGGTTGAGAGAGTTGCTGCCGTGGTATGCGTTTCCAAGGTCGTTTAGCAGCAAAGATGCGTCGCTAGAATTGAATTTTCATCTGTGAAAGAAAATATGAAAACTTACGAAGAGTTGTTATTTACAATCGCATTTCTTGCCCTAACTTCAACTTCTAAAGCAGCTGCCTTTCTTTTTTCATAAAGTTTATCGCCTGAGATTTTATTTTTGATGAATAGTGATTTCTAGTACCTAATTGTCTGAATAAATTTTGCTGTGCTTCGGTTAGAGCTGCCATTTCTCGCCTTTTTCTTGAGTTTTATAATTCTCTCATTTTTAGCGATGAATTTTCACTGCGTCGCGAAAGATAAATTCTCTACTTTGCGCGGATGATTTTCCCACGAGAATCCTCCGTGATGGAAGAGTGCTGCTGGAGGACTTTAGAAAGCGGCGATTTGGAACTTACCGATTGAAATCATCGGTATAATACAGTCGACTGTGGCAATTACGTTCTCTCGTTTGACCAAAAAAGCAAAAGGTAGATCTGAAGCGATTCTTCGCCGAACTATCAGTGAAGTGAGTTCTGGAAACGAAACTCGGTTCAAGGAATGCTAGAGCGACTGAAAATCAAAACAAGCGAGGGAATTTCTCTATGGCTTCGAGTATAAGTATTTTATTCAAGATGCAGAACTAATAAGCAGAAACTGTAATTTCATAATTTGAAAGACGTTGTAGCCCAGAATCACTGTAACAACTCCTGAAGACGTAAAGAAGCCGCCAAAGCAACAGAGTGAAATGTGCTTGTAGTAATCGATCAAATCTGTAATTTCAAAAGTCCAAAATAGTCGTAGTTCAAAAGCAAACCTAGCTGATCATCAGTAGCGACGCATTCAGTTATTTCCGGGATCCAATCTACAGTAGTTTCGTTAGCACAAACAACAGTCAAGTTTTGGTAGCCCTCTTCAAAGTAAAAGCCGTCAGGGCATTTCAAAACTGCTTCTGTTCCGAGCGGATGAAGTTCTTTCTCAAGCTCACAGCCGATAGTTTCTTGCTTCGGTTCTGGTATCTCAACTGTGTTCTGCTCTGTTGCAGTCTCTACAAGTGCTGGCAGCGTTGATGGAGGAGCAAGAGTAGTGGTTGTCAATCCATCGACGGTGAAGAACATTTTGAAGCCTTTCAAGGATCAAAGTTGCAGAAACAAAAGACATAAATCTCTAATTTCAACCCTTAACTCGACCACTCACAGAGCTATCAGACACAAAGACAGCTTGAAACGGTCCACGAACTGCAATTTCGGGTGGACTCACTATGTTTGATTGATCGACAAAGCCCTGCTGGTATGATAACCCACAAATTTGCCGCTCCCTCGCTCTCGGTGCTAGAAATATTTCATCTCAAACTTATAACAGTAAAGCTAGCTTACATCGGATAAAGAGCTTGTCGAAGCATTGTCTGCCAGATTCTTGGCTCTCGATTCCGAATTCTTCGTCAAAAGTTATTGTTGTCATCACTCCTTCCTCAACTGCAAAATTCTTGGAAATAATCTTCTATTTTTAATACTCAATTAAAATCTACCCAGACACATTCCAGTCGCGCAGCATACTCCTCTCCTTCTTCAAACCCAGGCGAAGTGATGAACCCAGCAAATAAGTCAACTTCTCCTCCACATTCTTGAGCTTCGGCAAAAGTTGAAAATCTCGAAAAACTAAGAAAAAATACAAAGAAGCTCATCTTCTCATAACTTGCGTGCTCGACTTTAGCTCGCGCTGGAATTTCAAAGTGGTAAGTGTGTTTTTGCAAACACTTCACGAGTTTCTATCAAAGAAAATTGCCAAGAAACAAGGAATACCTTTCAAAGAAGAAAGCTTTAAAATAATATATTCATATATTAACAGGTTTGATAATCTATTATCAATACGGTCAGCAAGCGCTAGAATCTATCAGAATCAGCTCTGGGTCTTTTGCTTCTTCGCTGCTTTTTCATGAGTAGCCATGTGCACGCTGAGCGTTCTCGCTTGACAGAAGCCTTTGTCGCAGATTGTACACTTGAACGGCTTCTCGGGTGCGTGTATGTATCTAAAGCAGACTTTGATGAGTCTTGAAAAAAAAAGAGCATTGATCAGTTTGTGTTTATTCCGTCTCGGAAGGAGCTGTCCTCTATGATATCAGTTTTGAGTCCCTCAGCTTCAAAAAATGGTCCCATTGCGCGTGGGGACGATAAGTTTCCGTGCGGTGACTGCTCATCAGATTCCTTGGCGACGGGTTTGATATTGATGCACCTGCTCTTATTGTTACTTTAACCGTCTTCTGGTAATATAGCCACGTCACAAGGACAAATATCCGGATCCCGGACAGTGGAAATAGGAAATAATTGGAAGCCTTGAAGACTACCGAGCGGCCGGAAGCAGCTGCGAAACGCAGCTGTTTGAGCTGCACTCAAATGCAGGAAACTGGCATTTTCATGCTTTTATTTTAGGACTTCATTTTCAGGAAGAAAAATAATTTATCGTCATACAATATTCGCTCGTAACTAGAAACAGTCTCGAATCTGGTTGATTCTAACTTGGTTCCTAAAGTTATGATCAGAATGTGCAGTTATGCTGGAGCTACTGTATGGAACAATCAGTTCTGCTGTAACCACAACAACAAGGCCGCAAAGTATCTGCCGGAAATGACGATTGCAGAATAGCTAGTTTTAAATTTGTGAAGCTTTTCAAGATGATTGATGGATGTGGTGTTCCTTTGGTAGCAGTATCTATCATTTATCGCGGGGATAAGGAGACGCCCAATGCTCATTGAATGTGCATAAAAGCGCGGTCGCGATTTTACGATTAATGAAGACCGCGCTAAGGGCCGCAGAACAGGTGCATGTCACTAGCCGATGAGCAGAGCACTCCGACTCCAAGCTTCCTGCGCTTCCGCAATGCAGGCTGTGTGTGTCGATTGGCGCCTCCTCGTCGCGCTCGCTCGAGGGCCAGTCCCGCAGGCGAAAGCAATTTTACAAGAATCGCTACTGTGCACAGACTTTCTTCTCCTCCAAAATAAATAACCAAAAGAAGTCAACTCAATGAAAGAATTTGACCTCAGAAAGTCACCCGAAAAGGTCAATGAAATCTCTTTTAAACTGATCATCTGATGTCAAATTGCAAGTATTGACCAAATCACGCAAAAGATTTCTAGTTATTTTGGAGTGCGCTAATTTTTACTCCCGCAACATATTTTTAAACGATGAAACTCAATAAACTCCTCGTTGATTCCGAAAAATTGCAATCATGAAAACGGAAGCGAAGCTTTATTTACTTGTCGAGCTGGATAAGTGAGAGTGTCCTTGAACCTGTCAAATTTGAATAGCCAAACGGATAGCAGTACGGCAACTTTGATGCAGGGGAAACGACAAAATTAGATAAATTTCCACTTACTTCCGCATTTTTCTAACTCCCTGCAAGTTGGATAAAAGTCAACGACCATCAGTCGCGCATGCTTCCGTTTCTGATAGGGCTTCCGTTCAATTCTCGGGAGTATTTCTTATGTAAGTTCAAAATAACGAGTTAGAACTTCTAAGGGTGAATTAATCGTGGAAAAATTCAGGTCCAAGAGGGATCAAGTGAGATTTCCTTGTCAGGAAACTCGTAAGTCAATTCTCACGGAGAACACGCTCCCGGCGTTTTCGCACCCGTAATTACTGCCTGCGGAAGGTGCAAAGTGTCCGGTCAAATGCATATTTTTTGTATTTGCTCGATGCCGGAAGCATAAAGAGGAAGCTCCTCTGAAAAGAAGCGCCTTTGGACGAGGACCCGCGTGGAAATGAATCGCGGCGTTTCGAGTGTTTTACGAGGAAAATCATTTTACAGAAGTGGACCGACTCGAGCGCTCGAGGATTTTATGTAAATACTCGTTTACGATGTATATAAACGCATTCCTTATCAATTTAACTACCAGGAATTGAATGATGATCAAGTATGATTCTGATCTGAATTCCGAGAAAGTCGATGACCTGAGCGAAAGTTTCACAAGCCTTTTCTTTCCGGTGCTGCTGCTCAAGAATGAAATGTGCACTTTGCACTTGGGCAGGTGCATCCTGTAAATGCTGAGATACAGGGGCATGTGCCGTGACCTTAGATTTCCACCAAATTGACTTTTAACGAGATGATAATATGCACCTGTTTGGCGATTTACGGGGCCCTGAGCTACTTGAGTTTCAATGCTGAATCAAGTGGACATTCTACCAGACCTCTTCATGACAGCTCCGTTCAAAGGACATTTTAGTAACTTACTTATGGTCCCTGAGATGATCCTGTCTTCTGAAGGCTTTTTGACAAATATCGCACTTGTAGGGTCGCTCGTCTGTATGGGTCCTTTCGTGGATCATCAGATTGTAGCTCTTCGTAAAGTGCCGCTGGCAGAATCTAAAGAATTGACTAAGAAATAATGCGGGAGCACATCTGCTTGAGAATTTGCTCTCTGAAGCATAAAAACGTCTCGTTTTATTTCGTTTGGGATTTTGGTGGACTTAGCCGAGAAGCTTGACGCTCCCATCAGCCGCTGCGGGCGACATGAGATTCTGTCAACAAAATACATATTAAGACACAAAGATCAGACCACTGAGCATCCCGCTCCCAAAGGATTACAAGTTTGATTTATGTTGACGGCGCTGCAATAAGTTCCTAATTTATTGCTGATATGTTTTGGAGAAGACAGGGCCAGCTGGCTTCTGTGGCTCTTAAACTGACGACAGACTGAGCTAACTCGTAGGACATTTATTGCCCCCGTCCACCTGGACCTGTAAGTTCCAACTTTTGGAGAGTTTTGACGGCTATGTGGGCCTGTCTTTGCGCTAGGAGCAATAAACTTTTCGACTGGTATTTTGCCAGAATACAGCTGGCCAGTTATTGGAATTTTGACCAAGTCTTTTGCTGACGTTTTGGATTAATTCAGAATAGAGATTCTTTTTGGGGCATGTATATTTCAAGATAAATAAACTTTCCGACGAATTATTGTCCCGCTTTTGAGTAAAAATCGTTCGGAAGAATAAAATCTAATCAAAAAGTATACCTGCAAATATATTCTTTCTTCGGCCTCAACTTGCGTTTCGTCGGTTTATCCTTCGTCGCTGATTCTGCAAGCTTATGAAAGTCAAATTTCGGCTCGTTGTTGATTTTTTGCGCAGCTTGGTGGCGATTATGATGGTAGTAGGGAGGGTTGAAACATGTCGCTGGGTAGGGCTGGAATCCAAGAGAGATGTTTGTCTGGTACATTCGAAGTCGTCGGATGTTTTCCAAATATGCGAGAGCTAGAAACAAGGTTTTATACGGCGAGCTTTGTAATAAGTTGATCCAACTTATGACTTTCAAAAACAATTCGATTTCTTACTTTGAAGTTGCTCCATAATCTGTGTTGTTTTGTATGAATTCTTGGGATATCGTCTAAAGACTAAAGAAGCTCTGGTAGTCGTCCTGTTGGGGATGTTGATCTCTGCAGATGATGCCAGATGTTCAGCTTTTTCGTAAATACGAAATGGCGCTGCAGGCATGCACAAGAGCAGCGCCGCTTGGACACACAGTGATAAATAATCAGTGCCTCGCTTTTGGGGTGCACAGGCGGACGCTTGAAATCATCATATCATCAGCTGAGTTTGCGAATTTGAGCTATAAATAAGTTTTTGGTGAAAAATATCCGGTTAAGGATTTTTCAGCAATATAATCATTGTGTCAGTTAAATGATAATTAAACAAAAAGACTGATTCGAGACTCATCTTTCATGATCGTTTTTGTGGCAATTCTTATTCAGCTATTAATACAAATCGTAATGAAAATAATCATTTTGCCAATACTTTTAAAGGTAAATGATGACTGTAATACAAATGAAATTCTTAAACCCGGATATTGACTCTCATAAAGAGGAATCAACAATTCTAAAAGTTTGCTCATTATTCAGATTAACGAAGTTGGCTGTTCCGAAAATCATAGAAGAAGCCGCAATCTTTCCCTCAGAAAGGCTTCCTGCATGTAGACTCCTTGGAGACGCATCAACAGTAACCTGGCGCCAGTTGGATTTAAAGAAAAGCGCGCTCCGATAATTTATGTTCTGGGCTGGTCAACCTCAGAGTGACAAGAAAAAAGGTCAGTTATGGTAATTCCGTCTTCCGTTCAGGCCTGCTTAGTCCGCCGCAAACAAAGTTTACCAAAAGCGCAACCAGCACTCTTCAACGAACGAAAACGAACATCACCCGTCTTTGCACAGCTGCTTCCAGTCGTGACACACTAGCTTGAGGCGAGAGCGCGTCAGGGAAAATTTTTCTTCGCTGATTTCCGACGACCGTTTGGGCTACTTTCTTGCGGTGACGGGCTATTTCCGCAAAAGGAAGACCCCTAAAGTTCAAAAAACGAAGAGAGTAAAGTTTTATTTTAGCGATGCAGCGATAACACGAAATTTTTTCCTCAACATTTCGAAATTACGAAGACAAACATATCTTTATTTATAAACAGTATGATAACTTTCCATCGGACAGTGAAATTGCGAGTCTTGAGTTGAAAGCGAACAATCAATTAGATCATTCCGAAGCCAATCGAGTTATCCAGGGCTTTTAATAATCTTTCCTCAAGCAATTCTTTCGACTATAAAATATATCACAAGATAGTATTGAGAAGTATTGAAAACCTGGTATTCTGGTAAAAGTAAGATATTAAAACATGTATGCGCGGATGGAAGGCGATTTGATTCAGGGCCATTCTTTGTTATGGTCATTTTTAGCTTCGCAAGGCCACCGACTGGACATCTATCGGTTCCTGTGAAGAACTCAAGGAGTTTTTTGCGTTTTTCTTAGAATAAAATTTGCCTGAAGGACAATCAAAAAGTAAATTACCAACTGAAAGAGAGTCAAAGACTTCCCAAAAAAACCTGATTGTCTTGTCAAACTCAGCAAATCCTTCGTACCGACATCCTTCCCGAAGCTTGTCCCAATCGTATTCTCGTTCACCGCAAACGAGATGCTCGAGTTGCTTATATTTTGGTTCAATAATTATTAATACTTCTTTTAAAATCATTCAGAAAACCCTCTCCTGAGGTCTAAAAAGTACTTTCAATGGAGACTCATCTGTAACCAGCTCAAAACCACGTAGAAATGCATTGAATTGTTTTTTGATCGACTTGTTGAGAAGCCAATCTGAATAACGAAAGACAAAATCGCTTCGGTTCTCTTCTGTTATCGGAATTTCGGAGCCGTATTGAATAAGCGAGTGGTTGACCGTCTGTCCAAAGACGGTTTTGCGTGAGACTTCGTAAGTCAAGCAAAAGCAGTCCTCGATACTGAGCTCTTGCGAGTCGTACTGTAGCAAAGTGATAAGACTTCTGTAAATAGAAGGGTGCGTGTGTTCCAGGTCTTCAAATAATCCATCGAAGCCAAGAATTTTTTTGAAGAGGACAGGAGGAAAATGAACGTCCATTGTGATGTTGTTGTAAATTGCAAGGCCGAAGAGCATTCCGATGAGCATGTATTCCTTCTCTTCTTCGGAGCCGAATATGGGCGGATAAGGGTTGAACCAGAAATAGTCCGTTTCCTCGTCAAATATGAAAAGCCCATAATCAGGACTAAAGACTCGATCGATAATGAGTCTAAAAAACTCCTTCGAAACACCTCCTTCATCAACTCCTTCTTCGCCCTCGAACTCAATGCAGAGCTGTTTTCGTAAATCATGAGGATGCTCCGCGGCAACCAATTCCAGTTTGAAGAGAGCATCCTCGACAATAAACGCTCTTCGCACTCGAAGAATGAGATAAGGCGACGGAAGTTGATCTTCTGGACTGAATTCAGTTTCTTCCCCAGCTTCGTAGAGTTCGATATCGTGGCGGATTCTATTTAGGACTCGTCTGCGCTCACGGATTTGATTTACCCGATTATCGTAAAACATCGACATGGTTTTTGTCGCGGTATCTTTCAGGGTTGAAATTAAAATTTTTTCTTTTACGTATAATTTTTCTTCAACCCTTTCCCAAAATAAAAGGATAGGAAATCATCGTAAAATTCTTCTGTCCATCTTCAAAATTCAATTTGTAATTCACATAGTCCTTGTCCACCTCTAGTTTCTTATTGATATGAGGGTTGATAAAATCATTATAAGCTATCAACGGTGTCTCCACGATCGACCAGTCCACATTGAATGCTTTTGCAAGGGGGTCCTCTTGGATGTTTTTAATTCGATCATCGGTCTGTCGTTTGCCGCGGAGAATGTCAGCGATCTGATTGTCGAGCTTTTGGATTGAGTTGGAGCGTCGGAGGCGGGAGAGAGGACCTTCGTCTATTTAGCGTTTGATCATGTGATTTAAATAATTATCTTTAACATGGCATATATTAAATTAAGTGATTCTGCGATCGATGCTCCAGAAAAGGATGAAAAATACGGATGAGGGTGTTTTTAGTAAAAACCATAATGGTATCTGTAAGCAGAAAATCTGGGTATTGAATTTTGATCATCATCACCTGCCACTTTTCCGGGCAGATGTGGGGATCCATGGGGGATCGTCATGTCTGTAACCCCTTTATGGGGTGTAGTACCGAATAAACTACAATATATAGAGAAAAATTTTTGCCGCCCCACACGGGGCCCTAATCCGAAACACCCACATCAAAAACCATAAGACCAACCCCACTTGGTGAAGTTGGGGCTGGTGGAAGCCTGTCAAAGTTACTGTTCACTCACGGGCAGGCGTGGGGATCCATGGGGGATCGCCATGTCTGTAACCCCTTCTTTGGGGTGTAGTCTGCAATAAACAATAAACTAGAGAAAAATTTTTGCCGCCCCACCAGGGGCTCTAATCAAAAAAGCACTGAATCAAACACCAGCCTGGAATCGTAATTACCGAGCTGTTACAGCTACTGGTCATTGATGTAGCACTGCTGATGTCGACAATTTCCGAATTTAGGTTTGCCGATTCTCTTGCTCCACCAACGAGCGAAGCAAAAAACACGAGCCTCATCGTTTTCAGCGCATTTTCAATTTGTAAATCATCGTTGAGCAGTTTTTCTGGCGTGTTTTCAAGTACTCGGAAAGTGATGAACTGATGGAGGTTTTGAACGATGGCAGAAAGATCCGTTTTTGGTTTGACTGAGAGTTTTTCGACGATGATTTCCTGATCTCTTTGAGACAAATCGCCGAATAAATTGCAAATAGCAGGCATGGTTCTTTCAAAATACGACTCATTTCCAAGATAAGGATTCAGTAAAAGCTTGAGCAAGGCGACAACGCGATATCCAACGGGAAAAGGCTTCCAATTTTCGGAGAAACAATGGTGGCATGAAAGAACTGTGATGGAGTTTCGAACTGCTTCTTCAAGCAGCGGGTGTTCGTCAATTACTTCGTAGATTCGCAGAAGACCTCCCCAGTCATGTGAGTTAACGTCGGTTATGTCTGTCTCTTCACTTTCCTCGAGTCTAAAGGACATCGCCAACGTCTTGGGACAAGAGAACACAGTTCTAACAAGAGTTCTCAGAGATGTAAGCTTGTTTCTCCTGAGATAGTCGTAAAATTCAAAAATCGTAGCTGGATAAGTGTCGCTGCTCTCTTGTGTTTTCATCATTTCAACGATGTTGGCTCCGAGGGGATCAGTGAGGGCTTCAGAAGAAGGAATTTCGTCAACGACTGGATTTGCAGCTTCGAAGTCATCTTCCACCGCGTCATTTAGAAATGACTCGTATTCTTCTACAGGGCCTTCTGGTGACTCACCACCTGTTCCAATTACAGTAACTTGAGTATCGTATCGTGGTCGTCGTGTTCTGTGTGGGATCGGAGCAGATTCTTCCTGTGGCTCTTCAACAACAATAACTGGCGGTGCAGGAAGCTCTTTACTCGTATCAAATTTCTTGGGCTCTTCGTTCGCCTCAGTGTTGACCTCTTGGTCAAGGTCAGACGCAGTAGCATTAACAACTACTGTACGTGTTCCAGGGAGACCATCAATGGGAGGGTCGATTTTAGGAGGTGGCGAGGTCTCGCCATTTTGAACACATCGAACAGCCTATTCCAATTTTAAAACTTATAATCAAAGAAAAAATAACCTGAGCTGCCGACTCATTCGCCGGAATTCCAGCAGATCGAAAGTAGAAAAACCACTCTTCGACCAATTTCTTCACTTCTTCCTTGGTCAACGACATGATCTCTTACTGTTTATGCTGCCGAGGGAAAATGCTCTGAAGAAATGATATGTTGTTGTTTTAGTCTTGTTTTATACAATGGTCTGCATTGATAAGGTGTCTGTCTTGCCAAAGCTGCTCAAAAGGGGAAAGTCATGCGCCTCGGGCGAGTGCCAAGTCGTGCATCATATGCATGCAGAGCATCTCGTCACGTGATTTCCATGTAGTTCTGGGCAGTATTTTTTTTTAATTAAACAAAGTTAACATCAAGGCTAAAATCTTTTCCATTAGATACTTCCACCCGGAAAAGTCCTTCTTTTTCTGGCCATTCAAATCTCTTCTTGACAGAGAAACCAAGCTCAGGAAAATAGAGTCTATTTCTGTACTTGAAATCTTCAAAAGTCGCTAGAGCCAGTTTCGATCGATTTATCTTTCGAAGAGCTTCTGAAAGATACAGGGCTTTACGATGGGTTGATATGGGAGATTATATAATCATTTAGTATATAAATCAATTAATTATGCGCTTTACGGAACTTTGTTCGTTATTATGAACCCATTACTTTGAGCCGATGATTGGCTCGCTCTTGTCTTATTCTGAAAATATTCCCAGCATCAGCGATGCTCCCAGCTTCTTGTCCTACGATTGAAATTTCTTTTCCATCAGCGACATTTCTCAAAAGCTTCACATTTGAGTACTCGACAAAAGAGTCCAGAGGATTTAAGCATGGCGCGTGAAGAGTGGTCAATTCCGAGAAATTGCTGGGAACAACGAATTGACAAAAATGCTCAATAAACGCTAAAATGTATGAGAAAGTATATGAGATTTGTCCCTACATAGAGTTTTGAAACGTTGGGTAACAAAAGACGCTCCATTTTTCGCCAAAATTGTTCCAGCTACATTCGAAATCAAAGCTCCTAGATATGCAAAACGAATTTCGTCCTCAGAAATTTTAACATCAGACTTGAGCCCATTTTTTCGCTGATAAAACGTTCGAAGAAATGTTTTCTCGTGATCCGTTCCAGGAGCTCCAGTAAATGGAAGATATTGTCGTTGCGCTAAAAGTATCTCATCAAGCAGTTGGTTGTTTGATTCGTGTGAGTTTCTATTGTTGACAATCACTTCTGAATTGAGCACAGATTCGGCGATGATTTCCCAACTTCCATCCGTTTTCTCAAGCTCGATCTCTATCGTCAGGGCCTTCTTGAAATCGTCTCCAAAAGTCGAGCCTTCCAGAACTTCACTTGGAAAGATTTCAATAGTACGATCAGGGAGCACAATTTTCTCTCCACGAAATTTTGCGATGTCTTCGAAGACTGGGAGTATCATATCTGTCAGATCCAAAATATGATATTGAATTTTAACTGAATTCGAACCGAGTTCAATGTTGAACGCAGAGCTAGACGAAATTCTTCTTGCTTCAAATTTTGTGTACGATTTTCTCGGTCTGAGTTTGAGGAATCTCTCTTTCAATTTGGGGTTTATCTTCACAGGAGTACCAGAGAGGCCATTTTCGAAGAGAGCTTGCTTGACATGAGTTGCGAAGGACGCTTTTCCTCCAATCTTATGCGTCGTGATTCCCTTCACTCTTCCTTTTGAGTTTGATCTTTTGAAAGAATAAACAGCTTTTGGGGAGAACTCGAAGAGCTGATGATGCTCGGATTGAAAAAGAGGAAGCTTTCGGGTGGCGATTTCGTGATTTAGCGGGATGAAGAGCTTTTCGAGCTTTTGAGAAGTCGGATGAATTTCGGAGGTTACTTTTCCAGCGATGAGTGGTGAGTCTATGACGATAGTTTCTCCGTTATAAAACTCGAAGATTTGATCGCCTACAAAACCGTGAGCAAAAATATTCTAGTTTAGTGTCACCTGGTAAATGAGCTTTTGCCTTCTCCGGATAAAACAGTTGTCTGCTCATTCCAAGTAGTCTGAGCTCTTTTTCTTCAATCATCGGACACGGCAATAGCGAGATGTGACAGTTGTCCTTCACCCTGTAGCAAAAACCATCTTCATTTACCAAGGCAGAAAGAATTTTCTTTACCGTTCCTCGTCGGATATCTCTCGGGATGAACTTAGATGCTTCGATTGCATTAAAAACTGCTTCTTTTACGTATCTTTTGGATGCTAAACTGCTCCATTCTTTGTCAGGTCGCAAAAGATGCTTGAAATCATCAGAAGAACCAAATCTATTACGAATGTGGGAAGGGTAGGGATCAGCATGAAATATTATCGTTCCCTGATGCAATTCTTCTTCCTCTTCAAGATCCTCTAGCTAATTTCGGTTCGAATCGTTTTCAAAAAACCTAGATGGGAATCAAACAAGAACCGAACTTGACGCGATAATTCTCTTTCCAGTGATCTTTTCCTCTATGTTTTCTACCTATTCTCCCCAAATCAGGAGCCGAAATCTGCACACCTCTCTGTGAAACCTTCCAAATCTGACATGGAACTATTCTTCTGCATTCTCTGGCAAACATCAGAAAATCTAACGATTCTTCCTTCAACTCGGAAAGCTCTAGGCCAATCAAAAAACAGTGCGCGCTAGATAAACTTGCTTGAAATCAAGGAAGAGAACAGAGTGTTTTTGTAAAAAAATGTTTATTGGTTATATTTACAATAAAATATAAAGTTTAAGGCACGGGAGGCTGACTTATTCTTCGCCGAAATGATTTTCAAATTCGCGCTGGCTTGTTGGCTTGTAAGCTTCGATGTACTTTTCTCCAAGTCGCTCGAGATCTTTTTGGTCTCTAATAAACAAGTTTTAAAAGGAGCCACGCTTTGGGTAAGATTACCTAATGACACCCTTAGGAAGATATCCAAGAAGTTGATCAGCATGCTGCTGCAGAATGACTTGTCTCTCTTCCTCAATGATCTGCGCCTTGATTCTAGCTTCCTGGGCTTCGCGCTCTCGCTCGGCGATCGCCTGCTTGTGAGATTCTTCTTTCTTCTCTCGGCGAATTCGGATGAGTTCTTCGACCGCTCGTTTGTGCTCTAGCTGCTTCATTCGGCGCTTTTGAGCGTTCATTTGCTCGATTCGGTCGTCCTCAGCGAACTTCGCCATAATTTGACTAAACAACGATTAATTACCTTCCATGAGAAGCTAAACTTACGCTCTGTAGAGATTCTCCTGAGCCTGCTCAGCGGCTTGTCGCTCCTGCTTCATTTGAGTCTGGAGCTGATGGACACGCATGAGCTCTTCTCGATCGCGGATCACCTTCTCGTCGCGCTCCTTCTCAGCTTGCTTGGCGCGCTCTTCTTGCTCATTCATAGCCAACTCGCAGACGAGCTTTTCGAACTCTTCCTGTTCTTGACGAATTGCCTTGAGCATGTTTCCAAGTTTTTCTTAAATAAAAACTATCATTTTCTCTTCCTCAAAATGTTACCTTGGCAGTATTCCTTGGCAGCATTGTTGTCTGCTTTTTTGGTCTCTGCCTGTTGCTGCTGCTTATCTTTTTCTGCTTTGTATCTAGCAACACGCTCATCTTCTTCTTGATTACGTCTCTGAAGAAAAACTAGACATAGAGAAAGAACAACTGTACTTACGAGTTCTTGCGCTCGCCATTCAGCCTGCTCTTGTTTGAATTTCTCGATATACTGGCGCTGCTCTTCTTTCTTCTCGATTTCAGCTTCTCGCGCGACTCGATCTTCTTCTTGGATCTTCTGGATCATTTCGTCGCACTGGCGCTTCTCCTCGAGATAGTCAAAGTAAGCGCGCTCCTCAGCCTCCCGCTGCGCGATTAATTGACTGCCAAGTTCGCTCTTGTAGCAAATCATCTTCTTCTGCTTCTCTTTTTCGGCTTGTTCCTCGGCCTCCTGATGCTCCTTTTGGCTTTGCTCAGTGAGAACGATTGACTAAAAGAGTTAAATCGACAAGGAGAATAAATGAACAAATCTTACCTGGATTTCTTCGACGATAGCCTCCTGCTGGCGCTCAATCTTCTCGAGGATCTGCTTTTCTCGCTCCTTGTTCACATATCCTCGGACGAGCGCCGATTTCAGCTGCCGAAGCTCTTCGGACTCTTCCCGAACGCGCTGACGGAGCTTCTCGTCCTTGAATTTTTCCATCTTTTGTGCCTTAGAGAAGAGGATTTTTTAAAACTAAAGAGCATCCGTCGAAAATTTCAAAAGTCGACTTTTCCAAAACATGTTCTAGAGACGATTAAAAACAAGGGATGATTTTTTAATTTTGAATTTTTGTCACCAGTTCGAACAAATTTTGAGCATCAGAGCAGTCTCTAGATGAGTTTATCGTTCATTTATTGATATCAAGTTAATCAAGCAAATTCCCAGATTCTGAGGGAAAAATGACCGTTCCAGATGTCACAGCTGGCCAGGAAAAGAGCCCGAGAAGTCCCATTCTTGTGAAAAAGGAGATAATATGGAGCTCTTCACAGGGCTGCCGAAAAATGAAGATGCCAGTGGAATCGACATGCAGTTTGGATTCAGACTACGATATCGAAGAACGTCCCTTATTCAATGATAATCCAGAGCCAAGTGGTGCTACAGAAATGCTTCAAGAAGTATTGAACATGAGTACTGAAGGAGATTTGCTCGAAGATATCCCGTCGGAAGAGATCTTTTCCTTCCTGGAGGTAATTTCTTCAACGCCCGCGGCGCTCTTCCAGCTAATTATCCTCCGCAGCGCTCCTCCGGCTCTTTCATTGATCCAAATCTCTCCACGCTCGATAAAATTCCCCCTTGACAACTGACCCGTCTTTCGCTCAAATTTAAGTTGTAAACAATCTTTTCAGAGAAGAGAAATCGAAATGGAAGTTCAGAAGAGAAAAATGGCCTCGAAGTGGATTATTGACACTCCAAGTCCAAGAGAACGCGAATTACCAGCTCCCGTCGGTTTTTCCAGGGAGAGAATGGCTCTTGCTCAAGCTCAGGCTAATCAAAAGGTTTGTGCATCTTTCAAGAAATCATCCAATAACTCTTGTTTCTTAGAACGGGCCGGATCAAGCTCTACTTGATAAGCGAAATTGGGACATTGCCTTGAAAAACTTCAAATCTCTTCCAATGACCCTATTCATGTTTTACATGATTGGTGACTCTATCAACATCATGCCCATCCTCATGATCGGTGGCTATCTATTCAGGTATGATTTACTTTTCTTCGGTGAATAGAATTCGTTTTAGTAACTTGATGGCGCTCATGAAGATGAAATCCGTGGTCGATCAGCTGGCGAAAAACTCCCCTGATCATTACATCCTGCACATTACAGTTTGGTTTCTTGGGCAGCTCACGGCAATCGGTAAGTTTTTTTAACCACTTTAGCCACGGGTTAGAGTATTGTACTTATTTGACACTGAATCTCCACATTAAAAATTTCCGTAGGTGCCTTGATGTGGAAATGTAACCGCATGGGCCTACTCCCGACTCATCCCTCTGACTGGCTTGCTTTCCGAGACCCGATTATCAACATGCACGAACTCGCCGGAGGCCATGCCGAGCTCTGAAATGCCTCTTCCTCAACTCTAGTTTAATTCTACTTCTTCACGAATGCATTTATCAAATAGAAACACACTCAGTCAAGTCAATTTAGAATCTTACACTTTCGCTTATTGTCTGCGCAAGAATCAATGTTGTGATCTAACGTAAAACATGTTCAAAACTAATCGAAATATTCATCCTCTCTCGTATTCAGACAATGTTTGCGGACGTGAAAAGGATGGGACATTCCCAACAAGCCAGGCATCGACAAAGAGAGCAAGGTAGAACTTTACGCTCGTTAATTAACTCATTTGGTGATTCTAGCGTTTCTGGAGCAGCAGCAAACGACAGCAAGAAACCACCGAAACGACAACATAACTCGCCTCGGGGCTCAAATGGACGAGCGTGCCCAAAACAAACGCTGGGTTCAGCAGCAACACGCGCAGCAACAAGAACTAGCGATGGAACAAGCGATGCTAGAGGAAAGAGCTCTTCGCGAGGCACAAGCGAAGAAAGAAGCTCAAGAAACAGCACTTGCAGCAGAATTGGCGAGGCAAAAGACGGAAAAGCTTAGAGACGAGAAGATGCGACAGCGGGTTAGGGAAGAGTCGGAAGAGATTAGACAGCTGAGGAGTCAGTTGGAAGCGGCCTATACAAATAGAGAAAGAGAAAAACAAGGAATGGGTTCAATGTTCATCTGAAAAACCCCTTTCCCTATGAGATTTAATCGATAACCTTAATCAAAGTCGCTGAAAAACGCAAAATCTACGAACAAGAGCTCGACGAAGAAGTCAAATTCATCGCCGAAACCCAGCGCGAGCTCGAAGCCCACGCAGAATCTGCCAAACAAATCGAACAGAGCAAAATCGTCGAAACAGAAAGATACAAGCGAGAGCTTGAGGCACAAGTCATCGCGCAAAAAGAAGCTGAAGAAAAGGCGTACATTGAGTATCTCAAAGAAAAAGTTATCATCGACGAAGTCGTCAGGAAGATTTATGAAGAGGATGCAAGGGCAAGAGAGGTTGAGATGGCGAAGAAACAGGAGCAGCGAGAGTATATACAGCAGTTTCAGAGGGAACAAGCACTCTGGCAAGAGCAAGAAAAGGTATGTAAATGGTAACTAAAGTTTTCTCGCTAAGAAAGACCTTCTTTCTTATTAATCCAGCTGAATTTCTTTAAAAATTAAATAAATCGCTTCAGCAACGCTTGGCCGAAGAAACTGAACGCATCAAGAAGTATCAACTCCAAAAAGAAGCCGAAGAAGCTGGCCGCCAAACAAAGCGAGCCGAAGAATCTGCAGCAAAAGAACATGTTCAAAGTAATCTCTTTCTTCCCAAAATAAGTTTCTAACGAACTATTAGATCAACTGGCAAAACAACTCGAAAGCATCAGAGCGCAGCGCGATGAGTACGAAGATATTCTTCGTGAGCTGGCACTCAACGAGCAAGAAGAAAAGGCGCGACTTGAAGAAATTGCAGAGATGGAGAAGAGAATCAATGATCGACTCGAGCTCCAGCGACATCGGGATCTTCAGATGAAGCTCAAAGAAGAGCGCCTTCTCGCTGCGATGGAAGAGGAGGAAGAATATCGAAGGTAAAATAGTGTTGGTGTATTTTACTTAAATTTCTGAAGACAAATGATGGAGAAATTCGCAGAGGACGACCGAATCGAACAAATGAACGCTCAAAAACGACGAATGAAACAGCTCGAGCATAAACGAGCAGTTGAAGAGCTCATTCAGCATCGACGAGAGCAGCACAAGGTTTGCAAAAGGCCCTTCTCGGTTACTTTATGCGATTCTAGCGCGAGCACGAGGAAGAACTTGCCGAACGCGAGCGAGAAAAGGCTGAAGCTCGAAGAAGAGCGGAAATCATCGAGGAAGAAAGACAGAAACTTCTTGCGGCGCATGCGAAAAATGTTCTTGGATATTTGCCCAAGGGCGTCATCAGGTAAAAAGCTCCTTTGTTTGCCCATGTCTTCAACCCCATTTTTCTAGAGACGGAGACGATATCGCACGCCTGGGTACAGCTTACGCCGATGCATACGCTCCTACGACTCGTCGAGATTTCGAAGCTCAGTATATCACCGACAATTAATCAAGTCTTCGCTAACCATTTAACTCGCCTTTTTTATAATCTGTCTTCCCACATCTTTTTTTACACTGAAAGAGTTTATTTTTTTATTTCTTATTTATATCTTCACATTCAAGAATTCACGAAAATAAATTATAGTTCACAAAAGAAGTGGTGGCTCTACGGGAGCTACCGATTTGGCGGTAGCGGTTTTTTAATAACGCAAGAAGTAAGGGCACGCATGAACGGAAGGGTTTCTATCGCAGGCCAACTTTGAATTAGAAGGACTTATTGTTGAGTGTATTCAAGGCTACTACTGTAGGTATTACCAGGTCAACGTGAGCAAGATTTTCAATGGAGCCCAAGCCAACGATGTTAGGATTAGAGGTCCGCAGAGATTAGAACACGAGCCCAAATATACGGACTTGCGTTAGGTGAACATCCGTTTCAGAAAATCCAAAATCACTTCCGAGAATCTCAAGAGCAATTAAAAAAATAATAATATATTACAAAACTACCATAAATAAATAATTGCCATGTTTAGGTAAAACTTCTCTTGAATAACAAGGAATTATTTTTTCTTCCTAGAAATGCCGGCTATCCATTTTCGTAAGCAATAATAAGCAGATTTCTAATCAAGCAACGTGTTCCTTTGAACGTAAGTTAATCAACCACAGACATTTCTTCTAATACTTCTCTATCGAGTTGATCACAAAGTTCACCCCTTCTACTGGTGGCGCTCTCCTTTCCCCCGCGCTGGAAGTTTCGCTTATGTAACTCTCCATAAAAATTTCAAAAGCGTCAAATAATGAGGTTTTATTTCATTTTCTTTGCACAAATTACAGCAAGAGACAGGTCGGATTGTTTTTACACCTCCTCCTGGTCTGAATGGAGTGAGTGTTCTTGGCTTTGTGGACCAAATGGAACGAGAGAAAGGACAAGAAAAAAGAACTGTTCGGGGAAAGTCAGTCAGCAGAGAGAAAATATACCATGCAATAATGTTTGCTTCAACGGAGGGAGATTCAAAAATGGTGAATGTAAGTGCTCAAGTGGAACAGCAGGAATTTGCTGCGAGAGATTCGTCAATCCAGGCGATGACGACAACAGATGCTCAAAGTGGTTTTCTCCCCCGAAAAATGGCAAGTTAAAGTGCTCGAGAGACCCGACTAGCTCATGGGATTGGGATTGTCGGCCAAAATGTACGAATGGCTTTTCAACTCTTCTACCGCTTCCGAATCGAGTTTTCTGCACCTCTGAAAAGCTTGAAATGGCTCCGAGAAGAAGTTCTCTAGTCGATCAAGCGTGCACAAAATCAGAGCCAGCTACCGTTCTTAAATTTTCCGCGGATTTGATTTATGTCAGGAAAGGAATAAAAATAAGCATCTAGCAGTTTTTAAGTTTCTTCTTTTGTTGATTCCGGAAAAGCACAATCGAGCCTGCGGTTCTTGAGTCAATGATCCTATCAGAAGACGCTGAGATGGCGGTTCCACAAGGCCTCCTTGACACGATTAATTTTCAGTGCCGCAAGAAAGCCAAAGAATATTACGGTACTTTCAAGTTTGACTACGCACTGGCCGTTGAGCTTGGTAATGTGCTTAGCGTCTCGCCAGATTTTAACGGAAGTAACAGACGTCGTAGAAAAGCAATGGCGTATTTCTACGACAGCTATTATTATTTCGGAGATGATCCAGTGGCCGCTTATGAGGATAAGTATCAGAGTCAAGGGTTCAAACATTTCTCAAACAAAGAAGAAGACATCATGCTGTTCGACTTGGCTTTGGATCTGCCAGAATTTGAAGTCGCTGAAGGAGAAACTGATTCTGGGCGGAGCGCAGTTTACGGTCTCCCGTTTTCTGTGCGGTTGAATATGACACTCTCTATTCGCGGAAGAAGGAATTTGAACTTGCAGCAGCAAAACTTGGCACATGAACTCTTTCAAAACTGCACAGCGGATTTGAAAGAGCATTTTGAAGGAGAAATCGCCACTGATGAAAACTTAGTAACTGCTGGCGACAATGTCGCTTCACAAATGGAAAGCTCAGACATTTTATGGAATTGTCCTCAAGGAGAGGTTCAATAAATTTACATTGATTATCAAAATATATTTCAATTAACCTTGATAAGGATATCAGCTGACTCAAACAGCCGAATCGTTTGTCTGCAACAAATGTCCCGAAGGAACTGTTTATCACGAGAAAAGATGCATGACCTGCGAGCTCGGAAGTTATTCAAATGACGGAACGACTTGTAGATCGTGCGGCGCCGGGGATCTGACGAAAACATATCTTGCAACTTCGGAAGCGGATTGTTTTACTCCTTGTTTAGCTAAAGCGCCAACCCAGTTTCTCTTTTTAATGGATGATCAATTGAACGAGGAAGATTTGGAACTTGTTAGCGATTATTTCTCAGGGGTATTTGAAGGAATTCAATTGATTGATAATTAAAGAATTTTAGTTCTTCAACATCACATGCAGATCGTCTCTAAATTGTGCAAAATTTGGAGTTTTAAAACAACAGAACTCAGGATTAAATTTTAGCTTCACTCCGAACTCATTAAACCTATCAAGCTTATTCAAGAAAAAGTCAAAAATTCGTGCTGATGCTAAAAATCAGTCGAAAGTTCTTAATAAAATTTTCAAAACCAAATTATCGACAAGTAAAAACGTTGTTGTCTTTCAAATTGGAAACTTCAAATCTCAAGATTTGACAGTTATAAATAAGATTTTCAAAGAAACGGCCGACTCGATCATAACAATTTCGACAAGAAACAGAAGAAATGAAGATATCTTTCAAAGTGTGAAAGATAAAAACGACATAATTTTGTTGACTGAATTCAGGGAGATAAGATCCCTGGCAGAAACTATCTCTGAACGAATTTGCGCTTCTTTTTAAAGGCTGAAATATATTTGTACATACGCAAAGATCATTTAGTTATGCATATTTATTGAAATAAATTAGCGAAAGAAATAATGAAGGAGAGAATGAATCCACCAATTGGATTATCAATAAAATTAGTGAATAGCGTAGTAAGGTTCGGCATCGCAAGCTTTGTTGTTCATCTGGGTCATCATGAAGAAGATGAGTTCTTGGTTGTTGTCAGTGTTGCCCAAGAGCATAAGGGGAATCATCATGTCGGGTCCGAATGCAGTATTCGGAGCCTAGTAATGAAATTGATAAGGGGCTTTAAAAGATATTAACTTACATTAGCTTGCATAGCGATCATCACAGTCATAAGATCTCGTTTCTGTTTCTCGCAGGCGTCGTCGTTGCAATCTCGCATGACGAGAGGAAGGAGCATATTGAAGTTGTTGTTGAATGCATTGACATCTTGCGCATCAGAAGTCATCATGGACATCATAACCCAGAAAAGAAGTTTCTTGTCGTGATCAAACTGACCATCCTCGAAGACCATTTCTTCCATGAGCAAAGGAAGCATCGAAGAGGTGTCGAGTCCGCTTTCTCCAGAGGCCATGAAGGTCATGATTGTCAGAATGCTCTGGATATCCAACTGGTCATCAGCGTCTTGGGTGGCGTTGTGGGCAGCTTCGGTCTTTTTTAGAAGCATTGGCATGAGACTGTTCATTCTTTGGGCACCCATGTTGTTGCAGTCTTTTCGGAACATGTTTGTCATCAACATCAGAGTTTTGTAGTCGACGTCGTCATCTTCAGCGTTCATCAGGTAAGAAACAAGCTGCTGATTTTCAGCTTTCTCGATGAACTGGGGATCTTGCATCATCATCATCATCAAGAGCTTGATGTTTTCGTTAGTCTTAGCATCCATAAGAAGCATCGGAAGAATCATCTTCATCTGCTCAGCCTGGTCGAACGAAGCGTCTTTGAAAGCAGGGTTCATCAAAACCATGAGTTTGTCAGAGTGATCGTCACCGAAATTGTTGACGAGGTAGTGCTGTGCCATGTTCATCCCTTGGGCGAGGCCGGCGAAAAGAATCGGCAAAAACTTCATTTTCTCTTTTTTGGTTTCTCTTTTTTTTTAGTCTGAGTGCGATTGATAATGAAAATGAACGGAGCGGTTGGTTTTTATACGAAATGCGATTTGGTACACTGATCACAGGTGGCCCAGAATTTGGCACGTTCCGGGTTAATCGTCCGAGTGTAAAAATGAGATTTAGAGCGTGATGGCGATCGCTAGAACTCTACCGTGAAATAATTTTATGATGGCTATCAGAAGTACCTTTCTAAGAGATTCATATTGAAGAAGAAATTGCTTTTAGAAATAAAAGTACAGTAATTGTTTAATTATAGTCCGCATGGTTTGACTTGAACTTGTTATTCTGAAAAGAGGACTGAATTGCCAATCAGCGTTTTTCACCCGGAGACAGGACAGATCTCCCTCCGAGCACGAATCGAGGTCAATGTGCTAACTCCAAACAAATCAGCGTTTCACTCCATTTTTTGGCCGTAAAAGAGAAATGCCTTTTTTCAGAAACAGATGCAGTGGAGGAAAAGTGAAGACATTCTTGCTAGAATTGCTTCCAATTATTCAATGGCTTCGAAAATATACCTTCGCTTTTGCGCTAAATGATTTTATCGCTGGCACAGCTGTTGGACTTACTGTTATTCCACAGGGCTTGGCATATGCTTCTATTGCTAGGCTTCCTGCTGCCTTTGGCTTATATTCGGCATTCATGGGACCGATGATTTACTGTATTTTTGGAACGAGCAAAGACATTTCTCTTGGACCAACTGCGATCATGTCTGCTTTGGTTGCAGCCGCTTGTGCAAGACCAAGAACATGGCCAGCAGAGCTAAATCATCCGATGGATCACATCTCAGATCCGAATATCGCCGTAACTCTTTCATTCTTCGTGGGAATCATTCTAGTCGCCCTCGGCCTTGCTAGACTTGGATTCATCGTCAACTTCATCTCCCACCCAGTAATTACTGGTTTCATCTGCGCCGCGTCGGTTACCATTTCTACTGGTCAAGTCAGGGTTCGGTAATTTGAGCTCAAGCTAAAACTCATTTTGGCTAGACGCTCAAATATCCTCAAATTGAGAACTCAAAGTGACTTGAGAAATCATTTTGAGAAGATTTGAGAGTTTTGAGAGTTCTGAGTTTTTGGGAGATTTGAGAGTTTTGAGTTTTCAAAACTCAAATTAAGCGAGCGCTTCCTTGATTGGCTCATGGATCGCCAGAATTGATTTCTGACGCGAGCTCTCATCTCTGAGTTCTCAAAACTCAAATTAAAAAACGTGAGTCTCAAGCTTTGTTTCCTTGAGTTTTAGCGTGAGCTCAAATTACCGAACCCTGGGTCAAGTCAAAAAGCTTTTCGGTCTTCATCTGACAACCTCCGAATTCTTCGTAGAAATATGGGAAATTTTCAAAAACATCAAACACACGAACATTTTCGATTTTCTCGTCGGCTTTTCTTCCATGATTCTCATCTTTCTGATGAAATTGGCGAAAACAAAATTCGCTGACGATGAGAACAAACCAAAATGGCTGCGTAAGATTTTTTGGTTTTTCGGAACTGCTCGAAATGCTATCATCGTTATCAGTTTTGCAGTTATCTCATACATCGTAAACCACAATCTCATCCAGGTGCTTGATTCAAAAATCCGTGATAAATTTAAAATCTCAGTACTGGGAAGAAGGTTGCCCTGATTCATCTCCCGGAAAGGCAAACTGCACAGTATTCACGCTGACGAAAATCAATAAAAATGCCACCCTTCCTCGGTTTGCCCTCCCTACTTGGGATTACTACTACAAATGCGATCCGAAGGATCCAACTGATGCATGCTCACACGACGGACATTATCATGTGACTCTTGGAAGGGTTGTTTCTGCTCTTGGAAGCTCTTTTGCTATAATACCAATGATGGCATACTTGGAATCAATCTCAATCGCTAAAGGCTTTGCTCAGAAGAACGACTACAGGTAGAATCGCACATGAAATTCAGTTATTTCATTACTAGGATTTCGACTTCACAAGAACTCGTTGCCATCGGCATGTCCAATTTCGCTGGCGCATTCGTCAGTTCTTACCCAGTCACTGGTTCTTTTTCCCGAAGCTCAGTCAACAATCAATCGAATGTTTCGACACCAGCTGGTGGAATCATGGTCGGAGTTTTAGTAATTTTAGCGCTTGCCTTCTTGACTCCAGCTTTTGAGTACATTCCTGCGGCTTGTCTTGGGGCAGGTATTGCATTGAGCTCATGCTGATTAAGAGTTAAACTTTGGCAAGTTATAATCATGGCGGCGTCTCAAATGTTCGATTATGCTGGGTGCGTCGAGATCTGGCGCATCTCGAAGCTTGACTTTGTCGTTCTCGCTGTTACTTTCATTGGATGTCTTTTTGATACTGCCGATGGGATCTTGATTGGTGTTGCGATGCATCTCATTATCCTGCTCTTCAAATATGCCTACCCGAACATGTCTGATTCTGTCGACGAAAATGGAGTTCTAACGATCTCATTTGAAAGTGATCTTTATTTTCCATCTGCCGAGAAGATTTCTGACCAAACCATTCTCTTTCAAGAGCTGTATAAATCTCAGGTTAGTTTCTCCTCATGAAATAGTACTAAATGCTGCCGAAGGTTATCAAATTGGACTTTACGAAAGTCGAAAGAATAGATTCTGCTGCATCTCAAAGTGTCAAGAAGACGATTGAATCACTGATCAAAAAAGATCTTGCTGTCTCCGTAGAAGGCAACATGGACGACAAAGTGATGGAAAAACTGAAAGCAGCGGGAATCTTCGAATTGCTTGCAGAAGCGCCTAATCAGGACCGAGAAGATAGTCTTCCAATAGGTAAGTAAGAGCTTATCCGACAAAGTTGTGTAATCAAGATTATAGAAGACTGTCCAGAACTGGAGGACGAAGAATCAGACGACAAAGAGGTCAGAAAATCTGATCAAGCTGAGACCGACTTCGAAAATAACAACGAAAACATGCCAATTTGAGGGAATTCCTGCAAGCCTATTTTTACTTTAATCTGTATATAAACTACGATTTTCAATAATGATCAACTAATGATTCATTACTGTGTTTCAGGACTTCTATTCGTGATTTCATTTTATTCTTGTTCATTTGTGAAGAAGGGAAAAAAGTCTAGTTGAACTTACAAATTAGCCTAAGGAAGGGAGTGTGTGGCAGTCAGGGTTGGCTTGGTATTTTTACTTCCCAAAGGAGAAGCCACCACTTTTGGCAGAGGTCGTGGAGGCGCCTCCAAAGAGGCTTCCGGACGCTGGCGTACTCGTGTTGTTACCAAAGGAAAAGCTGCTGGTGCCCTAGATAGAATCATGGAAAAATGACTAACACAGACATGTTACGACTTTGTTGGCTGTGTTCCCGAAAAGGCCTCCGCCAGTGTTGTTCGTGCTGGTGTTCCCAAACAGACTCCCACCAGTGCTGCTCGTAGTTGTGTTCCCAAAGAGACTACCTCCAGTATTTGTGCTCGTATTGCCAAACAGACCACCAGGCTTGCTCGCTGTGTTTCCAAACAAACCGCCGCCAGTAGAGGTTGTATTGCCGAAAAGACCGCCACCAGAATTCGTGTTGTTCGTGTTGCTGAACAATCCTCCTCCTAGAGAGTGATTAGTCGTGGCACAATGGCTTATTTTACCTGTGTTGGCAGTGCTTGTAAATCCAGTGTTCGGAGGTTGGTTTTGGGCTTGTTGATTTTGAACTGATAATTGAGCTAGCGCGAGAACAGACAGATTCGATAAATCAGCGAAGGCAGATGGACCGGTCTTTTCAACGACTAAAATTTAACTTGCAGATTGGGAGTAGTATAAATGAATTACCTTTTGGCTTATTTTTATCAAGAAAAGGATCTGAAGTATCTCCTCGAACTTGTCTCCTTAAATTTTATGTTTTGTTTTAGTTCAGTCGTTGATATTACCTGTAATTGAGGTACTTCTGCTTGACTTTTTCTAACGCTGTGATTATAATTTGAACACCAGCTGCTAGGGCGATATATGTTTGGTGAATTTTTTCTAACGCCATCGGCAATTCAGATAAAGCTGAAAACAACGATGGAAGGTCGTATTTAATTGGATTCTGTACCTGTTTCGCCTCCAACAGCGAGATGAGCCTCTAACTGGTCGATTTGACTTCTGTAGATCATGAGTTTGCGCTCGAACTCGATCGCGAGATCGTGAAAGTATTTCGTGGGAAGGTGATTCTCGTATTGATGCGATGGATGGGTATCATTTGTTCTTGGATCATAAGTAAAAGGATCGAATAGAAACTTACCTTTGAGCCATTTCAATATGATTCTGCAATTCAGATGCTTTCGCGGAGATGAGACCAACTGAAGTTTCATCCTTTTGCAGGCTCGTTTTGAGCGCACGAACCATCAGTTCCAAGCTCGCTGTATTCTCCTTGATTTTCATCAACTGTCTTTGACTGAATTTGGCGACTTCAGAAGACTCCTCTTTTTCCTTTTTGATGTGGCTCTCCAACGCAGTGACGAGTGTTACAATTTCAGGATTCACGTGCTGGTCTTTGATCGGCTTTGCTGCTGGCGTGGCTGCTTTTTCGGCTTCTTTTTTGTCGTTGTATCCAGCACCGCCAAGACCGATTGGCGCCGAGGTAGTCGTTGTAGTTAGCGGAGTAGGCGCCGTTGTGGCCGCAGTGGAAGTCGCCCCGAAGCTAAGGCCACCTGGTTTTGCGCCTCCAAAAAGCGATGGAGCAGTTGTTGTTGTGCCGGAGAAGAGAGAAGGGGCAGTAGAAGTTGCTGCAGTGGAAGTTGTCGCTGTAGAAGCAGATGCACCGCCGAAAGAAAAGCCAGAAGTGCCTCCTAACGTAGCAGGAGCAGCACTTGTCGTAGCAGTGGCTCCACCGAGAGAAAAACCAGAGGCGGTGGTTTTAGGAGCTGTTGAACCGCCAAGAGAAAAACCAGAACTTGGTGCAGAAGTTGTACTTGCACCGAACGAAAGCGTCGATGCTGTTGTAGTTGCAGCTGCTGCTCCACCAAAAGAGAGAGTTGGAGCTGTCGTGGTAGGAGCAGCCGTCGAAGCTCCACCGAATGAAAATCCGCCTGTTTTTGCTGCTGGAGCGGGCGTGGAACTAGCCGCTGCGCCACCGAAAGAAAATCCTCCCGTAGAAGAAGTGGTGTTCGTCGCTGGAGTTGAACTAGCACCACCGAAAGAGAAAGAAGGAGTAGGAAGAGAACCGCCAGTCGAGCCACTGGCGGTCGTTGTCGACTTCCCAAAATTGAACATTCTAATTTTTGAAGCTTTATCAACGTTTCTTTTAGATTCGAGACATTCTACGAGAACGGAAGAAGAAGGAAAACGACACCTGAGTGGATGACAAAATGCTGCAGCTTTTAAAAATTGGTTTGATTAATCACTAAAGTAGTATCAGAAGTAAAAAATGATTCGTGGAAGTATCGAGGTTATTCTTGTATTGCACAATGTTTAAAAATGTCTTGTTAGAGTCGAGTTTGAAAACTGGAAAGAACTGTCAGAAGCTGAGGAAGTAATAAGGCAAGAAGTTTGATATCATGTTATTTCGAAGTTTATCTGTTATTTTCTTTGATAAGGGTATTAATATAAATATGTTCAATATGTACAGGTATAATTATGTTTATGGCGGCGAAGGGATATGATTTCGGTCAGAGTGGACTTTATTCGAGCATTAGCTGGGCCATGTTTTCTTTGAGAACTGATAAGGGTTCATTTATTTTGACACAAGATCTGATAAAAAATATTCCTGTGTAAGGATAAAAAATTGTAGAGATTGTAAACCCTTGCTCCATATCTTTGACGGCTTCGAAAACCTTCTTTATATTCTCGGTGTCGATTGCAACTGTAAAATGATGGTAAAGACCCAGATCATCGCGAAAGTTTCCTTGCTCGTCGGGTGTTTCTAATCTGCACTGAGCGGTGGCATAGAACAAGTCGCGGAAGAAATTCTGAATCAGTATTGTTCGCTGAACAAGGAACAAGAAAGAAACCTGAACATCTTTGACATTGAGGGGATCGCCTTTGAAGGGCGTCGCGAAGTAGTCCGTCACTTTGATTCCCTCCTTGATTTTTTCTTCGAGCAAGTCGCATTTGTTGAAGAAAATAATGATGTCTCGATCTCGGAAGGCTTTTTGCTCGAGAATATATTTGAAGACCTAAGAAAATTTTCCCGGGGAGCCAAAAAAGCGCCACTTACTTTGAGAGATTCTATCACTCTATTTGTATTTTTATCTTCAACGAGTGTCTGATCAAATTCAGATACGGCTACGAAAAAAAGAACAGTGTTGATCGAGTTTTGAAAACACTGAAACCACTTTTGTCGCTGCGTCCTTTGGCCTCCGACGTCGATGAAAGCAAATGGCACTTTTTTGATGGTCACTTCGGTTTCGGAGACGACATCGGTTCGTCTACGCGCCCATAAGATGTCAGACTAATCAAGGGGTTAGGATCGGGAAAGAGAAAGGAACTTGTACCGAGTTCGGATGATAATCATGCTGCATTATTCGCTCAATATTCTCCTCGGCCATGTAATATCTAATTGACTCGCCGAGCTGAAACTGTGACCTCATCGAGAACACCTCCTGGATCGCCTTGTCCGCCCATAATTCAAGTAGGCCAGAGCTGTAATTGGAAAATGTGGCAGGATTGAGCTCCTTGCTTTTGTCCCAATCTTGAATCTTTGCTTTATAGTTCGCATTGGATTCCTTCTCAAGAGTGATGGCAAACGACTGAACAATATGAAAACTAGCTAGGAAGAGATTCCTACCTCAAGTGCGTCGATCAGAACTTTCATGCTCCTTATAATATTCATATACACAACGGAGCGAAAATTCAACCTCTCTAGCGTTGTAAATCCATCCGCATGGACGATTCTCATCTGTTTCAAAAACGTACTCTTTCCACTTTCGCCCGTTCCAAGCAGTAGAATCCGGACTTGTTTTCTCAGTCGACTTTTTTCCTTTCGCAAAGCCTTGTCGATTTCTTCATTGCGCTTGCGAATAGCTCGTTCGTTTTCATCTTCGTGGCATGGAACAATCGACCTGAAACCTTCTCGTCTCCTTGTTTTAGCAATTAATTTCTTACCTGAGCCAGTCTGGCAGACAGGCCCAATTGATCATGAAGTGATTTATTTTCAGGACATTCTTTTCTGACTTCGATTTAGGGAAGGCCTTCTCATTTCGCAGCTCTAAATCGTGCAAAATTAAGATTTCGTGAATTGAAAGATGAATTTTTCGAATCGCCCCTAAATCATTCAATGACCTTAGTTGGGGACTTTTTGGAGGCACCTTGCGATGAAGAATAGGATGAAAAATAGCAAAAGAAAATATAAGTTTCAGGACAATAGAATAATACAGGTAGGCACAGATATTTGTGGTAATACATGGAAATAGTGGAGCACATAAGACTTGAAAACGTACGAGATAAGAAAAAATACTTTGAATCGATACAGTAATCACGAATGGTACGACAGTGGTACCACTCGCAAAAAAATTGAGTTGAAGACTTGAAAATTCTACTGGCTGTTTGTTTTTTGGCATTTACTCTTCGTATGCCGGGTTGTCCTCGCCGTCTAAGAGGTCCTGATCGGCCGCCTCTCTTTCCAAACGTCTAAAAATGTCAGTCTAATCCGCCTTCGCGCATAAAAACAAGCCAACCTCATTTTGATTTTGTTCACATTGCATTTTCCATTTCTGACTTTATCTAAAATAATCAGCGCCAGAGCAGCAATCGCAGAGACGGCCACTGAGGCAAAAAAGAATCCCTCGATTTGCTTCCAAATTTGATTCTTGGCAATCGCGCCAATAGCGATTGACACAAGAGCCAAGCCGAGATTCTGCCAGGATTGCATGAAACCATAGGCGGTTCCAAGCTGGTGTTTCTCGACAAGGAGAGAGACCATCGGCCAAAGAGATGATGCAAGCATAGAGTACCCGATGCCAATGCCGACAACACCAACCCAGGGGGTGAGGCTTGTTACATAGCCGAGAAGAAGATGACAAGAGAGAACAATCACATTCGCGAGGAAGACCCAAGACGCGTTGAAACCGACGATATCGATGATAAGACCAAAGATAGGTGCTGAAGAACAATTGAATAATATAGAACCTCGAAGAGCTTACCTAATGGAGCAGACATAATATATATAATGGAGTTCAAGGCTGCCGCTTCAGCAGGGCTTAATCCAAAGACAGACTGATAGTAAGGTAAAGCAATTGCCACGAATGGAAAGACCGAGGCATAGAACAAAACGCAAATGATAGTGACAAGCCAGAATTGCGCCGGGAATTTGAATACGTCTAAGAGCGAAACCTTCGCTTCTTCCTCCTCTTCTCCGTCTTCATTTACCTCTTTTTGCGCTTTTATAGGGTTTATCTCAAGTCCAAACCTTCACAAATATTCTCATACCTTCTCAGTCGAATATCCTCAAGGAATATATCGATATTAATCCCTTTCCTAGAGCTCCTTGTTTCTCAGCATTACGATCCATAGCAGCAATTATGGCAGTGCAAATAAATGAAAACACACAAGTACTAGCAGCGATAAGCAGCGCCATGCCAAGGGTTCGATTGCCGTACGTCATGAATTCCATGCACTTGTTGTACAGCGGCACCATGACGTTCATATTGACAGTACTTCCCACACGAGCCATCGACAGCTGGAGACCGAAGACTTAAAATAATTTCTCTATCTTTCTCTTGTAAAAAACTGTACCAAGATTGAGAGTAGAGCCAGAGAACCATCGACAAGTGTAGGTATTCTGCGCTACAGCTAGGGATTCGCCTCCAATTCCAAAAATGAAGCGTCCGACGTAGCAAAGCCAGAGGAGATCGGAGAACACCCCCGCGGCGAAAACAAATTGGCCGCAAATTACAAAGAGGGAAAAAATGCCAGCGCCCAAACGAACCCCAAAGACCTACAATTAAAAATACGTAAATTGAGGTATTACGCACTAAATTTCTCTCATTCGCTCGCTCATTGATGCGCGTACCTTATCGATGAGATAGCCGCCAACAAAAGAGAGTACCACGTTTGGCCAGGAGTACCACGAGTAGAGGCCCATATATTGGGATTCTGTCAAGCCCATGACGTTTGGATCGGTGAATTGGGAGTGTAAGGCTGCGGGATTGTCGTAACAGAAGTAGCTGCCGAAACTCAGAAGACATAGAAAGCAGCATCCGATTACTTTGTACGCCGTGCTAGAAAAGCAGCACTTTGCTCACTTGTTTTCTTTCCCGCCTTATTACCTTCTAGGATTCGTACTGCAGCAAGGTATCTCTTCCCCAACGAGCGGTTCTGTGTCTTCTGGCATTTCGATTCTATTCTCTGAAGCGTAAAAAAATGAAAAATAGATCGCCATCCATTTCTTTGAAATCAAATTTCCTGGAATGAATACTTTGAAGATGAGGGTGGGATATATATACGTTTTTCTTTTAAATATAAAAGAGTGCTTGGATAATAAAAGGAAAATTGCACGGCATGTCATAAGAAATAATCTCTCATTGTGGCTCTGTAGGTATTTGATGGGTGGTGATAGTATATTTGCACACAAATTAGTTTGAGTATTGAAGTGTGGTGAAGATAGTTTATCGGTCAAGTCATGTATAAAATAATAAAGCATAATGAGTGTAATGCGTTATCACAACAAGACGCAAAGTTATATAATCACATATAAAATATAATGAAACAAATAAAATTATTCAGCTTCTCTATCATTAGTTTTTTTCTTTCAATAGGCAAAAATCACGCTGCAAAGGTTTTCAGACGTCTCTGAAAATCAAAATATGTCTGAAATCTGGAATGGCCAAAAACAAAAAGGAAAGATCTTCCGAACAAAGATTTAGATAGATTCGAAGCTGCTAAAAGCAAATATTTCCATCTGAATAACTTGAAATCGATTGAAACTTCCATCACGGCTCAGTAAATTGGGCGATGAAAAGACTTCGCTTGAACAAGTGGAGCTTTAAAACGGTTGTAGGATGACAAGCTTTATGATTATAATTTATAAATCACTCAATGTTTTTGAATATCAAACAATAAATTCTATAATTTAACCGTTCCAATTTTTCAAATCATCATTGATCGTCAATGCGCCATTTCCAATATTCAAATTTCCGGGTGAAAAATGAGCGAATTGAGTTGGCATCTCACTGTGCCAAAACCAACTTTCTACTTCGCACTCAACTCGGAAAACGAAGCTCTCACCATTTCCGATAAGGCCGGTTTTTGGCGATTTCATGCCGCAGAGAACGGCTCCGATAGAGACGTCGGGGGAGAAGTCGGTTTTCATGAGGATGACACATGCTGGCTCATCGGCCAGTTTTCGTAAGGCTTTAAAATAAGTCAGATTTACCAGAATTGCAAATGTACCTGTTTGGTAAGCGTATCCATCAGTAGTAGTAGAAAAAATCTTTTCCAAATTTTGAACTGAAAATCGAGGAGGCAGAATTGCGAAGAGTCGCGACATGGAATTTATGGAGATAAGAGAGGAACTTGCGTGCTTTGCTTGTGCGTAAAATTCGCCGGCATGTTTTTGCGAAAGTCGAGACATTTGGGCTTCTAGTCCGTCTAAAGAGAATTCTTTCAAAAAATTGCTGTTCGAGAGGACCGAACCTGCTCTGAGATCGAGAAGCATTTTATGCCTGTTGACCAGTTGCTTGACAATAGCCATTTGCAGATTTCGTATGTCAAATCCTTTCTTCAAGATCTTTTCGACATCAGAAGGATTATCTTCGATCATTTGTAAAATCAAATCATCGTCGATTTCGTCAGGACTTCCATCAATGATCACGCATCGGCCTTGAGAGGAACAGAAATTGAGGAATGCCAGGGCAAAGCGGAATTTAACCTTTGCCCCTTCCAATAGAAGACAATCGACGAAACGGACACATGATTCGTACGACAAAGAGCAGAGGAAGAATCGCCAGTTTATTGCTTTTCTCGGGTAAAAATAAATGAAACGAAACGTTGAAAACCTCCCAAAATATGCCAAATACTAAACCAGAGCCTGAAGAAGAGATTTGAAGAAGCCACGGTTTAAGTTTGCCCTTTAGCTTGAGAAGACCAAGATCTCTTATTGTTAAATCATCAGCATCTGCCTGCGTGCTTGAACGAGCAATAGGACAGCTTTCTGATTGAATGAGATGCTCGATCATCTGCCAGATCTTTCCACGGTCATCGATGAATGTCACTAGAACACCGACGACGATGCCGATGAGTGGACAAAAGGTTATTTGAGGTTGGCTTCGATGAATTCGCGCCATCACCTCTCCGACGAGTTGTTGACCACTTTCGCTGAGCCATTCAAATCGGAATAATCTTCATCAGCGATCACCTTTAGTTAATTTTTGCTACTTACCATAAGAAAAATGATCCCTTTCCTTCTATCAAATTTCGTGCAGTTCCAAACTTCATTGAGTGCATTGTCGATGCTCTCAAATTCAACACCCAACAGTGGCTTTCCTTGAAGAATCACTCTCTTATAAAATTTTTCTTTCTCTTTCACCGCTAATGGAAGGCCCTGACGGACTTTTGCCTTGAGTTTATCTGGCTTGAGCGTTTCAAAGGGGACTTCCTGAGTCGGCTCAGCCCTCAAATCTTCGTGAAGAAAATCAGTCATTTTATTGGCATCATCATTCTAAAATTCGTCGAATAATAATTCACTGAATATTGCGAACATAATTTTGAATTAATATTTTGGAAGAACGGGTCATACAGAAATATGAAGAAAGCGAAAAGAAGGACCTGCCTTATTTGAAAAGAGTAATGAAAGAAAATGGAGCGATGAAAAAATTTTATCAGTCGGAGGTTGAAGGATTGCGAGAGTTTTCAGCAGATGTTGAGACGTCGGCAAAATGCACTTTTTCAGAAACATGGAGGACAGCGCAGGCGGATCGGGCATGTTGGAGAGTTCCTTCCAGAGTCCAGTCTTCTTCAGACGCGTTTGGGCGTAAGTATTCGATGGATTTTAGATATTTCTGAAGGAGTAAATGTTCTCCTGCTATCATAAGCCCTCCCTACCTTTCCATCGAAACCACCAACAGCATAAAGCGTATCTCCAAGAACCGCACAGCCTGCTCCTTCTCTTGGAATCTTCAGCGAACCTATCAATGTCCATTGATTTGTTTCCAAGCAATATTTCTCAGCAGACTCTGCTGGCTTCGGAGCACCTTCAAAAAGTTCCGAAATTTCTGTTTCTCATCGATTTCTCTCAAAATCGAACCTATTGGAACTGTTCCTGGAGTATCATGCCCACCCACGGCGAAAATCGAATCTTGAAAGACCGCTACGCCTGGCATTCCCCGCCGCTTGTTTAGATTCGCCATTTGCGTCCACCGGTTAAAATGCGGATCGAAGCATTCCACAGATCGTAGACATGAAGAGACGTCTCTTCCGCCGACAGCGAAAATCTTCGAATTAAAAGCTACGACACCATGCGTGCTCCGCGGCGTATTCATCGGCGCAACAAAATTCCACGAGCGAAACTGCGGATCCCATCGCTCGACCGTGTTTAAAAATGACCAGCCGTCGTTTCCTCCCACTGCGTACAAAGGGCCATCGAGCAAAACGATGCCAACGCCGTGTCTTAATCATCATTTTACGACGCTATTTATGATTGAGTAAATTTTTTATGAGAAAAATTTTACCTGTGCGTCGAAAGCGGCGGCATCGATTTCCAACTCTTCGTAGCGAAGTCATAGCACTCGACCGAATTCAAGGTTTTATATCCATCTCTTCCACCGACGACGAGCAGTTTATTGTCAATCACGGCGCTACCGAACTGAACTCTCTTGTGCTTGACGATTTGGCCGCATTCGCTCCACTGTTCGGGCGCCAGAGGGTCCAGAAGCTCAACGTTATTGATTCCTTTCTGGTTGTCCATTCCGCCGATACACATTAGATAACCTAAGCATCGTTAGGTAAACTTGATGAAAAATGTGCTCTTTTTAGAGCATCTAAATCAGGGAATATAATACAGTTTTAGATTCCTCAGAAGCTGGGGATCATTTTGACTATTCATACTTCGGGGTTTTGCTCATGCCCTGAGGGGTTTTAGGCCTTCCAAAGTCCCGAAATTTGGCCAATCTAGGTTAGGGGCTCATAACTTTTCTTCTCCCCACTTCTGGAGAAAGCCCACTAAATGAGCTTGTAGAGGAGGCTCTAACGGTTCAGAATATGTATAGAAAACCACCGGACACCCCCCATTCTAGAGCCTCTAGAAGGCCCGGAAGTTGAGGAAGTCACTGAAAAATCAGTACTTTTTTACGAAAATAGAGTAAAAGTGCAATATTTTCATCGGAAATCGTTAGAAAAACGTTTTTAATGACATTCTGACGCACAAAATTTACTCTTGGGTCATTTGAGGTCACGTGGGGTCATATTGTGAGAAAAAATTGAATTTCGTAAGAACTCTCCCCGGGAGGACCCCAGACTAAATTTTGTACGTAAGAAAGTCATTTAAATGTTTTTCTAACGATTTCCGATGAAAATATTGCACTTTTACTCCATTTTCGTAAAAAAGTACTGATTCATATAAGACATATTCTGAACCGTTAGAGCCTCCTCTACAAGCTCATATAGTTGGCTTTCTCCAGAAATGGGGAGAAGAAAAGTTATGAGCCCCTAACTCAGATTGGCCAAATTTCGGGACTTTGGAAGGCCCAAAACCCCTCAGGGCATGAGCAAAACCCCCAAGTATGAATAGTCAAAATGATCCCCAGCTTCTGAGGATTCTAAAACTGTATTATATTCCCTGATTTATAAGCTCTAAAAAGAGCTCATTTTTCATCAAGTTTACCTAAGCGTCGTTTATTCTCACAAAAAATGTTTTTTTTTCGGGTATTGTCCATGATCAAATACTATCATCATTTATGGCAAGTTACTTTAAATTTTTGTGCTTTAGCTTCGATTGAATTATTTTTGGTCCAATGGGAGTGGTTTTGTTATAATAAGACCACGTACAAGTACCTTACGTGCGATTCTGTTCGCTCAATCTAATGAACTCTGAGCTCATTCATAAGTTTCTTTAGATTTTCTTGAAAATAGAGTGCCGCGATTTGATTGCTGTCAAGAAGAATAATTGAGTTTACCTAAAGTAGACTTTCTTGAAGGCTCCTGTCTCGGATCAAGTTTTTTGGTTATATGCAGCTTCATCATGTCAATAACAATCTCATGCGCTGATGAACTTTCTCGTACGAGATGATGGGGTTCGATCGTTTCTGCAAGGAATTCGGCGGAAATGTGGCAGAGTCGCATTGTTGCGAGAAGTGCTCCTGAAAGTGATTGTATAGTAAGACTTACATTAGGAAAAGTCTAATTGTTCTAAAGAGAATATATTTATTGTTGATATCCCAATAGATTATAGTGCGGTGCAGGTTTGCAGAATCTTTGAAAAGATTCTCAAAACTTAGATTTTTCTTGGACGATTCTTAGTAAAGAGAGTCCATCTAGAAATTATACAAAAATACAATTCAATAAGGGAGTTTCCAAGATATTTTTATCCGCAAATGATGATTCAATACAATCAATATATTCTATTCGAAGGTGCACCGGTCCATACTTCCTATTTTTATCTATTCCCATCGAGTGTTCGCATCATTATAATTGGATACAATGCATTACAGTTATGAAGTTCTTAGTTCAACAACAGTCATTTTCGATCGAATTATGTTGTTTTTGCGCAAACTTTGCGACTAGATTAAAAATAACGAGAATATTCTGATCCTACTTACCAACACTTGATTTTCTCGCATCAAGATCGTGCTCTACCCACGCCGTGACAATTTGGAACACACTTTCCTCATTTGGAACAACCAAATCATCGTATTTCAACAAACGAATAACATCTTCGAGCTTTAATTCCAAAAATTCTTGTTCGCCGAGCAAATTCAATGAGTTCTTCTTGATGAAATCGAGCGATGCAGAGAACAGTTCCGGACAAGCTTGGGATTCGGCGAACTTCGCGATGCCGAGGCAATTTGAAGGGTGGAGCTGTTTTCGGAGAAATTCGCAGCAAGCAAAGACGATTTTTTCGATTTGCAGAAGACGAGCTAATTTTCGAATATAAATTCAGATCGTTCAAGAATCCGGGCTCCGTAACCTGTGAAGAGAAGCTAAGACAGGGTCCTGGAAGATGTTGAATTTATAGCCACGTAGAAAATTTCTGGCTTCGCGGTTTTTATCTATTAAACTTCTTTCAGAACCTGGTCTTAGATTTTCTACACAGGTTGCCAAGCTAAGTCCAGAAAAAATAATATAGATCAAGTGAAACAATTGTAAAATTTAATAATTGAACCTGTGATCAAAAGATCTTCGACGTTATCCTCTCTAATATCAATGTGGCTCGTGTACATATATCTGATGATCCACATCAGCGCGTCAGGATTCACCTCCTTGATCTCCACCTCATCTTGATCCTTTTCGCAGAGGTTGTGAGTGAACATGGCGGCGAAATAGGACGAAAGCGAGCTGAGCACGAGCTTGTGCGCAGCCATACGACGCTTGCCGCAAATTAAAGTTACGTCGCATAGTTGCTTGTTGCGCAAAAATTGGTCCATCATCTGCAGTGCTTCTGACGCATGGTTGTTGTTTATGAAGCCGTGATCTTCGGACATTTTCTTTTCATCCGAGTCACGATTTCTTTCAGTCTACTACACTCGTACGTAAGCAACGGTTCCAGAGTATGCTTGTTGAATTTGAAAACGAGTGAAGCGAATCTCAAGTAACAAATATTTTAGCAATCATTCGCTTCGCTCATCATCATTCTTAGGAGAAAGCGCCTTCCAATAAATAGATTTTTTTGCGATTCCATTTAGAATACTTTATTCAAGAACAGACTACATACAGAAACCATCTCGTCTCTTGAAATGCTTCATATTATCGTTCATGTTGTTTCGTAGTCCGATTCGCAGATTCATCTTTCGTTTGAACTTGGCGACTTTCTTGAACTCGTTGATTTGCGCCTGCTGATTCGAACAATCTCCATACCAACCAATCGCTCTGAAAGTCGCCTCATTTTCCTATCTTTTCCCCTCTTTTTACCTGTATTTATTAATCTGATTAGCTCTCTTGCTCGGAACGAGCGCCATTCTTGGATCGAAACTCTGCTTGTAATATCTCCACAAGCTTCTGTGTCCGATAACGCTTCCATCTGCCAAAACCAACTCTCCAACAACATTTTCATCTGTATTCTGCTCTTCTTCCAAGTCCGAATCTTCGAAATCGTAGAAATCTGAGTACTCCAGCGCCTTTTCTCCATTCATTTCCAAACTCGTGTGGCCCATTTCTACAAAACTCTGTTATTTCCGAATTCTTTTATCCTCTCTTACTAATCATGTGATCCCGAACAGCTTGAAGCGAGTAAAACGCTTTCCCTTTCTCGTTGCAAGTCATACAAATATTGCCAACGCCGATCTTTCTTCCCAAATATCGCATCAGCCCTTTTTTGTCCTCGAGATCTTCCGCCATCGGGATGAAAAAGCCGTAGTGAAGATTCATGTATTTCAAATTGGCGTCGATATTTTTCGAAATATGGCCGGAGAAGAGACATTCGTTGACTGGAATTTCGCGCTGGTGCTTTCCATCTTCGATGCACACGACGGGCTCTTTGGTGATTTCGTCTTCTTCGAGGACTTCTTCAAAATCTTCATCATCCCCGTCCGACATGTCTTCCCATTCTTCATCATCCTCGGCTGCGTCGAGCTCCGCAGAACGTTCCATAAACCAACGGTATCTTTGGATAAAATATTCAAAGGCTCTTCCCCTCAAAAATTATCTTACCTTGGGTTGTCCCCATTTTTCCATTTTGATTCAAGAACTTCTTCTGTCTCCATCTCTTCTTCCTTTTTCTTTAATTTTTTGGCTTTCTTTTCCTTGTGATGATTTTTCTTTTTCTCCTTTGTGTCCAACTTCGCCTTGTCTGCATCTGCCACAGCTTTTCGTTGCTCAAAGTCGTCAAGGGTCAGTGGAGGAAGGGCTGCTACTTTTCGTTTGAGATTGTAGCAGTGCCACTCTGACTAGAAATGAGGTAAACAGGGAGGAGAAAGAAGGATATCGGTACCTGGTAGTGACTTTTGTGCTCACCGATTGTGAGGAATTGCACGCGACAACCATTGCATGTGAATCCCATTTTCACTGAATGAATTAAATTACAGGTAGTCAATGCTTGAACATTATTAAGATCATAATATGTGATTGATAGATTGCTGATCATTGCTATAGATAGATGTCGAAACGGCGTAACATATGATCTTAGATTTGATGAGTTCATTTTATTGATATTCACAGTTTTCAGAGACAAGTATTTGTATTAAAAAAGGAATCATTCTCTGCCAAGTCGAATGAACAAGAAATATTACTCCATCATCAATGATACGATGTGCTGTTGGCTCATTTTATGGAGATATCAGTAGTAGAAAGAAAATGTTCTCATCTCTGGTTATTGTACGTGAGTGACCATAAATGCCACTACGTGATGAATCATCAATGGAAATGTGGCGAGAATGGAAATCTTCAATTTGTCCTTGCTGTCCGATTGGGCGCTGCCTTGCGCTTATCCGCGCGCTGATTGGCTCATCCCGCAGCGGGGCCATGAAGACCCAGCTCACACACTCGCTCATTCTTTTTTCGGAATTTCCAACTTCCCCTCTGGGATCTTCGAACGGGAAAGAACGAACTCCCAAAAAGAAAAAAGTTCAATGAGTGATTGATTAGGAGATATTTCATCGCTCGTCAGAAATTACCGAAATTAGAAGAAGAAATCAATGGAAATTGGAGATTTATGCATTATGGCAAGCAGAAGAGATCAACTCATTTTCAGATAATAAACAATTGCAATAGAATAAGAGATGTTCATAAGCAAAAATAATAAAAATGCCACCAATCTCTATAATTGATAATCTTCTATCTTGCACAATACATTCTTGTCAGATAATTTGTCTTAGCGACCCGCTTTTTTCAAATTCTTGTCTATAAGACGCGTTTTCTTTATTGACTTTTTTTAACCTCCATTTCAATTGAGAATTTCGCGGATTTGAAACAGCCAAATATCTGTTTTTGGTGACCGACTCTTTTACACCAGATTTTACACCTAGCTTTTAGTGTGCCACTATCATTTTCTTCAGTACTCGACATTAATTCGTGATTTTGTTGCAGAATTCTAATTTTTCATTAATTTCATTGGCTCCCAGTGGTAATTGATTCCCCCTTGTCTATTCCAGTTCAAGGAAAAGCAACAGTTGACCTCAAACAACCCCGATTTTTTAGATTGAAAGTTATGTGATCGGGCGTCAATTTCGACAATCGAGAACAAAGAAAACTATGATCAACTGTTAAGGCTGGTTATCCAAGGAAAAAAAAGACTCTGGAAATGGGAACTGTACTGGATAACCGTAGAACAGAATATTTTCTTAATCTCTGCACCATCTCCATCACGTGACGGACATGAGGGCTAGAGAAATACAAATGATGCTCGAAAGGGCCGTCAACACCACGGAAAATCATCGAGATCAGTACACGGTAAGAATTAAGGATATAGCTAGGGTCCGCACGCAAAAATCGACCACCTGAAATCTCTTGATTTTCAAAAAACGGCAACGATAGGATGATAGAGCAACTCAAACTGAATATTTTTCATATTGAAAGTTTTTCACCACCACTGACTTTTCTGCCGGAAATGATCAGGTTTAACACCGGAAATCGGTACTTTTTCACGTTTCTGGCCGGCTCACCTTGATCTCATCGTGATAAGATATTGATAAGGGGCTCAAAAGAAAGCTCGTCGTCTGAGCTTTCTCTTGGTACCAAAAAAGTAGTCACTTAGTTGAAATTTTTGGCGCTAGAAGCGATTGAAGGTGGTCAGGGAGCCCAAAAATTGCTCGAAATCACCGGAACTAGCCGGTTTCGCTCTAAAACCTCATGTAAACCCTTACATATGGATATCTTTCGATAGGATTTTTCTCTTTTGACAAAATATTGACCGGTTAAGAGCTCAACCAACCGGTTCTCAAGCCAAAACCAGCCGGTTTCTCTCTAAAACCACGTGTTTTCTATTAGATATGGATATCTATCGAAAGGTTTTTCTTTTTTGAGTACAAATTAACCGGTTCGAAGCCGGCTAAAAGATCAACTTTGGTCGAGTTCGGCCGGAGGACCTCCCTGGTGGAAGACCATCCGCTGGAAGACCAGTATTTAAAATTTTTAATATATGGCTATGCTCGGTCAACATATGGCCACTTATGGTCAACATTGGTCAAGTTTGGCCGGAGGACCCTCGGAGGACCTTCCTGGTGGAAGAACATCAGCTGGAAGACCAAAATTAAAAAATGAAATAAAATGCCTTGCTGGGCTAAGAATCAACACTTTCGGCCAGCTTTGGTCACATTTTGCCGGAGGACCCCCGGAGGACCCCTTCTGTCGGAAGCCAATCTACTGGAAGACCATTATTTAAAAAAATTAAAATCAATTACAGTGGGTTGCGCAGGTAGTTGCCCCCAAAAGAGCGGGTGAAGGGTCAACCAATCCTGCAATCACTTTGAGCGAGTCTAGAAAGAAACAATAGAAAAAGCGCGGGCAAAGGGGCAACCAAAGCTGCAATCGCAAAGGGGCAACCAACTGCGCAACCCACTGTACAGTCAACTCAGTGATTAAAGGGGCATCGCAGACCAACTTTGTGGCCACATAATTAAGTGAGTGACAAGAAAAAGCCGTCAAGAAGAGAAGGGAACGCCCATTAATTCGACCCGAAGGCAACGCCACGCCAAGGTATCCTTTTGAATCAGGGTCAGGGCAAAGCCGACCCGAAGGGGAGGCAACGCCCGATCATTCTTTTCAATCAGAGTAAGGGCGAAGCCGACCCGAAGGGGAGGCCAAGCCCGTTTATTCCATTCAATCAGAGTCAAGGCGAAGCCGACCCGAAGGGGAGGCCAAGCACGTTCATTCTATTCAATCAGAGTCAGGGTGAAGCCGAACCGAAGGGGAGGCCACGTCCGTCTATTCTTTTCAATCAAGGTCAGGGCGAAGCCGACCCGAAGGGGAGGCCACGCCCGTTCATTCTTTTCAATGAGCGTCAGGGCGAAGCCGACCCGAAAGGGAGGCAACGCCCGATCATTCTATTCAATCAGAGTAAGGGCGAAGCCGACCCGAAGGGGAGGCCATGCTCATTTATTCCATTCAATCAGAGTCTGGGCGAAGCCGACCCGAAAGGGAGGCCACGCCCGTTCATTCTTTTCAATCAGGGTCAGGGCGAAGCCGACTCGAAGGGGAGGCCACGCCCGTTCATTCCATTCAAGCAGAGTCAGGGCGGAACCGACCGGAAGGGGATGCAACGCACGTTCATTTTATTCAATCAGAGTCAGGGTGAAGCCGAACCGAAGGGGAGGCCACGCCCGTTCATTATTTTCAATCAGAGTCAGGGCGAAGCCGACCCGAAGGGGAGGCCACGCCCGTGTATTCTTTTCAATTAGGGTCAGGGCGAAGCCGACCCGAAGGGAAGGCCACGCCCGTTTGTTCCATTCAATCAGAGTCAGGGCGAAGCCGACCCGAAAGGGAGGCCACGCCCGTTTATTCCATTCAAGCAGAGTCAGGGCGAAGCTGATCCAAAGGGAAGGCCAGTGCCGTCTTTTCACTTCAGTTTTGATCGGGGCCAAGCCGACCCGAAGGGGAAGCCAGCCCCGTCTATTCAATTTAGTGTGGATCGGGGCAAAGCAAATCCGAAGTGGGGGCCAGTTTCGTCTTTTTAATTCAGTCTTAATTAGGGCCAAGCCGACCGGAAGGGGAGGACGGCCCGGTGTTCAAGTCTTGATCGTCACCAGTGTAAAATGGCTTTTTTTTATGCGGAATACTGCAGGTGGATTGCATTTATTTCTTATTAATGCATATTATAATTGCATATTCGTTTCTATATTTCGTTGTATGGCAACTTTAGACGAAGGAATAAACTTGTTAAAAAAATATTTGGTTTTAATTTATTTCAAAATTTTAAGGGCTCTATGCGTAATTGAAAATAGGCGAAAATGGCGATTTTGCTCGGGCTAGGTTAGAATATGGCACCGAAGCTCCTCGAGCACTCGAAAAAAAATATTTTTTGGGAGATGGCAACTTTAGAACAGCGTTCGATCTTTCTACCGATATAAATTTTATCCTTCAACTTTCCCAAATTTCTGTGGGCGCTGTTCAAAAAGTGCCAAGATCGCAAAAAGCAGGGACTACATCCTTAAGACATTCCTATTTGATTTAAGTGATTTTTAATGATAAAAACACTTGAGAAAAGCTTGAAAAAACCTAAAAATTATCAGAAATAGCATCATTTGGGCACAATTCTGATGCAAAATTTTTAAATTTTGAAAAAGCGGCCAAATTTTGGGTTAATTTTAGGTTCCAAAAAAAGGTGGATTTTGACATAAAGCGGCCAAATTATGGGTCGGCAATTTTTGGGTTTACACTGTAACATAAAGATGATCAAGAGCGAGTAAAGCGCTCGCGCTGAGTGTTGTTCGGGGTTGTAAGAATCAAGAAGTGATTTAACGCCTTTCGTTGGAATTTTCACGCGCTGAGTCATGGAAAAAGACTTTCTCTCTGATTGGGCAGTGTCCCGATCAAGACTGAATTAAATTTATCGGGATGGCCTAACTTTCGGGTCAGCTTCGCTCCGATCAAGACCGTATTGAATAAACGTGGCTCGCCTCCCTTTCGTGTCGGCTTTGCCCCGATCCAGACTAAGACGAACAGACGGGGCCTTCGGGTCGGCTCCGCCCTGACTCTGATTAGATAGAATGAACGGGCGTGGCCTCCCCTTCGGGTCGGCTCCGTCCCGACTCTGATTGAATGGAATGAGCCAGCGTAGCCTCCCAATCGGGTCGGTTTTGCCCTGACCCTGATTGAAAAGAATGTACGGGCTTGGCCTCCCCTTCGGGTCGGCTTTGCCCTGACCCTGATTGAAAAGGATGAACGGGCTTGGCCTCCCCTTCGGGTCGGCTTCGCCCTGACCCTGATTGAAAAGAATGAACGGGCGTGGCCTCCCCCTTCGGGTCGGCTTCGCCCTGACCCTGATTGTAATGAATGAACGGGCGTGGCCTCCCCTTCGCGTCGGCTTCGCCCTGACCTCGATTGAAAATAATGAACTGCGTGGCATACTCTTCGGGTCCGCTCCGCCCTGACTCTGCTTGAATGGAATGAACGGCGTGGCCTCTCCTTCGGGTCGGTTTCGCCCTGACTCTGATTGAATGGAATAAACGGGCGTGGCCTCCCCTTCGGGTCGGCTTCGCCCTGGCCCTGATTAAAAGAATGAACGGGCGCTGCCTCCCTTTCGGGTCGGCTTCGCCCTGACCTTGATTATAAAGAATGAACGGGCGTGGCCTCCCTTTCGGGTCGGCTTCGCCCTGACTCTGATTGAATGGAATAAACGGGCGTGGCCTCCCCTTCGGGTCGGCTTCGCCCTTAGTCTGATTCAAAAGGATACCTTGGCGTGGCCTTACCTTCGGGTCGAATTAATGGGCGTTCACTTCTCTTTTTGACGGCTTTTTCTTGTCACTCACTTAATTATATGGCCACAAAGTTGGTCTGCGATGCCCCTTTAATCACTGAGTTGACTGTTATTGATTTTAATTTTTTTAAATAATGGTCTTCCAGTAGATTGGCTTCCGACAGAAGGGGTCCTCCGGGGGTCCTCCGGCAAAATGTGACCAAAGCTGGCCGAAAGTGTTGATTCTTAGCCCAGCAAGGCATTTTATTTCATTTTTTAATTTTGGTCTTCCAGCTGATGTTCTTCCACCAGGAAGGTCCTCCGAGGGTCCTCCGGCCAAACTTGACCAATGTTGACCATAAGTGGCCATATGTTGACCGAGCATAGCCATATATTAAAAATTTTAAATACTGGTCTTCCAGCGGATGGTCTTCCACCAGAGAGGTCCTCCGGCCGAAACCGGCTGGTTTTGGCTTGAGAACCGGTTGGTTGAGCTCTTAACCGGTCAATATTTTGTCAAAAGAGAAAAATCCTATCGAAAGATATCCATATGTAAGGGTTTACATGAGGTTTTAGAGCGAAACCGGCTAGTTCCGGTGATTTCGAGCAATTTTTGGGCTCCCTGAGCACCTTCAATCGCTTCTAGCGCCAAAAATTTCAACTAAGTGACTACTTTTTTTTGGTACCAATAGAAAGCTCAGACGACGAGCTTTCTTTTGAGCCCCTTATCAATATCTTATCACGATGAGATCAAGGTGAGCCGGCCAGAAACGTGAAAAAGTACCGATTTCCGGTGTTAAACCTGATCATTTCCGGCAGAAAAGTCAGTGGTGGTGAAAAACTTTCAATGTGAAAAATATTCAGTTTGAGTTGCTCTATCATCCTATCGTTGCCGTTTTTTGAAAAAATTGAGCGCACTGATCCGACCCTTTTTTGCGTGCGGTCCCTAGATATAGCCTGTAAAATTCAACTTTCGTAGCGGCTAAACGCGAAGTCGGATCTTTTTCATTTCAAGTGCAATCCTACCTAAAAATGGACGGAGAATTCAATTTTGGTACTTTTTTAAAAAATTTTACTTGAATTTTTCTCTCTAGAGCGATTTGAAATCTTACGATCGCGATTCCTCGAAAATTTTTCACTAAATCGGTCGAGTTTTTCCGATAGATAGGTTCTTTAGACCTTTATCTACAAAATTGACGGTTTAGTTTTCTCTAAATCCGAAAGAAACCGATTTTACAGCCATTTCCATGAGGCTAACTCAGCGCGCAGAAGCTATGAAAAGCGCTGCGCTCGGTGCTCGCTCTCTCGCCTCCTATTTTCCGGGAGAGCGTGCGTCTTTTTTCGAGCGCTCTGATTGGCTACACGCGATAAAGCGCGCAGGGAAGAAAAGCAAGAGCAAGAAAGAGGAGAATACTAGAATGAAAATATGACCGAGTTTGAGAATTTTATTCCCTCAATTTTTTAGCTTAGCATTATGACAACAGAGAACACGGTTTAGTTTTAGCGAATTAGTGGAAAAATTTTGAGAAATCGCGATCGTAAGATTTCAAGTCGCTCTACAGAGAAAAATTTAGGTGAAAATTTTAAAAAATATACCAGAATTGAGTTTTTTGTGCATTTTTAGGTAGGATTGCTTTTGAAATGAAAAAGATCCGACCTCGCGTTTAGCCGCTACGAAAGTTGAATTTTACAGGCTATATCCTTAATGAGCATGTTGTTGAGGTAGAAGATGAGCGAAGCGAATCCCAGCATTCTAGATTGAAAATTATTACAGTCGACTCTGGCAATTACGAGCCTTTTTTTGTCGGGAATTTCGTGAAATACTCGTAATTCTCCGAGTTGGAAAATTTTGCTCGATTTTCTCTCGATTTCATTTTTAAGGACCCCCCATCAAGAATTGCGAAAATGGGCCTCCTTGGAGCTAGTATTTCTCCGAAGCTATCTTATTTACACCCTTAATTTAATTGGAACTCGAATTTAACACTCGACTACAACCGCTTCCCTTATGATGATCCCGAAAATCACGGTTGTTCAAAAAATCTAGTTCTACCTCCTCAATGATATACAGGCCGTTAAAGATCAGGTTGATAGGATCAAGCTTTTTCAGGGATTTAAGCTGAGGGAAACCCTTAATTTTTTTCAGGAGAGAGCTAAGGCTCTAAGCTACCACCGCACCCCTTTGGAAAGTTTTTTGTCAACGAAAAATTTAAATAATATTCAGAGACTTTCATAAAAAAAAATAATGCAAATTTTCAATCTGTTGAAGCTGCTTTAAAACCATCTGAAGAGCCGGAGACTCTTAAGCCAAAGATTTAACCCGGTAACAGGCGCGTGGCCGTCTCACGGCCACGCGTGGAAATGAGTAGCCAATCGCATGCCCGGATCCATGTTTTCACTCAATCACAGACAGGCAAAAGCGTAGGCAAAATCGACCACCCTGTTAGCGGGTTAAGGGTGTCAACAACGATTCTGGTCATATTTGTAACAATAGTTTGAGTTACTTCCTGATTCGCTTTTGATTCGTTTTTCCTCTCATTTGTTTTATTGAACCCTAATCTACAAAGTAAATTTGACGAAATTTTGAAATACTAATCCCATAATCCCCACCGCGGCTTCAAAGAAACTCCATATGTAGGATTTCGCCAAACTTGTAACATTAGTTTAGGTACTTTCCCGTAATTCAATTTCAATTATTTTTTCACGATATGAAAGCTTAAACAATTTTGTACAAAGTAAATTTGAGGGATTTCTGAAAACTTCACTGCATGCATCTTTTTGTATGCATTATCTTGAAGTAAGATTTATCCAAATTTTGAAGTCGATTCTAGTGCAGTTTCTGCAGATCGATTTTTTTCATTTTCGCAGAGATCATTGTTTGATCCCTTCACAATCTCCCGAAGCGCAAAGATTGGGTACTGATTAATCCCTTTATCCCCTTTTCCGGCGCTAAAGTGCAGGTCTTTGCGACTTTTGCCGCACTGTTTGACCTTGAAAAACTTGCCTGATCTTATCGATATGGGTATCATTGAAAAGGAAATTTTTAAGCTTTCAGAAAATATACTGTTTGATATATAAAAAGGAAAGTTGAAAAATGGCCTTTCTAATAGTGCATTTTTACTGAGCGCTAATGCATTAGCGCGCCTATAGAATGTTGCGTATCTCCTGACCCAGATGAGATATTCCAGATCTAAAAAAAGATTTGGAATCCTCAAAGGCTGAATAAAAAGATATTAATTGGTCGAATCATAAGACAGACCCTTATTGGATCGTTGTTGACACCCTTAATGATTAAAATCAAGCATTCTCAATTTTTTCGAAAAAAATTAGTTTCGGTCGATGATCCCTCGTTTTCAAAATTGGCGGGTTTTTGTCAAAATACTCGTAATTCTGCTACTCGTAATTGCCAGAGTCGACTGTATTCAGATTTTCAGCAAGAAATTTTCGCTGCGCTCATTTTTGACCTCAACAATGCATTTTCCGCTTTATGAGTACTTTCCTTAAAAATTCTCTTTCAGATCAAGGACCGAGTAGCTGTAGAGAACGCGATCGACGCTTTAGAAAAGGCTGAAATCGACCTGAAGACGCTGATCCAGCTCAGAATTGGGCAATTGGTGAACAACGTCCGCCGCAAGTTGAAGAAAGATGACAGTGATTGTGAGCGATTGAAGAAGAGTCGATTTTCGAATCTGACTCTTTCTCTTTTTAGTAAAAAAGCGAATGCGCAGCCTTGTCCAGAAGTGGCAGAAAGTGATGATGGGTCAGGACGACGGAACGAATGGAACGATCGCTACTGACCAGAACCAGGCGCCGCCGTCCGCCGCACAGGAAGTAAAATACTCAGCAAGTTAATCTCACAGGCTAACGGGCACACTCTTGAGCAGGCGAGGAAAAGGGAAGAGGAGTTGAGAATGCGGCTCATGAAGAGCAACTCGCCAGTGATGCCAAACGGAAAGGCGACGAATGGAAATGGAAACGTGATTCTTGAAAATGGGGACTCTGCGAACATCGTTCAGGAATAGTTCCTCATTTAGGAGATAAGCTACAAAATTTTAAGCGAAGGCTTTTTGCTTGCAGATCTTTCTGTAGCGAAGATTCTCTTCAATCTGCCTCGTTATTTTGCATATTTATTCGAGATGAGAAACTTTGCAACAGAAAAAGAAAACTTCGGCGAAGCGAAAAGCCAAAAAGCGAACCGACGAGCTGAAAGACGAAAGCATAAAATCCTCCCCTCGCGGGTCGCCGACGAATGGCTCGCGCTCGCGGAGTCCGATGATCAACTTGCCGCTGCTCGACACGGTGGATCGCGATTCCACTGGCGGCGGGCGGCTGACCCCGCACGACTCGGCTCCCAGCTCGCCGGTGCGAAAGCGTCCCAAGTCCCGCTCCAACACTCCTAACTTATCAAACCTATCAAACTTATCCAAACTCGAGTATTCTGAATCAAACTCAACCCCGTCGTCAACGCCGCCAGAAATTACTTCTAGTCATCCGCACCAGCCACCGAGTATAGCTAGAGTGGAGGATGAGGCGAGGGTGCCTTCTACTGCCAATCCTAGCTCGAATTCAAAGCAAAACTCAAATGAGGTAAGCTCCCCTCAACCCGTTCTCTTCTCACCTTTTCCAGTCAACCACGCCGCAGTTCTCCGACCAGCCACGTTTTATCCCTTCTGTGAGTATATCCGATAATGACCCTCCGCCCAAAACAGATGATGACACATCCGCACCGCAAGAAGAGGATGTCGAAAAAGCGGCCAACGGTACGTCTCCTAAATACGAAACCCATTCTTATATCAATTTTAGAGGATACAGAATGGGCAGGCGTGTCCGGCGTCCGAGACATACAAGGGAATTTCCACAGGTGGCACGATGAGATTTCACTTGAGCCCGAAGGCACCGAGGAATGGTTACTTATTGAAATGAATCTATATGCCAACTTATCAATATTGAGTAGGGTCATTTTCAAGTCCAAATACTCGTTTTTTTGTCTGTGAGAATTTGACCTAGATTCTTGCTGACTCTCATAAAACGCAGGTCTTCAAATCCGTAACCATAAAAAAGCCCTTCCTTCACATCATGCCTTACGTGGACCTAGACTTAAACCTGCTCTAATCTTCATCTCCTGTCTAGCTCAATCGAAGTTTTATTAAAAGCTATTATCAATTATCGCAAAAAAAAACGCAACTCAACAGCAATTTTTAGCCGATCTTGATTTCCGATGTCCAAGTCGGCTAAATTTAATTATCTCTTTTTCTGTGAATTGAGTGTAAACACAACTTTATTTTCAGACACCAGTTACTTTGGTATAATCAGTTTTTTGTAATCATGTTTTCATAATCAGGACAAGTATGTATTTTTGTTGGAAAAGTGGACAAGGACAAAGTTGAAAGTTGAGTGAAAGTTGGAACGTGTCAAAGCGTATTTTCGAAAGACTGAATAGTCAACCTTTTCGTTATTTTTGTATCACGGTGAAGAAATAAGGGTTTATGTACATCAACAGTAGGTGAACTTATATATAGTGTTTGTTTTCTTTGCTGGATAGACTTTGCTAAACTGATGTTTGCGTGTTTGGTTCCTCGCCTCCGGGCAGAACAAACTTGCCCGTGCGTGTTTTATGGCACATTGTTTTTTTCGTTTTCTGTCGTGGGCAGTTTCTTTTTGTTGCGTGAAGTTTAAATATGGTGAATCGTGGAAGACGTGTTAGACGTGGATCGTTTGGTTGGGGGATGAGCCGCCCTGGCGCCGCTCGACGAGCTGGCTTTGGCTGAAATCAAAGGATTTAGAACTAAAATTGAAGATGATTATTCACCGTGGAGTCAAGGTCGTAGCATGAGCTCGGTAGACAAGGCTTATTGCCGTTGTCCAACGCATGACGGACTTGTCATCAGATCCTTTCAGCCTAAGCCGGCGCTTTCCATTGACAACATCGAGTTTGGTTCCATTCTGGGTGATTTTTGTATTTTGATCAAGTGGAAATGTTCGAGGCTGTCCCTCACGCTTAGCATTTGGCCACCAGCGAAGCTCAAATGGAACGACGGAGAAGAACCGTTTGTTCCATTTTAGCGCGTTGACTCGTTTTGACAAGCTTCCAGCACGGAGCTCTTCAAGAACGAACACGGTGTGAAGCTCTTTTGCAAGCTCGAGCGAGGGGTCCTTGCCGTTCATGTTCTTGAGTGAATTTTAGATAACAATTTTCTTTTGATGACTTTACCTCGTTCTTAGCTTCTCGGTAGAGAATCAACAGAAAGTCTAGGAAAGGAATAGGCTCGTAGTCTCGTTCATTGAGACATTCGTATCGCGCGTGCGTTTTCGAAAAGAATCGCGTTGTCTTTTGAAGAATTTTTTGCATATCAGGTCGTTCTAGCCTCGGCGGGTAGTGGAACTCGTCGGCTAATCGATTGAACACCTGCCAGAGAAGGAAGCATACTGTCAGACTGATTCCGTTTTCGTTCGCTACTTTGCTGATAGTTTCCTGGAAGTAATCTTCCCAAACTTCTGTTTCAAGAGCTTCCGGAACGATTCCAAGTGGATTCGAGCTATTATTTTTTGAGACTTAGTTCACCGGAGAATATTTAATTACCTGTAGTGGGAGACAAGCATATCTTTTAGGTCGACATATCCAAAGTTTCTGGTCGAGTTCTCTCGTCTCTCTAGCTCGCGAAGAATTGTTTCCGGGTTCTTTTCTCCAGAGTGCGCTGATGCCAAACGCACCAATTTTCTCAAATCTAAATATTATGTCGCTCATTATTTTTGGTCTCATTCGGTTGCTTACCGATAATATCAATGCTCTTTCCAGAAGCTGCCCGGTCAAGAATATGGAAAGCATGCCAGATGCCCATAAGTCGGATAGAAGTGGCTATGGCGGCTGGAGTTTGTGGTGCAGAATCTTCTCGTCTCGGCCGGATAGGAACTGGACGAGCGAGCTTTATTGTCAGCTCTCTTTTCAACCCTAACAACGTTGATTTTCGAACGAAAGAATATTTTACCTTCTAGGTCAGGAATCGGAAGCTCCGAATGTGCCTGACTAGATTCTGTTTCAAAGCCGTCATCTTTGATCGTTGAGCTAAGTTTTATGCTGACTAATTGACAGTAATAAATCAAAAAATACCTGAGAGGTCCATCATGTTCCTCAGATGTTCCAATCGAGTCACCATCTGTTATGAATCCTCCAACAGAATCTAAAGATTTCGAGTCCATATTCTGGTAAAGGTTCTCTATCATATTTCTTTCTATTTCTGAGTTTTTCTATTTTTGATTCTCTGTCAGTGGCTTTTTGCCAATTCTATCCTTTTGAGAAAAGAAGAGAATGTGATTTTGTCAGACTCCCGCTGCGCCACGAAATTGTTATTTCTGGCCCAGTGGGAAGGAAAAATTCATAAATGAGGGCTAAGGCGATTGATTCGCGCGATAAGGACCTGTTCCTTCTCGTCGACCGAGTGTTTCTTTTCCAGCAATCGTCTTGGTTTCGCTTGATTAGTGGTGGCAAAATATGTTTCTTATTATAACTCTCTATTGAAAATTCTTTAGAAAAAATCTTTCAGTCTCTAATTTTCTCGCTGAAATTGGGCGCAACCTCCTATTTTTTCAAAATTTTCGAAAAATCTCGGTGACCCAGAAAGAGCACCCTCGATTGATCCACCACTTTGGGCCCAGGAGCTTTTCGCCCTTCCCCCTCTCGCCAATTATTATTTGTGCACCAAATGAAAAAAGGGATTAGAGCAACGTCCGAACTAAATATTTGGCGGTAAATAATGCCAGGCGGGATTTACAGTGATGCAACGCGAGAGGAAATGAAGGAGAAACAATAGTTTTCTAAACCAGTTCGTTTGTTGACATTTCAAACTTCCGGGACACTTGAGAAAAGAGAGGATTTCGAGTCTTGAATTTGAATTTTATGAATTTTTGGACTTTGCATTTTTGTAACCACGATTCCTGTTGGCATAGAAGTGGTCCTCTTGAGTGCGGTTGATTTGTCCGTGCTCGTGGGATTTATTGCCCCTCTCAAGCGGCTCATTTCGTTCTGATCAGGGAGACAAAGCAATCTTCAGTACAGGCTGATACATTTTTACACGCAATAAATTAATCTGATTAATCCGGATCTGATCTTCTCCTCCATGATTTCAATTTCCTCTTATTTTTATAGTACCTATCTATCAGCCTTTCCCATAAGTCGAGTAGCGGATTTTACCAAATGACGGATTCGGCGTATTTTCAAGTGGATTCTCTAAGAAAATCTTCGAAGCTCGTTTGTGCGTTTCCCGGCAGCTGATATCTACGCGCTCGCGAATTTGAGAAAGCCGTCTTTTTCGCCGCCTGAAATTGAGGGTAATTACCAGGTTAACTTCAATAAGAAGGGTGACCTTGCTTTTTAGCGATAAGGTGACAATAAAACTTGTAAACATTGAAGTCAAAATCAAATCGAAAGCACCGCGAATCGACCCCATAAAATGTAACTCAAAGTTATTCAAGATATTTGCATACTATTGAGTTTTGGCGTAAAAAGAAGTGCACTCCTGTCGCGAATTTTCGCGCAGCACCAGATTGCTACAGTAAATTCAAGTGACAGTTTATCTGTCAAGGGGTCTTCAAATATGTCCAGTCGAATAAGACTTCAAAAATGCTTCCGGGACAGCTTCTGTTTATCGCTTTTTCAGACTCTCTATTCGGGCTTACCTGATTGAATCTGTTTGCGCTAGAACTTTTCTTCTTTCGACCATGTTGATTCCCATAAGTTCTAGCTGTGTATCAGTCAATTCTGCCAAGTCATCTTCTAGTATGATTCCATTCGATCTGAGTGTTTCTAGCGTCGTTTTTCGTGTGTTTCTCTTCAAAATCTCTTCTATTGGCAGCTGCTCTTCAGGTTCAAAAAACTCGAAAAATTCCTCGTCACTCCACGAAGTTTCCATTTTTAGTTTTCCTCGATTTTGTCAAAAAATAATTTGCGATCTCGATTCCGGGAGCTAATCTATCCGGATTTTATGAGCCTTGGAGCAAATCTAAATCGAGTACTCCGGGATTTAGATTTTCCGCGGCAATAAAAAAATCTGGAAAACGGGGTAAAAATAATCAGCTATCAAAAAATTTTAAGGACCAACATCAGCTGATGATGGATTTGCGAGGGAGTGATCATGAGCCGCGGGATGTTGGTTTTAGTGAGGATTGACAGGGGCCTCATGCTGCGGGAGTATACAAAAATCGAAGTAGCTGTGAAGGTCACTGTATGTTTCTCTTTGAACCTGTGCCTGATCTATCACCGACGCCGCGACGGATCCGTAGTCGGAGAACTCTGCCCGATAGTCGCCGCCCATTCTGAACCGGAAAAGTTACTCTTTCCTCTTTGATAAAAATAAAAAGAAAAACTCTGACAAAACCACTTCCAAGCATCTGAAGTGCCTTCTGGAAGTTATTCTCTAAAGAGGCCTCTCTCGGCGCCAAGTGCTAAATAGTCTCATTATCAAAATTTCCACTTGGACTTTTAAATAAAGCTCAGCACATTTTTCAGCGCTAGAATATCTGTCCTAAGAAATTGATAATGAAAATAAGTTGATAGTATTCTCTTTGGGCAATGGCCTGAGGCGACTCCGGACACGGCTGCTGAGTAGTATTTCCTTCGTGATGCAGCTCGCCGATCGCAAATATTGGACTTGGCCCCTCACTCATTTTACTATTACGACATTTGCGCCGGGATAAGCCTCTTTCAAAAAATCGCAGATCTCTACTCTTTCTTCAAAAGTAGTATTGACCTTGCCCCGGGCGAGTTCAAACGACGCGCAGGAAATTTCGACATCCTGGAAGTTGTTTTCAAAAGCGTTAACTCGCTTCCGGCAGGTTTTGTTCTCGCCCTTTTTGGCTTGAGCGATCTCTTGATTCCATAAGCTTATGATATCGCCAAATTTAAAAGCGGTTAACGTTGCTACAGGGAGTTTCCGTAACGGCTCAAGATCCGTTAGTTTTCACAGATTTATGGACCAAGAGCAAACTTTCCAATCTTTCATTTTGTCAACTGCGTCTTGAGCAGTTAAACAGTACAACGGTGATTTATGGAACTAATCAAATAGAAAGTAGAGTATTTCAATGTGTTTTTCAATTGAAAATTAATCAAGCACTCGTGCAGATTACCCACTGTCCTGATCGGATTAAATTTTATCCAGGAATATCTACAAAAGCTCAAGCATGCCAATTTCCTCTTATGAAGGGTCAAATAAAACTCAGAATTGCAAATCTTGCAGCTGCAAATCCAGCAATTTTCATGCGAAAGAAAATGAATATTTGAACAAAATTGAAAAGATTAAATAAAAAAAAATTCTCAAAGATACAGAAATGCCCCTGTTTAACAACTTTGAGCTACCAACATTGGCTTGAAAATAAAGATAGTAAGCTTTACCTTGTGGACATTTTTTCTTATGAAAATCTCTGAGGCTTCTTATGATGATTGTTTTGCAGTCAGTTGGAGTCAAGTGTTGGGTTAATTTAGTTGCGCTTGATTAGGAAGAAAAAAAAGGATGCGGGTTGTGCAAGCGTCCAAGGAAATTAATCTTCCTCCCGAATAAGGGATCGCTCGATTCGACGACATCTGCGCATTATTGAATCTCAATCTATGTCCTGCTCCGCGGATTTATAACATTTTAACACGGCCCTTGTAAATTTAGCGCCAAATTACCACTGTAATACGCTCGGTCAAATAATCGATGATCCAATAAATTTCAAATTTTGATTTCTTTGAACTTAGCCCTTCATTAGGTACAAATTCCTTACCGTACCAAGATGCCATCAAATTATGAATCATACGAATGATGAGAAAGGTGGGAAAGAAAGAAGGTCGACCCTGTCAAGTTTTTGGCCGAGCTTGGATGAAAAAAAAGGTATAAAAGGTTGTGAGTTTTCATTTTTCGAACCAAAAATGAACAATCACAAGAATCTTTTACTTGTTTTTTTCTTCCTCAAAAATGCAAAATCGTTGGAACATACAGGGCTTGATGATTTGAAGCAATGTCTTTTGGTAAAAAAATCGGACGTTTTTTGTTTGTTAAAAAGGTTTCAGGCAAAGGAGATTGGGGATTTTAGAAAATGTAAAGCAGCTGGCTTTGCAATGGATGAATTAGTTGACGAAACTGTTCTGCTAAAAAATCAACGATGGAAATTTTGGAGCTCAAAAACAGAGCAAAGTTGTGGACTTTCTTGTCGAAGGGATGAGCTCAAAATTGCTGGAAAAGTAAAGTGGAGGATCAAAGAGTATTTCCAATAAATTCATGCTAAGAGTCTTTTGAAAGCCCTCTTTCCTTCTGACCACAAGTTTCTGCGCATCGTCGAAGTCGGAGCAGAATTTGATGATCAAATAGACTTGGGAAATTGTTCTGGCCACTGCTTTCACAAATCAGCCCTTAGTTTACGGAGAAACAAAATAAAGACCTGCGCTGCTTCTCAAACAGCAGGTATGAATACTAATCTTTTAAAACTTTACGAAAAAGTTTTAGGTATAAAAGTGTACAATATGAGAATCAATCGACACTTTGTGCTTGAAGACGCGATCACAATCAGTTGCAAATGCTTTTCCTCGCATAATTGCTCATAGAGAACCATTATTGCTTTTATACTGTATAAATCTATCATACAGAAATTATAAATTATACAAAAAATTTCTTGACTGTTCGACATAAAATCGGATTTTTAAAAAACTTACTCTTGTGGCTTATCCTAAATTTATAAAGGCACTAAGCCTTACCTTTTTGGAAGGTCTCTTTTTGCCGCTCGTTGTGCAAACATTGAAAAAAAAATATATTATTAACTCTTCTTTGTTATCTTGAAAAAAACAGTGCTCAGTTCATGGTCTATTTGCTGCCAAAAAATCGACGTTGATCTTGAAGCTCAGAGCTCCTTAACTTATTCAGTACCGCTAATCTACTCAACCTTAATTATTGAAAAATATCTTTATCTCGAAGAAGCCTTTTTCAATTTTTTATTTGTTGAACTGGATAGTTAATCGATTACAATTATAATGGCCACGATTGTAAAGTGGACCCATTCTTCTTTTTTTTATGACGAGGGGATTTATTTATCAAGATTTCGAAACTCAGATCTTTGATTTTAAGAACTGCCACTTTGCCACAAAGCATAATCTTGAGGAGATAATACCAAACAAAAACAAGGAGTTCAAGGAAGTTCTTCAATTTCGCAAGTTTTTTCTGAAAGGGAGTCAGAATCCTCAGTACTCTATACTGGATACTGTCAGTCTTTGAGTATTAGAACAAAGATAGAGCCCATATTTTTTATATAAAAATAATTTTAAAGAATTATTAATTAATTTATCATTTATTAAGTTTCTTACCTGGTCATATAAGCCATTCTGCGGCTGTTAATTTCAAAATCTTCTTCAATAAACTTTCCGTCTGAGATCTCTTAACTCTTTTTCGAATCTTGTTTGTTTTGAAGAATCCAAGTTAGGCCGAGTCCGATTAATTTTTGGCGCCGAGTGAGAAAAAGTTTTTTACCGCTCGGCAATCTGGCACCACCTGCGGCACCTTGAAGCCCTTCCAACGCCACGGTCAAATTTAAATATTTCCGCTCCTGTTTTCTTTCTAGCGCGCGCGTTTGGATAATGAAATGGCCTTTTATTTTCTAAGCGCGAAATTGGAAGCATAATATTATTTTTAGCGATGAAAGGCGAATAAGCTGATCACGGGCGGGCAAATAATTTGCTTTTCAAGCATCTCAATATGTACAGATCCCCCACTAAGCTTTTCGTTTATCCTTATAGAATAAATAAGGGGGTATACCGTATACTGAGGATCATGCCATCTTGAATCGGCCTCCTGGAATAAGAAAATCTTAGGCCCTAAGTGCTTAGTTCTGCTGGTTTGAAAGTCCTTGCTTCGTTCTAACAACCCAAGATAAGAAAATCCTGCATTAACGAAATTGAAGACATGGAAGAGTTTTACAAAAGTAAAAAGCTCCCGAAGTAAGAATAGTGTATGTTTGAATCAGTAATTGGATTATCAGTTGTAAATTGGAATTGATTAGACTTTTTGATTTGTTTCTTCATTGGAAGAAACTTTCCGATACCATTGAAGCCGTCGCTCCGCGACATCTTCTGTAGAATGGCCTGCTAAAGTATTCTCTGCTACTCTCTTCGCAGCCATCTACCTCCTCTTCTGCCTTCGTTCCAAGGCGCTAAAATGCGATAGATCGACTCTATCGACTTACATTTCTCAACTCTGAAAATGAAAGATTAGGGTCAGTGAATTGTAAGTCAAATCAAGGAAGGTCGTCTGTAAAGCAGAAGTAAATGTCTCTACAGCAATTTTCGTAAAAAAGTAAAAGCTTGTTGTTCTCAACAGGCGAGTTGGTAATGAGCTTGAATTGTGGCAGTCAAGTGCGAACGAAAGTCTGAGATTTTGGAGCCAATCGCGAGCGGCGCTTCAAAGAAGTCACGCCCGCCTACGCGTGTTCTAGCGAATTTCGGGCCGGTCAGTGCTGGGTGGAGGCGCTCTCTCACGGAGGACCTGCAGGCGCCCCGTCAGGACGAATTCTTTACTGGAGGACGAAAATGGGTTAAGAACTCTTCGTTTTTTTTTTCTTTTTGAATGCTTGCTCGTCTAAGACGAGTGCTTTAGACTAGTTAGATTCTTTTTTTGATGTTCCAACTTGAACCGAAATTGACTTTTATAAGATAAACGGAAGCAACACTTTACTCTCTGTTTCTCACAAGTACACCTGTTGATTTCAAGCTGACCAATATAGGAGGGACACGGTAGGCACTTGTACCGGACAGAACAAAATGTCTGGCAGTTGAATTGTCGGCTGCAAACTTGTCCTTGAAATACAAATTTGCGCCCGCCTTGGTGACATTTGTAAAAGAGAACGCATTTGTCGAACGAAATTCGTTTACACATCCACATAATTTCTAGTCTTTTTTTTCATTTTTGTAAGAGATTTTAAAGAAGCGATAAAGGTTCTGAGGACGGCTTAGGCGGAAAAAAGCAGACCTCTGTAATTATCTGTAGATGGGCTTGAGGCAGAGTACACTGTACTATTGCTGCACATTAAATGAAGGCAACTGTATTCAAGACGACGTTTGCGTTGTAGCAAGTGGAGATAATCAAGAACATTCTTTTTGTACCCAAGAAGCATGCGATTACTACAACAGTTATATCGAAGACGGCGACTCGTGGAACTGCGACTGCTGTGATCTTAGATACAAGCCGGCACTGAATGAGCAGCAGCAGTGGATCCTCGCCATGTTCTCCGCAATCGTTGGCGTTCTCATAAGGTCGGGCGCGCGATAAAGGAAGTCTAAAATTTACTCTCTTCCCTTCATTACCATTTATGACATAAGAAATGAGTTCCTTCTTCATGCCTTTCCAAAAGTTACACATCGCTCACTTGCCTGCCAATTTTGTTCAGTCCGCGATATGCGGTCTTTAGGGTCTTCCTTTCTTCATTTACGCTCACTTTGCTGGTAAGAAAACCCCAATTTTTCACTTCTTATCAAATAGATTTCCATGTCAATCTTCGAACTGCTCCCTGCTGCAATTGGAATGGACTCTTGCGAGTCAGCAATGTGGCCTCACTGGCCAGTTCACGCTTCGATAATGTACGTGGCATTTTGGCTTTTTCATTCCATCGATAGAGTCATCTCTGTATTCGGTGCGGAGCCCGCTGAAAGGCACACATACGCAGGTCAGTTTGAATTTATGGAATCATTCTTGATCTCCGCGCCCGTCATTTTATGGATCACCTGAAAGATCGCGCGCGAGGTGATTTACTAAAATTTCCTTGAACATTCCAACTTAGAATCCATCTTATCTGGCTTGGACTTTGACGAGCAAAGAAGTCGAGCTCAATCTGACGTTTCAAAGAGTCGAATGACCGTGGCCACACTGACTGTAGATGTCCCAGAAGAAGAAATCAAGGAAGAAAAGAAAATCGAAGGCACAAGTTTCTCAAAGCCAAAAGAGCAGCCAAAACAAATAAATTCGAGGAAAAGCGTTCTGAAAAAGCCCCGCAAAACGATAGGCTTCCTAGATGTGTCCGACAGTCCTGGCTATTCGAGTCAAGGAGGATTTCTCAACCCAAGCCTAGCGATCGAAGAGGACGAAATGAAGGAACTTGACGAAAATCACAATGAAGAAGTCTATCAGCAGAAAAAAGCAAAAGTTATCGATACGACGAGAACAACGATTTTGAGAAAAACTGAAGCAGAAACGAGAAAGTCTGTTAGAATCACAGAGAGACCAAGCGGTAACATGAAATTTTGACATGTCCCGTTGAAGTCGTTTTAGAAATCGTAGAAGATAATGGTCAGTATTGGAACGAGTCTGCAGGAAAAAATGATGATGAAGTTCATAAACACGGCATAAGTTGGAAAAATATCAAACAAATTTCCAGTACTGCTTGGGTCATTATCGTCGGTGATTCGATCGAGAACATCGTCCACGGGTAAGAAAACGAATTAAAAACTGCGTGATGTGAATTTTTTGTACTTCAGCATCGCCATAGCAGCCGCGTATAATTCCTCGTTTCCCGCTGGCATTGGCATCTCAATTGCTATTTGCGCCGAAGAATTCCTCCACAAAATTAATGACTTCGCCATGGTCATGGCCTCTGGCATGAACACGCATGAGGAAATGGGCCCTTCCAGGCGCCAAGCGCAATTATTTTATTATTTGTTGGGCCCATCAATAGGCACTACTATTTAATGTGCTGAGCTCGCTTCCTATCTTTTTGGGAATCGTCATTGGAGAACTATTGTTGCATAATATCCACAGAGCAGACGATTGTGATGACATCTGCCATTCCTTTGGTGGAGACGAGTGCAAAGTTGATTTGGGCATTGAAGGAGGCAATGAAGGTCCACTTGTTTGTGATAATCCAGAGCAGGTATTATTCTATTTTTTTATTTAAAATCGGATGTAGAAATAATGATCTTTAGGGTTTTAGTAGGGCTCATGTGCACCAAGTAAGTTGCTTTTGCTTGACAAAAAGTGGCTGGTTTAACGTTTAAAGCTGGTGTTTTAATGCTTTAGTTGTCTTTTCTTGTTGTTTGAAAGCTTTCTTTTCCTTGTTGTCTTCATATTTTGGAGGTGATTCTATGCGCAGAGTTAACTTATTGATTAGTACTGTGCTGCGGCTGCTCTTGGATTGACAATATATGTGGCTTTCGGAGCCGTGCTCGGTGAAGCAAATGCCGCTGAATCTAATTGCCAGCAATCGACGAAACTTTCACGGGCAAAGGTACTCTTTTGAACTTTACGCTCCTTCCAAACTAACCCCCGTTTAGATTCTGTTACTCCAGCAGTGCGCTCACATCGTCGGACTTGGAGTGTGCATGTGCCTCGTTGTTCTGTCTCCACGATCACTTTTCGAGTACGACTTACTAGATACTGATATTGCTGATGGTTACTAGTCTTCTCTGCTTTTATTTATTTATTTTTTAAGTAACTTTTCATGTACAGTCATCTGATATGATTTCGATTGATTTCAGTTCAAGCAATCGGGCCAGGTGAAAATGGAGGCGCTTCTACACTCGTCATTGTCTGCTGTAGTTTTATTCAGGAAACTAAGAACATTCTCGTACGTGAAAGATGCGCAAGGACTCGAGAACGGGCTCTGTATGCATTCTAAAACTGTTGAATCTTGAGCTTTTCGATCTTTTCTTTACCCATTTGTCTTGTTGTCTGCATCATCATTGAAACAGGGAAATTTACGTTTGTAGTCGACTCAGACGCTCTTCTAGCCACCATCCGAAGCATCAGGTAGCAGCCCGACATGGACATCAAAATAAGAAAGATAGAACCAATGAAGCCAACGATTTCTTTGCAAATTTGATCGGCAATGCGCTGCGATTTGAGGAGTTGAGCATTGCGCGATCCTAGAAACGAAAAATTCACCATGAATGACTAAAATCTCGGTCGGTTCTCTCTTCTGTTGCGTCGTTGTTGATTGATATAGAAAAGAAGAGGAACTCTAGCGCTTTTTCATGGCTGAACGGAGTGATAGTGGAGCCAGGCCTGGTACTTCAAAGGTTGTATCAAAGCGTGATATCCTTCCTATTTCATTCTGCCAGAGACGATAGATACTTAGTTTTGAAATAATTATTCGAAAAGAAACTGCCGCCAGATAACTGAGCAATTAGCAGGTCAACGCCAAGAGCTTTAGAAAATTATTTCTAAATCAATATTCGCCCTTGTTAACTCTCGGCAAAATCCATTCGAAGGTCATTTGAGAATGTTCAAATCGAACACAGCGAGAGTCTTTTTTATTCTGGCACTCGTTTTTACTTTTGTTATTTTCATTTTCTTCATGATCATTTTTGTAAAACTGACGAGGTCGGTTTGGAAGCAAGCAACGAGAGGTGATCAATTGGGGTGCTCGGCGATGAATTCAAGGTAAGATTCGTTTTACGAAATTTTCAGGGAAAGACGGATTGATAAACTTTTAGGAGAGCAAATACACTTCGTAAAAACAGTCTGCATCCTTCATTCAGAAATTTAGAAACGCCAAGAACGAAAAGAACCCTTTCTCCTTTTTCCCCTCAATAAACAATTACGATATTTTGTTATTTTCTCCCAATCCCTCAAATCTTCTGACAAAGCGCGCAATCCCCACTTTATTCGAGCAGCTATTCATCCCTCATCCTCATTTTCGCCCAAGTCCTTCCAAAACTGCTTCATTCGCAAATACACAAAACAGAAAATTAGTCTCAAGGGGAGGGAAAATTGCACACTCGATCGAAAACATTCGATTTCACGAAAAAGCTAAACTCGCGAAATTGTGATTGTTTGAATAAGGGTTATCTAGGTCGGAGATTTTCGACCGTGAAATTTCGGGGATATGGGCGGCTCAAGGGCTGGCTGGTGACCAGCAGGAGATTCTAGTGCGGATTTCCGAAGAAATATACAGATCAACTTGGATTCAACTATTTACCCTGGCCAATTTTTATGCAATAGATAAGGTTGTTTCTTATGATCCCGATTATATATACCGGCATCCCTATAATGAAATTAAGGGTTCACCTCGCCGAGTGACACTTCTTAATTCGATCTAAATATCGTCTAATCCCGTTTAAGAGATGTCGGATAAGTGACAGCTTCTTGTAATGCGCTCAATTATCCGCATCGAGTGATCAAACGCCCTCCCAGCAACAAACACGTGATCATTCGACAGCTAGAAGCACTTGAAAGATCCAGCGCGCGCTGAGAGCACTTCTCCGAGATTCCCATAACACCCATGCGAGGGCCCTGACTAATCTGCTTTGACACTTGTTTCTAGCGGCATTTTTTGAATCTAAAACTTTATTGTTTATCAATGGCCAAATTAATAACATTGATAAAGTCTTTGTAAAACTTCTCGGTAGTATCTGGCAACTCGTTGACGAGCGAATGATAGGCTCCTTCATAAGTGTACAATCTGGCTCCGTCAATATACTTCTCCAAGAAATAAGACCCTTTGGGAGTGATTACTTGGTCATCTGTTCCAGTAAAAATCGCGAGCGAAATGTTCTTTGGAAACAATCCTGCTTTGATCCATCGTCGGACGTCCTCTTGAGCATCGAGAAATCGAACTCCAAAATCTAAACTGTAACCTCCATTTGGTCCATAAACCGCGTCTTCTTCTTCAATCGCTTTTTGGAGGATCTAAAATGACACGAATCCTAATGGTTCCTCCAACTATTCTACCTTATTTCTCGTGACTAAATTATTATCACGGTCTTTCGGAGTTTTTAATGAAGGACAACAGCAACTCGCAATTCTTCCAACAACTCTTAGCCATGAAGGCGCAGTTGTTTTCGAAACCTCATTTCTTATAAAAATACAATAAATTCGAGCATTAAAACCTCTACAGCCGGAGCAAGAAGCACAAGGCAATCGATTTTAAGATTATCATTTTTAATTGCAATCAGGCTCAGCAATCCACCGAGAGACGTTCCCATCACTATAACTGGTAGCTGTGGATGTTCCTCTTTAGAAGCCTCGATTCTCGCAAAAAGATCTCTCGCAGATTCATCGAAGCTCTTGAGTTGACAACGATCCCGGTGGGTTCTTTCAAAGGGTCCGGATTTCCCGTGAGCATAGTGATCGTGACTTTAACAAGCTATCTACAGATTCACGAAATGAAAAAGAAAATGCTTTCTTTCAAGCTTCTTCCTGTAAACTATTCCTCCCAAGTCTAACATCTTCGGAATTAACTCTCGGGTGTAGCTGAGCTCTGCTCCACGGCCGCCGTATCCGTGACTTATGTAGAGAACAAATTTAGCTTCACCGACTGGTTTCCATTTATACGTCTCTAACTCGTAGCCAAACTCGCTTTTGTATCTCCCGTTTTCCATTTTTATGCTAATAATTTAAACGATGATGGTTAGATAGTAATTTTGTGCTGTAAACAGGAAATTGATAACTCAGAGTTTTATAACTATCCAACGACGTAAGATTTGTCTAGTAAAAACGCTGGGAATGAAAATTTTCTTTATCGTCAAGCCGAGAAGTGCCAAATTGACCAGGGCCTTAACCACACGACAATGTTGATAAGATTTAGCCAGCTTTGTGCTCAAAATCGCCTCGCTAATCGAACTTCCCTAATGAGAGTCTCGTTTTTAGGTAAACAAAAAAGATTAGCCTGCTTGTCCAAAACATCCCACGGCCAGCTGACAGGTTAAAGGTTGTGGGTGCGTTTTGTTTTGGAGCATAATTAGTACAGGTTAAATAAGTTGATAGGCTTTTACTAAACGAAGAGGTCTTTTAGCAATAAAGCTTTATTCAAATAATTGTTAGAGTAAATAATTTTATTATTGTTTATTTTCTCCTTTGTCGGTTTAAAGGCTTTGATGTGACAAAAAGGCTTGCTCTTAGAAAACATGACCTCTAACTTGTTTATGTACGATTCGGGGAAGGTTACTGAAAAATTTCTTTTTGAAGTTACTTTTTTTTCCTTTATCGAAAGCTAGACATTTTAATTATGCAAAGAGGACAGAACCGGAAGGAGTGACATTATCAGCTCGAGTATTTTGAGGATGAGAAGCGTCAAAGCCCCTTGAAGTTGTCGCATTTTCCACTTTTCAAGTTCAAGATAACACTCAAGGGTTTTATGAAAATTCGATGCCAAAGAACATGTTTCGTCTTCGGGATTCGAACTCGAAGAGCTGCGGACCATGTTTTGCTGCATTTTTCTTCTTTGATTTGTCGATCTTCGGAGAATTTGACGAAGGATTAATCTTGCGCAAATTAACTTCTTCTCAGTCATGTTTGAGTGGATGCCCTTACTTCCGAGTCCCTTTCCGGAAACGGAAACTTTTGACCCGTCCGCTCGATGACTTTGCACAAAGATCAAGCACTTCCTTTATTTCTACTTTACCCCGAGCTTATCCCTGATCTCTGTGCTCGATTGTGGTCCTTTCATCCTTTTCAAAACTTTCCTCCTTTATCCGCCCCGCTGTTTGGAAAAGGAGGAAAGGATGGTTTGTTGCGAAATCGGATGAAGGAAATCTCTCAGTGCTTTATTTTCTTCGGTAAAATGATATAAACAGGTTGATGCCAGAATTGTGGCCAATCTTGTTGGTGAAATCTATACATAATTCTTAAAGGCTCTAGTCCTATCGATAAGTACTTGTTGCAACATACGGGCTTGTCCTTTGATCTTCGTCAATTTTCCGCACCTTCCGTCTCCCCTTAATTTTGATCAATCACGTGCACCTGATCAAAGTCACGGGGCCATAATGTTCCTCACCAACCGAGGCGGGTTTCGATTTCCGAACAAAGAAAGTTTTTCCAGCAATCGCGTTTTGATCTCTCCTCTCGGCGGGAGATCATCTCCAACTGAGTTAGGGACCAAATTAGCTTGATTTTTGAAGGTTTATGAGCGGATCATTGAGTTTATAGCGGAAATACTAAGACAATACCATAAAGATATAAAACAGGACATTGCAGGGGGTTGCACTCTTAATCCGGAAGTACAGTAAATCCCGGTCAAAACAACTGTGTTTATTATTCTTCCCCTCATAATTCCAGAATACCCAAAACCTTCTCATCCCTTCTATTTTGCAAGTGAACTATTTGAAAAATACAAAATCGAGGGGAGGATGTTTTGTTAGTTTCAAAACACAACTGATTCTGAAATACACTTTCTGTCATGCGAAAATGCTGCAAAAGCACCTGTCAGATACATCACGTGATCCGTCACGTGCAGAGGAATTTTTCAGTGCCTCGGTATTGCCTGGGAAAACAAATAATGCGAGATTGGAAATGGAGATAGATCAGCTCGTTTCGATCAAGAATATTATAATAAGGGTTTATCAATTTCATTATCGTATAGATGCTAGCATTTATCAGAAGGTACTATCATCAAAGAAATCCTCATTATACGTGCCTTATCATCTGTATACATCTGTACACGTGCTTTGTATCATATCACATGATTACGCGTTTTTGAATAAATTACCAGAAAAACGATAAAAGCATGAAATGCTTTGGTAAATATGAAAGTTCTTCTTCAATACAGAAAATGATCCCGATAAAACGACTGTGTGCCTCAATTTTGATGAAATTTCTTTACCCCTAATTTGATTTAGTTTGACAAGCGTTGCTGCGATTGACCTCCTAAGGTCAACGCAATAAAATAATTCGTGTTCTTCTCCTGGGAGCGTGCTTGTTTGTTAATTCTATTTTCTTCGTGTAAATCGGGTACAGGGGATAAATTGATGGTGTTTGACAGATTTGTAAATATAATAATGTCTTGTTGAATGAATTAACTTATCAAGAACAGGGTTCTCGTGACCAGTAAGTAAGTTTCTTTTTAATTTTGATAAAGAAGCCTTGATCCGGAAATGTTCGACTTTCTAACTGCAGAAAATCCTTTTCCTTGATGATCTTTATCAAAAAAGCCGGAAAAGCTGTGTGAAAACAGAGCTAAATGACCCGGATTATTCTCGGCAAAGAGAGCGGAAGCCAACTGATCCAAATCTGAGTTTTCGAACTGCACCTGATAAGAAAAAAAAAATTCGGCGGAAGTAGAGGTGATGAAAATATTTGCAAACATTTTTTAAAACAGCGCACAGATTTAAACAAGGCAAACTTTCTTAAAAATTCGAATCGCAGAGGCTTTTGCTAAGGTCCTCTTAAAAGATAGATAATTAAAGTAAGCAGGTGATCCCTCATTATTTCTAGTTATCAAGGCCAGATCTAATGGGAGAGGACTTTTCATGCTCGGATAAACAAAACCCACAGCTCGGGCGAGGGCACGAAGGAATCCAGGTGCTGATTTTGTTCTCCACCTATTTTTATATCAGTTGAGTCTTCGTTTATCTAAGGGCCAAATTTATGCTGCCGCTAAAGCACGAAGACTACATTTTACAAGAAATACTTGGATTTATGGAATTTAAGGACCCCAAGAAATACATTCTTGTTCCTGAATTCTTAGGCGTCAAGATCAAAGGATCGTAGGGTGTCACCATGCTTCTCCTTGTTTAATATTCTCCTACGCCAGAAGCTCTGAGTTGACCCCCAGATAGAAGCTAATCATGAATTAATGCATATCATCTTTATGCATCTTATCACCTCTCAGCGTGTCAATTCATCATTTCTCGCATTAAATAATCACGTGACTATCCGTACCCCCATTATTTCCCAGCCCTTAATCACGCGATAAGGATTATAAGATGGGGAGGCCCGATAAAAACCCACGAGAAAGAATTCCTCGCGAATTTTTGATGGAGATGTCTAATTACGGTAAATTCGGAATTTCGCGGTTCTGAAAGATTTTCCCAGGCGGTAGAATAGGGCTTGAATGCATGTTAGCCAGGGCGGAAATGGGCGAGAGCGGATTCCGACGGGTCAGAGTTTTGGAGAGCCGCCAGAAGTCGGTCAGTTCCGGAGAAGAGGGGTATTTACATTTTAGAAAATTATATCTCCTCGAATATGCTTTAACTTGCTGCTGGTAGATGCAATATTACCTTGAGCTTGATTAATTCAATTTTTCGCCTGTTATGATAATATCCTTAATTAAACACGAGCACAATAAAGAGCATTGATGTCGAAAATTATACGCAAATCATGAAAATGTTGGGGCTCAGATCGTTCATCCTATTTTTTGTCCATCAGAGCTTTGCTGAGTCCGAAAGATCTCCCGAAAATCTTGAGAAACGGAGATTTTTTGACGCAGATGACAGCCTTTACAGCTTCTTGAAGTACAAGCAAAGAAAAAGTTCTAACAAGAAAGGAGAAAGTTCTTTCAAGTCGCAATTAGCCACTGAATCTATTGACTCTGCACTTCTTTGGGAACTTTTGAGAAGCGACGAAGCTGCTCACGACTTCAGGGATCAAGCATTCGAGCAATTCTTCAAATAGCTTGGAAAACTTGGAAACTCGTTTATAAGAACAATAAAACACAAAATATCCAAACCAGCTGTTTTGTGGTAAAAGCCGCGGTCAGCGCTCGATGACCTTCGCCAAGAAATATTTCAAATCTAACCGCAAAACACAAGTTTTGTTTGGAATTTTATATATTTAGTGGTCGTTTTTTGGGGAAAAAAATAGGAAAAAGCCTTTTCTCTTTTACATGTCTTCAATATTTTAGAATGCTGACAACCAGTTCAAAGATTTAAGAGCGTCGGATCCTTAATTCTTGTCCTCGCTTGCGCTTTTGTACCGCAGTTTCCTTTCAGAATTGTCGGTTTCTCAAAAGTGAGCCTATCAATAGAACCTTTTCCTCGTAGGTCCAAAAAGAACGCCTATTTGTCCATTCAAGGGTTTGACAAAAGGGATGATAGATTCGTGTTGTTCGCGACTTGACGATTATTGACTGAAAAATACGATTTGGAGGAGCGATTGGGGCGAAATTGACAAGCATATTGACACATTCGTGCCATACATTCACATGATGATTTATTGTGACAGATGATTGTATACAAAAGTCTTGTGCAATGTTGCGAATTCTTAACCTTCCAAAACAGGATGGCAACATAAAATCTCATCCCGTTAATTTCTAAGCAAATTTCCCAGGGATACTTACGAGTTCTAAGCAAATTTACCTTCGATCCCCCATAAAGTCATAGAGCCGAGCATGACAGCTCGCGCCACAGATGGCTGACCATGGAGGGCGCTGCATAGCAGGCGACTAGGGCGCTCGAAAGCGCGCGCAATTCAAAAAGAAACTTACGGGAAGACCCAAACCTCGTACTTTTACGAATCAACAATCCAATAGAATCAAATTTTATAAGACTCTTCTGAATATCTTGAGAGAAACTTGATCATAGAAAAACATGGTGCTTACTCGAAGAACTCTTTCTTTTCGAACTCCCTCGATGCCCGCTCCAAAAGAGCCTGAAAACGAAATCGTCTCATACGGTAAGAAAACATCTTTTCTAGCATTATCTAAGCAATTTCTTTAGCTACTCCCTTGAGGTCAAATCTCGCCCGTCAGGGGTCTGTTGAGGTCATCAGCGATGTAGAAATGACATTCAGCTCAAGCTCGCTCAATCGAAAAATTACTCGTGCCAAAGCTAAAAAACCACTCATCAGGTACTTTTTATCGCATTATTATGAGAAACAAGAAAACTGAACTAAAAATTCAACTTTTAAAGACATCCCTAATCCCAAATTCAGATCCCTTGCGACAATGGCTCAGATCAGCCGACAGTTGACGATGCTGGAGACCGTTGATAATCAGCTCAAAGAAGTAAGAAATCCAAAACTTTGATCCCTGTCATCAGAATCGCGCTATTGTATCTATCATTTTTGTCGGCGGATCAAAAATTGGATTCTGATTTATTTCACGGTCCGTTTTCGGTCCAGTGCACTCACTCCTCTGAGATGGAGAGTGGACCCAAAACTTGTTAGAGCACTTCCGGGCGATTTTGGTATCAGCAAAGATAAAAAGCAAAGCGGGCGGGGTTTACGCCACGATGATTTTTAACCACATCACAGATGTACGGACTTATTTCGGAAATAATCAAGCCGTGTGAAGCAACATTCCGGGGCTTGATTCAATCAAGGACTTGTCAATTGATTATAAATTTTAGCTGGAATGGCGCTGGGTGCACCTGGTTGTGGGAGACGGTATTCTAGCTCTCTCTGATCCGACGACGTTTCATCTTCAGTCACGGGTCTCTTTGGCCATTGCGAAAGTCAGAGAAGTCAGACACCGAGGACGGGGAGTTTTGAAGCTCACGCTGAGTGATAACACCTGCTACTACCTTAGGTAAGCAATCATTTGATCAAAAAGTTGAAGCTAAAATATTTCATCGAATAGTTACCCAAAAAATTTTTGTTTCTAAAGTCCAATTCAGATACAAAGATCGAACCGAGCGACGACGCTGGCTTGGCTGCCTTCTTCAACAAACATCGATCCGCCCTAAGAACATTTCCTCCTACCCCTCCTTTCTCCCATCCAAACCGGCCAAGCCCGAGCCAGCCTTGCAAGTCCGGACAAAACGAAGTGCTTCCTGCATGACGCCCAGCGGAAACTCGAGCGCTGAAATGAGCGCCTCCGACATCTCCGAATCCATCATCAGCCAGAAAGACCTGTCGAACGCTGATCAGCTGATAGCTGAGAAAAGTCAGAGGAGCATGAAGCGACGCAGGAGTGCAATCGCTGTTTTCGCAAAGATCCCGAATTTGATCAAGAAACGACTCTCCATAGCATGAAATTGTTTATAAGAAATTATCTGCGCCGGTCTATTTTTGTTGTGAATAAATGTCGATAAAAAATATTTCTTGAGTTTCCTCTATTTCAGTGTGTTGCAAAATTGGTAAAAGAATAAGGGCAAAAGTCTATTATCCGATTCAAAGGTTAAACAGTTGTACAGGTAGTCGATAAAATCTTGATTTATAAAGAATAAACAATTACTGAAATTTTGTAGAAGCAGTTACAGAGCAATAAAATTAAAGGTCATTACTGGCTCTATCCCGTGAGGGAAGATTTTCGAAAGCAATCTAGTGATTTGGATCGAATTTAAATAGTGGTTTAAGATCGGGCTTCTTGAATAAAAATCAAGTGAATTTAATTATATGCATTTCGGAGCCTGTCTGGCTGCTTTCCGCGGCACTTGAAATTTCACTTTCGAGTGGGCTTTATCATTTCGTCAATGTAGACTGGTAGACTGGAGAAACTTGAAATTTTTGGGAAGAGCACTTGTTAATGAATTCGGAAATCTCGAGCCTACCAAAAACAACAATCATCTTCACTTGCCAAGTTCGCGAGAAGCGTACTTTGTTTTGACATGGAAATTTGGATTTGATTTTGGAAGCGCTTATCTTTATTTAGGGAAGCTTTGCGAATGTTTGGCTGTTCCGAAAGAACTGTAATTACCTCCTTCGCATTTGAATATTAAAAATATGGCATCAATTCGTAAGACGCCCGTTATTCGAAAACGACAAGGATCAGGATGGATTTAGGCGAGATTTGAAAAGTTATATCGCGGGCGCCATATTCAGAAATTACGCGATTTTCGTGGATTTGTAAACGCGCAAATCATTTCGCCGGTTGTGGGAGAAATAACGGAAGCGATTATACAATTTTGGAAGGCGTTGGTTTCCTCAAGCACCTGGTTTCATCTCGGTTTTGGGCCCACCTGTCTGTCTAGCGTGAATATTAGGCATCTTTATATACAACTTTCTATGGCCGCCAAAAGTTCCACAAGAAATCGAAGCCGGAATGTCCGACTTCACGGAAACACAAATGCGAACACCTTCCGGTCCATATTTCGGCTATTTCGCAACGCCTTTGTTAAATTTTTCACATTTTTACATAGCCATCCAAACAACCATTCCCGCCCCTCAAGTTAGATTTTTCGAAATGTTTTTGGTACTCAAATTTTTTTGTTGGCACAATTCCTGGTTAGGATTGAATGGTAAATCTATAAAAACTGGCAGAGCAGCGCAAATTGAGCATTTTAAGGCTTCTCAAGCGCTTTGATCAAGAATCTTTCATGAGCTTTAATTTTGGCCCCATATTTTTCTGCTTCGCTTGGCAATCATGGTATATAATTGAGACCTGCAACAAGAGAAACAATTTTCTCAAGCTATTTTCGAACGTTCACAAAAATAACTTTCGGTTTTATAAAATAAATAAATTTATTATTATTAAAAATCTGTGTGTATAAAAATAAAGATTGTCGTATTGACAGAGGGAAGAATAGAACTTATAAACATAAACATTATTTGTTGAATTGGAAGCATTTGAGAAAAAAGGCACATTTTGTTGTTGAAGGGACATTTTTCAAAAGATTCAGGTTCAATGGCGATTGTGGAAGACGATACCGTTGTATCCTACGTTTTCTAGTGCTTTGTTAGAGAAAGTTTTTATAGGATTTTGTACCTTGGATGTTATGTAGTCTTTCATCAAGTCTCTGAAGCGACTGCTCAATCTGTGCTTCTTCCATCGAGATTGTCGTCGTAGCTGGATTCAACACGGTCATTATTCGATCGTTGGGAATACCCTGCTGCGCCAAATGCTCAGCTACGAGGAAGGCTTGGTTGGAATCAAGAACATGCGCTAGAAAAGTGTTCTACAGAAAAGTTTCTCAGATCTAATGCTTACCAGAATGCGGACGGGTCTTGGACATTGTTGGATTACTCGATGGTTTTGGTCGGTAAACCGTTGAACTCTTTGGTCGTTTTTGTTGCTGACTTTCTAGCACGGCTCGTACTCGCTCCCAGAGCCAGTTGATATCCTGAAAGTAAAATTTAATGCCTTTTTAGACATGAAAGAGCATACATTATCAGTTGGAGTTCGGTTGAGAGCAGGTTCTGGTGAGATTTCTACACTTCCGATATTGATATTGGTCTAAAATTCAAATGAAAATCAAGGAAGACAAGCCACTTTCTTACCTGATTGTTGGAGTTAATCATCATTCGCTGATCAGGCCTGGACTGCTTCGGGTGCATGACTTTAACTGGATTCGTCACAGGGGCTGTTTTCTTCGTTCTCAAAATCTGTGTCCTTGAAATCAACGGCTTAGGAACTGTCGGTGGCATTGGCGTTCTCGAGACTGGATCTGGTCGAGGGACTTTGGGAGGTGCTGGTTGGTACTGAGGATAGTCAGTTTTAAGCTGAGTGCCTGATGATGGGAACGGTGTCACTGAATAAGCTAAACGAAATGAGCAAAAATTTCAGTAATAAAGAGTTACCAGAATGATAAGATTGCATTTGCGATGGAGGCGGTTGAGGAGTAACGGTCACTTTTGGCGCCTTCTTTGCTTTCTTCACTTTTGACGGTGCTTTTGAACTCGGCGAGCTTGATTTCGTCGAGCTCTTCTTGTCGATCGAACTCTTCGAGTTTTTCAGCTTGACTCGACGGGGATTCTTTTTCTTAGTCTTTTCTTCGGCTGTTACTGCTTTACCATCAGCACCAAATTCAGCGGTTGTGTTATCCTGAAGCCATTATTGATAGTTTCAGCTGAAAGAACTTACGTTGTAATACAGCTTGTCCCATCGCACGTTTCTTGGAGCCTCCACTTTTTCATCCTCGACAGCTTTTTTCGACATCTCCAATGAGTCCCGAATTGATGCTGCGATGATGCCACGATTTCCTGCTGCTGAAACGACTCTTCTCTGAGACCTCTTCTTTTTCAGAATTCCTAAAAAATCAAGCTGATGAAAACAAGGAGGAAATACCTTTTGGCTGTATAGCTGTCACTTTCGGAACCTCCTCAACAGTCTCGTTGATCCTCGACATTGAGTTGAATTCAATAACTGATTCAGCCTTTATAGATGAGTCAGAGAGCTTCTTCAACAAATTTTGCTTCCTCGGATCGACTGCGTTAGGTCTGCTTCCATTCGGAGGCGATGGGACTTGAACTGTCGCTGTCACTGTTACTGGTGGAGCTGGCTTGACGATTTTCACAGGCGCATCCTCCACTTCTGGGGTTGAGCAGCGGTTGATAACGAGGTGAGCTTTTTCTGGCTCGACATCAAAGGTTTCGTTTTCATTCGTTTCTTGAATCGTTTCATCCTCGATTGATTCTGCTTGATCATCGTCTGATGAATCCTCTACCTCGTCGATTTCATCTTCTACCGAGGCATCTTTATAGGAATCTTCTTCTGGTGGAACGCGACGATCGGAATCATTCCATGCTGATTTAGGCTTTGGATAGAGAGGTGGCTTCGGAACGAAATCAGAAAGCTCCTGAACTTCTTGTGAATGCCTTCGTCGCACTGCTGCTTGTCTTGAGCTTGGCATCGGATTCGGGATCTCTTCTCTTTTCGTCGCCGAAGGAGTTCTAGCGCGCTTAGTCAGATTGTCGAAATAAGCTTTTCTCGATTGAGCAGCTTTGATGGCATCTTCTTCTGTTAAATCTTTTCGGCCAGAAGCAAAGGGACTTTGGAAGCGGGTGTCAGACAAACTGTGTAAATTCTGCTGTACATTGAGTTCCGGAGCGGTGTAGCTCTTCTGCAGTAGCGGCGAACCAAATCGACGGCGCATGGGGATCATTCCACGCTGGTATCGCTCGGTCACATCACGCTGGCGTTCTCGACGCTTTTGCAGTTCAGATTTACGGGCGGCTTCCTCTTTGGCTTCCATCTGAGCTCGGCGGTCTTGCAAAGCGCGCCGCCTCCGTGATGTTTCCCGACTAGAAAGAGCACAATCACAACCCGTTCCTAATTGAGTTATCTTACCTGAGCTGGCGCGCTCGCTCTCTGTCGATATTCCGCGCTTCCATCTGGCTTTTGGTGATATTGACGGCGTAAACGTGTCCGCCGACTCTCACAGTCTGCGGACCCTGGCCATATATTGTCATTTACGTCCTGTTCGAGTCTTATTCAAGCCATCTGAAAACAGTTAAATCGTTACACTTTGTTAAAGATCTGTAAATTGAGTTTAGTTACATGTGAGCAGGTGAAAGTTGATATTAAATTATTTCTACCAAAATGAATAAATCCTAAAGGAAAAATGTGATTTTTGTATGATTCTTTAGAATGCCGCGTTTTTACTTTGAAAATTGACTTTTGAAGTGACTTAGGATAAATAATGCCCAACAGTATTTTTTACAAAAAAAGAATTTTTACCAATTCAGTGCCGCCGAGATTTTCTCTTAGTTCCGGTTTCAAAATCGATTTGTTGCGTTAAAACTAATGACATGAAATTCCACGAATTAACTAACAAATAATACTCTAGAAACTCTAGAAAACATTGAAACCAGTGCCTCGCGTGCCTTTTTCTCCCTGTAATCGCGGTTAGACCTCGAATTACTGCGAGATCTACTGCGCCTAGAGCGCTTGCGGTCCTTTTTGGAGCTCTTTTTAGAACGAGATCTCGACCGTGAGCGAGAACGCGTGCGCTGTCGTCTACGGGCCGGGGATGAGTACCTCGATGATTCCTTTTGCTCGGTTTTTGGTTGAAATTAACGTGGAATCCCAACTTTACCACATTGAAGTTGATAATCTTTTAAATGCTTATCGTATCTTCCAAAAACCATTCCTGAGATTCATCGTCTGTACTTGAGCTATCCTCCGACCCTACAAAAACTGTTAAAAAATTCAATCTTGCTACCCTCTGTCTCATCTGACAGTCATATGGACGGAAAAAATCCAAATTTGAAAAAAACTTTTTTTTTGGAACTTCAATTTTTCATTGCTACCATCGAATTCCCCATATTTGAAAACCTAGAAAAAAATTATTTGTTTAGACAGGAGGTCTTCTAAATCTTTTCTAACTATTATTTAAAAGAGCAAAAATGCCCTTCAGGAAAAGCTTCTTTTGAGAGGGTTGCCGGATTTTTTCTTTTGATTTCTTTATTGGTTCATCAAGAGACAAGTCTAGGACAGTCGGCAAACCAAAGAAAATAAGAAAGTTTCGATGTCTTCATGCTTAAAATAGGCATTTAAAAACGTGAAATTCGTCAAAAACAACGAGAAACGTGAAAAAACGCTGGACGGTCAGTAATCGGCATTCTATTGAGCAAAAAAAGTCGAACAAGTCAAAGGGAAGATATTTCGATATAAATGCCTATCGAAATATATTTATATATATTAATCTTTTAGATCTCCTCTTTCAATATACACAGATTCGACTATTTCGCCTTTTTTCAATCAAATGAATTATCTAGGCTTCTTCGAAACCCAGCACGACTAATTTTTCAAGAAAATTATTATTTTTGAATGCTTAAAAATAACCATTTATTTCAAAGATGGTCAAAATCTTGGGGCCTCCAGTCTGATTTTTCTCGTGCTGGTTCAAATAGAGTCACTTATCATGTGCACAAAATTTCATGCGTTTTGAAGTGCAGCGCGACTATTAAAAGTATAAATTATTAGATAAGCTTTTATCAGCGCTAGAATCTGATTTTTTCGAGCCTCCAAGCTAATTCCTCTTAACCGAAGTTTGGTTACTGTCAGGTACCCGCATGCAAAATTTCATACAATTCGAGACGCAGCGCGACCCTTTTTGACTTAATTGTATCGAAATTTTATAAAAATAGCCATTTATAAGTAAGTTTTGGCCCTAGAATCCGATTTTTAAAGGCCTCCAATCTAATTTTTGGAAAGCGAAGTAAACTGAGTACATTCTATCATATTGCAAAATTTCAATCGATTTGAGGCGCAGCGCGACCATTTTTTTACAAAAAATAATAATTATAACCACTATAAAGTAAGTTATCAAAGAAAATTGATCGCGCTGCGTCTCAAATCGATTAAAATTTTGTAGACAGATAGAAAACACTCATTTTACCACGCTTGAGAGAAATTGGGTTGGAGGCCCTCCAAATTTTGATCCTCGGGCCAAAATAAAATTATAAATGCCTATTTCTTTAAATTTTTTGTAAAAAAATGGTCGCGCTGCGCCTCAAATCGATTGAAATTTTGCAATATGATAGAATGTACTCAGTTTACTTCGCTTTCCAAAAATTAGATTGGAGGCCTTTAAAAATCGGATTCTAGGGCCAAAACTTACTTATAAATGGCTATTTTTATAAAATTTCGATACAATTAAGTCAAAAAGGGTCGCGCTGCGTCTCGAATTGTATGAAATTTTGCATGCGGGTACCTGACAGTAACCAAACTTCGGTTAAGAGGAATTAGCTTGGAGGCTCGAAAAAATCAGATTCTAGCGCTGATAAAAGCTTATCTAATAATTTATACTTTTAATAGTCGCGCTGCACTTCAAAACGCATGAAATTTTGTGCACATGATAAGTGACTCTATTTGAACCAGCACGAGAAAAATCAGACTGGAGGCCCCAAGATTTTGACCATCTTTGAAATAAATGGTTATTTTTAAGCATTCAAAAATAATAATTTTCTTGAAAAATTAGTCGTGCTGGGTTTCGAAGAAGCCTAGATAATTCATTTGATTGAAAAAAGGCGAAATAGTCGAATCTGTGTATATTGAAAGAGGAGATCTAAAAGATTAATATATATAAATATATTTCGATAGGCATTTATATCGAAATATCTTCCCTTTGACTTGTTCGACTTTTTTTGCTCAATAGAATGCCGATTACTGACCGTCCAGCGTTTTTTCACGTTTCTCGTTGTTTTTGACGAATTTCACGTTTTTAAATGCCTATTTTAAGCATGAAGACATCGAAACTTTCTTATTTTCTTTGGTTTGCCGACTGTCCTAGATTTGTCTCTTGATGAACCAATAAAGAAATCAAAAGAAAAAATCCGGCAACCCTCTCAAAAGAAGCTTTTCCTGAAGGGCATTTTTGCTCTTTTAAATAATAGTTAGAAAAGATTTAGAAGACCTCCTGTCTAAACAAATAATTTTTTTCTAGGTTTTCAAATATGGGGAATTCGATGGTAGCAATGAAAAATTGAAGTTCCAAAAAAAAAGTTTTTTTCAAATTTGGATTTTTTCCGTCCTATGGGTACTGAACTGCTACTGATTGTCGATCAAGACAAGTTCATGTTAACCCTCACTCTCTCTGTTTTACATGCTACTCTGGATAGTCTCTCCTACCTATGTTGAATTGCTTAAGTCGCTTTCTTTGCTCACGATCAAAGATTTTGCGCTTTTTACGGATTTTTTCAGAGTCGACGGACCAGTCGGAGTCATTTTTATCAGACTCCTCATCATCAGAGTCATCCGAGGAGCCGGAGCCTAGAAAATCATCATAGAAGAGCCGAGACAAAATAGTCAATAAGGATGATAGTCGCAAAAACGTAAACTCGGTGATTGTTGGTGGATAAATGGAAATAGTGGTGGTTTGAACTTACCGTAACCCATCAGTCCACCTAACCCTGCCGAATTTTGGCTTTTAGAGGTGTTTTGCCCCGAGCTGGCTGAAATCAAGCTTTCATCTCCATCATTCAAGTAGCTCAGCTGCTACGAAAAAATGACCTACCTCGGCTGAGAGCGTTGCGACAAATTTTACCGATAAAATCATCCGTTACCGAAAGGAGAATGTTTTGAAGAGAAGAGCGTAGAATATCAGTCTGTAATTCAACAGGGAAGATAACGACCAGTTACTCACGTTACCTTGACATCCTGGATTTGTTCCGGGGTTAACTTACGAATGAGGACATCTTCTGAGTCAGACAATTCTGGATCGGATTCTAAAAAATCAATTAAAAAAGCATTCATGCTTCTCATGAAGTTACCCTGTTGATCTTTCGATAATTTTCGAACTTCTTCTTTCCAATCTTCTTCCTCTTCTTCTTCATTTTCATCAGAACTAGCGTCAGCAAGCTTCTGAAGGTCTTCGTTTTGGTGCGTTTCCATTTCTTTTAGGTCCTCAACTGGCTTTGTCGACTGAATTCGTGCGATTTCTTCTTTCATCCACTTGGGCAAGTTTTTCGCCTGATCAGGATCGGCAGTTAGATCCTTTGGAATTTGATTTCTTTGCGGAGTCGGGCGATTCTGAGAGTAAGAGTTATTATGACTTGGTCGTCGCTGAGTGGGAGCATTGTGTCTTTGTGGATTGAATTGCGGCTCAAAGCGAGGGGTATTTTGAAAGCGAGGCTGATTCTGTTGCTGGTGATTCTGCTGGTAATTGCCTCTTCCGGGATGATTTCCTCCATGTCTTGGGCGTTGTTGATATGAATGGTTGCCATTAAATCCTCGAGGCTGGTACTGCTGATGCTGGTCCTGGTGATTAGGCCACATTCCACCCCGATTTTGATGATTTCTTTGTTGTTGCTGCTGCTGTTGGAGTTGCATTTGACGCTGATACTCCTGACGCTGCTTTTGAGCTTCCCATTGCGCTTGCTGCTGTCGCTGTTGCTCATCGTATTCTTGTTTTCGCTGCTGAGCTACGGCCCAGTGACGCGCTTGGAGAGCCAGGCTGTTGAGCTCTGGTTGAGGAACAGATTGCGCCTCTTCAGAAGCTCCAGTAGATTGAAGCTGCTGGAGCAAAAGTTGTTGAACTGCTCGTTGATCCATTACAAGCTCATTACTGAAACAATAATTCCTGAGTTGAGTTCTCGGTATTAATATTTTCATGATCGCAAAGAAAATACTTTGAAGTTGCAAAACACACAGTAAGGCACATGAACACGATTTAACACTCACTGTTCGGGTCACTTACTGTCGCTCATTATTTTTCTTTTAATTGAAGGTATTCAAAATTTTTATTCATACTGTTTGTTTAAATTGAAGGAGATAAGGAAGCTTGAGCACTTTCAGTAGGGCATATATTACATTTGGACATGGTGTAACTTAGCAATGTACTTGACTGATTTGGACAATCAGTACTGTATAAATAATTTTGGTCTCTTTAATTCTAAACTGATCAAATTAATAGATGAATAGTCTAACCGCTCTTAGCATATTAGAGTACGAGTCGCATTTATACTGTTAGGCTTGAATAAATAGATATTCAGATCGAAGAAGAAAGTGCTGTAGTCAAGATGAAAATTTTGGAATTGTAATGTAACTGAAAGAAAAAAAAAGAAATGGAAAAGCAGAATTTTGAAATTGAGATGGATGGTGAATTTTGCTGGTGGCATGAAAAGAAGAGTCTTCCTATTGTGGGACGACAAGTGGTGGGAGGTTGAGACTTTGAAGAGGAATCTTGAGTCGTGGGAACTTTGGGACGAATTCTGAAAGAAAAGTTAGCAAAGAGATCATGTACATGTAAAGGATCTCACCTAGGCAGAATTTCTTGAAGCTCTCGACATCTCTATCATCGGGGTCCAGCCCCTCGATGTTGTCGACCGGAGTGAAGACATTTTCCATCTCTTCTTCCTCTCGCTTCTCTTGTGCCCGGCGCTCGGCCTCTTCTTCTTCGATCTTTTGCTTCGCTCTTCGTTCCGCTTCCAATTTCGCCTCTTCCTGCTTCTTCAGTTCTTCTTTGCGCTGCTTTGCTGCTTGTTTCTTCTTCTTTTTCTTCAATCTTTTTGCCTCTTCCGCTTTTTTCTCAGCTTCCTCTGCAGCAATAACTTCTTCTGCGATAATCTGGTGCACAGGCATTTTGTCTTTCGCATCTTTCTGCGCGTCGAGACGATCTTTGATCGCCGTACGCAGCCAACTCTGGACTGAGTTGAGGGAGGCATTTGTCGGAGTGTTTTTCAGCTTTTTCTCTTGACACATGTTTAGAATATCTTCATAAGCGCAATCTATCCATTCGCGTTTGCCGTCATAGTCGCCATCCTAAAGAAACTGATAGCAAAAAGTCTGAGAATCACGACTCTTACGCATGTTTCGATATTTTTGGACGATGTGGAACTACGAACTGGCCGCAAATCCATGGCCGTGCTGAAGCTGAAAGGCATTCTCTTCGCAGTCTTTGCCTGTGGCGTCCCAGTCCGACTATCTTTCTGGCTGCTTACGGTCGATCTCGAGCTCAACGTCGGTGATGACGATTCATCCCCTTGCTGTCTCGATGACGCTAAATAATCATTACTTATTTCATTCCCGCCAGTTGAATGAGTTTTACGTGGAACGGATTAATTATACCCGTAGATCGCAAAAGATCCGAGAAAAATTGATCATCGAAAACCCAGGCGCCCATGCTTTATTTTTTTAGAATTCTCTCTGTTACAGAGATATTGTAATTTTTGTGCAATTGTCTCGGAAAGCTTAGCGCAGCTTTATGGGAAAAGGTGTGAATTCTTCACCACGTGACGTCTAGTTGCGTCCAGTTTCTGTCCAAGAACTGTGGGCTGAACTTTTTTGCGAAAGTAAGAAGATCATTTATGTCACTTATACACCCAAACGACTCGAAAATATGATAATAAACTAACTTCTGTAGTCCTCTATGATTTCACAGAAAACTCACCATTATTTGGGTTCGAACAAATCTTCTCGCATTTTGGCTCTACACACTGCCCGGATGCCTGTTTTCTCTTTTCGAGCTTTTTCCTGAGTCTGGCCCTTGCTTGCTCATCTCTGAAGTTTCCTCTCTGATTCGGCGTATTCCCGAGCAACTCACAATGAACACTAAAATCGTGCTCACTAATGTCCTTCTCCCAGGACTGGAATTTGTTCCGATCCGAATCGCTTATTTCAAGTTTATTTACCAGTGGCATGGGTGATGCTCGCTGAAATGATCGTGCCCGTGCTCGCCGTCCTCGTGGTCTGAAATTGATAAAGTAAGATAGCCAGCAGGATTTCGTCTGCGACTATTTGTAAACTTGTTGTTTTGGAATCAGTTGATACCGCATACCGGTCGGTCGCCAAGTGATCATCGATCATTGATAAGAACTTACCAGACATACAAGTGTGATGCTCATGTGTCTCACTTTTGGCACTTTCCTTCTTGGGCTAAAAAACCATATTTTTGAATGTTCAATTCTTTCCCTACCGTCGTGTTCCCATTACTATTAGCAGCGGCAACCGGACGCGCCGCTTTGTCCTTGCATTTGCCATTGTCCTTGGTGGGCGTGCTCTTGTTGAGCTTGCTCTTCTCCACGATATTCTTGAAAAGTTCGCCTGTCGATTTCTCAGGACTGGCAACTTTTTTCTTTGGGGAGTTATTGAGTAGTTCATTAGGAATGTCCGAAGGAGCGGGGCTTAGACCAAGCTTCTTTTTGTGCTTGGCATCAATTTTGCGGGCCTCCTTTTTGCCAGAAGAGGCTGCGAACTTTTCCTCCAACACTTTCTTCTAAAAGGCCTCTCAATTTGACATAAAACGCTAGCCTATCTCTTTATTTCAAAATTTAAAATGATTTAAAAGAGATTTTAAAAGCCTATCCCATATTTCGATAGCTTCGTCAGTATCTGCTTCGCTTGAAGTGAAAGGCTCTTCTGATTCGGTGGAAAGCGAAGTTTCTGTGGAGGAAGTCTCGTAGTCGTCTGGATTGAGACCCTGGCTGATGAGCTGTTTTCTTCGCCGCTTCCTCTTGATATGTTTCTGGAGGAGCTCGTCATCGCTGTTGGGATCACTGCTCTGGGCGGCACGGTATTCTTCGAGGCACTTGCTGACTTCTCTAGAGAGGCCCTCGTGCACAAGCATCATCTTTTAAACTCGCTCTCGACGGACTCCATATCCTCTTCAAACTCTTCCTCGTCAGTTTCCTCTATTTCGTCTTCTTCTTCTGATAGAACGTCGGACAAGGTATCTGTGCAATCGGAGCTGTTGCTGTCGTTCAAAAGCTTGTGGTAGTTAAAAAATAATTCGTCTAAAACTTCCTCGGGCCCATCCCACGGAATATCAATGTAATCATCGTCTTCGATCATTACACTCATCTTATAGGGCGAATCTTTAACGATATGACAAGATAAACCGTCAATTTTCGACCTTACTTGTGATAAGCGCTGAATTCTCTAGCTAATTAAATTGTTGTCCTGAAAGATCCTTGTTGTTATCTAATACTAGAAATGTTTTAAACAATTTTTAACTACGTCCCAAATTTTCATTTCCCTCTTCTTCCTCCTCATAGTCGGATTCCTCTTCGTCATCCGCGTCCGTGCTTTCTTCGTCCGAGTAAAAGTGCCACTCTTCAGTGAGAAAGTTGGACAAGTAATTTGATTTTCTCCCATACGTTCCTATAGGAACATCGTCGAGGTATCGGCAGTTTTCTGGATCTCGGTCGTTCGCGGCCTTGTTCATTTCTTCCTCGAATTTGCGATAACGACGCATTGTTCCACGAACGTTCCAGCTGTCCAGCTCGTCTACTGGTGCCACTTCGCCCTGGAAAATAATCCGTGTGTTGTATCGCAAAATAGTTTCTTACCAGACTAACTTGGACAGCGTTGGAGATTGTTCTCAAGCGTTCTTGAATGTCAATGTGAGCGTAAATCGCGCGATGGAAGATGCACGTCGACTGCGTTTGCCAATGAACACTGCAGATCTCCTCCATCGGACGGAGCAGAATGGAGGCTGCACGCGAGACGAGCATGTACTTTTCCCAGTAGCCGAGCGCTTGGCGGAGAAAGGTGCTGTCCGACCAGGGGAGTTTGGCGTGGTTCACTAATGACAGTCCCAAACGATTCTGCCCCGATTTGCGAACTTTGCTCAGAGATTGCACTGCGGAACAAAGTCGTCAATTATATTAAATTTCAAATAATAATCTAGCTACCTAACGTATACAGTATATGTATACGGTAAACTACAAAATATAATGGAATAAATGAAGGTTGATAAATGAGGAAACGAAGTTTGGAACCAACCTATGAGACGTTGTTTACATTGAAGAACGTATTTCTGAGCTTGTGCGTCGATTCTTTGCAGAAGCTGAAGAAACCGTTATTTTTTGGTATTTTGAATTGAAAATTACCTGGACAGAATCCTCATCCGCACATATATGAGCGCAATTAACAAGCTCGGCTTGACTGACAACAAGATTTTCGATCGCATCTACGAGGCCATCTTCGCTGTCTTCGTATATTCTCTGAAGGTCTTGTAAACAACCATAGAACGATGGATATTCTTACCTGATATAAACTGTCCAAGGCGAGTTTGAGCCTCGTCCAGCAGGATTTGATGTGGCTCTTGTCGTTAGGAAGATAGAGTGGCTTTGGCATGAGTCTGCCGTGCTCGTCCGTTTCTCCGTCCGCAGTTAGATTTCCAATCCCGTCGAAATTGTTGTTTTCTAAACTCATTTTCAGTAATTTGGCGGAGAAGAGCAAGTAGGAACTGAGTAAAGTAAAACTAACTGAAGCGGAGAGGATTAATATTGCGATGCTGAATTCGTTCATCTAATTGAACGTAATTATATCTAAGGATACATTCTTCTCTTTAGAATTATTATATAACGTCCTCCGGTATCTGGAAACCGATTTCCCAAAAAGCAAAAGTATAATACCCTGAGTTTTTGTCACTTTCACAGAAAAGTAAGTGAAGAAAAGGCAACATGAAAATGTTGTTGAGATGGAGCGCCGATATCGCTACCGTAAAAATTAACAGAAGCCCTTGAATTTATCTTTCCACTTGTAAGATGGAGTTCTTTCGAGACCCATATCTGCCGTCGATCTCCACAATATTTCATGTTGCTTTTTGTTCACTTGCTTTTCGGTTAAAGTCGCAATACCTCCAAGTATTGCTTCTTTTTGATGCTATGATCTTATAGATAAGGATAAGTATACTTTGGAGTATAGGAAAAGATCTTTTTTATGAAGAACAAAAAATTCAAATTGAAAGAACTCGATCAACCTCAGACTCGTGGGAAGTCTCTGAGACATTTTTGTTATTCTGATACCGTGGTTATCAATAAAATAATGTTCGTACCTAAACAGGCGTCACAGAGCCATGCTTTGCTGATATGTGCTTCTGATCTGTTCTTGTCTTTCTTGTGATTGATGATGGAATACTGCGGGCCAGGCTGCCTGCAGAATATGCACAGCCTCGGTGCGGAAGGAATCTCACCATCCATTTCTGAAATAATCAGAATCTAATTAGATAAATCTATCAGTTTTCGCTTTTTCTTCATTGTTTCACACAGTTACTTTCAGATTCTTGAAACAGTGGATTTAGTAGAGAGCTAATCGTTTTTAAAAAGGAACAATAATTTAGAGTAGAATGAAAAGATCGTCTTCTGGCAACTGGAAGAATAATAATAACTAAATATGCGTAATTCTCTACGAACTAGAAAGAAACTTGTTTTGATGCAAAGATGCTAAATTTCTACGAATCGAAGACTGATACAAATTGGTGCATCAAACATAAACGAGTGTAAGTTTGGTTGATTATCTTTTCAATGAAAAGAGTACAGTAGAATTCTAGCTAGATAATAGTGTGATTCTTGTTTTACAGAACATAACTGGAACTAATTAATTCAATTTTTGATTTAATTGATGATGACTTTTTTATTTTATTTATCGGACTTTTTTCTTTTATTATTAGAGCAGTGTTTTTGTGTCTCGTCTTGACAAAGCTGGTCTTTGTTTTTTTATTACAGAAGTAGTAAGTAAAGTTGGGTAAAACTGTGTATGGCAGCGTCTCGGAGTTAGCGGATGTAGTTGAGAGAGTATGGATGGGTGAACTTGGCAGGAAGTTTCTAACTGACTCCATGGAGGCCACGGGCGAGCATGGAGAATTGCGTGCAAATCTCGCGAACTTTTCGCTTGTTCGTTCTTTCTCTGATGCGAAAATTTTTATAAAGAAACGCATTTTTTAGGCAAATTACCGTATTAATTGCTGTATAAAATGATTTCGCTGGGCTTCCGTCTCTTTGCCATTTGCGGCTTCAAATTTTTTAATGCGCTCGTTTTTCCAAAAATTCATCCACTGCGAGAAAACGGTCACGTTTGGCTTCGACAGTGCAAATAGTCCATCGGCTATAAAGTCCAATAACTGCCGTCCAGCGTTGCCCGTGATGTTCTAAAGCGGAAAAGAGTAAATAAGCGGGCTTAATGAAAACAATGGTGCTTTTGAGTTTTTTGTCGGGACTCCGATGAGTCAGAAAAACACGACTTTTAATAAAGAACTTACGTCCATCAGCGCCAGAAGCCACGCCTGGCCAAAGTGAGTGATCATCTCTTGCAAAGATGCTTGCCTTGAAGCCTCTGTAATGAGTGAAATGGCCGCTTTGACGACTGGCGGCTCGCAGAAGTAGAGTCCACTGTGGCTCAGTTTTCCGGCATGTTCCATCATGGACATGCCTTCGATTGGAGGAAGCGCGGCGAGTATAAATGGCGTCTTTTTGCGGATCAGATTAGCGTATAAATCTGAAGAGTAAATAAACTGTTGTTGGAAGTGAGTAACTGTACCTAGTGAGGATGAAACTATATCAGGATTGTGAGGAAGACCTCCGGCTTTGGTGAGATGCTGTAAGTGACAGGATATACATTGAAGGAGTTTATGGCATTCAGGCTAAAAGCGATGATAGAGGATATGAATGATACAATTTTTCTGTACCTGCTTGACATCAGAATAGACAGAAATGATTTGCTGAATTATTTCAACTAATGCAGATGAGTTGGGAGTGATTTGAACTAGGAGTTCAGTGATTGGCGTGACGAAAACAGTGGCGTGGTCCATCATCGTTTTGATGGATTTGTCGAAGAACTGGGTGACAACCTGAGCAATGTTGAGAAAAGAAAATCAATTCGAGACTCACGTGTATAGTTTCTGCATCTTCGAAGTATCGTTTAACAACTTCTTTTAAAAGAGGAATCATTTTTTCGAGCACCAGCGCGGCGGGACGCTGATTTACGACGATGATATTTCCAGCATCGTCTTGTTTCGCTCTGTCGAGCGTCGATTGTAAGTGTGATAGTAGTGAAATGTCTGAACAAGAATTTGAGCTATCGCTTTTTTATGGTACGAAGTACCTTCGATAAGAGCTGCTCTGTTTTGTTGTGTCGGTTGTTGTTGGCAGAGTTGCTCAACGCGCACCACATATCGTGCAATAACGAGTTCAAGTTGCTTCAAGCATTCATCTTCTTGCAAAGCGGAAAGTACGTGACCTGCACGCGAGGGTTAACTTTATTCAAAGAAGAAGGATTTACCTATAGATTGGACGAGCCAGCCGGACTCTTGTCCTTTGAGATGCCCAACATGAAGAGCATCGCGCATGGCAACAACGAGTTCAATTGAGAGTGTGCCCTTGGTGAAGCATTCGCAGAATCGACACTCGCGCGTGATGCGCTTGAGGGTTAATACAGCAGTAAGCGCGAGGGAAGGATCGCGCAGGCCAGGAATGACGATAGGTAACAGCACGGGCAGATACTCGGTGCGGTAGGTCAGCCACTCGGCTAAAGCGCCGACCGTGTACATGCAAGTTTCAGCTTAAAAAAGAGATAAAAAGGGGAAATGGACTAGTTAGGCTTACCAAGATACTGATTAGTCATATCAAGCTTAGGTAAAATGTTGACTACTGGAGTCATAAAGTCGCCCTCTGCATCGCACGACTCGACAATCGAATAGAAGCAGAAAAGCAGACTCTCCACAATGCCCCAATCGTAGTTGGGCATTTGACTACACTGACGAACGAGAATGTCGACGAGAAATTGAAGCATTCCGGGGCCGAGTAAATTAAAAATGTACATAAGAGTGTCGGAAACGTCAATCCGATAGACTCGATACTGCTCTTTTTCTTCAGCTGACCATTTCGACATGTCGGGATGTTTGCATTTCACGACTAGTTTGTCTACAAGCGTGAAAAACAGCGTATGGATAAACCTAGAAATCGGTTAGAAAGGCGCTTCAAAAGCACACGAAACCTTCCCCAATTCTGCTGTCTCTGCTGGTCCATGGCATCAAACTCGTCCTGCAACGAGTACCAAAAGGAGAACGAAATTGGACTTGCCGCTTCTTCAGTGGGATACTGCAAAGGAAATGAGGTAATTTTGAGGACCATTTGGATGAGCTGCGCGCCGAAGGGTTCAATCTTCGCCAGTAACAAACGAGTATGATGCTCGCACAGAGCGCACACAATTTTCGATATGCCGAGGAGGCTTTCTTGGTCTTGATTTTTTATGGCTTCATTTAGCAATGGATCTAAAGCAAATATTATTCTGGGGAGACTCATCGCATAACAAAATATTAAAAAAACAAGAAGTCTTTTTTGTTTTTCTGAAGGAAACTTATCTCTGTGACTTACCAAGAGCAAGAACCTTGGGGAAAATCGCCTCTATCGACGCGGGATAAGCATGAGTGTGGGCTGAATTGAGAGCAGCTAGAATTCCCTCGACTGATACCTGAAACATTATGGTACTGTTTGACTGTTTGTTAAACTGCTCAGGCGCCTCGCGGGACGGAGGATCCATCGATAAGTCAACAATAAATACTCAATTTTCAAAGTTACTTACTTCAAACAATTCTCGTTGACGGATAAAATCAAAACATAAGGAAACGTGGTTGGTAGTCAAATCGGGAGGTAGCTCGAGAACTAGCCAGCTGGCCAGGCATTTTAGCGCTTTTTCCTGAAAAAAATTTTGTTTCATCTCTTATTTCAACCCTAAGAATCTCCTACCTTCGCACAATTATCACTGGAAGCATCTGTTAAAATCTGCAGCAGAAGGGCAAGAACTTGTTCTGCACCCTTCGTTAAACCGACCCGAACATCTCGTCGAGTTGCTTTGTCAAGTCGGGAGGTTTGTAATTCTTCTGGCAAGACGGTGAGAATTTCTAGCAAGGCGATGAACTTTTGAACCATTGTAGCTCCGGCAAACTAAACTGAGGTTGATTTTTCTTGTCTTGAAATTGAGAGTTTTACATCGACGTTCTTCAGTGTATGGATAATATCATTGACAGCTGTATCCCAATATCCAGTAACTAGATGGAGGACGAGAGCAGCAAGAGCAACGCATGTTCTTGTGAGCACGATTTTCGGGCCTGTTGCATAGCGAAACACTAGAGTTTCGATTAGAAAGTGTATTTCTCCGGTGAAAAGGACCTGTTTCCATGAGAGTCTGGCGAAGATCAGCAATTTGTTCCTGTGGAATTTCATTCCAGCAGTTGGCAATTTTGTAATGAAGCACATTTGCGCCAAAATACTGTACTTCTACGGAATATGCACTGTTTAAAAGCTGTCATAGGTTCATAAAACCGTGATATATAAAGATTTAGTCTGTTGGGAATCCTGATTTGGGATCGAGAAGCCGCTTGCGGCTTTGAGGGACTAAATTTATTAGCCGCGTGGAACCGCAAGCGGCTTCTCGATATCTCGAGTAATCACTTTCGTCTATAAATTCGATCAGAAAAAGATCGTCTATTTCGTGACATCGGGTTTTCGGTGAACATGTCCTGGAAGCACCAATTCCAGGCGGATTTATCTCGTTGCGCTTTGATCAACCATTTCTGGGCAGCATCCTTGTTCTGTGGATTCGGATCATTGTACAGTGACTCGAGGGCTGCTTGTATGTGTACCAAGGTTATTTCCCCGGTCGGTTCCATTTATTTTTCATTACCAATTTTTCCGATCTAAGATAATTAGCATTTTAGTTAAAATAATTATGAACGTAAAATTAATCGACGTGGTTATTTTACAGAATACGCCATGGAATTTCTAGAATTCGAGAGGAAAAAATCACTTTCTGCGCGATTGACGAATTTTCGAGGCTATTTGGGGATCGGCCAATCAGAATTCTGCGCCGCTGCGCTCGCGCTTTTCGATCGCAATTATTTCACTGTTTTAGAGTGTCTCTAGATTCATTTATGGTGTGTATTTTTGAAAAACGAAGGGAAGAGAATGTTTTTGGAGAAACTCTTCGGCGAAAAAATTGGAAATTTTGGCTTTTCCTTCAAGTTTTATCGATTTTCGATCGATAGTGAGAGCTTTAGTTTCCTAAAACATCAAAATTTTAAAATTATATTTATCGAATCTTCAGGAATTTGAAGATTTTTCTTTAGCGTATCTGTAATATCCCGTCTTTCTTTTCTTTCTTTAAATGTTTTTCAGGAATTCAACTTTAACGTTTCTCTGTGATAGAATGTTGTCGAAACTCGCCCGCCCCACCCTCGCTCGACGATCTCTCATGGAGTTCTCCTGGCAATCCAACTACAATGTTGCCACCAGTAAGATCTTCATTACCTTTAATCCCTTTGAATGCCCCCTTTCAGACCGAGGAGCCATGCGAGTCAAGAACTTCGGCTGGTACGGTCAGGTCGCCATGATGATGATCGCCCCATTCATGGTCTACAAGATCCCCATGACCACTTGCGGTCAGAACTTCCAGGTAACAGAAGAGCTTTTGAGGCCGTCAAGTAACAAACCGAATTTAAGATCTGGCGACACCAGAAGGCATGGAAATCCTACGGTATCCACCGATTCGAAGACTAAAAAGAACATTCTCCTCAAATTCCCTGTTTTCATAAGAAGCCTGAACATAAGTTCAACTCTCTATTTATTGAGCAACTGCAGTTTAGCTATTTTACTGTATAATTGCTCACAATAAACAATAAATTCGCCCCATTTCGGAGAAACTTTTCCCTTCCTGATTCTTCTCTATCGGCAAGTCAGATTCAATCAGAGCAAATTTCGCAACTTTAGTATAGAAAGTAGCATCTTTGCGTTCAGAAAAATGGATGATGCGGAAATCCGAGCGCAGCTGAAGGAGTTAGGCGAAAAATGCGGACCTCTTACTGCTACTACGCGAAAGATCTACATTAAAAAGATTGAGAAGCTCAGAGCTGCGAGAGGCACTCCAAAGAGCGCGCCACAAAAATCGTTCTTTGAAAAAACGACTTCCAAAACGCGAAGTCAGCAGCAGTTCGTGGTCGAAGACTCTAGCGGAGATGAAGATGATGAGCCAGAGGCAGAACCTGAGACCATATTTAAAAAGCCGAAGACTATGACCGAAAACGAGGACATCAACATGGCTGATCCGGCCAGTCTTTCGAATGAAGGTTGTATTTGGTCACAGTACCTGTTTTGATCAGATTCTTTAGAAATCATCAAAGTTCTCCGCTTCTACGGAATTCGTCATGGCCCGGTCAATCCACAGACGAGAAAGGTCTACCACAAGAAGATCCGCGAGGCGCAGGGAGAATCCACTCAATCTTCATCCTTGCTTGAGTTTAGTACTGACGACGAACCTGTAAGTTCTCTCTAAGAGATTTTTATCCTGACATTTTCTCGAGGCTCGAAGTGACTACAGACAGGAGCGCCAGGCGCAAAAAGTGCTCGTGCGAAAATCTCCCAAAAAATCTCCAAAGAAAAATGCAGTTCAAGAGGTTTACCGGCCAGAACCGCAGGTCATCGAACACTTTTCATCTTCTGAAGATGAGGAGCCACTTCCGCCCATGGTCGATATGGGCACATCTTGTCTCGAATCATCTACGTTGCTTGAGACGCCAGAAAAAGCTCCATCAAGGTGAGTAATAAATCGATGTTGGTGTTCTTTGACCAAGTTGTAGAACTCCTCTTAGAGAGCGAAATACAAAGCCAGTGGTGGACTATTCCGAATCACCTCTCAAACAAACTACCTCTAAAATTTCACCTCTTGGTAAGTTTGCTTTATCCGTTTGGATGATCAGTAAAACTTTGAATAGCGACTGAGTCAACCTCTAACTACGTGTCGCCCGTTGTCCGACCTAGAAATGTAAAAAGGTATTTCAAGAATAATCTTCATTATTTGATCCTTTTTCCAGAACTCCTCCCCGTCCAGTTTCTTCCGTCAAACGGCGCAGCGACGAAGGAGTCCTTCCTGTTCCTCAGCCAAGCAGTCACCGAAGCCCTCCTCCACCTAATCGACATGCCTCAATCCTCACGCAAGCGACACCTCAGCCTCCTGAGAAGCGTCAACGAACTGAAAAATCTCGTCTCCCTCAGCCAAATGAACCCGTTGAGGATACATTTGCGATCCGCTTCTCGCAATATCTCCCCTTTATCGGTAAATAACGCAACGTGGTTTCAATGATGAGCTTTTATTCTAGCCCTTGGAGGCTTCTGCTTTATCGTCGGCATCTATTGCTTCAAGGCTGGTATCACCATTCTCCCCAGTGTTTCAGACGAGGTTGATTTTGTCGATCAAACCCCCATGGAAACGACCGAAATCGGCGAAAGCATCAAGTCCAAGCTCGTTGATCTTTTCAATCAAGTCGAGTACGATACTCGAACAGCCGTCTGCGATTTTACGAATATCGTCACTGGTAAATTCTTAAAAAAAGATACAAGATTTATTCACAATTCTAGGCCCGCGTGATGTCTCCAAGTTGACCCCACTCGCCTCGCTCAATTTTGGCGATGAAATCAACAAGGAAATAACTAATGAAATAATGACAAATGAAAACATCGCTAACTACCTCAAAATGTAAGACAAAGACTTTGATGCTAAACACAGCTAACATTTGTATCAGAAGCGAAGATGGATTTGTGAGCCTCAACGATGATGCCAAGATCGATCTTGGTTTCTCCTGTGGGGGTGTTAAATTTCTCTCAGAGAACTATTTCAAAATCCGAGTCGCTACTGTCATCTGCGTGCTATCGATGATTTTGTCCTATTTCATGAACATGGTATGTCCTGAAATTCAATCGCAATCACTATCTTCCTAAGGTGGCAGCTAAGAGGAGAAAGAACGAAATAGAGATCCAGCAAGTTGTGCGAGAGATTATCGACTGTCTTCAGAATCATTCTGCTCGGTAACGCTTTCTTTTCTTGATGAAAGTAAAACTCTCTCTTTATAGTCATGGAAGTACAGGAATGTCAGTCGAGCGCATCCGCGACCAAATCATCCCCATGGGAGACGTAACTCTCGGAAAGCTTTGGCCACAGGCTGTGAATTCCATCAAGCGGGATAGTCGGCTCCGAACGGAGCAGAAAGTTGTCAACGGCGAAGAGGGAGAATACTGGGCGTGGATTGATCAATCAATCAAAGCGCACGATGAGACCACTTCGCGAGCTGCTCCTCTCGGTTATTTGACAAAAAAAAAGTTTATTCAAGCCTTATTTTTAGCGGAATGTCTGAAGATTCGAAACATGCTAGCTCAGAAAGACTTCAACCCTAAAGAGCATGAAGAAATAAAGGAGACCCTGATCAAGTGGTGCGACGGTATCAACGGAGTGGTCGACATTGACATGGTTCCAAGCGATGGAACTGTCTATGTCAAGTGCTCCAGCACTGAGAAAGCTGGAGAAGGTACACCTTCAATTTTGAACATGTCAACAATATTTTTCAGTATACGATCGAATCCGAGCCTACTGGTACAAACGACAGCTCATTCAAATAAAATACGTCAAGCTTGATGTCTATCATCGCCGCTTCAAAAATAGTGCCAGAAAGACCACCATCATCGCTTAGAAGCATAAAAATACTCAACTTCCGAACTTGCTATACTGCCGAGCAGTCATTTTTTATTCAAACATCCTCCTCACCTCCATTTATTCCAATCGCAAAATTTTTTCCTAATTAGCCTCGTTTTTATTTTCATTATGTTCAACTCATACATGTCAACTTATTGTTCAATTATTGAATTTCAACTATGCAAAAGAAGAATTATAGAATTTTAAACATTTTTATGCCTTTTCAAGTTCAACATTGTCTCTAACCGATGAAATATTTTTTGATTCCATTCTGTACCTCATTTAACAATTAACGCTTTGTCACTGTCCTCAAATTAAAATTGAATACATGTATAGGATTTTATGAACTTTCGTAACTAAAATTTTTTTTCTAGGAATGGACTTTTCCGATTCTGATAATGATGATTCATCTTGGCATAGTTCCGATGCATTGCCCGTCGTTACGGGAGGAGTAGATGAGATGGACGATGCTCTTTTCGGTGGCCTGGGAGCTAGTGATAAAAAATTGACACAAACAACTAGCGCGCCTGCTCCAGGGAAGAAAGTTTCTTTCACAGGTCAAGAAGGGCCCACTTCGTCTACAACAAAAACTGGCGGCATTTTAAAGACAACATCGGCTCAGCATATTCCAGCGCCAGAGCAAGAAAAACCAACAGTTGCCGAGAAGCCAAAATTTGACTTTAATCTCGACGAAAGCGACGATAACTTGGATGAGTTGCTAGCACCATTTACTAAATCGAGCAATACATCTGCAGTCTCGAAAAAGCAGGAAAAGGCCAAATCACCATCAACGGAAAAAGAGTTCGAGTTTTCTGACAGCGTCTCGGCTCCAAATTTTCATGCAGCATCTTCTGCGAAAAAAATTGAGAAACCGTCAACTTCCATGCCTGAATTCGAGTTTACCGACGATGACGACTTGTTAAAGTCTGAGCCATCAGAAGCCCCACCTGAGCCCCGAAAAATGCAGCCAGTCGCCTCCAAAAGCTCCGTTTCTTCTACAGGAAAGATGTCAGACACATCGGTGAAGAAGCCAGAAAAAGTTAATTCCTCGAAATCAAATGAAGATATCTTCGCTAGCGCCACTTCTGTACCAGGCTTCTCTGACATCGATATTTCTGAATCTTCAATTTCAATTCAAAAGCCACCAGCAAAGAAATCGTCAACCAGAGCAGCGTCTCCACCACAGGAGTCACATGATGAATCGTTTTTAGCCGATTTGCTTGGAACCAAAAAGCCTGAAGAAACAACCGCCGAAAGGCCTAAAAGAGCGGTTTCCGAGCCCGTGAGTCTTGGCAGGAGCGAAAACGGAGACGGTGATACTGACGACGATACGTTCAATATGTTCATAAAGCCGAAAAAGAAGGCTTCATCTCAAGAGACGAAAAGACCCACGCCGATAATCGAAGCATCGCCTCAAGTTTCCAATCCTCCATCCCCGCCGCCGGAGAAGTCGCCCAGTCAAAAGCCATCTTTCATTCCAACTCCTGTGTCAAACTATCCCGCCGTCCAAACTACCTCTGCCGCTCAACAAGTCTCAGAATCCCACCTCGAAGAGCTTAACTCCCTTCGCATCGAAATTCAACAACTGAAAAGCGCACTCAGCGTCAAAGACGCCCAGCTGCATGAGCTTTCCTCGAATAATGTCGGAAACAATGACCGGCTTTCGAAGGAGCTTAATTTGGCACGACAAGAAGCGAACTTCGCTCAGCAGGAAAAGTTGAATGAGGCGCAGAGATGTCAGAAGAGGCTAGATGAAGCATTTGTTGATCACCAGGCACATGTAAATAGGATGAAACAAGCGCATATGGAGGCGTCGAGTATGATGAGAGATGAACAGGTAGGCTTTTTTTATTCTATTCTTTTGCTGATTTTCTTTGGTAGGAATCACAAATTGCAAGAATACGAAAAATGCATGACGAAGAGCTCCAAGCTTACAAAACTGCCACGGAAACTACCCGTGATGTCAAAGACCTTTTAGCCTCTGTCACAGTAGCGACTCAGTCCCTCAAAGAAATCGCGATTCGAGTCGAAGAAGAAACTACAAAAGCATCAGACCATTCCGGAATCATTCACGAGATGAGCGCGCTCAAGGCAGTTATTGCTGCGGAGAGGAAAAACTTTGCCGCAGAACGAGAGAGGTTTACTGTAATGGTGCAAGAAATGATGAAATACAATCGAGAGCAAAAAGAGATGAGTTCCAATGAGCGACTCAGGCTTGAAGCAGAAATTCAAAGAATCGAAACTGAACGTAGAATATTAGAAGAGGTAAAATATTCCTTCAAGAGCATTTTTAACCATTTCAGAATAAAATTCAACTCGAGCAAGAAATCCAACAGAAGACTCACGAAAACATCAAATACAGAAACACGCTGCTGGACGATCATCAAAAGCAAATCCACAAAGTGGCAGAAATGAAGCAAAAAGTCCACGAAGAGTGGGCCGAGCTTCAAAACGCCAAGAACTCCATTTTCAATTCGCTCAAGCCGGATGCTTTTATGAAATATGAAGAGAATCTAAGGCAGGCTGCTGGTAGGCTACTTCCTCGTTGTCTTCAATTTACTCATTTTTAGCCGCCGCGGCTTCAACGAAAGCCGGATTACGGGAGATCGAGCTGCGAGAGAAACAACTCGTAGAAGCAAAAGAGGAAGTCACGCATGAAAAGCGCTCGCTGAAGCTGGAACGCGAGGAAATCACGAGACTAAAGGCTTCTATCCGACGAGAGGAAGATGAAATCAAAGTAAGAAATCTTCATTAGAGAAATCTTGATAAGTTCTGATCAGAAACGCTACTCGGACTTTATTTCGGACACTGCCGAGGGCAGAACCGCACTAGAAGCAGCGAAACGAATCGAAGCGAGGGCGAACGATAAAATGCGACAAGCGGAACAAGCGTTGCAAAATCTCCATAGCGAGCGCGTTCTTCTTCAACAGGTTCAACAATCTTCATCCCAAATCTTCTTTTAGACCTTTTTCAGGAGCGTCGAGCAATCGAAACCCTTCACCGCGAAACTGCTCCACCCCCAGCAGCTTTCAACTTCCACGAGCCAGGAATCAACTTCAACGAATCACTACGGGTCAACGACCTCTTACTCGACGATCCCATGAAGACGATTCTAGCACAAAACGCTGATCTTCTCAAGCCTGTTCAATTCTGAGCAACCATTTTCTGTACAATTAATTTCGATCTTTTTATTTTTCTACTTTTTTCGATTTTCTTATTTTTCTAAGAATAAAATCTTATTCAAAAAACCATCTGTTATGCTCTTGCGCTGCGTGATTTCAGCTTCAAGTGTAGTTAATTTGTTTCGTTGATTCTGCAGGTTAAATTTGAACGCGAGAAACTACGCAAATGTTGTAAGCGATTTACTATAAGCTTAATTTTACGCTTAGAAATAATGAATCGATCTTGCCCGCGGCGTTAAATGCGGGTCCTATCGTTAAAGCATTGATTCAGAGAGACCCGGTTTAGTAGTCCATGCTGCTTCTGATCATCCCTATATCTTGATCACTAAGCTGAGATGAGAAACTACTACTGGTCCTTGCGAAATCTGATCCTCTTCGGAGGCCTGGCTCTGATCGCCATGGTCACTTGTAGAGAAATCGCCTCGATAGCACGAGAAAACACAAAAAATGTAATTATTGGTAAAGAATCCAAGGAGAGAAACAATCATATGGGTGTTTTATAGGTCGATGGCATTCTTATGACTGGAAGGGATGAGGTTTCCGAGCTCAAGAAACGGCTCCAGGCGCTTGAGAAAAAGGCGAAAATTCAGCACCCAGCTGTCAAGGTACCTCTGACCCATTTCTTCTGCTTTCTTGACGGCCGGTTTTAGTTCCTTCCAGAGGGAAAGCGCAAACGAATCCTCGTTACTGGAGGCGCTGGCTTTGTAGGATCCCATCTCGTTGACAAACTGATGATCCAGGGACATGAAGTCATCGTTGTGGATAATTTCTTTACGGGACGAAAAAGAAACGTTGAGCATTGGCTGACGCATGAAAATTTCGAGCTGATCCACCACGATGTCGTGGAGCCGCTTTACATCGAAGTAGACCAGATTTATCACCTCGGTAATGGTGGCTTCCTTTCTTAAAAAGACTGTCTTTTGTAGCCTGTCCCGCTTCACCTCCTCACTATATGTTCAATCCGATAAAGACGATCAAAACGAGCTCGATTGGGACGCTAAATATGCTTGGCCTGGCGAAACGAGTTGACGGGCGGCTATTGTTAGGTGCATATTCGGCAATTACCAACGTTTAATAGCACTGACGAAACTAATAATCTAAATTAATAGCGTCGACTTCTGAGATTTATGGCGACCCGGAAGAGCACCCGCAGAACGAAAACTACTGGGGCCATGTTAATCCGATCGGGCCCAGAGCATGCTACGACGAGGGAAAACGAGTGGCTGAAACGATGTGCTATGCATATAAAAAACAAGAGGGCGTGGACGTCAGAGTTGCTAGAATTTTCAATACTTACGGGTAGCTCGACTGTATTGATCGATTTTGCTTTGCAATCATTTAGACCACGGATGCACATGGAAGATGGTCGAGTAGTTTCCAATTTCATTCTTCAAGCGCTTCAAAATCTAGACATTACAATTTACGGGGACGGGAAACAGACGCGAAGCTTTCAATACGTCGATGACCTAGTTGACGGGCTCATCGGTCTTATGAACTCAGGTATGTTCCACCACGTCTTACAGTGATTAATCAGTACTTCCCGTGCAGATATCACGTCACCTGTCAATGTTGGCAATCCGGACGAGCATACGATCGAAGAATTCGCAACTATCATTAAAGACATGGTCGGTCCAACGAGCTCCAAGATTGTCCACCATCCAGCGACAGAGGATGATCCACAAAGGAGAAAACCAGACATCGAGAAGGCCTTCAAGGGCTTTGGCTGGCGGCCTAAGATGCCACTCAAAGAAGGTAGGAGATGAACATGTCAGTAATTGTTAATTATGTCACGAGAAATTTGAAGGAAAACGCCCCATGTTTCGTGCGTGTGAAATAATCTGCGTGAATAAAAATTACAAATTTGTCTGATTGTCAATCAGTGGTTGACTAAATCATAATTGGAGGTTAATTTAATGAGGTATTTTCTAGTTTTGATCAGTGATCATGAATTTCTTGGTGGTAGCCTAGGCCCTAGGCTAACATCTGTTATGATTTTTTTCTATTGGTTTGATAACTCCTTGTTCTGTTTGACGCACTTCCCTCTTGAGGAGAACGCTCTCAGTTTTTTGAACATGCTTTCTAATCAATGAAATTCATTGCGATGCGGAACATGTGTGTTTCTTCCTTGAGACGTTTGAACGTTAACTCTGACTACACAAAATTTATATCCGTTTATTCCAGTGGTTTTAAATCTTATGGTTTTTTAAGGCTTGACGAAAACGATCGAATACTTCCGAGCTGAACTCGCCCAGGAAGAGAATAACTCGCCGAATATCTTTCTCCCTGATGGCTATTCAAATGATTTATGAAAAGAGACAAAAAATATTCCGCAAATAATAACTCACTTGCATTTAAACAATCTTTACCCAAAAGCGTGTAGTTCAAGTATTTATCCATTTTTTAGAGAACAAGTTACCTAAAGTTTTATTTCTTTTGCTTTGATTTATATTTTTGCCGTGACAAATAAGTTCTATTTTATTTTGATTCCAAAGCATTTCTTCATCAATATCTGTATTTACCAATTCATATTATTTCACTCTTTGCTTTTTGTTCTCTAAGTGCCAATTTTGCCAATAAAAGCTCAACTTTGACAGAAACAAAAAAATATATCTATCCTTTCGGCAAAGCGTAGATAAATTGAAGCTAATACTATCCCCTGCTCATAATGATTTCCATGGTACCTGTCATGGTAGATGTTATCTTACAGCGATAACATGGAAGAGAATAAAAATGAAAATTTTGCTTTATAATGATACTTTGCCAATAAAAAAATATAAAAAGTTTCGACAAGACATAATGCAATCTTGTTCCCACCTCGAGTGAAAGCAAAATTAAAATTGTGTGCCTTTGTTTGGTTGAGTTAGATTTATTGTCAATAAATTATTGAATACATTAGCGAAAGCAGGACAGGTTGTAGTTTTTTTAATCCTGGGACTCAGCTGGCTCGACAGCGGTTTCAGCTTCGGCAGCGGTTTCTTCAACGGCGGCCTCTTCAGCAGCTTCCTCAGCGGCGGCTTCGGTGACCTCAGCTGGGGCGTCGGTTTCAGCTTCCTGAGCAGTCTCTTCGGTGGCAGCTTCCTCGGCGGGAGCGGCTTCTTCAGCGACAGCTTCAGCAGCGGTTTCCTCCTCGGCCGCTTGTTCAGTTGCTTCCTCAACGGCGGCTTCTTCAGCAGCTTCTAGAATAATTGTTTTTGAGACAGAAACAAGTCCGGATCTCGCTACCTTGAGTTTCCTCAGAGGAAGCAGCTTCAGTCTGCTGCTCTTCAGTAGCGGCTTCAGCCTGTTGTTCTTCAGTAGCAGCTTCGACCTGTTGTTCCTCTGAAGCGGCGATTTCTTCAGCAGAGACCTTGCCACCAGCGGGAGTTGGCGAGAGAGCTCGTGGTTCTTCTTGAGGATTGATATTTTCATTCGCGTTTTTCTCGGCTGAAAGTTCAAATAGTAACTGTATCAAAAAAGGAGCTTACCTTCAGCAAGGTTCTCTTCAAGTGGTAGTTCATCAGTTGTATCTTCAACCTGTGGGGTCTTTCCCAAAAGTCCGCCAGCTCCAGTCGCTGAAAATTTCTTTTAATTTTACTTTTTTCTTTGTGCAACCTAAAGCAAAATTAATCCGGAATGTCCTTTTCATCAAAAATAGGTCTTCCGCCTTTATCGAAAATTGATAAGCTGAAATTTCAGGTGCTTCGATACGTGAGCAGAAATTCTTAAAATTTGATGTCTTTCTAAAAAGTAAAATGACTTCAGTAAAGCTATGAGAGGCTAATACCTCGACGCATAATTTTGTCTTTCTTTTTAGAGGAGACGAATTGTTCAGAGAAAAGAACTCGGTTTTCTTCACCTTTGTTTTCTTCGATAGTTTCATCTGAAATACAGTTAGTCGTCTGTCAGGGGTACTAATCAATTACTTACCCAAACTGGGGTCAGACTTTTTGCATTGCGAAAAGAGTTGGCCCATGTTGACGATCCTTGTTGTTCTCTCTAACTAAGAATGAGTGCAAGAAAAATGCCAAAATTCCCAATAACAGCATTCCTTCTAGAGATTCTGGAGAGAACAACAAGTTCTCCGCTGATCTTCAAGATGAGATTAAATGATTTTTTGAGCATTTTGTTCGTCCATTACTCTTGTTTGACTCCATTTTTTACGCCTTTCAAAGATTTCATAACACTTCCGAATCCTCAAATCTGAATGATACGAGATGGCGCTTCGCCGCTGCGCGCGGTGGCGCCAGTAAGCCGCAAGGAGCAAGGCGCACGCGCGCGGAATGAGCGTTCGCGATCGTCATCGAGCAAGTCATTCAGTACATTATCGTCGAAGTACTAGAGAAGAAGCTAAGTCAAAAAGTCCAACGATGAAATTCACAGCCCTGTCGATCGCTTTTCTTCAAAAAGGTAAAGTTTGGTTTAGTTTTGTATTTAAAAATAGTCATAAAGGGTTTTTTCGCGTGGAAAGCCAAAAAATACTTTCAAGGCTTTCTGGCTTTCTTTTAACCATCATATAACAATCGCAAGAATTTCAGTTTCGTGCAGCGATAATAACTGTATTTTTCATTATAATCATGAGCCCCGATCCTCGTTTGAGTTCACGCATACGGTAACTCGTTATCATCGCATTAGACCTTGCGCTGATAATTTAGCCACGGATCGAATATTATATCGTTCATCGCTCATACAAACTTATGAAAATAAATATGCACATGTAAATCTGATCTGAAAATTTGACCCATAAAAATGTGATTTGCAAAGAAGAAATTCATCATTTTCATTTTTTCCAACCTGCATTAGATTATTCCAACCTCGAGCTTTTCGCGTCTTGGAGACGTTTGTTCTCCGCCGGTTGGTTATTTTCGCGGCTGGTGCAAGGTGCGGCCGTCGAGCGCGCTTATTCATCTGCCGCAGAATATAATTACTGACCTTATCCAATTAAATTAGAATACACTTCCTCTTCCCAAACACGCAACTTACCAAGTTACCAGCCCGCTGGTTTATTTATTCAATACGTAGCATTATCTCGGAATATACAATATGCTTACAAAGCTTTTTTAGCCATCGCCGATGAGTTCTACTACCCAGACTACTCCGACTATCCATTAGAAGGTCGCAATCTTCAGAACACTCTTTCTGGTCGAAGAACTGGCACTTTGGACACAAGACAAATCTTCCATAGAAAACGACTTATCAACTCTCAGGTATTTTGACCTCCAATTAACCGCCCTACCTGGCTTTAGGTTACTGCTAAATCAAACGGAGCGGCCTGGTACTTCCACTACCACGACTACGGCTGCTATTGCGTCGCCCCTTCTGACCCGAAAAAGAACCGTGGCAAACCAGTAGACGCTATCGACAGGAGAGGGTTACATAACTCTGTCTAACTCAGTCTAATTCTGATAAGGGGCATAAGCGGATTAGCTCTCGAAATGATTCCGGCGCCGAGAACTGTCGCTCTTTTGATAAAGACTTAGGAACTTAGGGCTATCTAGGACTCCGGTTGGAACTTACGCTGGAATCATTACGTTGAATTACAGATGGGTATCCCTCTAAGTGCTTGCAAACGACACAACATGTGCTACCAGTGCGCATACTCTGACTTTTCCGACGCTCGACGAGAATGCAATCCGAAGCAAATGGGGTACTCCCTCCTTAGTTCTTTAACCTTTTAACAGGTTAATTATAGTTATCGATATACTATCACAACAAACGACGACGGCAACATCAAGATCGAGTGTCTCAACTCTCCAGATACGTGCGCTTATGCCACTTGCATGTGCGACAAGGTTGGACAGTTTCTAGTGTCTGCCCAGTAATGCAACACTTCTATTTAGGCACTTGCGGACGAGCTTGGAAATCTTGCGATGAAAGGCACACTTGCTTCTAAGGACTACAGGTAATACCAAACAAAGAGAGACACTTGTCTAATAAAAGTCAAGAAACTACGACCCAGCGAAATGCTCCGGACCACAAGCCGCCCGATTGGATCCCTCACCTCAAGGTGTCTTCAACGATGACGCTGGCGCTTTCGACTTCGAAAACCAAGTCACTTTCCTAAGCGAGCCAGATACTGGAGCTGACGTTCCTCAACAGTGCTGCGGCGTGTACCCACAACGATTTCCGTACAAGAGCTCAACGCACGAGTGCTGCTCGGCCGGCGAAGCCACGGAGGAGATCAAACCACTTGGAACTTGTTAATTTATTCTCATTCTTATCTTTTGTACATAGAAACCGGGTCGATAATTACTTTGACTTTTGACCCTTAATTTTTCAAAAATTTTACGATATAGCAAATTTCAGCAACGACGAAATCATATCAAATTGAAATTATATAAAAACACTCTGTAAATAGTATCATCTCCCTTGTTGTACAAAAAAAGCCAAGTAAGTAACGGTAGAAATCGATTCAGCGAAATGCGGAAAGAAGAAATCAACGAAAATGCTTTGAACAAAAAGCTAAGAAAATAAAGAGGCAACTCATGAGTGAGCTCGCAAAAATCAGGCCTGACTTTTTGCGAGTTTCTTATTTCATGCATGAGCTGTCTTTGAAGATGCAGTATGAAGAAAACTTTTCGAAAAATAAGCTGAATCTATTTGAAACTGTATAATAAAGACCATAATTCTTTCTAAAAAATCAAAAATCAAGTCTCCTCGATCTTTTCTTTTGCAAGAGCAAGCCCTTAGAAGTGCAGATACGGAAACGAGGTTATGAGCGGGACACGAGCGAGGAATATACCGAGCATAACAGATACATAGAATTTGTAAATAAAAGGCGCGCTTGAACGAAATAATTGCGCCCCTTCAAATCTCTAAAGTACACGGTCAAGAATACTCTCGGAAGTCGGAACTGCTTGTTTCTAGCACCACGGTGTTCTTTTCGTAGTGCTCTTCAATAGTGATACCTATTACTAAAGTAATGCAAATGCATCTTTCTAGTTTTTTTTTGCTAATTTCGACAGCTCAAGGGAGGAAATTCCAGCGCGTCTTTTATTTCCGACTCGGTCTGGCATCCTTCGAAAGTTTAACTTGTTGCGGAGTTTAATATGAACAAAATTCTATGTACAGATACATTCGGTGGTGGCCACGATCAATTTGATTGGAACTTCCTTCCTGACTGATTACTATCTGCCTGTCTGACTGTCAGACAGTTCACGTTTTCGTACAACTTTTTCTGGCTCAGCGCATAAAAGGACTAACGAAAAATTACGATTAGGAAGGCAAAGTTTCATTACGGAAATTCTTTTTCCGCTTGTGTTGTTGACTGATTTCAACAAATTCGCAAGCCCGGTAAGAAATTTAACAGAAAGCAGCAGCTTTTCGGTCCTCTATCTTTAGAAGATCTTATTTATAAATAATTCAAGTGGCAATAGAAAAAAGCATGGGCATTAGAACGTAAGGATGATTTGATATGTACTTGAAATCACGCTCCAGATGTTTTTCAGAGAGTTCAGGTGACAGAGGATTAGTTACGATGACGACTAAAGTGAGCCAAGAAGATCGTAAGCGAAGAGTTTTTAATTTTATGGAATATTTGAATAAAAACAAGATAAAAACCGGTTTCGCTAAAAAGATTACATACGAATTTGACAGATTTGGGGGAGCAACTTCTTGTTGTGAAAAAGATGAACCGAGCTTTCAAGAAAGTGACGAAAAGACGATTGGGTTTAATTAACTGATAGTAACTTTAAGGTGCGCACCTGCAGTAAGCTAATGGGACTAGAACCGGTTGCTTGAGCTTGCTGGAAGGAGGAATCACTTTCGTGGAAAAATAAATTTCGCCAAGAAAACATTCTGTTCACCGCAGATGTAGATCCAAAGCGACGAAACAAGAGAGAAAATAAGCAAACATCGAGGATGGAGTACTTTTTTTTATTAACTGCTGAATTAGCTCTTGCTAACTAGGTTATTTTCTTTCTGTTTCTATCAAAAAAATTATCCCAGCCCCTAAGAAGTACCAAAGTATAGGCGGAGATCTGTCCACGGGTTAAGTTGGCCATTAGAGTTATCCAAGCAAAGGTGTCGAGAAAGCTGGTTGACCTATGATAACGATAATGGCACTTAGCCTTCACAACGGTATCCAAAGAATCCTGAAAAGTGCATTTTCGATTGACTTGAAAAAGTCGACTCAACTGGTTTTTTATGGAGACAAAATTGCTGTCTTGAAACGTTAATTCCAAAAAGAGGCGTCGAATTATCCTCAGCAAACGAGTGATAAGAAATTTTCTCTCACTTTGAAGCGCGAAAATATTTGGCCTCCACGAGGGCTAGAAATGTAAGGCAGGGGTTGATAACGTGACGAACTGTTGAGGAGCTCATTTTTTTTCCGGATGATAACATTGTCAATCTAAGTGTAACCCTGCTTTCTAACTTTTGTTGTTTTAGAAGTTTTTTTCGCACAAAAGAAATGACCAAAAAAGAGTCGATTTTCGTCTTCTTTGAACAGTTTCCTTTTCCGTTTATTTTTGAAAATTTCAATTTTTGGTGAAAGTTTCTAACAGTGGACGCCACGGAGACTGGCAAAAACTTGGACTCAAGAAAACCGCGATTCGAGCGTCTTCGAAGTGCCTAAGTGTGAGAAACAATAATTCACGTTTCTGTATGTACCTAATCGCGTGCTTTTACGCGAAAGAATTTGGCTAACACGTTTCTGTTGGATTGGAGGCGAAAATAAAGAAACGTCGATTTATGGTCGGATGATGAAGCCGCGAAAGTATAAATTTTACGCGTTCCTCGATTCAATTAAAAAACAAGCAAATACTGAATTTTGTTTCGTGGGAGTAGGTAACATTTTTATGTTTTGAAAATTTGTCATTTTCCCTTTTTTGACTTGCATGTTGTTTGCTTTTCATCATTCCGGCGCTCTTTTAAAGCCACGTTCAACAAGAAGACTTCAGTTCCAGAGAAAGAGAAAAGTTAATTAGCTAAAAGTAAGTCAAACTAAGTCATTAAATCGGGGTCTATAAAGCTTATTCTAGTGTTGCCGAACAACAGAAATGACAACAGCAACAACAACGATAATAAATGTCAGCATCAATCCAATATTGGATGCACGAAGGAAACAAGACTTCACTTGAGCCAGATTTTGGCTCCTTATGAAGAAGAAGATGCAATCTACCTTCTTCACAGTACAATAAGGAACTGCTAGCCCTCGATAAGTTAATTATCGGTAAGTAAACTAGTTTTTTCTCTCGCCTAAATAAATTTAGATCTGACGCGGCGTTGTCAAAAATCTTCTAAAATTAGAAAAGAGGACGGACGCAGAGATGAGCAATTTTATTACGAAATAATAGCAAAAGCTATTATTCTTCATGGATTTTAAACACTTTTACCTATTTACCTACACTGTCGAAACTCGTTCTCCTCAGTAAGTCAAGCCCAGTTGAGCTAAAAAGAGCTCCCCTTATGATAAAATAAGGGTTTGTCCGTGATCTGTAGGGGCAGATCAAATTTTGCGCCAGAGCATATTATTAAAAATGAGCGCCAAAGGCCTTATGTGATGCTTGAAAAATTAATTGAATATGCGCGCCGGACAAAAAGAAGGCAAACTCCTAAGTTTCGATACGAGTTCCCTTCCAAGTGTGAACAGGCCTTTTAGCATGAAAAGGTAATAAATAAATAAGTGTTTTCCCCTAATTTTCAAGATTTGAGAAAATAAACATGCTAATTTTGCTCGATTTTAATCACATAAGTTCACACTTGTCCGGGGTCATGAAAAAATGACCCCATTTTGCTGACTGAAAAGGAGAGCAAAACTTGCCTTTCTGTATCGTTTACTTTTTTACACATTGACTTTTGACTAATAGTTCGTTCCAAATAAAGTCTTAGAGAATCAGAGTCTGTTATTTGTGATCAAGTACAAGAAATCCTTCTCACAAGTGCCTGTGAGATGATTTTTCAACGGACCGATGGAGATTAAGTCACAATTTAGTAAGTTTATCCGATTTGGCGACACTAATCGCTCTTTAGCGAAAAATAAGGCCTTCCGATGAAGCTTCTGTCAACAACAAAAATGTCAAAACGTGGCGCTAGGAAACTTATGGTTGTATAATTACTTTCATCGTCAGCGAAAGTGCGAAAAATGATTGTAATAAGTAGAAATGCGTCATTTTATAATCCAGACAATTGTAGCTAGAAATCTTCTAGAACTTGAATATTGCCAGTTTGCCTTTAAAAATTGCAGTCAAGATCGAACAGAAGAGAGAGATAGATAGACATGGGAAATACAGTGATAAAGCCAGTAACTGACCCTGAGAAGGGCCTTTTCCCCTCGGGGATGACCCCAGCCATGGTAAATAAGTAATTTGCTCATTTATTTAACTTTCGTTTACATCTTCTCCCGCCGCTTAATATCACTTCAATTATTAATCGCACGTGAATGATACTTACTCCTTCCTAGCGTAAATATCGACCCAAACCTAAGCCAAAGCCAAAAGAATATCAATCGTCTTACAAACAAGGGGACTGGAAGCCGCTGAGACGACCGAAGGAAAAACCAGCGCCGGTGGTGCGGACGAAAAAGATGTGTGAACCAATGGAACCATATCCCGATCCGTTTATTGGAGGATATGAGCTTGCAAATATGGTCGAAGTTGATCTCAGAAGAAATATTCCAGTTACCGAGATTCTTGCTGAACCAGAGCCTGAGCCAGAGCCTGAACCAGAACCTGATCCGGAACCAGCGCCGGAACCAGAGCCTGAACCAATTATTGAACCACTCATTGAAATGCCACCGTTGATTACCGAATATATTCCAGGTAGAATTCTTCTTATTTCTTTTGATAATTTTTCAAGTAAAAACACTCGACACATTCACAAAATTCGAGCGCTGTTGGTACTCAATCCTTATTATGGGACTCATCATTTCGGCATTAATTTCGATCATTATTCATCCAAACAAAGCTCACCCAGAGAATTATTACATCTTTATGCAAGACGATTTTTATAACCCGGGGAATTTAACTGGTCAAATTTATGGCCTCACAAGAATGAGCCAAAACGACGTGGACAAAACATGCTTGAATTTTCAAAATCAGTGGGAAGATCATTTTTATAATCTAACATTATTGGAACATTATGGGAACGAAAATCTAACAGATTACCCAGGTTAGTCTTTATTTCAATCTAAAATTAACCTTTTTGAAGACCTTGCGAATCAATGTGCAAATTTTACCTACTACCAACCGGCGAATCCTCTTGATGACATAATGTATAACTCTCTCCTTTTTCTTCGAAATGAGGTTTTCGATTCTGATGAAGAAGTCACGATTCATGATCCTGTCCACGAAGACGAAGCCTGTAGATACACAAAGACAGTCAAGTAAGAATTTCAGCCTCTGGTCGAATTCATGATTTTTTTAGCCTTGCGACTTCATATGAACTAGAAATTTTCAATGATGACTGTGCAAAGGGATTCCGAGAAGATGTCATTTTGACGTGTAAATTTACCTGCAAGATTCCAACAAGCATCTACCTTACAACAGCCACTCAAACAACAACAACAGCAACAACATGGGTTAATGCATCAACAACAACACTATATACATTTTCATCGACATCATCATCGTCGACATCATCATCATTAACAACAACAATCGCTCAGTCATCATCAACGACTGATAGTCCCTGTCGAATTACAACCTCTGGTACTATCACGTCCTGCTGAGGTTCAAAGATCAGAAGAAGAAAAACAGAAAGAGAGAGAATCTTGTCCAAAACATTCGCCATATATATTTATTTTCAACAAATAAACCCTCAACCTTGAAACAATAAAAGCATCATTCCATCCTCCAGAAAGCGAATTATTACTGTATTTCGCGGAACGAAAAGTGACTTCCGCAAATGTTGCCTGAGAACGTGCTCGATTAAAAAAATCCTCTCTTTGACAAAAGCGGCAAAATCCCGATTACACGAGCAGAAAAAATGTTCGCACTGACGTGTGCGTAAAATTTTAGCAATTTCAATATCATTCGATCATGGTAGATTTATACTTGGCGAACTTTTAATGCACTTTTAGTAGATCGGCTTTGAGTCATTTAGATCAAGCTACTAGGTAGCTTTGGCTGTCTAAATGTAAGCTTTCTCATTATCCAGTTCAATGGATAGCAATTAAAAATCAAGTTTTTAAAAGCCTCAATTTCTATAAAAAAAACGAGTTCGTGGCCCGATGACCTGGAGTAAATAATATCGAATTTTCAATTTATGACTGTCAGGTGATAATTAACCGAGTGTATATCATACACGCGCTTATTTAAAAAGTAATAAAAGGATTAAAATGCAAATAGCCCTGTCGCATCACTGTATTTATCCCATTTGTATTGTTCCATTCTCCAATTGTCCATCAGCACCAAATCATGATTAAATGTACTGTAATGCAACAAATGCAGATGGCGCCAGAGCGTGCCACGAATCGCCGCGGGGAGTGGCACGGTTAGGCACGCAGGTTGAAAATGGAAATCCACCAGTGAGTGTTATGAATGATAGCTCTTATGAGTACCCTGTAGAGAAAGGACTGTGGCTTGAAAAAATGACCGTATCGAAAATTCAAAACTGAACAATTTTGAAGCCAAATCAAAGAGAGCGGAATTTTTTCAAACTATCTTATTTGGGGATTTGGCTTGGCGCTTTTAGGTAAGAAGAAATCGCAAATTAGAGGTTCATCATTTCTGTTTTATCAATTTTAATTGACGCTCAACGCTCACTTGATGGATTTAACTTCACGTTATTATTTCACCCGAAAGGGTTTAGTTTTTTAGTTGATAACATTTTCAGCGCTATGACACGAGCTGATCACTCTAAAAATAGGCAAATCATTATAAATTATAATATTTTTCGACGTTCAAATGAGTCAGGAAGCGGAATCTTAAAAGAATTTTTCAAATACAATCGATTGAAAATTCTACTCAAGTACAAGTACGTGGGGAGTTCTTATTGTAACATCATGGGCGAGTTTAATCTAAATCCTCTTCCGCCACTTAAAAGGTGGCGAATCTCTAGGCTGAAATCTTCAGCTCCATTCGGGTCCAGTTTGCGCTGTAAGCCAATTTTCGTACTAATGCGAAGACATTCCATTTGCAACAGCCTATTTCCATAGCAGACTTTTCTGAACTTTCTAAAGACTGTATTTATATACAGTAGATTCAAAACTAAGCGACTAGGTCTGCTTGATAATTGATTTTCTGGGTTTGATTTTTGGTCTTGATCTGAAGTAGTCATTATTTGAAAACTTGCAAAGCATGAATCTAAGAAACTAAAGCCCCTTTCTCTTTTTACAAGAAGCTTCCGCGAAGACGCTGATTTTTAAAACAATCATCATTGCCCCTGCAACGATATTATTCTTGCGCGAGCTTCAACAGGAAATTTCACATTTTGCAATAATACTCAGAAAAGACCGTGGCCGGATTTGGACCAGTTCGCTTTTTTGCGGTAGTAGTAGTTGAGTTTTATCCGCGGAAAATAATTTTGCGCGATGCAAAATGCGATTAATATTGCTCGATCTTCTTTCAGTGTTGTTAATTCATCAGGGAGCAGAATGAACGACTTTGAACACTGTCGCGAGCGCTGACAGACAGAGCTAATTCCTGATGAATTTGTGCATATGGAAAAATACATGCATATATGATATACCTTCATCTTGCTTCTTTCAATGTCTATTTTGCTCACTAAAAGCTTATTTTAGCGATTTTTGTCCACACGTCTATCAAAGAAGCCATCAAAGGGAGGAGTTTATAGTTCATTTTCTCCAGACTAAAAAGCAATTTCTATGTGAAAAGAACCCTGTCTCCGCTCATCCTTCTAAGATACTACTATTCGGCGTTTTCTCGAGAGCACGTTTATCAATCCCAACTTTCCCAGTTTTGGTTTCGCCCCTAGAACTAAGATAGGGAGCCTTTTCTATCCTTTGATAGCCCTTATCCCCAAGTTGCTTTTGTTTTTAAAGCTAGGTATCAACTCCAAACAGCAAACAAGAAGAAGCAAGAAAACCTCGTCGAAGCGCGAAAAATGCTCAGGCTAAGCGAAAAAGTAGCCAACTTAACAACGGATGGTGTCTTCAGAAAATTCTAGCGGTATTCTGATACGTAACAACGTGTCAGGGGCGCTCTCATTTCCGACGGGTAAAAAGTGATGGAGCAGGGCTCCGTTTCAATTAAAATTAAACGTTTTTTTTGCGGAGCAAATACTGTTTCAAATCGAATTTTAAGGGCTGCCCTTGAAATCATGATTACCTCGAAACACGTCGCCCTGACCCGCTTTCTTTTTCTTATGCGACCGGTCGGAGTCGATTATAATCTGACTCGAAAACCATCTTTATTAAAAATTATAATAAATCATTTCTCATCAAAAAAGATTTTCTTTGACACGAATGATTGATCAAGTAGGTCAGAGAAGAAAGAACAATCATGACCTTGTGTTGAAGAAAGCTTAAGGTTTGACAAGAGTGGAGCGTTTAATGAAACAAGAAATGTCCTGGTATCAAAATAATCGATCATTGTCGAGTGTCACCCGGCGCCTAACATGTAAATCACTGCTGCCGCTATTAATTTGCATCCCATAGAAAATATTTGCGTCCTTCCTAATCAGCCAACTAGTTTGTCGCCTTCTTAGAAACAGTCGTAAACTTGATCTTACAAAAAAACCATCATCCGTCAAAAGACCGAAAATCAACGAAGAGCGACCGTCTTAATATGTAACGAGGTAAGTGCCGTAGAAACGGAATCGGACTTCCAGGAAGTCTAAGCCCAGCCAAGAGCTAGACTCCCAGCTGGGTCCAGTTGACTTATCCGAGGCGCGATATACGCCAGGAAGTTTTGGCTCCACGAAGGGCAACGTGGCCAGAAGCCTGATTTTCCTCAAGTTTTTAAGCGCGCATTAGCCCAAATTTTCGCGATTGCGGAGATAGCTAACGAGTTCGTTTAGAGGATGTCAATTGATATTGGAGACTCAATCAGGTAAGCCCTCATTTATGTTAACCCTTCTTTATATAAAATGTCCGGTAAAAGACGTCAACTAAAAATCCAAGATTGCAGAACCCATCGCCCAAATCAAAGGGGATTGATTACAACGATCTCTCTTGAGCAAGTTAAAAATTATTATTTCAGCGCTTCAAGTTACGAAGAGATTCCAGAGACGTAGTGAGAGCTGCCGATGATCAGCTGTGCGCCGCTGCAAAGTGACTAGAGTTATACAAAGTAATCAAAAGTCCTCTTCTGTCAGCTTTATTCTTGTCGGGCCTATCTATCTTGCGCTGAAATATAAACCTTTGTTTCTTTCAGTTTTGATGCTTTTTTTCTCAATAATGATTAAATATCGACCAGTTCCGTTCTTCCAAAATTTATCATATCTGCTAACGAAAGTCGACCGCGTCACTGGGCAATGAAATCTTACATTAGGAAAATTCTTCCCATATCAAGGTGCGAAATATCTTTCCCACAAAAAGTACGTTCCTTCAAGAAATTACGATGGTTTCCTAAATTTGAGTCTTTACAGAAGTGAGGTTCAGAAAAACGAGATTTTTATGACCATAAGGGTATTTACTTAAAACAATAAGAAGTTCACACGCTTTACTAGCCATGAGCATCTTCTGAGGTTATAATTTGTTTTTGCTTGGTTTCGTTCTATTGATTCGCATAACCAAAATTCTCAGAAGTTAAACCAAGATTGAATGATAAGAAATTGTCTTTAATTTATCCGATAAAAACCTACTTGGCAGGGGATAAAAATACTTAAATTTATTACTTCCTATTCTGACCATTTTACGATTAGCTTGAATGATCTGCTGCATCGGCTTAGAAAAATAAAAGACGTATACTTTCTGACGTAGAAATCAACGAAACATTTTATAGCCCATGATGACGTCGGAAAAAAAATTTTATTCGAGTCCACAAACATCGTTAATCGTCCGTCCGTGACGATTTCCTGAGACGTCACTTGGTCATCTGGGAATAGTAAAAGATGAGAACTTCGAATAGTTTGCTCTCGACGAGTTGAGCTTCCTGGCGTCTAGTTGATCCCCGTTGTAGGATAGAAAATGTCACCCGTGGTATTTCTAAATAAGGCAAGATAGCAATGTTGTATTGTTGATGTCACGGATCATCGCTGGTATTGAGAATAAAAAGCTAGCGCTAACATATTTAACAAATCATATGTTCCAAAAGAGTAACTATCAATACAACAAATCATTGATCAGCATTAGAGCATTCTTTTTGGTTTGTTTCATAAATACCGGTACACTGTTTCCGTAGTACACTATTTTAAATTCATAGGAACAAACTCTTTCCAACATAAGATATCCTTTCGTCAATTTATAAGCTTCACTCTATTTTCATAATTTTAGACGATTACTAACGCTAGCAATTGTCGGTCAGTTGACCCCGTAAACTTAAGAGCTTATTTGCATCACGGCTCACTCAATCACCGTAGTTATGATACGTATGTATTCCGCTGATAGCTCCCTTGTTACGTAGCGATAAATGCCCTTTCAAATCATCCTGCTCATAAAAGAGTGCTGATTTGGACTAGAATCCCTCCCATGGAGCGACCTCCTGACGACACATCGCACATAAATACAAGCAACTTTTCCCATATTGCCAAACCTTTTCATCACTATCAAAAAAAATGAACACTTTATTAATATTTTTCGCCCTATTTCAATTTTGCGCAGCAGCCGAAGATACTCGCCAATATATTGAGATAGAAGAAACCTGGGACGGCAGAAGAGTTCTAAAGAGAAGAGTAAGACAAGCTGAGTTCGACGACGAAGAGGGCTCTGGAAGTCCTGATATTCCTCCTCCAGTTGAAAGAGTAAGCGTTCAATTTTTCTTCGAATCCTTATTTTTCCTTTTAGCTTGACGTATTCGTCCGGGTCGAGATGAACACAAGAATTCCATTCAGTCAAGGACTCAAAAACAAGGAATCTGAAGAATATCTTCTCAAAAAGGCTGAACTTCTTGAAGAGCTCCGAATCAAACTCGAAAATGTCGCGAGCATAGAAGCTGCTGATCTCTTATTCGCTTCTATCGATGTTGATTTTGAAGAAACCAGGTTAGAAGAAAAAACATAAAAACTTTGATTAACATCCATTTCTAGTGGAGAGCTCCGACAATCAACCTCGCCTTCGATGAAAGCCATCATTACAATCCCCTTCAAGGTCGACTCCACAGAAATGCTCAGCGACGAAATGGAACAACAACTTGAAGATCAGTTGCGTGAAACAACCATAACTACTCTTAACGACATGGTTGAAGATGGTCTACCAGAAGGTAGTCTGTTATCGTCCGATCCAGACTTCAGATTTTCCTCTTCTCGTCAGAGCTTTGACCTAACGAGGTGGAATGGGGCAAGCCCCTTGCAAATTTCTCTGAGTTTTATCTGTCTAATTAATATTAATTTTGTTTTCTGAGACTAGACAACTTTGTAAATATGGCTGCAACTTTTTATAATTTAAATAAAGTCTTTGTTCAATTTCAACGCTTAAAAGTCTGGGAAGAACAAAACAATGTACAAAAATGCACTAGGTACTTTGGTAGGTCATAAATCCCGGCATGTATCGATCAAATTTATCAAATTACGAGTATCACCTAAAACAGCGACCTCTTGGCACTTTTATCGAGTACCCAAATTGATGACAAGACGAGCATTCTGAAGAATCCTAAGAGATAGAATGAAGCTCTTCAAGTTTTTGTCTTTCTTTTTTGCCGCTGTCTTTGCCCAGAGTGGGGAAGGATCTGGCTCTGGTGATGTCGATGACATTCAATCCGAGGTAAGACTCTCCATCATGGCCAGGCTATTCAAAGACTTAGATCGTCACAACGGTAGAAATGGAACTTCAAACCGAGATCGACTACGACGCAGATCTTGAGGACAAAGAGTCAGCTGCTTATGCAACCAAGAAGGGACTTCTTTACGAAGAGCTTGAACCTTCATTCTTAGAGGCCGCAGAAGTTACCGACTCGGAGCTCGAACCAAACAGCTTCGATGTCACTTTCGCCGAGGTTGATAGCGCAAGGTAAACGTCAAAAGAATTAATATAGTACTATAATTAGGCTTACCGGACTAAATTTCGGCCCATATTTCTAGCTTAGTTGGGGGGTCATATGATACAGTGTTAGAGAGCCCAGAAGCTGGGCTTTCATTTGGGCACCATATCAAGGGGTTTGGGTCATGCCCGGAAGGCAAATTATGGGACCGGAAGTTCCAAATTCGGGACAAGAACTCTTCTTCCGGTTTTTACGATGGGTTTGGGATATCAAGAGCTTTGAAAAATAGGTGAAATAGAAAGCTTAGACTCTGAGCTTTCTTTAGAGCCAATAAAATTTTGCCGCCCGTTGGTCTAGCGCCCTCTAGTGGCCCTAGAAGTTGACCTTGGCAGTGTTTTAGTCTGGAAACTTCAGGTTTCGACTCAAAATTTTCGAATTCTAAACCTACTTATTTCGTTTTTTAACTAACTATAAACAATAAATAAGTCTTAGAAAATTGAATCACGGTTGATCTTGGAGGTTTTTTTCTCATTTTTTCCGAGTTTCTGTCGAAAAATACCCATATTTCCAAGTTCTCTGGCCACTAGAGGGCGTTAAACCCAAGGGCGGCAAGATTTTAATGGCTCTAAAGAAAGTTCAGAGTCTACACTTTCTATTTATCTACTTTCCATTGCTCTTGAGATCCCAAACCCATCGAAAATATCGATCGAAGAGTTCTAGTGCCTATTTGGGAACTTCCGGTCCCAAAATTCGGCTTTCAGGCATGCCCAGACCCCTTGATTTTGGGCTCAAATGAAAGCCCAGCGTTTGAGAATTCCAAATATGTGTCATAGGACCCCCCGACTACCCTAGAAAAATTGGCCGAATTTCAGTCCGGTAAGCCTAACTATAATACTAATTTGTTAACCAAAAAGCTAGAGATATTGGGCTAAATAATCTCATAAATATTACGATTGGGCTGATAAATAATAGACAGCCGGTAGTTAAATCAGAATCTTCGTCGTTGAAACATTTTTATTGTGTACTAATAATAATCTCAGACGGAAAAGACGACAAGACGAGGTCCGAAAAATGAAGGGAACAGTTTCGCAAAAGTTCATAAGCAAGCGAACAGAAGCATTCACTCCTGCACTCCAGGATCAAGTCAGTGAGCAAGTCCGTGCTCAAACCGAATCGACAGTTCAAGACTACACCGATGCTCCTAACACCGGCTCTTTGCTTACCGCTGGTCAGCAAATCACTGCTACAGAAACATCTACTGGTTACGACTTGACCGAGTGGAATGCTGGTGCACAGTTGAAGATGTGCAGCACGATCTTTGCCGCTCTTCTCGCTCTAGGGCTTCTCAACTAATTTAAATCGACTACTGTACATTGAACACTTGTCCGAGGTTTCTGCTAATGACGATATGTAATAAATTTTCTACTATTTTTCTAAAGATCAGCGCTTTTGGTTATCACTGTTAGCAGTGAGTAAATTATTTAATAGCATCTCACGAGTTTGAATAAACTCGAAAAAGATTTCATTCAAATGAGGTCTATCTAATTTCGTTTCAATAATGAAATAGAGAGGTACTCGCTAGAAAGAAAATATCCATTTCAACTCAAACTCAGAGGAAAATTATGAGCTGGATCTACAGATTTCTCTTAATTTTTGGGTCTTCAGCCGGAGAAACAACGATTCTCGAGGACCATCTGGGCATTGAGAATCCTCAAGATAAAAGAGTCGAGAGAGCCTATGAAAGAAATATAGAAAGAATTGAGAGTGATCTACGGCATGAGGTGGAAGAAATCTCTGGAGATGGATGTGGAGATGGATCAGATGGTGAAATTGTTTCGGAGGTGCTATACCCTTAAGAATTTTCATTATCTATCCTCGTAGATTAAAGTGACAATATCGACCTGCCTTGAGTTGAGCTGTGAGCTCGAAGGAGATCTGCTGAACAAAAGCTCGGACGAATACATCCGTCAAAGTTTACAAATCCTTGAACAATTTAAATCTTGCTTCGAGCAAACTGCGGTCATCACAGATTCTTCATATGAGCAAGATGATTTTGACGTCTATTTCACCGTGATCAGGTGAATCAAGAATAATTCAAATTGAGTAATATAATTGTAGTCCTTTACGCACAAAACGTCATCCACACTTCGAGAATTTTTATCAAGCCTGCCTTTCCATGACCTTTCTTCATGAATCTACTGAGTCTCTATCTGATGAATTGAAGTCAACAGTTAAAAACAATATCGTTAATACCTTCAAAGAAGAACTGGAGGAAAAGCTTCAAGGCACCGAAAACTTATGCTTCGATCCACAGAATGTTACTTTTGCAACAACAACCGAATCTTATGATCTCACTGTATGGAACTCGGATGTCAACATTCAGCTTACTTTTTCATTACTGGCCTTTGTTTTGCTGTTGATCTCCGTCTAAATAGAAAATCGAAATAAAAATGAAATCAAAATTTTAATCAATAATGCATTCCATTTTTTTATTCCTTCATAAAATGGAGTTTTTCCTAGCAACTCATATCATTATATATAAGTCTCAAAAGTCTCAAAACGCAAGGACTACTGAAAAATAAGAGCGCCTTGGCGACCTCCTCATAAAATTTCATTTTTATAAAGCTGATGTTGCTTCGTATACTTACCATTTCTTTACTTTTAAAGAACTATTTATAAAGCCAAGAGATGAGAATGTTATCAAATATTTTCCTCCTTTTTGTTGGGATAGTTCATGCAGTCGAAGTCCTGGAGGAGTCTCTTGGAGGGCCAATCTTTGACAACAGTGTTACAGCTATTGGTAGAAGATCAAGAATTGAACGACAAGCAGATGATGTTGAGGGTTCGGGGCCGGTTGATGATTTCCAATCTAAGGTACACTTAATTTGAAAAAACAGAGCTCAAACCAAATCAGATCACAACAACCGTCGAAACGACACTGAAAACAGAAATCGAGTTCGATTCCGCCCTTGAAAACAAAACCTCCAGTGCATACGCGGAGAAGAAAGAAGCTGTTCTTTCCGAAATAACATCAGTTTTCGACGATGTTGCTGAAACGACTGACTCAGAATACAATCAAGAAGAAATTGATGTTACGTTTTCTGAAGCAAGGTAAAAAATGGCATTTATCGGACATTGACGTAGACGAAATCCGACAAAAGCCGACAATCTTCCCACGGTTTCAAGTCCCCGATCTCTGCCAAAAGCGTCATTACGGGATTACTACTCGTAAATTTATGCAGGACAATAGTATATTCTCAATAGATAAGCGCTTCAATTGATTCTTTGATTGTTATTTCGAAGACTTCCTTTTATGGTTTAAACCGTGCGAAGCTGTCAAAATGTGGTTTTCAAAAGTTCAACTAATAATCAAGAATTTAGCCGAACTCGCCGACAAACAGGCTCATCGACGACAGATGTGACTTTCTTGGTTCCCTTTGTTTCCAAAAGAACCGAAGTTCTCAGCGACGATTTGCAATCCAGCGTTCAGGCGACAGTTGAAAAAGAAGTGAAGGACGCTCTCACTCAAACATTGGCCTCGGAAAACCTTGATGGAGGATCCGTTTTCGTCCCGGATCAAGAAGTTGTGGCTGACTCCGTCGTCAAAGGAGAGAAGGTCGTTGATCCAGAATGGAACTCTGGAGCGCAGTTGCAAATTTGCAACACACTTTTTATCGCAACAGTTCTTTTGAAACTCTTCAACTAATCGCCATTGCTTTTGTGAGCCCATCGAATTGAGACTGTATCTTGAAGATTTGCTTATAATATTTAATGACAGTGCAGTCCGTGCAAAAATTTCACTGTAAATCATCATTTAACTTAACTACACCTATTGTATCTGAATGCGCTGATTTTGTTTCATAATTTTGATACATTTTTTGACTAAAATAAATAATCCACAATTCCGACTGAAATCCAAGAAGCTTCTGAGTTAGGAAAATATAATATATTTAGAACTCGAGTTTACAAAAATATGTATAGCAAGAAAATTATGCCGCAAGACTTCTTGTTGTGTTTCCATAAGTCCTCGCGTGTTCAAATCGCTTCCCGGGCACGAATCCTGTGTACTTTGGGATCAGACCGTCTCTAAATGTCAATCAGTGGATCTTCTATCGCTCGCTAATCATTTACTCTTTGTAAATTCTGAAATTGTGACCGTTCAATTTTACGTCGGAGAGGACAATCTTTCGCGGCAGATTTCGTGCTTCATCCACTCTAAAAACATTCAATTTAAAAGTAATAAGGCTATGTGTAAAACGTTGATGATGTCTACAAGATGACTCACCCACGAATCGTTGTCAACGATTAGATACTCAAAAATTATAAAAAAAAAATACGATAATAGCGAAAATAATCCTCGTTCGGCGTACCCAAAGTAAGAGAGAATCTATTCAGGTTTATGCTGTTTGTTTACCATCAATAACGTGCTCTACTTTTGTCGGAACTGAACCATTTTCAACAAACAAAATGGTTTGATTCAGGCAAAAATCTGTATAAATCGCCGTCTCACCCCCTCTCCTCAGTCCAGGTGTCCCAAACGAGGAGTATAACAACCAGTCACCAGCAGTGCAAAATGTCGAGATTTTTTATGATGGTCAAACTTGACGAAAATGGCGAGAAAAATGCCGGATCCCCGCCAGAAAATAAGAAAGCAAGGAAAACTACAACAGAAAAATCAATGGATCCGGCTGATTTTAGCGCCTGGATGAAGGACAAAATGAATCCATCGCCAGAGAAAAAGAAAGAAATCGAGGAGCTTGAAAGCAAGCTCGAGACAGGAACGAGTCAGAAATTTTTCGAGAAAAGAAACACTTTTTCCAAAAATCTTTTTTGACTTTTTGAAGTGACAAAAGAAGCAGACGCCCTTACTGAATCGATGATCAAGAATTCGGACCGAGCTTCAACCCCGAAACGCGAAGCGGACGAAGACAAGCTCCGAAAACTTCTCGACGAGAAAGAAATCCTCGAGAGCAAATTATTCCGCCTCACCGTGTGCCGAGTAAATTTAGCGATGTAAGGTTCTTACTGTAAAAATTCAACCAGAATAAAGCGAATACTAACAAAAACAGGGCGTGGTCGTTTATTGTGAACGTACCTGTTGAGATAAGACTTCGCAAAACGATGTTGAATTCGCGGGACGAAGCCAGTGTAGCCAGATATGACTCCAAGATCGGGAACAGAAACAGATGAAGTACTTTAGGAAACATAAGATAGCTTTTATCTAGCGACGTGTGTTTGTTCCTTTAAAATTTTTTACTTACGTTTTTGGTTCAAGTTGGGGCAGAATCGTCGACTGGGATCGTTCTAGCCGATGTAGGGGAGCTTCGAATTGCCGTTTTCTGATAACAATCAATTTTAAGACCCATCAGACAATCAGTTTTTTGGAGGAATAGACAAACAGGAGCGCTATAATTTGATAGAATCACTTACCTAAGGTCTTCCTCGTTATGGCGACGCTGAATAAAGACGGATGTTGACAAGTTCACCTTGGGCACAAAGCTCCGTCCAAAATACTGCCGAGAAACGGGAACGTGTCCGGTGTAACCCGAAATCTTTCCGGAGTCGCGCTATGATTTTTCGAATTATTTCCGTTATCAGGGAGTTTTCTCTATTTTGGCGACAATGAAACATCACTTCAAGGAACGTACCGGCTCAGTAGATGGAGCCTGGAGATTGTCTAAAACAGAGGTCTTGCTTCTTCTTACTCCTTTGTCATTGAGGATATCATGGGTGGTTCGTCCATAGGATTTCGAGTATCGAAAGGCTTGTTGTGGGACGTATCCTCCATAGCCGGGAACGAAGTAAGGGTCTTATAAGTTCTTAATTATTTCGCGAAGAATTTTTTTTCTAAGGATCAGAAAGAACTTTCCTGGGGCAAAAGCTTTCAGTGAAGAAGTCATATTCTCTTGGTTTCAATTTGCCTCGTTGACCTTTTAATACTTCTCAATCTAAAAATCTGGCGATCGTTATAAGCAACTCTGTTATTTGACAACCATTATCTCTGAATTGCTTTCTCTCTGTGTATCCACTTTGAGACAAAGCTGAACAACCGTACTGTACTGTCGCTCTGTCCCACGGCCCGGGAAGATAGGGTGGTAGATACTGCGAGTTCTAGTGGAACTCTGAAAGTCACACATTTTTGTTTGCGAAGACAAATGGACATTTTGCTCTTTTTTATTTGATCTGGCTGATTATCCAGCAGTTATCGAATTCAGAGACCCCGAAATTTTCCGCTGACTCGAAAAACTTCAATTTCAAGCCATCTACGATTATTTCCAAATTAAAAAGTCTTCAATAAAGAATAAAGTCTTTATAAATTTTGAGTATCTTTGCGATGGGAACGAAATCTGTCGAAAAAATGATCTATTTAGGGGCGGTACGGTAGCATGCTTCACAATTTTCTTGAAAAGAAGAGTCAAGTCTCCTTTTGTCTTCCGGCCTGTTCTGAACAGATCCTTCCGTTCAAACACTTGCCCTTGATTTAGCAGTTTATATTCCCTCTTCACTAATAAGCTTCATCTTTGGAAGCAACGGTAAATTAAGACCTAGCGCCGATTATTTTGTCAGACACGCGTCGGCCCAGCCACCGTGGTTGGTTTCAGTTCCGGTGACCGGACTGATTGATTATCTGATAAACGACTCCTTAGCCAAATTTCCTATGCGATTTGCTTATATTATTCTGGTTCCATGAAAATCTCGTCGAGGATTACGTCTCAGAGAAACGACCAATTTCTACTTCGAAGATGAAACTATCTAAGATGAAATCTTTTCAAAGAAGATTTACATTTGACCCACTGAGACTTGCCAAAACTGAAAAAAAAAGTCGCGTCATCGGTTTGGGCACGGCATATGACTCTCAGAGGATGAATAATTAAGACGGTGCTCTAGGTTTGTTTGCCCTGAGCTAATTTACTGAATCGCCCCAGAGAAGATGGCGAAAATTGATCGAAGCTGATCGAACCTCATTTTGCTCCTTTTCAATTAGTTTCAAAAGGCAGTCGAGAAAAAAAGGACCGACCGGAACGCTCAGACATGAGAGCTAATTGAACGAACACTGAAGATATGAAAAATTTGCTTCTTTTGGTCAGTTTGGTGACTGCAAAGAGAACCAGAAATTCAGGTCACAATGGCAATAGTCGTTTTCAAAATGGAAAACGACCAAATATTATCATTTTCGTGCTTGATGATCAAGATGTTCAACTCAGATCTCAAGGTAGTTCTATCGGTTGTCTATGATAAAAACATCTGTTATGCTTCTTCAGATGTCATGGTGAAGACTCAAGAGCATCTGATTGATAAGGGTGTTAAATTCAACAATGCATTCACAACAACACCAACCTGCTGTCCTTCGCGTAGCAGCATGTTAACCGGTTCGTAAAAATTTTTTTATGAAATGTAAAATTACCCCAAAGGACTTTACGCTCACAATCATCATGTGATGACGAACAATGAAAACTGCACAGGAGCTGAGTGGATTGAAAAGTTTGAGCCTCGGACATACGGTGCTAAACTTCAAGAAAAAGACTACAAGACTGCTTTCTTTGGCAAGTATCTCAATGAATACAATGGAACGTACGTGCCAAAGGGTTGGAGCAAATGGTTTGCGCTGAGAGGAAACTCGCGATACTACAATTACAAGTTGGCTATATAATACTCAAAATGATCAATATTGTATTTGCATTATTTAGCCAATATTAGGTTAGCTCAACGATCTTAGATTCCTCTGGACTTTTACAGGTGATTTAGGTCGCAGATTTTGATAAAGAGAAAAGAAGTGGACTGCAACTGCACAGCTTCGGTGACAAGCCCGAAGAATATTTCACAGATGTCATCGTTGATAATGGTAAGGTTTCCTTTCAGATTATATAATATATTTGTCTAGCGCTTGAGTACTTCGAGACACACGCCGATGATGCCGAGCCTTTATTGATGGTTTTGAACTTTCCAGCTCCTCATGGGCCGGAAGATGCGCACCCTGACTATCGTCATGTTTACGACCAGCCAAATGAATTTCAGCAGGGAATTCTCGGCGCCCACAGGGATCTGGTTTTCAACAAAACCAGCTGGCAGCCCGGCGAAAAACATTGGTTCATAGCGTCGCAGAAAGAAATGAATGAAGTAAGATCATAGTTACGGGTTTTCATAACAATTGTTATCTCAGGACGATGGTCATTTCACAGACTTGCTACAACGAAGACGACTTCAAACCCTTTTTTCCGTTGACAATGGCATCGAAAGTATCATGAAGGCCGTCGAAGCAAGAAATCAGATGGACAATACTTACTTTATGTACACATCCGACCACGGCTATCATCTTGGCCAATTCGGAGTAGTCAAAGGAAAAGCACTTCCGTACGATTTCGATAGTCGTATTCCATTCTACATGAGAGGACCGTCTATTCCCCGAGGAGAGTTAAGAGAAGAAATCGTTCTCAACATCGATTTGATGCCTACTATTCTTGATATTGCTGGATTCAAGAAAGAGGCAGAACGAGATCTTGATGGAACATCGATTCTCAAAGTTGCTAAAGGCACACAGGATCCAAGAAAATGGCGAAAATACTTCCTTATTGAGCGAGGCAAATTCCCCAACAACATGCTTTTCAGCAAACCAAACAAGCAAGAGTACCTTTCTCAGCTTTGCAGGAGGAAAAAGATGCAAACACCCATCGATGGTCAATCTTGCCAGCCAAAACAAACCCATTACTGTACAAAAGAAGGCGACGAGTGGAAAATCTCAAAGTGCAAAAACCCACCAAAATTGGGAATTACCTTGTCTGCCGATGGAAAGGAGTTCTGCTGTTGCTACGAATGCTACAAAAGACATCAAGCTCATTGTGCTCGCAGAGCGCGCTCGCGAAGAGCTATATTTAGCCCAGCGGTAGAGTAAGAACAGACCATCAATCAGTCTATCAATTTTCCATTTAGCACTTTCCAATGACCTTCAAGTCAAATTTTTGTGATGTTCCCCAAAAAAGTTGCACCTGTGAAAAGCGTCAGAAAACAACATCTTCAAAGCATATCTCTTCACCACAGCGAAGAAAAAATCCTGTAAATCAGATGAAAAACGAGCTTGACAAGGAAAGATCACAGTACAAAGATATGAGAGATTTCCACAAGAGCATTCGGAATCAGCATAATAAGCGTGGAAAACGAAAAGGTGGCGACTGCAAACAACGAGGAATGGCTTGTTTTACGTAAAACTTGACAATGCGAAATAGATATAAAATTCATCCCTTAGTGTTGATGATCAGACCTTCCAGACCCACCCGAAATGGGATCGCGACGAGCAATGCTACTGTATCAATGCTTCCAACGGAACATTTTTCTGCCTTCGTCATCTGTCACAAGAGGAAAACGAGAGGGAAAACTACCTGTATTGCGAGTTTATAACTGGCGAACAAGAGTTTTACGACCTTGAGACAGATAAGAACGCAGAGTTAAACCTTTGGAATCTTGTAAGTCGTAAACATAAGACCTTGAGAAGTGACGTATATCAATCAGGATGAAGAGACGATTCCCGACAGTCCCCTCAAAAGCAGACCGGGAAAGTTCAACAAGCTCAAGGAACGACTGCCGGGATTAAAAGATAAGCTTTTCAATTGCCAAGGAACGAAATGCAAGGAAGAGATAGAATATGGAAATAGAGCCTTTTCCAATAGACGATCTCGAAATAATAATCGAAGAAGGTAATTGATTTCTAACCTTCTTGAGTAAACCAAGTATTTAGTCTGAGACGCAGTAAGAAGAATCCAAGAAGAGCGCGACAGAAACACAAAATAGAAAGATCAACTGAATGACTGTTACTTCAAAATGACTTTTGCTCATTGTAGAGCTAAAGAGTCAGTAATATATTATAGAGTATGTTTCCTCATTATACCGCTTGTCATGCTGCTAGGTAATAAACACACCATATACGCCCAAATTTAATTTATAGTCGATGTTGATTCTATCGAAGATTACGTGTCTGCACCAGTCCGGGAATAAGCCACCTTTGAACCACATTCGGTTGGGCCCGGTTTGCGTGTTTATTGAGTAAATACAAATTTCACCCTATTTACATGTCCCAGATATCACATTTGAAAATCCAGATTCTCGGCTACTGTTTATTGGAATCCTTGTCTTTTCCAGGATGCTGCTATTACTGTTTTTATTCGTACTGGACTTTAGTGAGGGAAATAGAGATCGTCGAAAGGGATTAGGGTTAGACAAAAAATTGAGTAATTTTACGCAAGAGAACATCGGGGCAAATCCTCAACAGAGCACAAGTAACCACAGGAATTGTTCATTCTTCAGGTACGGCCGCAAAAGAAGAACTTAACCCAGTTTATCGTTAGAGAAAAATCCCGCTCGTTACATAAAATGGCAACGTCGTGTGGGGAGATTTATCAATCAGGTTGTATGACAACTGGTAGATATTATATCAGAGTCGGCAATAGAAGAAGAATACCGGTACTTTGTGACATGGACACAGATGGAGGTGGTTGGACTGTTGTTCATTCACACGGTGTTAGACATCCAGAAGAATTTAGGAAAGGTTCAGAAAATGATAAAAGGAATGATAGAAAAAGCGTTTTCGAATCTGTTAAAGATGCTACAAAGAAACTTCGGTAGATTCCCCGACTTTCGAAGGGAGAAAATGTCGTCGGGCAGTTGGACAAGCAAATTGGAACTCGACCTGGGAAGAGTACATTATCGGCTTTGGAGAGATCCCAAGTGCAGAAGGAAGAAATGATTTCTGGCTTGGTTTGGATAATATCTTCGAGTTGAGCAATGCAGGGAGAGGGACTGAAGCTAGAATTGAACTCTATAACTGGGGAGGGGAGCGAAGCTGGGCAAAATACGGAACTTTCATGTATGATCTATTCTACTGGTACAACCATGGTATTTTTAAGGGTCTCTGATATCGATTTTGGATATCGACTGACTGTGAAGAATTTCGAAGACAACAAGGACCTCCCTGTTCACGATGCATTTTCTGGAGTGACGGAAAATTTCCTTTGCAGAGGAAGAAACTGTCCAAACAGAAGGGAGAACAGACAAAACTCAAAGCAGAATGGGCAAATGTTCACAACGAAGGATAGGGATAACGACAATTACTGCAGGTATCTAAATGTAAGACTGACAGAATTGAAGAAAGATTTATTTCAGACCAACAGCCATCAAACGCGACGGATCGCCCGAGTATAAGGAAGAAGACAAGGCTTGTGAGATGACTCATTCTAATACTAACTGTGCGATTGAGGTAAAAGTCCTTTCAGTGCGAATTTTTAGTTTTTTAGGAACAATCAGGCTTCTGGTTCAATTCTTGCTCCGCTGTTAATCTGAATGGGCCGATCTATAGAACAAATCCAGAGCGTGAAAGACAGAAGGCTCTTCCCGCGGGAATGATTTGGGCTACTTGGCAGAAGCAGACAAGTCTCATGTTTTCAAGTATCAAATTGCGACCGCGAAACTTTAATTCCTGAAAATACATGTAAAAAATTGTTTTGTGGAACTTTATTGCAAGAAAGAAGGCAGTTTGAAATAAACAAGTTAAAAGTGAAAGTTAGTAATCTTGCGCTCCTTGGGCGATGTAATCCTTCTTTGCATTCGTTTTCAGTCTTTGGACGGATTCGATCTTTGGGCATTCCGTGATACGATGGCCAAGACCGCCGCAGTAAGTACAACCCTAGAATTGTCGTAAGAATGCGATCACGCAAGGTTCGCTTTACCTTTTCATTCATCTCGTGTTCAGGCAAGTCGGGCTCAATATCTTGCAGGAAAACTGGCACACTTTGATTAGCTTCCAAAACCAGCCCTAAATGTCATTGATATTTCGAAACAACAATTGTTGTAAAGAGAACCTCTGAGGTCAAGAAGAATTGATTTATCGCAAGATTTTGAGTTGACAAAAGTCGTTGCTACTCCTTGATGATTTCCTCGGCCAGTTCTTCCGATTCTATGAATGTAGTTTTCGATGTCTTCTGGCATGTCATAGTTGATAACATGCTCAATTTCTGGGAAATCAAGACCCTTTGACGCAATATCCGTGGCAACTAAGAAGAGTTGAATATTGATAATAGTCAGGAAAAAAACCTAAAACATCTTTCTCCCCGGCACGGAATTGTCTACAGGCTTCCATACGATCTTCTTGATCTTTTCCCCCATGAATAGCGGCGCATTCAACTCCTTTCAGAAGGAGGTATTCATGGACCCTAGAAATTTATAAGAAATGTCTCTATAGAAAATCTTACTTATCAACAGCTCGTTTTCTCTCAGCAAATATCAGTACAGGAGGCGATGTTTTCTGAAGCATTTGCAGGACTGTAACGACCTTAGCTTCGTCCAATACATATTCGATATCTTGCCGAATATTGAGATTCGCAGCTCCTGCGCGGCCAACATTCACTGTCAAAGGATGTACTAGAGCTGACTTAGCGAAGTCTTTGATTTTCATAGGCATAGTCGCGGAGTAAAGAAGCGTCTGGCGTTGCGCTTTGAAGTAAGAAAGAATGAAACGAACGTCTTCTTCGAATCCCATGTCAACCTAAATAAAATAGATTGGGATCTTCACATAGGATCGTACCATTCTATCAGCTTCATCAAGCACAAGCTGTTTGCAGCATGACAAATGTATCATCCCTTTCTGAAGCATATCCATAAGTCGACCAGGGGTTCCTACAAGAATATGCACTCCCCTCCTCACAACGCTAATAGTCTCCTTTAACGGAGTACCACCAATAGCAACGGCGACTCTCAAAGAAGGAAAGCCACCAGCATCCAAGTGATCAGCGAGGTACTGTAGTTCGTGACCTGTTTGCTTCGCCAGCTCGCGCGAAGGACAAATGACAAGCGAGAAGGGCCCTTCGTCCCGTACAAAGGGCATTTCTATTTCTTGCTCCAAAGCGGCCATTATAAGAGGAATTGAAAAACTCAGTGTCTTTCCCGAGCCGGTAAAGCTTATTCCAATCATGTCACGTCCCGTGAACGCCGCGGGAATGCCCTGCATCTGAATAGGCGAGGGTGTGGTGATGCCTTTGCGTTTTAGCGCGGAAATGAGACAAGCTGGGAGCTTCATGTCGCGGAATCGTTTACAAGGAGGCGGGCAACCTTCGCCCTCGACGATGATCTTCAGTCTTTTTCGAACATCCTTGGCGTATTTATCCCCTAGATCTCTCATCCACTTTGGCGGCTGCCAACTTGTTTGAAGTGGTTGACTATAAACGACTCCAGCAGCAAGCTGTTGGTCAGAAACTAAGGCTCGTTCTTGCCTCACGCCCTCAAGAATCTTCTTTTCTTCAGCTTCTTGCTTCTTTGCACTATTATGAAGCAGTTCATTCTTGACATCTTCAAGACGCGCAGCTTTGTGCTCATCATAAAGTGATCTTTGGGCCATTGGCTTTGGCTCTGGAACGGGAGGGGGTGCTGGCATTGAAATGCTGCTATCGTCGACAGAGGTTGGCTTGTTCCAGTCTGGAACTCGCGCTTCAACCGGTTTCTTGACTTCTTTTTCTGGCTCTTTGACTTTCATAAGTGGCTCGGGTTTCTTTGGTTCTTCTTTGCTTGGCTTTCTTTTCTTGTCGGACGCATTTTGAAGTTTTTGGAACATCTCCTTTCTTCGTTCCTTCAAGGGGACATACAGTGGCTCGTCATCGTCTGAAGACGAAGAGGACTTTTCGAGCTCTTCCCTTCGATACCGTTTCAAAGTCATTTTCTAACAAGAATGCTTGTCATTAAAGATTTCAATCAAGAGACGTTTTATTTCAATTTCAGTTGTCAGAGCAAAAATCTCCCATGATCAGATAGAGAAGTCATGATGAAGTAAATAGGGCGTTTGAACATGTAAAAATTTTGAATTATCAGAGGAAAATTGGAATTATAAATAAGATATACAGTCGATCTAATTCTAACTCAAACAGCGGACTCCTGAGATTTGATGCTTCGAGCTTTTCGAGAGAAGAAGATGCTGCTACCTCGGCTGTGTTCCTTTGAAAATGGGTTGAGAATACAAGAATAGTGTAATGAGTACCTTTGAGGAGTAAAGTTTTGAAAGAATTTGAAGCCAGGTCAGTTCAGGATGAGTGTTGAGGATGGAACTTGTTCCCTGGATGCACTGGATGTTAGATACCAAGTGAAGAGGATACGCAACTAATTTCGATTGATCACAAGCTTTTGCAAAAGAAAACTTACCGCTAGAAACAGCGAGGCTTAGAATGAGCGGCATGGTTTTGTCCACAACTTCATCTGCTTTTGATTTCATGTTCTGCTCATACAAATACACGAGCGTATTCATGCCAAAGACGGTGATCGCTAAAATAAAAGATGTCAATAAAGAGGCTCGTCATGGAGACACCGCGGGAGGTTGATTTCCTTCGCACATTTGCGATTTCGTGAGCTCAAAAGAGGATCAACGATGAACGACGATAGTGCAAAATTAACCAAAGAGCAATGCGAGGTAAACTTTTTCATAAGGCTTCTAACGGAACTCAATCCATTTTAAGAAATGGCAGGAGACTTTTCTTACGATTAGCTGCGATAAATTGAGCGAGAAGAAAAGGGAAGATTACTTTAAAATGGAATGCGTCGAGCCCCTGTTTCTCTGCGGCCAATCTTCTAGTGAGTGAAGTTATCAATAAAAATAGCAGGTTTTTATTAAAACCTTTTAAAGAGTGTCCTAACTCGACTTCGCCGCTTCAAGAATATCTTTCACTGCACTTCCAAGACGATTGCTTTAACGCTACTGCGGAAGAAGAGGGACAGATCAAAGCTAAGATCCTAGGTAATGCTTCGAAACAGACAAGCTTTTCTATCCTGAGTTTAGAAAACTACGGAGGCTGCGATCAATTCAACGCATCACTTCTTGAGCCCTGTCGATCCAGCTCCGAATCAGCTCATTTGACGATGGCACCGTTTTTCATGCTCTTTTTCATGCTGTTTCTATTTAAATAAATCGTACCTTCATGAAAGAGACGTGGCAGAAGTCCAGAGAACCAAGCATTTTCACTTGCAATTTCTTTCAGTCCCTCGAGCAGGCTTGATTGATTCTTGCCATCAGCAATTGATGCAATTTGTCTTCAACAATAAACAAGACAGCTTTGCTCTAATCTTACCTGATAGCAATGACGCAAAAAGGCCTTGAACAAATGATTCCAGTAGCTTGGATCGAGAACTGTTTTACAGACTTGGAGATAACTTCATCGAAGCTTTTTGGATTCTCGTAGTTCTTGTTCAAAAACAAATCGTCGATTTGCGGTTCTGCAACAGTCTGAGTGATCGAACTGACCATCGTCTCGGCCATTTTCGCTGAAAGTCCTGCGTAGATGACTTCCCGAGATAAAAGTCCTGCATCGCTAGCGAGGAAAATGAATTCATTTGCTTCAAATATGGATGACTTACAAAAGATATCCAGTAAAAACACCGTTGTAAAAATGGCCTCCTGGGTTGAAAATTTTCAATGCACTTGGAGCCTTGTAGAACGGACTCGCCGGTTCGTGACCAAGCTGGATCAAATGCTAGAAAAAAAAATTGTCACAAACTGTGCATAATCGGGTCTAACTGACTCTAGCCTGTGTTACGGGATGTGAAACGGAGCAAATGGCTACTTGAAAGCCGATTTTGCTCCAGTCGATTTCGCCTTTTTTAGATTCGTCTTTCGCGCTCATTCTGATAAGGAAAGAGGGTTGAAATTTCAGTATGTAATCGTTTATTGTAGCCCCAAAATGAGCTTCGGAATGCTTGGCAGTTGGTAATATAAATAAGTGCATATTTTTCGTGGGCTTTTCGTGGAAGCAGATAAGTATAGTAGTTTCGTGAGTGTTTTTGGTTTTCTTTTCTGTTAGGAACAGTTTTTTTACATGTGATCGTCGCGTTGTGAAATTGAGTGAACTGATACGCTGTTTTTGAAATTAAGAATGTTGAGTAAGGAATGTCCAACAGTTTCTTCGATTGATTATTGGTCAGGATGTCGTCGATTTTGATAGGCGTTTGCGGTACTTCTTGCAGCGGAGGAATTCGAAAGGGATGTTCAGTTTCTCGGCGAATTTTTTGAGCTCTGCGTCGCCTTTTGAGGAGACTAAAATCGGAGTTAGAAGAAAAATAGATTTGTTTGGACGCTTTTTTCATCGAATTAAACTTACCAAGTATGAATTTGTCCTTGAGTGAGCGAATATCACGCATCGTAATAAAAACGCCCTGTTCTCCGTAGAAATTCGTCTGTAGTCTTGAGGCTTCTACTGTGCATCCTTTTGAGGCAACTTGTTTCGGAGGTGGTAGTCTTGCGTTTTCGCCAGACTTGATTTTATTCAGGATATCTTTCATGAAATACGCAACGAAGGGCGTTACGTATTCGTCGCAGCTAGAAAGACGATTTGAAAGAGAAGCAAGAAAAATTGCTCACCAATTGTTCTGGAGGTCTGAATCATGGCAAGCGAGAGTAGAGCTAATCAACTCGGTGATCTTGCTGTCCGTAAGTTCCATACTGCAATCGTTGTTCATTTCTTGCCGGATTTCTCGGTGCACCTCGACGAATTCAAGAACTCGGATGAAAATTGAGCCGCCGAGAACCGCCGCAGTCCACTGGTACGATTCAGGATCCAGCTTCATTAGATCCAGGATCGTTGCGCAGAAACACAGTAGTTTCTCGTTGAAGCGGGGCATTACTGAATAACAAAAATTTTATCTAAGTTCTAGCTCCAAAGATAAAAATAAGTTTTCATTTTCTGATTGGTCGGTTTTTAACTATTACCTGAATCTTCTGTCCAAAACTCTGGTGCTTGGCAAAAGAGAAGGATGAAAGAAAGTGGTGTAAGAGCTTCTACTCTCCATTTTAGATGTCTCAGCATGTCGAATTCCTGAAAATGTTCCATTATTTTGAGTGAAAACAAGATTTTGTTATGAGAAAAAATTAAGGGGACACCCGGGTTTGAACCGGGGACCTCTCGATCTGCAGTCGAATGCTCTACCACTGAGCTATATCCCCACTGGACACTGCCCCGAAGATAGGCTTTATAAATTGAATTTTAGAAAGACGAAAACAGCTGTTCTTACGATTTTGACAAGATCGTCAATTGTAACTGCCCCATCTGAGTATTCTACAAGTCGATAGATGTCCGGAGGCGTGACTTCTTCCATCTTGGCGGCGAGGTAGAGGCAGGAAGTGCCCAAAGTCTGCAGCTGGCTTTTCGGAATGATTTCTCGGTGGAACATGTATCGGTCCAGTAAGCTTATTGCCAGGTGAAAGGTTGTTCTGAAAAAAATTTTAATGAAAAAAAAACTTTTCGGGTTTAGCAGACCTTCTATATTTTTCTTCAGTAGCGACTTCCAGTAGCCATTCTATCAGAACACACCTGTGTCGCTCCATTACCTTGCCTTCTGTTTCTGGATCTTGAGGATTGTAAATCGAACACGGGACGGCCTTGTCTTTGATATCCGTCACCATCCCCCTGTACAGCTCCTGAAACACAAATACTCAATTAGCAAAAAATCAATCAAACTGACGATTGAACGATCAAAGACCGAAAGTTTTAAATATCAATTAGTTTTGAAATTGAAGTCTACCTGGTATGGAAAACAACGCTTGGCGGATTCTTTGATCGGAAGAGCTCCTTCTGTCGAGTTTTCTTCGTCTGTTTCGGGCGTCAGTAAGTTTTCCAAGTTCGGAAGCTTTATTTCGTCCTTTACAGGCGTCTCTAAAAACGAAGTTCTATCCTGTCTCATTTTTTATCCTCACCTGATTTTTCCTGTATCGAATTTACAGTTGGAGTTGCTATGGACCGCCTCCTCTTCGCTTTTAACTTCTTTCTTTCTTTTTCGTTGGTGAATTCGGGGAGAGGTTCGATTCTATCATCAGAGGCAGTTTCGAGAGCTATCATTTTTCGGACATCTTCGTCGCGGACGATTTTCACTGAGGATGTGTTTTCGGGTCCCATCGACCTGCGCTAGAATGGAGTTTACTAATTGACTGTAGCTTGAATTAAAAAATACCTTGCTAGTTTGTTGAACAGAAGATTCGTCGTCGGAGTTCTGTCGCTTGACGGACCTCCTCCTCGTGTTTCTCGTCCTGCTTTCCGTGAGAACATCTTGAACTGATTTTTGTTGTTTTGAGGTGTCTTTTTCGTTGAGGGTTGAAGTTATTTGCGCTGTTATGACTGCCTGTTCTTCGATTAGCCGGGGCAGGTTCTCTGATTCGGAAGACTTTCGCTCGACTGGAGGAACTCGGTTGGTCACTCCATCGGTTGTTCTACGCCTTTTGCTAGGTTTCAAAGAGCTCTAGAAATCCCCATCAAAATCTTTGATTTGGTAGTTGTTCGAGCGCATAAAAAGCGCTTTATCTCAAGGACTTAAGGGTTCTAGAGCTCGGAAAACCTTTCCTTCGTAATCTCTTCCATCTGTTTCTGAGACTGGAATCGGACATCGTCTCTGATATGCTCTAGAAATCGATTTGAACGCCGCTGAATGAGTTTTCGACTTACCTGTTTTAGGTACAACTTTGAAATTTTCGAAAAATCACTCTCTAAGATGGCCAGTGGCACCCACGCAAATATCGCTAAGCCAGCCGCGAAAAGAGGCGATCCGCTAAACCGATATTTTCAGATCCCGGTGATCACTGAGCCGAATCCATTCTAAAACAAAAACAATTTCAGGCTTCAATCAAAATTGAAACTTCGAAAAAACGGATGAAGAACAGATTGTTTGAAGAATTTTGAAGAATCATCGAAAAATTGAAATTCTAGCTCAGCGTGAGATCAGAGCTCGCTCACAGCGGGGGAGGAGTAAACTACTTCATAAAATGCTTCATCCCCAATTTGAGGGCCTTCGTTTTTGTCCGGGCGATGAAGGACTCTTCTTTCAAAAAATAAGGGTCACAAAAAGAAAACACCATAAATCAACAATCAGAAATTATCAAAATGTGACCCACAAAAATGTCACCTGAAACACTGGTTTTTACACCACGAAATCTACTTCTTATATTTGTACAAAATTTAGGGGGTTAGTGGACATTATCTTTGAAAAGTCAAACTCTTAATTTTAATCTTTTGGAGAGTCAAGGTCGTATAAACGTTTTTATTAGCGCATAAATTAAGGGACCCTATTTCATTATCGCGTCCATAACCCGAATCGTCGCCTCCTGTAACGAGTCCAGCTTGACTGTATCTCTTTCAAAATCGCACATTGCCTCAAAATGTTGCTGCACACTTTCCAGCGTCGCTTCCTCTTTTCGATGGGTTTCAGATTTTACGCCTCACTTGGCAAAGTCGTCCCTTTCCGGTCTCATGCATCGATTTTTAGTTTCTTTGCAAGAGTTTGAATTAACCCGCGCCTTTGGATTTTGCGAAAACGGCGCCGGCAGCGCTCTCGGTTTGAATCTTCGCAGCCCAGCCAGCGGCTACTTCGAAGACGGAGCCAGTTTCTGAACAGGACTCGTGGCAGAGGTACTTTTCGATGGTCAAAGAATATTTAAGAATAGTCCAATTTAGCCACCTAAGGATCCCTTTTTCATTAAGGGACCCGGGCGAGTGACGAGAAGTCCAACTACACGCGCTCGCCATTGATCTTTTAGAATAGCTTTTTCGAAATTTCTTTTTGCTAAACATATCTTCATTCTCTCAGCTTTCACCTCCCATTTTCAGATTTTTTATATCATTATTAATTCTTGAGCTAGGATGAATAAAAGAAGCGCAACTTCAAAAGGATTCAACTCCTGCAAACTTCATTTTATTTTTATGAAACCAGCACCATTGAAAAGCCCATTAAATTCTGAACAGATTCCACTTAATGCGCTAAGCTGAAACTGTACTCATTTGCGATAAAGGTTAGATAAACAAGATAACTTAGCGCGCGCCAAGCGGGAATCATGTCCCGGGAGCCCAAAATACCCCAAAATAGCCCGATCGGAGCGTCCTGCCGAGCCTCGAGCGCTAACTTCTTTTGTTTATCAGCGCGTTAAGGGCAATAAGTACAGTTTCAGCTTAGCGCATTAAGTGGAATCTGTTCAGAATTTAATGGGCTTTTCAATGGTGCTGGTTTCATAAAAATAAAATGAAGTTTGCAGGAGTTGAATCCTTTTGAAGTTGCGCTTCTTTTATTCATCCTAGCTCAAGAATTAATAATGATATAAAAAATCTGAAAATGGGAGGTGAAAGCTGAGAGAATGAAGATATGTTTAGCAAAAAGAAATTTCGAAAAAGCTTTTCAAAAAGATCAATGGCGGGCGCGTGAAGTTGGACTTCACGTTACTCGCCCGGGTCCCTTAAAAAGGTGATATTAGAAAAATCATAGAAGAATGGGGGGCACAGAAAAAGCCGCAAGCTTAGAAAGAAGGATCAGTTTGACAAATCTTTGAGACAGAAATCAACCCTGAAATTATGAAGATAAACAAAATTTTGATTTATGGTCTTGATTTACTTTGTCCATAAAATTGCTTTCCATAAAAAAAATTGTGAATCCGTTACTTTGTCATTGTTTGTATGTTCTATTTGACCTGTTCGTGGCAAAACAAGGGGCATGACGAATTTGGGATCCATCTTCTCGAGCATGACGCTTGGGAAGACTTTCTCGGTCATCCTGCTCGCCGCAAGTGGGGCAATGGCGTTCGCATGGACGTTGTTTTTTCTCCCTTCGATGGCGATTGACTTTAACACTGTTTTTTTTAGGTTGGCCCATCATTTGTCCTTTATAGGCTCTTAACTGGTAAGAGATAGGACCATATGATCAATAGTAAACTTGTAGAGGAGGGTTTGGAGGTGGTGCAGAGGGGTTTAGAAATTCTAGAGGTCAAGTGGTTATTACGTAATAAGGGGGTAAAGTTGGTAAAGTCGGAATTGGAGAATTTTAGGCCATATGAACCTTTTATTTATAGTTTTTTTAATAATTATTAATCATGTGACTTAGATGAATCATCATAGCTCTTCCGGAGGACTCACCTGGTGGAAGACCGTTCCTGGAAGACAAAAAAAATTTTCTTTTGTATAACAATTAACAATTGCAAAAATTAGAATTTTTGTCATGTGACTTAATCTGACGTCACAGAGGTCCTCCGGAGGACTTTTTCCTTGAAAACAAATGGTGGAAGACTAAAAAAATATGAAAAATGAAAACCATAATTAAGCAAGAAACAAGGGATAACCTGAATTTTTATATCCATGGGTGTGGGTGGGGTTGGGGACGAAACTGAGAATGATCAACTCAGATTTCCCAGCCTTTGTCAAGCCCCTTAAATTTAAAAATCAAGGAACGGGGCTGAAACGGCCCGAAGGGCCGTCAAGCCCCTTAAATTTAAAAATCAAGGAACGGGGCTGAAACGGCCCGAAGGGCCGTCAAGCCCCTTAAATTTAAAAATCAAGGAACGGGGCTGAAACGGCCCGAAGGGCCGTCAAGCCCCTTAAATTTAAAAATCAAGGAACGGGGCTGAAACGGCCCGAAGGGCCGTCAAGCCCCTTAAATTTAAAAATCAAGGAACGGGGCTGAAACGGCCCGAAGGGCCGTCAAGCCCCTTAAATTTAAAAATCAAGGAACGGGGCTGAAACGGCCCGAAGGGCCGTCAAGCCCCTTAAATTTAAAAATCAAGGAACGGGGCTGAAACGGCCCGAAGGGCCGTCAAGCCCCTTAAATTTAAAAATCAAGGAACGGGGCTGAAACGGCCCGAAGGGCCGTCAAGCCCCTTAAATTTAAAAATCAAGGAACGGGGCTGAAACGGCCCGAAGGGCCGTCAAGCCCTTAAATTTAAAAATCAAGGAACGGGGCTGAAACGGCCCGAAGGGCCGTCAAGCCCCTTAAATTTAAAAATCAAGGAACGGGGCTGAAACGGCCCGAAGGGCCGTCAAGCCCTTAAATTTAAAAATCAAGGAACGGGGCTGAAACGGCCCGAAGGGCCGTCAAGCCCCTTAAATTTAAAAATCAAGGAACGGGGCTGAAACGGCCCGAAGGGCCGTCAAGCCCCTTAAATTTAAAAATCAAGGAACGGGGCTGAAACGGCCCGAAGGGCCGTCAAGCCCCTTAAATTTAAAAATCAAGGAACGGGGCTGAAACGGCCCGAAGGGCCGTCAAGCCCCTTAAATTTAAAAATCAAGGAACGGGGCTGAAACGGCCCGAAGGGCCGTCAAGCCCTTAAATTTAAAAATCAAGGAACGGGGCTGAAACGGCCCGAAGGGCCGTCAAGCCCCTTAAATTTAAAAATCAAGGAACGGGGCTGAAACGGCCCGAAGGGCCGTCAAGCCCCTTAAATTTAAAAATCAAGGAACGGGGCTGAAACGGCCCGAAGGGCCGTCAAGCCCCTTAAATTTAAAAATCAAGGAACGGGGCTGAAACGGCCCGAAGGGCCGTCAAGCCCCTTAAATTTAAAAATCAAGGAACGGGGCTGAAACGGCCCGAAGGGCCGTCAAGCCCCTTAAATTTAAAAATCAAGGAACGGGGCTGAAACGGCCCGAAGGGCCGTCAAGCCCCTTAAATTTAAAAATCAAGGAACGGGGCTGAAACGGCCCGAAGGGCCGTCAAGCCCCTTAAATTTAAAAATCAAGGAACGGGGCTGAAACGGCCCGAAGGGCCGTCAAGCCCCTTAAATTTAAAAATCAAGGAACGGGGCTGAAACGGCCCGAAGGGCCGTCAAGCCCTTAAATTTAAAAATCAAGGAACGGGGCTGAAACGGCCCGAAGGGCCGTCAAGCCCCTTAAATTTAAAAATCAAGGAACGGGGCTGAAACGGCCCGAAGGGCCGTCAAGCCCCTTAAATTTAAAAATCAAGGAACGGGGCTGAAACGGCCCGAAGGGCCGTCAAGCCCCTTAAATTTAAAAATCAAGGAACGGGGCTGAAACGGCCCGAAGGGCCGTCAAGCCCTTAAATTTAAAAATCAAGGAACGGGGCTGAAACGGCCCGAAGGGCCGTCAAGCCCCTTAAATTTAAAAATCAAGGAACGGGGCTGAAACGGCCCGAAGGGCCGTCAAGCCCCTTAAATTTAAAAATCAAGGAACGGGGCTGAAACGGCCCGAAGGGCCGTCAAGCCCCTTAAATTTAAAAATCAAGGAACGGGGCTGAAACGGCCCGAAGGGCCGTCAAGCCCCTTAAATTTAAAAATCAAGGAACGGGGCTGAAACGGCCCGAAGGGCCGTCAAGCCCCTTAAATTTAAAAATCAAGGAACGGGGCTGAAACGGCCCGAAGGGCCGTCAAGCCCCTTAAATTTAAAAATCAAGGAACGGGGCTGAAACGGCCCGAAGGGCCGTCAAGCCCCTTAAATTTAAAAATCAAGGAACGGGGCTGAAACGGCCCGAAGGGCCGTCAAGCCCCTTAAATTTAAAAATCAAGGAACGGGGCTGAAACGGCCCGAAGGGCCGTCAAGCCCCTTAAATTTAAAAAAAGAAAAAGAATTTTTTGTTCTTCCAGCAAATTTCTTCCAGTAGTTGAGTCCTCCGGAGGACCTCTGGAATGTTAGCTTTAGTCACATGATAAAATCTATCATATGAATGAATATTATTTTTTAGAAAATTAAAATTTGTGTTGGTCTTCCAGCAAAGTTCTTCCACCAGCTGTATCCTCCGGAGGACCATCAATGAGTCATCGATGTCACATGACTTATTTTTCATTTAAAATGTTAAATTATAATGGCCCCATGACCTTAAATTCTCAATTTTCGACTTTCCCAACTTTGGGCCCCTATTACGTCATAACCACGTGACCTCTTGAAATTCTCAACCCCCTCTGCACCACCTCCAAACCCTCCTCTACAAGTTTTCTATTGTTCATATGGTCCTATCTCTTACCAGTTAAGAGCCTATAAAGGACAAATGATGGGCCAACCTAAAAAAAACAGTGTTTTTGTCAATCCAACGAGGCCCATCTTGGCGGCGGAGTAGTTTACTTGCCCGAAGTTGCCGTAGAGGCCTGATGCGGATGTAGTGTTGATAATCTTGCCGAATTTGTTCTGCTTCATCACTGGGAAGACTTGCTGCGAGAGCTTGAAGGCGGAAGTCAGGTGGATGGAGATTATGTCGTCCCAGTCTCTAGAGAACAGTCAGCATAGTTCTTTGTTCCCTCAAATAGACCAAGTCATTTTTAGGTACGCAGAAGTTGATTTATCCTTGCGCTTTGTTTAATAAATTTTTATGACGAAAAAATCGTTGTTGTCTCCAGAAAATCAACATCTTCAATCAAATTTAATAATAGCAGAAAACCGCAAGCAGTTCAGTAGTAAATTCGGTCTCAAATAAAGATACTCACTCTTGACTAATCCGGAGGATATTCTTGTCTCTCAAAATGCCCGCATTGTTGATGAGAATATCGACTTTCCCAAACTCCTCCAAGACTGGATCAATGATTTCGCTGGGCTGTTCGACGCTAGCATAGTTTGCCTTGGCTGAGCCGCCAGCTGCGATGATCTCGGCGACCACCGCGTCTGCTGCCGATGTTGATCCACCTGACCAGGCATATAAATTTCGTTCGAAAACCCAAAGCGAACGCGAAGCGAAAGCGAAAAATTCTTCCAACCAAAAAGCGAAGCGAAAGCGAAGCGAACGCCTATCTTGCACAGCGAAGCGAAAGCGAATTCGCCAAGCGAAAAATTCGCCAAAAGCGAAAATTCGCCAAAAGCGAAAATTCGCCAAAAGCGAAATTTCGCCAAAAGCGAAAATTCGCCGAAAGCGAAAATTTACCAAAAGCGAAAATTCGCCGAAAGCGAAATTTCGCCGAAATTGAAAGCGATCTAATAAGATTAAACTTCGACCCATTTCTCTAATTAAGGACCCCCCCGTCAACAATTTTCTTCAAAAAATCGAAAATTTCAAAATAGCCATATTTTGGCTTCTTAGTGTGCCTGGAAGTTCAATTCATCAGTAAAACTTGTTCGGACCAATATTTGACAAATAAAAATCCAAAATTTTAGCAAAAGTTGGACTTTCATCATTTTTCGTCAAAAAGTCCGATTTTCAAACGCGATTTTGAGAGTCTTAGAGTCGAGATAGACCCCCAAAAAATTAAGCCTCTAAATCGTTTTTTGACCTGTAGAATCCATTTCCGGGGTCAAAATTTTGAAATTCCGAAAAAAGATTTTTCGAAAATTGTTGACGGGGGGGTCCTTAAGTATAATAATTATGACACAGTTTTGGAACACCCAGAAACTGAGCTTTCATTTGAGCCGTTTTCCTCTACTCGAAAATTCGATTGAAGAGATCTAGTTCCGATTTCGGAACTTCCGGTCCCATGAATGCCTTGACCCCTTGATATGGGATACCCGTCCAAATGAAAGCTCAGCTTCTGGGCTTTCTAAAACCGAGAATTTTTGAAGGCCCAGGCTCTGGCAGTCATTTTGAGCTCTAGAAATGTAGGGCGGGGGTGGGGTATCTGCGGAGCTAGGGGCTCTTCAAGTTAGGGAACTCGACCAAAATTGAGTACTTTTTCCCAAAAGTACACGATTTGAATTCTTTCAATCGACGTTTATTCATTCATAAGTGTTTAAGATGTCGTTTAGGGTCAACTGAGGTCACTCTTGGTCAAAAATAATTGAAAATTCAGAAAACTCTGATAACTGACCCGACCTGACCTCAGATGACCCCAAATGACAACTTCAACATTTTTAAATGAATTGAAATCGACAAAAAGACTTTTTGGAAAAAGTACTCAATTTTTGCCGAGTTCTCCGACTTCAAGAGCCCCTAGCTCCCAAGATACCCCATCTCCTCCCTACTTTTCTAGAGCTCAAAATGACAGCCAGAGCCTGGGCTAACATCGAGTATAGGTGGCAGCAGGCATATAAATTTCGTTCGAAAACCCAAAGCGAACGCGAAGCGAAAGCGAAAAATTCTTCCAACCAAAAAGCGAAGCGAAAGCGAAGCGAACGCCTATCTTGCACAGCGAAGCGAAAGCGAATTCGCCAAGCGAAAAATTCGCCAAAAGCGAAAATTCGCCAAAAGCGAAAATTCGCCAAAAGCGAAATTTCGCCAAAGCGAAAATTCGCCGAAAGCGAAAATTTACCAAAAGCGAAAATTCGCCGAAAGCGAAATTTCGCCGAAATTGAAAGCGATCTAATAAGATTAAACTTCGACCCATTTCTCTAATTAAGGACCCCCGTCAACAATTTTCTTCAAAAATCGAAAATTTCAAAATAGCCATATTTTGGCTTCTTAGTGTGCCTGGAAGTTCAATTCATCAGTAAAACTTGTTCGGACCAATATTTGACAAATAAAAATCCAAAATTTTAGCAAAAGTTGGACTTTCATCATTTTTCGTCAAAAGTCCGATTTTCAAACGCGATTTTGAGAGTCTTAGAGTCGAGATAGACCCCCAAAAAATTAAGCCTCTAAATCGTTTTTTGACCTGTAGAATCCATTTCCGGGGTCAAAATTTTGAAATTCCGAAAAAAGATTTTTCGAAAATTGTTGACGGGGGGGTCCTTAAGTATAATAATTATGACACAGTTTTGGAACACCCAGAAACTGAGCTTTCATTTGAGCCGTTTTCCTCTACTCGAAAATTCGATTGAAGAGATCTAGTTCCGATTTCGGAACTTCCGGTCCCATGAATGCCTTGACCCCTTGATATGGGATACCCGTCCAAATGAAAGCTCAGCTTCTGGGCTTTCTAAAACCGAGAATTTTTGAAGGCCCAGGCTCTGGCAGTCATTTTGAGCTCTAGAAATGTAGGGCGGGGGTGGGGTATCTGCGGAGCTAGGGGCTCTTCAAGTTAGGGAACTCGACCAAAATTGAGTACTTTTTCCCAAAAAGTACACGATTTGAATTCTTTCAATCGACGTTTATTCATTCATAAGTGTTTAAGATGTCGTTTAGGGTCAACTGAGGTCACTCTTGGTCAAAAATAATTGAAAATTCAGAAAACTCTGATAACTGACCCGACCTGACCTCAGATGACCCCAAATGACAACTTCAACATTTTTAAATGAATTGAAATCGACAAAAAGACTTTTTGGAAAAAGTACTCAATTTTTGCCGAGTTCTCCGACTTCAAGAGCCCCTAGCTCCCAAGATACCCCATCTCCTCCCTACTTTTCTAGAGCTCAAAATGACAGCCAGAGCCTGGGCTAACATCGAGTATAGGTGGCAGCCCCTAAAAGTCTTAGTCTTTCAAAAATTCCCATTTACGAAGTTGGCCAGATTATGGGACTTCGGAGCTGGGGTCTGCAAAAAATGGTGGAAATGGTGGGTCGGTGGATGGTGGGTGAGTGGTGGTGGGCAACCCACCCACCCCACCCTCAAGCCTAAAAAATCTGAAATGGTGGGAAGTGGTGGGAAAGATTTTTCGGCCAAATTTTTTTGGCGAAATCTTTCAAAAAGATCAGTTCTCTATCTGAAATGACTTTACCTCTACTTCGTTTTCCTTCTGTTGGTTAAAAATGACCAAAGAATCGGTGTAATCAACTTCTAGTCTATAAATTTTGGGGTCAGAAAAACGCTTACGAAAGAATCCATAACCCACCAAACACCACCCACCCCCAACAGTGAAAATTTGATTTTCTTGTCAACCCACCCACCTCCACCAACGGTTGGTGACCAACCATCGCTTGGTGGCTTGCCGACCCCAGCTTCGGAGGTATCTAAATGCCCTCAGATCACCCCCTCTATCAGTAGCCAAATGATCCCCAGCTTCTAGGTGTCCTAAAACTGTATTAAACCCTACTAAGCTAGAAAAAGAGCTCAATTTTAAGTGATTCCCCTATTTATACCGCTTTGAAAGAAAAAAAAGTAAGATTCGGCCAAATATTGGCGAAAGCGAACTCTTGGCGAAAGCGAGAATTTGGCGAAATTTTGGCGAAAGCAAACTCCTGGCAAAAGCGAGGCCTTGGCGAAAGCGAAATTTTGGCGAAGATTCGCCATAAGCGAAAATTTGGCGAAAGCGAGGCCTCGGCGAAAGCGAATTTTTGGCGAAAATCGGGGACAAAAAGCGAAAGCGAAGCGAAAATCAGGAGTGTCATTTTCGGGGGGGCGAAAGCGAAATTTTCGATTCGCTTTCGCTTCGCTTTCGCTTTCGGCGAAAATCGCCAAGCGAATTTATATGCCTGCACCTGACGATAAAATTTTTAATATCGCCCAAACGAAGCGGAAATGACGAATACCTGCACCGTGAACGGAACCGCCAAAGTCATTGACAAAGACGCTTGCTCCTCGTTTTCCAAGTTCAAGGGCGTATTCTCTACCAAGTCCATTCCCAGCCCCTGATAAGTAACAACTTTACTAATGAACCTTATTTTTGAAAAATAGATAGAAAAGGAACTTTTCCAAACCTGTTACAACTGCAACCTTTCCCTCGAAGCTCAGCGTTGCATTTCCTCTTTTTGCTATTTGAATTCGTGTTGCTCGTGCTGTCCTAGACAATCTCTGTAGCATTCTGTAATCGTCGAGATTTCAAAATTTCAATTCGAATTCAACAAAAATCAGCGCGCGGAATAGGGGATGGCGCCAAATCTGGCGGGCCCCAATCGACGGCGACTTCGAGTTTCCAAGCGGGAGATTCGAAAAAATCTATTGTCTTCGAATTCGGTCTCTTGCCGAGTTTTAGCCACCTTGGACATCTCCCTTACTAAGGGATTATTTTTGATGTTTTGGCGATGGCCCACCGTCGATGGGTCTATTCTAGAGTAGCTTCAGACTATCTCGAAAAAGAGGGTTCCCCTCGACTTCAGGAATGTAAATGTTATTTTTGGATCCTTTGGTTGGGTTTATCATACTGTGTAAAAACCTGAGTCAAGGTCTTTAGCAGATCGCGTATCATTAACTACGCGCATTTACTACGCGGCTTTTATCGAGGCTATTTCAGGAGTCCTGAATCAGGACCCGGACGCAAGTGCGTACACAGCAGGGTTCGGTAATTTGAGCTCAAGCTAAAACTCATTTTGGCTAGACGCTCAAATTTCCTCAAATTGAGAACTCAAAGTGACTTGAGAAATCATTTTGAGAAGATTTGAGAGTTTTGAGTTTTTGGGAGATTTGAGAGTTTTGAGTTTTCAAAACTCAAATTAAGCGAGCGCTTCCTTGATTGGCTTATGGATCGCCAGAATTGATTCCTCACGCGAGCTCTCATCTCTGAGTTCTCAAAACTCAAATTAAAAAACGTGAGTCTCAAGCTTTGTTTCCTTGAGTTTTAGCGTGAGCTCAAATTACCGAACCCTGGTACACAGGTTTCTCTACCCAGATATTTCAACAGATAATCCCGGATCGTTAATCCGTAGAAGATAAATTTATTCCTGCAAGAATTCACACAAGTGGTTTTCATTTTTTAAATATGAACGTGAGTTAACTTTATTTTAAATTATTTTCAGGTGGTTCTTGTTTTTTGAAAAAGAAAGTTGAAACATGTCTTGAAGCTCAAGATAGGTACACAATTGAAAAGTAAATGAATGAAGATTTGCACTAATCTGACAAAGCGCTATTCGTTCCGTTTTGGGATCGCTTTTCTTCGCAAAACGATGGATTTTAGACTGGCGTAGCGGTTCTTCATGAAGTCTTTCACTTGGTCTCGTTTTCGGCGGCGTTCTTCGTGTGTTTTCGAGGCTTGTTCGTCCGTTAAGTCCGATTTCTAGGGCAGTTTTAAGAGATTCGTCGATATAGACGGGGAAAAAAAGAGTTCATCAAACGATCTTTTTATCAAACTTAAGGGTGTACCTGTAGGGCTTTGAGCATTCCTCTGAACATCTTGTAGAACCAGAAAGTATTCAAAATGTCCAAGGCCAGCGGTCCAACGATCCAAAAGAAGAAGAGCACATTTGGAATGCTGAGAAATTTGATCAATTCGGTTTGACAATCATTTTTTGCATCAAGCATATTTTAATTATTAAATTTTTAATTTACGAAGAGTGAGGCGCGATCTCAAACTCGCAATTTAAAAGCGAAATTTTAAATTGATATTGGTTTCCAACAGACCTTGTGACTTTTTCGCTAAAAGCGCTAAAAACAGACATTTAACAAACAAGCATGCAAATCTACTGAAGTGAAAACTGAGCTCTGCAGTCCTTGTAGAGAAACTGAGTCAGGTTCTGAAAGATTCTCAAAAAAAAAAAAGGTTTTCTTTCGGACCCTGACCCAGGTTTTTTAAACAGGTTTCCGAGCCCAGAATGATAGTCTATTTTTATGAAATGGGATGAGGATTAACAACTTTAAGCGATGGTAAAAATGAGCATGAGCACCAGAGCGAGCACGTGATAAGTCTCTTACTTGTTGAAGGATTCCGTGTTCCAAACACGCGCGACGTAATACCAGTAAATCGGAAAGGTGCAAATTCGGCAGAGGAAGAAAGAAGCGGTCATGAGGACGCCGTTGATCTTGTAGCGACGGGTGTTTTTCAATCCGATGGAAACCAGAATCCATCTAAAAAGAAAATGGTCCATTTTAAATGGATGACAGAAAGAGAGTTTTACAAACCTAAGATTGACAAAAGGGGTAGAAAACTCGGACAACAGCCGGAAGCAACTGTACCAGCCCATTTTATTGTACCAAAGTGACACCAAATACGCGATCGTGGCGGTAGTATGATGAGCCAAGATAGGAACGGTGCCGCCGAGCTCACGTGTGTGGATCAAGACGATGTAGTCCGCCAAAAAATAGCCAAGCGACATACTTTGCGTCTTTTCAAGAGGTCATGTGACAGTTTTTCTATTCAATCGTAAAAATAAAACTTTTCAAAAAGGTCAAGTGGGCTAGAATAGAATATCGGACCACTTTCCCATTTTAAAATATTAGACGTCGACTCGGGCGTTTCCCACGTCACATTTGGGTCGATACAGACAATGTACAGTCCGGCAAAGAATGTCAGGATCGCGTGGACTGTCGATGAAACTAACGATGCGCAGTTGATTTGATTCGCCGTGCACTCTGTTCTGTACCACTTTCCAAGGCGACTTTCTGAAAATAAGATTCAAATGATTGAATAAATAGCAGTTGGATATTAACCTGCTTTTTGAAGAAACCAAGGCTGGAATTTATAGGTAAAAGATAGGAAAAGAATAAACCAAATGGCCGTGTTGCATATCCAAAAACTGAAACCGAATGATTGTAGCTTTGATATCGTTGGATCGCCCATTGTATATCTGAAGTTTTTCGTTATTAACAAGATAAGAAACAGGATGCCAAGAGTAAGCCTTTATTAAAAAATTCTCTTACGGTTAAGTATATTTCCGCCGATTTTTCTCTTTGAAAAACTGAGTGAAAATTGGACAATTAGAAATAATACAAAAGCAAAAAATCGATAACTACCCCACAAGATGGCGAATATCGTCCGAGAGGTCTGCCATCCTCTCTGAATAATACTAAATTGTTTTCTTCTGATTCGTTTGGTAATAGGTGTCCCTCTGTCAAAATCAATTAGTAGATCTCTTGAAAAATCGAATGATCGAAAAATGGTGCTATTTCAAATTTTAGATTTGCGCAGTGACTCAGACAGAAAAAGCGTCAGGAGTTTGGACAGGAAAGGTCTGTCTCGTGATTGTAACGAATAAATTCTTAGAAGTTACCGTTGATGTTCAGAGAAAAATTATATTTGAAAACTGCGCATAGCGTAAAGTATAATTACGATTCTTAATTCTAGAAAAGAAAAAAAACTGAAGAGGGAATTTTTTATGAGGAAACATAAATTTTTAAAGACCCGGGAAAGAAGCGATTCTTTACAAAGGTCAACAGAAAAACGGACAGGAGAAATACCTGACGCTTTCTTGCAGCGACTGAGCTCTTTCTTTTCAGATGAATTTGCAGCGAAAAAATGAGGATAATAAAAATAAAAACGCTGTGCCTGGAGGAAGAGTGAAATCCGTTTTTAACCTAGGGTGACCTTACAAGTTCGCCCCACCCCTATTTTCAAGAGCTGTTTTCAACATTTTATGGGTCCTATCAGATGCTATTCTTTACCTTATCAAAAGTACTGTAAGTACTGTACTATAAGTAGCTGGCCCTTATCTACCGTTCATCATCGTTTCATCAATCTTACCTCTTTGTTTCAATGGAAGTTAAAAGAAAAAGCTTCTTTAAGTTTCTCTTCTTATTTTCTCAGTTGCGATGATTTAATTCTCAAATCGGTTTCTCTGTTAATTTTTACTCGGTTTTCGACTGGGACGTTCCACAGTGTTCAATCGATTCGCCACTCTAAAGATCGTCGCTGAGTCACGTCAAAAACTGCCGAGTCACGCCCTAAAGGGATCATCTCCGGCAGCGGAAGAATAATCTGTCAGTTCGACAGTTACAGTTTCGGAATCGATTCGGTAGTTGGTCCCTCATGCTTTCGTATTTCCAGAATTATTACAGTAAAATACCGCATCATAATTCTCTAGATATTCAAGTTTGGGCTCCTGGTTATTCCTATTTGAAATCAAATGATTCTTCAATATATTTTTTGATAGCGAGAAGTTTAAAATCGTTTCTTCGTTAGACAGTTCATAAAAAGGTCTGATGAAGAAACTTTTTTAAACTCCTGTCTACTCAAGCCTTCGACTCGAATAGACCTCTCTAGAATTTTGAAATGGGAATTCAAGAAGATGATTTACAGGGCTGAACTTGCTTACTCGAAGGATTCTTGGGCAAATTTCTAGAATTCCTCAAAGCATGTTCATTTTCTCAAGTTTATCCCACAGCTTTGAACTCTCAAGAAGAAGTTATCTGTTGTCCTGCGAAAATATGTCGTATCAGAGATAGAGTAGAGCTATCAGTTCGCTTTCAGTCTTTTCTTTCCCTCCCATTTCTTGGTTCGTTCTGATCGGTACTCGGCCAATCAGCGCGGCGCATTTTTCACAGACGAAGCGTAAAATCTCAAGATCTCCATGTGAACTCATCGATTATAATGGCAATTTGGGGCTAGAATCGTTACTTTTTTCACACTTTCAATAAGAGAAAGTTTTGAAGAATAAAGTTGGATTATTTTTAGACCAATGAGCGGCGGTCGTAGGTCGCGAAGAAGTCGATTAGTCCTTCCAAAAGGTAACTTATCAAATGATTATTTTGGGATCCTTTATATAGTCTGACTATCATGAGCAATTATTGTCAAATTCTAAATTTATCCTTCAATTCAGACGTCGAAATCGCCGACCCGGGAGAGAAGGAGAACACGCACTCCCCCCTAGAAAAGCCGCGCGACGCTGCGGCTAATTTCGGCATCCCCCCTTCGCGCGTCGATCTCCCTGCCTCGCCAGTCGACAAAAGTACCCTCTCGCCACATGCGCCATTACAGGAGCCTTCTCAAGCAGATGAAAACAGTCAGGCTCTTTCGCCTGAGATAGAATCCGGCAGCAGTGGCGAAGTTACAAAGAAAAGTTCTGTTCAAGTGCCAATCAAAATACCAAAAAAATTAAACAAGGTATGAATACCCTGCTGGTTTATAAGTAAAGTAAATATTTTAGGCCATTTACCCTCAAATCACCAAACTTGGTCTTCCGAAGCCCTCCCGCCCTATCTTCAAGAAAAAACACCACCTAACCCCAGAAGAGTGGCACACCAAGCCCTACTCTCCGCCAAAAGCTCGCGCCCTCCCCACGATCATCGACGAAACTAATCCGAAAGCCGAGACGAAGCCCTTTTCTCGCGTTCGCTGCCGCTTCATCAAATTTCCCGAAGATCACACCACTCGGAAAACAAAGAGGAAACTCAAGGCCCGTCAGCAGCGGATGTATTCCAAGATCACCGAAGAACAATCCAGCCAGGAACTCGACGAGAAGATGGCCTCTTTGGACAAAGATCTGAAAGAGTAAGCCTTTATTAACCAGCCTTTTTTCTGTTGTTTCAAGTTGCAGATACACAGACCTTATACAAAAAGATAGTTAAAAACAATCGTTTCAGAAAAAAACCACTTCTTGAAATCGTTAAACTCTAAGCTTATAAATATTATATATTTTATACCTCAACTTTGTACAATTTATCTCAACGAATGCGTCTCAACATTCCTTCTTTTTGACACATGTTTGAAATATAACTTTTCACGAAACCCCGATCCTTTACCAATCCATTTATTCATTTAGCATGAGATTCGGTTTAGCAAGAATACAAATTGTAAATAGGGCTAGTCGGCAAATCCGAATGGAGTCGAATTCCAGCGCCAGCAAAGCTTACGGGAATCTAGAAGACAAGGAAACTCGCCAACACATGGTCAGAAAACAGGGTGAACGAGAAAGAGTCGCGGATTTCACTGGATTAAAAAGTAAGCGCACTCTTCCATGACTCCAAAACTAAATTTTCCTAGCGAATGTGCACTTGACAGACATTTCCGAAGAGCTCAACGCCCAGAAACAACAAGAATACGAGAGACAAAAGAAGCTTGACGACATGGGCCAGCAGATACTCGACGAACTGTATGTCAAAGACACTGTTCCGCTGACCAACGCCGCCGAAAAAATCGCTGCACTCAAGGCCAAAATGGCAAGGGATGAGGAACTGCAGTCCATTTATTTAGAACAGGCTATGGAAAGGCAACGCGAAATGCGAAAGAAAAGCTTTAAAAATCTGCCATTCGCCATTTTTTTCGTTTTCGTTTGTTACGGTATCTTTTTTAACTATCGCAACAGTATAGCAATTCCTGCTGGAGCGTTAGGAGATTCCTGATTTAGTATCTATTTTAAATTATTCTTTTGAAAAAAACAAACTTGAACAGAATTCAATTTAGAGTGACCATGAGTGACTCGGTAGGTCAAAAGAGATCGGATTCGCCTCCGCTGGAGTACTATCCAGTCCAGTACGTCCAGCAGTACAAAGACAAAGTCTATGAAATGAGTCTGGAACTGGCGCAAAGTAGAAACAACGAGCAGGAACTGGCTAGGGCTAATGAGGAAATTAGACAGCTGCGGTAAGTTTCCTCCCTAGTATTGCTATTTAGCGGTTTAATGACTCTTTGTTTTGATTAACAGATTTTGATTCAAACATTTAGGATGGAAGTCAACATGCTCAAATGTAAGCTCGAAGCAAAAGAAGCATCTGATCAATGGGAAATCAGTCTTCTTCGAAATCAAGCGACAAAGGGATACATGGGAATGAATCCTGATAGTCGTCTTCCAACCACGAGTAAGGCTCTAGCGATTATGCCCTCGCCAAAAATGGGTCTTTCGCTCAAGCCGATGTCGCCAACAAAAAGGGTCAATGTGATACCTGAGTCGATTATTAATGGATCATCTTCGGTTGTGAACTCGGTAGCTGTATCTCGAGCTGGAAATATGTCCAGTGCGTCTGGGTCTATAATTTCGAGACCGATGACGATACAAGACCTCGTTGAACCGGTCAATGGTCATCCTTCGCGAATGACGACTTCTTCAAAGCCTATTATAAGTCCGATTCCACCTCCCCCGCTTCCATTCAAGACTGAACCTGACAAAGAGATCTTTATGCCAAGCCTACCTCCAGTAGAAGAGCCGCTGCGACCAACCACTGGCGTTGTTCTTCCACAAAAGCCTATTTCTGCTCCTGTAAACCCCTCGAATGCCAAACCTCGAGTGGCTCACCAAGCTCCTACTATTGCTATTAAGCAAGAGAGGCCGGTTTCAGGGACGCTTCCTGAACCAGCCCCTGCTCCTGCTGAAGAAATCTTCCGCCCAACAACTGGTGTTACCCTTCCACCATCATTGCTTGCTGCTGCTTCTGCTCAATCAGTCAATCCGCCCGCAAATGCGAGAAACATCACCCGACAAAATTCAAAGCCGACTCCTCCAAAGCAGCCCCAAAAATCACTTTCAGCTGTTGTATCTTCCATCACCAACAAGAGAAAGGCTTCAAGTGAGGCAAACAACCCCCTAGCAAAGCTTAAAAAGCGGGTGATAAGCACTGCCGCTAAGAACAACCAGCCAGTCGGGAACATTTTCAAACCTGAACCGAAGAAAGCCTTCTCCGAGATGTTTTCAAAGGAAAACAAGCAAGAGGTCGCTAGTAAAAAACAAGAATCTGCTAAGAAAAAGAAGGAAACAGCCAAGAAAGACGAAGAGCCAAAAAAGAAAACGGTGAGAAAAGGAAGAAGCGATGAGTGGGTTACGGAAAAGATCAAAGAGCTTGTAGTCAAGTACGATTACGACTTCGAGAAGATCCCCCTTCCGAGTTTATCACAAAGGCTAAGCAATGTCAGTACTCGAAGAATCTCTGCATCAGGCGTGCGAAAGAAATCATTGCTGAAAAGAAGAAGGAGGACGAGGAAAAGGAAGAAGAATCAGATCTCGAAGCAGGAGCTGCTGATCTTGATCGCATGCTTGGTGTTTCTACCTCTGAAACGTCCAACCTTGGGCTTTCTGCTTCAGACTCCTCTAGTTCTGAAGAATCTTCAAGCTCGGAATCGGAAGACGAAGACGCGAAAAACAAACTAACGAAACCAGCGGAGAATAAAGCGACTGAAAATGGAAAAGATCAAGGAAAGACTGCCGTGAACGAGAACGATATCATCGGTTCGATTTTTAAACAAGTAGAACAGGCTCCGGACATGAATATCACTCCTCTCCATAAACGCCCTGTGAAGACCGAGAAGACTGTTCCCCTCGAATCTGCTCCAAAGTTGAAACTTGATGAAGAAAAGACCATAAGTTCAGATGCTGGTAGCTCAATCAGTACAAAAACGAATGATTCGGCGCCGTCAGTTGAGGAAAAGAATCTCAATGATCAGAAAAACTCCGAAAGCAACGAGGATGATGAGAAGATGGAAGTAGACTCCGGCAATAAACTGTCCAAAGAAGAAGAGGCTGATATCAATCAGAAAATGGCAGAAGTCGCGAACGAAAATGACGAAGAAAAGAAGAGGCGGATGTCCGCCGCCTTGATAGACCAGTGCGGTCTGGCTTTAGACTCTGATTCCGAGGATGAGTCCGGCCCGTTGGAAATTGCCGAAGCAGATCGCTCGCAAGACTCGTTGAAGATTGACGATGATTCGCAATCAGGTTCGGAGCTCTTTATTGACGATCCAAGCGCGGAGCCAGTTCCCATGGCTGAAACTAACGACCAAGAAAAGATAGTACAGATGGAAGTAGTGGAAGAGCAAGCTTCACCCAGGTAAATTTCCAAGAATTAAATTTATTTAAACTAAACAAAACTTATAGTTCTGCCACCAAAACGCGTCGCTCAACCAGACTCTCGGGTCGGACCAGTGAGTCTTCTCAAGAGAAGCTTCCAGTTCCGGATCTAATTGTACTTGATAATGCGACAAATACTTCAAAAAACTCGAACGAGTCGACAGCCTGGCCGCCCGAGAATTATCAGAGTTGGTCCACCGATAATAAGATTGAATACATCACCGAAAGATTGGCGCAGCCAAGAAATAAGGTCAAAAGTCCACAATATAAGATTGGTAAATTCGTTGGACAGATGAAAAACTTGCTAAAGGAGTCTCTCTGCTTGCGACATCAAATACACAAGGAGGAAACAGTGACGGTTATCGACACACCCGATACGGTTACTTTCTCCGACTGGATAGCTCTCATTCCTCACGAGACAGAACTTAGACGATTTCTTTGCAACGACAACGGAGAAGCTGTTTTCAGAAGAATTGTTCAGAATATCCAGCAGGAGATCACGCAAATCACTGACAGCTTCCCTCCGTATGAGGTTGCGCCGAAGGAAGACTTTCAAAAGATCGAAGGTCTGTTGTTGATGTTCGTTACGATGGTTTTCTCCGTCTTCGAAGATTCCTCGTGTCTAAAGGAACATCATTGGCATCTAAAACAGCTTCATAATTTTGCTCTCTTTTTGGGAGACTTTATCAGCAAGACTGAGATTCCCGAGAAGCAACAGGCAGGTCCGAATTCAGCGATGGTTTTCTGTAAGTTTTGAAATCAACGAGGATGCTTTTTGAATCAATTTATTTAGACATTTATTGTTTGATGGTTTCGAAGGGCATCCCCAGCTTCTTCTCGCATGATGACATCTTCATTTGCCGTTTGCTCAATACAATTCCATACACTGCTATTCAGCAGTATGGCCAAAAGGTACGGCCTCCGCCAAAGACGATTCGCACTCAAATATCATTTAGCACAATGTCTTTATTGGCCGACTTCATTTCAACAGCAAACAGTCTGTCGATAAGAAACAAGAAAGACTCGGCCATTTATTCCTCAAGAGCGACACAAAAGAAATGAAAGAAGCTAGTTCAAACCTGACGCAAGAAATCACTAAGATGAGAGCGGCTCAGATCGAAGAAGACTTGAATGAGACCACCTTCCAAATGAAGGAAAGAGTAGGTAAATCACTACTTGACAAGGCTTACTCTATCGTTAGGATTTTGATGCTGGAAAAGACGTATTCCGACTCTTCATGAGCGTTAAGAACTACCCGTTTGCGAAGAGAATGGTTTATTCAAGATTCATTCAGTTCATCGTTCCCTTCTCTCGGAAGGCTTCTTGTCCAGGAGAGGAAATCGGCGTGAAAGACGTGCGAAGTGAGTAGTAGTGAACCCAAGTTTTGTTTCAATTCATTTCTTTATTGGATTTTAAGATTTCATCCTCCAAATGCATAACCTGTACGCATATTTGCACACATACGGGGGCTGCAAGGACGAAGCGCACGACAAAATGATTGCGCGTGCGAAGACAGTTATTTCAATCATTGCGTCGCTCGAAGCCAAGACGAAAATAATCAACACCATTGCCAACAAAGCTTTACGAATCGGGCAATGGTTCAGAACAGCCGGAAGAAAAGAATGGGAGCGAGATATGAGTCAATTGGTATGTCTTACCTCTTATTCGTCTGTTGATATCTTTCTTAGAATGCGAAGGTAGCCAACATGAGGAAGCTGCCTCGGGAGCTCTTGGTGGTCATGAATCTACCGCCAAACTTCTACGAAACACGCGCAGATCCGAAAGGTCTATGGACGAAAGAGTAGAGTTGAAGAAACATTTTACTGTAGATTCTCAATTATTCCACATAATTCAATTAGTTCAACTTATTCACAACTGCCAACCTTCTACAGTAATTTTGTAAATACATTTTGACTCCTCAGAAAGGCTTTTCTTGGTAATACTGGCGTATTTCTAGAGTATGGGTTTCAAAAAACATCGGCACTCGAAGGACAAGCTATACATCCGGTCCACCGAGTGGGAGCATGAATTCGGAGGTTATAAAAAGAAGCATGATCCGAGGCAGTTTAAGCGATTGCCGTACTATTCCTGTTGCATCTCATTAGGTAGTGATATTATGGATGAGTACTGGTTAACAGGATCATTTAGCACCTTTTGATAACCCAATGTGTGACGCTGAAGGGCGCTGCTTCGAGCTGCTCAACATTGTTCCCTGGCTCAAGCAATACGGAATCAATCCAGTCACAGGGAAGAAAATGAAGGCTGGCGACTTGATCAAAATGACTTGGTTCAAAAACGCGGAGAAAAAGTACCACTGCCCTGTCCTCTTTCGTGAGTTCTCCGACAACTCTCACATCGTCGTAAACATGGCCACTGGAAATGTCTATTCCATGGAGGCGATTGAACAACTTTGCTTCAAGCCGAAAAACTTCAAAGATCTGATAAACGACAAGCCATTTAAAAGATCTGACATTGTGACCGTTCAAGATCCAGTCTATTTAGACAAGTTTAACATCACGAGCTTCCATCATCTGAAAAATGGGCTCAAGCTCAACGAGACAGACGACAAGAAGACCGTCAGAAAAGCAAACCAAGAAACAAAAGATGTCATGAAAGAGCTCCGCGAATCGAAGATCCTCGAAGGGAAAGGAGCTGGATTGCTCCGAGATTCGAAGGAAATAAAAACGCATAATGATCAGTCGAAAAGATTGGATAAATACAGCGCTGCACACTTCACCACTGGCAAGATGGGCATGTCACTGACTAGTACCTGCATGATGCCAATTACAGACACGGAGCTGGCGCTAAAAGACGATCGAGCCGTCATATATCAGTTTGTCAAGAAAAATGCATACGTTCAAATCAAAACGACACTAGGAGATCTAAACATTGAGATTCACGCTAAACACGTGCCAAAAACTGCTGAAAACTTCATCAAGCTCTGTCAAAAAGGCTACTACAACGGTACGATTTTCCATCGGAACATCAGAAGCTTCATCATTCAGGTAACTTTCGTATTGATTTTTGAAATCTCATGTTGAAATAAAGGGTGGAGACCCAACAGGTGTTGGCGACGGAGGAGAGTCAATATGGGGAGGCAAGTTCGAAGACGAGTTTAAACTCGGCCATCTTATGCACAACAAGAGGTTTGTTCAATATTCGATAATCCGCTGACGCACTTTTCAGGGGTATTGTTTCCATGGCAAACTCGGGTCCAAACACGAACGGGAGCCAGTTTTTCATTACTTATGCACAATGTCCGCATCTGGATGGAAAGGTAGGCATTTTTCGCGCTCTGACCTTGGTTCGCCGCGGCTTTTTGAATCAAGACAATCAAAAATCGGTTCTAGCATACGGTTTTCGGCCGACTTGTTGGTGGAAATGATTCTTTGAGAACAATGGAATTGGCAAAAACGGATAAGAAAACTGATCGCCCAGCTGAGGATATAAAAATTCTATCGACAGAAGTCTTTGAAGATCCTTTCCCAGAAGCAGAGAAACTTCTCCAAGCTGCGCGTGATAAGGTTTAGTTGTGTTTCTAAAACAACCTAACATCAACCTAGGATGATGCGGAAAAAGAAGCACTTTCTGGCAAGAAACAAGTAGTTCCGAAAGAGACTCTCAAAACGTACTCTTCCGGCGTAGGCAAATATATCAACAGGAACAAGTTGAAACGAGTAAATGAGGATACGTCAGCTGGTGGAGCGACATCCTCGAAAAAAGCGCCGAAAAGCTCAAACAATCTTTCTGATTTTGGAGATTGGTAGCCTTTTCCAATTTTCTTACCTTTCCCCTGTGTACAAACTTGATCTAGATCAAATTTCTGTCAACTGCCCTATAAATTTATCTGTCTTTTGATTGTTCTTGATTTAGACACAAAAATGGCTGAGGAAGATATCTCAAACTTAGAGATCGTGATGGCGCACGAGACCTACGAGGATTTCCTCGATTCCCTCGTTACCAAGAAAGACATGTTTTACCTCGAGGACGAAGAGGTTGCCAGACAATTGGTCGAGCTGGGCTATGGCTCCGCAGGAGAAGTCATGAAAAGAAGTGACTTTGAAGCGAAGAAGGCGGCGGCTGAGCTCGCTCGTATAGCTAAACGAAACAATGCTGGCGGTATGTGTCATTATGGGCACGAACTGAACGATCCGTTTCTCAAGGCTCTTGCAGATCGAGAAGAAGCAAACAGACATTTGAAAATGACATCGATCATTTTTATCAGAACGAAGAATACGAGGGGACAAGAAATCTCCGGATACATTGACTATGCTCATCGCTTGAAGGTGAGTCGATCTGATAGTTCGCCAAAGTAAAGCTATATTTTGGTAGACAGACGAGTTCCAGCAGATCTTTGCAGGCAAAAAGCGTATGATTCCGCGAAATACTGATCTCAGCTTCTTCAACTGGGACACCCAGCATTGTCAAATTAACGCCAGTCCATACTACGACGTAAGAAAACATCCAAACGAACGGTATAAAATTATTCCTTATTTAGGTTGACTCCGAACACGTCGGTGGACTACTCTTCAAATCAAAGCTCGATCGAAAACAAATCAACGTGGATCCAAAAAGCTCATCTCCTGGCGATAACACAACGCGGCTAAGAATTAAGTCCAAGTTTTATGAAGAAGTCGTCTTTTACGATCACATAACTCGTGGAAAAGCTTAAATACGCCTCTGGTTTCCCACGTCTCTTTCTTTGAAGCTCTTAATTTTTATATGCATAATATATATTTTTTATAAAAAAACAAATCTCATCCTTTTCTGCTTCAGAATGGCTCGAGGACAGCAGAAGATCCAGTCCCAGCAAAAGAACGCCGAAAGACAGGCCAAACTCAAGAAGCAAAAAGGAAGTGACCAAAAGGCTGCTGCTGCGAAAGCTCTCAAATTCCTCTGCGCCGTAAATCCAATTATATAAAATATCTCGTATGACTTGTATATCTTTCTATTTGGCGTCTCTTACTTACGTATTTTTGAAGGTGTGCAAGACCCAGATGGGCGACCCAAAGACATACAAGCAGCATTTTGAGTCGAAACACTCGAAGTTGCCAATTCCAGCAGACTTGGCCCAGTGCATCGCCGAAGGCAAATGCTAGATCTCCTTCTCGAGGCGCAATTTACTTATGCTATGAGTATACTAGAACATCCTCTCGCGACGGAAATCGTTCTCGTCGACCACTATACCAACTCCTGTACCATCTTTTGTAGTCTGCCCAAAATGAGACGGCTTAAAATCATCTTTCCTCACAATAACTTTCTGTGCCTCTGATTTTGTGATTATCCCGGTGTTAGAATTTTCAAATCTCAATCAGATTCGGTCTACTGGTCTCTGTAAAAGAATCTCAAAAAGAATATCTTTGTTTTTAATCGCCATTCATTTTAGAACAAATCTGGGATGAGCTGGACTGAGGCCGAAAACGCCAAGTTCTTCGAATTGTTAGAAAAGCATCCCGCCGAGGTGCCCGCACAGAATCGCTGGCGAAAGATCGCCAACGATCTTGGCACAAAAACCGACATTCAAGTCGCTAGCAAGGCGCAAAAGATGTTCAAAAAGTTGAAAAGTCGAAAACGAAAGATCCCCGGCGCACAGGAGCGCGGGAAAAAGTTGAAACTGCGCGAGAGTGCCCGCAAACCGGATGAATTTATCAAGAAACGGGCGACAAGTGCCGCAGAGAGGGAACATGACATCAGAGAGCGGATCAGAGCACTTGAGCAGATGAAAGAAAGACTTTTATCCCTAGGTAAGGATTGAAAGAAAAACATTTGAAAGTCACGATCAAACAATCTCTTTCGCTCGTTATTTCCTAGTAAAGATCTTCATATGAAGTTATCATACGTAAATCATCAGTAATGATCTGACTTGTCTTTGACGAGTTTTCTAGAGTATCAAAAGCAAATATTTAACTTCGTATTTTCCTATTTAGGAGACTCGTCGCCATTCTTCACGTGCAACGTCTGCGAATTAGAGATGAAATCAGATATAAAATACGTTTGCCTGGACTGTCCCGCAGAATTCTGTTACCCTTGCCACGCGCACATCTCGCGCGATCTCTCCTTGCACTCGCACCAACCCGCTCCAGGTGCACAATCTGATGTCCAACCGTTTCAGCGCCTCGTGCGTCTCGAGTCCAACCAAAATGCTGTTGCCAATAACTCATTTCAAAATATTGACGTGATAAAATAGAGACTTTTTTTGGATATTAACAAGATTTCTTTTTAGACTTTTTGTGAGTATCGGTTGATTCGAGATGACGACAGACTTTGGCGGAGTGAAAAAAGATGTGAGCGTAAGTGCTAGAAACACTTGATTTCGTGCTAAAATATTCTTCAGATTTTGATCGAGCGATCGAATGGAACACAGCACCAAGCTCTGGTGACTACCATCGAGCAGCCCAACACGGTCAACTGCGAATGGTTTGAGCAAGACGACATCAAGGGCAAAGGCGTGAGCTTGAACATGGTCTTCAAGCTCAACCCGCACTTGATGCCGAAAAACTTCAAGCCTCAAAATCTCAAGTCAGAGGCCGACAACATGAGCCGAAAATCTGTGATGATCACATCTGGAAGGTACGACAGTCGTAACGACACTAAGATGAATTTCAATAAGAATTTTTGGGCCAAAAATTTTTTTTCTGTGGCAACTACATATTTTGAAAGCCCGTAAAAAGTTACGCCGATTCCCGAAATTCTAGGGTGAGATGACGTCATTATGACGTCATCAGCCTCATTTTAAAAATTTTCAGAATCCACGCTTTTTGAAGGGGTTCCCCCTTAGAAATTTTATTTTTCTCGACGGAATCTTGTTCTTGATCGAATAAGGAAGGTTGCAACGCAAAAAATTTTTCGAACCAACCGGTTTAGACCGCGGTAAATCGCGGTTTGTCCAGTTTTTAGCCCCAAAACCACACATATTATATATCAATCGACGCAGAATTTAATTATCTTTTCAAAAAAAAGCTAACCACGGTTAACCAGGCCTGAACCAACCGGTTAAACCACAAATAATGAGAAAAACGCAAAAAATTCAAAAAATTGGCGAAAAAAACGCCAAATTCTAGAAAATAATTATTTTCTCTAGAATTGTGGGGGACTGTGAGTTCTTTGCAGCCGCCGCCGCGATCGTCGCACATTGGGCAGATGATCTTCTGGTAGAATTGGCGCGCGTTCCAGACGTACACTTCTCCGCGCTCGCATTTTAGTTAGGGCATGCGTTCTGAATATTGCGTTATGTCCAATGACTTATGTGTTAGTTTGGGTAGGAACAAGTTGGTTGAAGTACTATTTTACCTTTCTTTCGTTGTTTCTCGGCGTCACGTTCCTCCTGGTCGTCTTCTGTCTTGACCAAAATCTCTTGAATATTTTGAACGAGGGCTCCTCCGTCTTGATTTCTTGCTTCATGCTGGCGGGACTTGGCAGCGAGGTCGACTGCGAACGCTGTGGTGGAGGAAATGAGTTGGATATAATCTAAAGTCTCTGTCAGGGACTCCCTGATGTATTGTTTTTAGGTGAGTTTTACCTGTGTCCATTTTTGAGGAGTGCTGTTAGTTGTTTTGATTTTGATGTTGACTGATTTATCATTATTTCAAAAGAAAATTAAATTCTGCGTCGATTGATATATAAAATGCGTGGTTTTGGGGCTAAAAACTGGAAAAACCGCGATTTACCGCGGTCGAAACCGGTCGGTTCGGAAAATTTTTAGGTTGCAACCTTCCTTATTTGATGAAGAACAAGATTCCGTCGAGATAAAAAAAATTTTTAAGGGGGAACCCTCTCAAAAAGCGTGGATTCTGAAAATTTTTCAAATGAGGCTGATGACGTCATAATGACGTCATCGAGCGCTAGAATTTGGGTAATCGGCACAGTTTTTCCTGGGCTTTCAGAATATGTGTTAACCTCAGAAAAAAATTTTTCGCCCCAAAAATTCTTATTGAATTTCATCCTAATATGATATAAAAATTAACAACACTTTAAGTCGCCTAAAGAAGGAGAACAAAATTCCCCTCGCGGTGCGCAGGGCCGAGCCATCATCTCGGTCTGAAAGCCGACTCCCAACAGCGAAATCGACGTCGTTATCGAAAAATCGCAGGACAGAGCTAATCACAAAGAAGGAGCCAACGGTGCGAAATATTGACAAGATAGAGAGCGAGCGGATTGAGCGAAGAGAGAATCAGGCGAAAATGAGATATCAGCGCGATCAGATTAAGGCCAAGCACGATATCAACGATGCACAGTGGGAATTCGCTGAAATGTAAGTTTGAATACCAAATTTTGTTGAAAACAATCGTTCTTAGGATCGAAGACTGGCGCGATGAGAACCCTTCCCGACCTCCTCATCACAAGCGAATGGAGCACAAGATCAATGTGTGCGTGCGAAAACGACCTCTGAATAAGAAGGAGACGAAGAACAAAGAGACCGACGTCGTCACTCGCTCCGGAGACCTTCTTTACGTCCACCAGCCGATGACCAAAGTCGACTTGACCAAGTACCTGGAAAATATGCCTTTCCGATTCGACTATGTCTTCGATCTTGAAGATGACAACAGGAAGGTATACGAGTACACTGCGAAACCACTGGTCGAGTCAATCTTCAGGGGCTCGCGCGCTACTTGCTTCGCATATGGACAGGTACTCTTCCATGTCTCCAACATCCTCTTACTTGATTCTTAGACGGGAAGTGGCAAAACCCACACGATGGGTGGCGAGTTCAGCGGGAAGAATCAAAACTGCAGTAATGGAATATACGCATTCGCTGCAGAAGATGTCTTCAAAAAATTGCGCCAGCCGATGTACCAACATCTCAAGCTCACTGTCTCCTTCTTTGAGATTTACGCGAATAAGGTCTTCGACTTGCTGAACGGATCTCAAAGACTGCGCATCTTAGAAGACAAACAGGGCAAAATCAGGTAAGATTATTAATATTATGCATGTATCTAATGGTATCTTCTTCAGAGTTGTCGGGCTCGTTGACCAAGTTGTCGAGACTGTCGATGATGTCATAAACGTTCTCCGCGAAGGTTCTCGCTGCAGAACATCTGGCCAGACGTCTGCGAACTCAAACTCGTCCAGAAGCCACGCAGTCTTTCAATTGTCACTCCTTACGCCGGGACGAAAGGCTCACGAGGAGCGAACGCACGGCATGTTCTCGCTCATTGATCTCGCTGGTAACGAGCGTGGAGCTGATACGATGAGCTCTGACCGTATAACTCGTCAGGAAGGAGCGGATATCAATAAGTCGCTTCTTGCGCTCAAAGAGTGCATTCGAGCCATGGGAAAAGATGCTCTTCACGTCCCTTTCAGAGGCTCTACTTTGACAAAAGTATAATTAATTATTGAAAAGCTAAATGATCTTTCTTGCTTAGGTCTTGCGAGATAGCTTTATCGGCGAGGACAGCAAGACTTGCATGATTGCCACTCTGAGCCCCGGCTTCAGCAGCTGCGAAAACACGATTAATACACTCAGGTAATGCATTCTCCGATTTACCCCTTTTTACTCAAAATAGGTACGCTGACCGAGTGAAAGGCCTCTCCGTCAACGAGAAGCGCGATCTTGAAGACCTGATGGAAGAGATCACTCTGGAAGAGAACACAGAAGAAGACTCGTGTCTCGACATGCTCGCCACTCAGAACGCGGATCAATTCACTCCACAAATGTTGGCGATCACTAAAGCTCAGGTACTTGCCCCTCCTTTTCCTTGTTTTTAAACTGTTATCTTCAGGATGAGCAGCAAACAGCTGAAGACAATGCCATGACTGCTATCAACGAGTCCACGCCTGCTTTCTTGGATGCTCTCTCCAAATGGCAAGAATATTGGGAGAGTGTCGCCAGCGACAAAAACGCGGACGTCCAAGAGATTCTCCGAGAGTGCGAAACAGACTTCGATAATCTCGAAGCAGCCATTAAGAACATGAGAAGTAAGATAAATAATTGCTTGCTTATTTAACGAAAATTCAAGAGCTCGCTAAAGTCGCTTTCGAGAAGGCGGAAAATGTCGATGCCGTCCTAGCCGGAAATAACGAGCCAAAACCCGCTCAGAAAAGTTCAAAACCACGAGGAGGCATCAATCGACGGCTCAAGTAACTTCTTACTTCGCCCCATTCCTCCCATTTTTATATAATTATTATTAGTTCACATTCCAGTTTTTTTCACAAAGTAACACTATCAAAGTAAATCACCTTAGGTACGTTCTCCCCTCATCCCCTTTTTTACTAGTAGTTCACGTTGCAAATATTCGCTCCCCATGTTTACACTGTAGGATTCCTGTTTAACTTCACCCGTTTTTAAAATTCAGTAACAGTACAAGATTAGTTTATAGCCCGATCAAAATGCTTGTTGACTAACTTGTTGTACCCCTCACTGCCCTCGTTCACATTCCATTTTGATCACAAAATAAAAGATATATTTTTACTCACTTTTCAGTCTTTTCTTAGCAAAAGAAATGGCCAGTTGTCTATTGTCTTTCTTGCAGGTTCGAGTTCAAACAATCAGGTCAGCGTGCATGCCAAACTCCGGAAGTATGCAAGAAAGTTTCATTGTTAAAAAACGAGTCCGATTATAATCGGTTTATTGCTCGCGGTGTCTGAATCCCCCGCGGAAAATCGCCGCGTTACTGCATAAATTTCATTTATGAGAATCTTTGAAGTAAGGAAACAAACCAAAGGTTGATAATATTAGTGTATTTCAAATATATGAGAAAGCAGGTTATTTAATGTGATTAAAAAGGCAGTTGCAGAAAGAATCAGTGCTTTACTTTGGCACGTAATCGTTGAGGTTGAATCCATCAATGGGATTTTTTCCATATATTCGATTTCTATAACTCGCAGAATTCATGCCACATCCGCGCACACCAATGATCATGACATCATATGTGTTTCCTGCTGCCTTCTCAGTGTCCAGGAAACTTTCTGGATCCTTGGTGACCATATCAGCCAAGACGGTTGTCATCAACGAAGATATCATCAGGGAGCTCACCTTGTCCGTCAGAGAACGCTCGTCGAATGATCCAGCATTTCTTTTGATGAAGTGACAGAAGTTGTCACATGGGTTGTTTTTGTCAAGAGGGGCGGCGACCATTTTGATATTCGCTGCTCTTTCCTTTAAGAAAGAAGAGGAACGCTTATAAAAATCGTTCTGCAGTTCGCGGCCTTAAATTTTAAGATAATATTATGAATTCAAGCGAAAAAACATACTTTTGAAAAGGATACCGATGGATTTTAGAGAATGAATCATTGTGTTCTGTACGTTCTTCACTTTTTTCTTGGCCTGATTTGATGTTGAAGGCTCATTCGGTTGAGCAATTTCTACGTTATTGTCACCACCAACAGAAGACTCGGCTCTTCTTTTGGTAACTTTTTTCTTAGTTGACTTGATGTTCGCTCGTTTGAGAACATTATCAAGCTTAAAATTCGCCATCTTCATGGAGTTGATACGATACGTTTCTTGATTGACGAGAAAATCAAAAATGACTTTCTTTGACTCTTCCTCGCCAACTTTCTCCGTGAGTTCCTTGAAACAGCTTGACAGTAAGTTATCAATCGCCGAGCTCGATGGAATATTTGATATCTTCACCCACTCTGCTTGCTCGTCCTCAACATCCATGTTGACAGTCATCTTTGCTTTCTCACGCTTTAGCTGGGTTCTCGCAGCTTCCAAAAAAACGTCCTCATGCAATTGCTCTAATTGAAATTAAGAATCGTTCTCAGTATCGCAAACTTACTCCGAAATAACAGACTTATTGATGACAAAGACTCTTGCTCGTCATCAGATTCTTTCCGTCCAGATCTTCGAGTCGGTTTCATTTGCCTTGATTTTTCTCGATAAATTTCTAGCGTAAACCGAGGAATGTGACAGTAAACAAAAATGCATAGCCCTCATATTATCTAGAACGACTGTTGTCATGTTCACTAGAGATCTCTGGTCATGTTTGAAATTAACCTGCCATTATAAATCTCCAAGAAGCTAATTTCAGACGGGTTAGTATGTTCAATAATGTATTTAACTGTACAAAAAGCTCGAAAAAGAGTTATTAGGTGATAAATGGAGAAGTTTTCTGAATGTTGACTTGGTTTTCGACGATGTCGTAGTTGTGATCTTTGATTGGAATCGTCGGAGCTTTCCGGAAGAAGATTTTATTAGAAATGACTCGCCAGAATGCGCAAATTAGAAAACTGACAAAACTTGCTGCGCATAATGCAGCCAAAGCAGGGAGGAACCAAGAATATTCTAAAAATAGGTAGAGAGTATTATTTGGAAGTGATTTACCTTCATAAATATCCATTTTATCGCTCCTCTACTTCTTCGATATCGTTTATTTTCTTACTTTACTAAGATGCCGTATTTGTTTTTGTGCTCTCGTCTTGGTCTACGGAGCATAACCGAAATTGAGAGGCGCTTTTATTGCGATATTATGAGGGGAGCTGTTATCTCTTGGCTTCGGCTTTTTGGCCTCACGCTCTAATGGCAATAGTAAGTCTCTTCGATCGATCCGCCTGTCACATTATTTTTGTTTTCTGTTTATTATTTATACTATTATTTAACAAAGTTCATCTGTATATAAAATGGAGGCATTGAAGTATTGACGCTATATAAGTCCGGTCTAAGCACATCTGCGGCGCAGGAAATCGACTCTTCTGAAAAGTCCATCAACTCTTCGTCTTAATTTTTTTTTCGAAAAATGATCTTGGTAATTCAAGCTTTTGAAATCGAAGAAAATTTCCTCAGATGATGAAATCTGGAGCAGGAAGCAACGGTTTCATCTTCCAGCGCTGATGCGGCTTAAATTTTGGTTGAGTAAATTTTCTAATTAACGGAATGGGAGAAGTCTCTAATTGTGGCATCTGAAAAATTCTTAGCCAAGGCATGCAATACATGGTTGGAAAGAGCAGAAAAAACTGAACAAAACTGCACTTTTAGATTTTTTGATTATGGAAAAAATTATTCTAGAGACGATTTTCTCTAAATTTTCCCAAAATTGGAAAGCGATTTTCGCTAAAATTTTTCATTAAGCCCTAGAAACTGACTTCAGAAATGAAATCAGCGTAGTCAAATCTACTGGATTGGAAGTTTTCAGCTGTTCATCTCAATGATAAGCTCTTATCGAAATTGCGGGAAAGGAAGAAAATCGCCGCTTACGGGCGGAGGAGAGGGCGCTCGGGAGCACGCGCGATCGAAGACATATTTCCCCTGGAAGACTTGAAACTTTTGCAAAAAAAATCAAGATATGCATTTATTTGTTGTATATTGCCTATGAAAAAAACGTTTACAGTCGGAGCTCAAGATTTCGACATTTTCGACGAATCCGAAAACACGAAAATCAAAGCTAATGCCCGCTTTTCGCATTCCCGCACCGGAAGAACATGTATCTGATTGACACTTTTTCCAGGGCTTGATGAAGGGGATAAAAATTAGAAATCTGATTTTTATGGGAGCGTTTCTATAGCGGAAATCCTTTTAAAAAAAGAAACTGATTTGCGCTGAGCTAAGCAAGACTTTCTCAAAAAAATTGAGCTGAGCTGGGGCATATTTGAAAATTTTTAAGCTGAGCTGAGCTAGCCTTCTTCAGAAAAATTGAGCTGAGTTGAGGTGAGCTGAACCTATCCTCAAAACAGCTAAGAAGCGCAAAATTATGCATAAATACTTCTAGATTGGCGGGTTAATCAAAACCATAAGAAAGAAAAAAGCAAATATAATATGAATTTTTATAACCATGGGTGTGGGTGGGGTTGGGGCCGTCAAGCCCCTTAAATTTAAAAATCAAGGAACGGGGCTGAAACGGCCCGAAGGGCCGTCAAGCCCTTAAATTTAAAAATCAAGGAACGGGGCTGAAACGGCCCGAACTGATCAACCTGTATAATCCATTTCCGGGGTCAAAATTTTATAATTCCGAAATTTGATTTTTCAAAAAAAGCTGACGGGGGGGTCCTTAATCCATGCTTATATTGATAAAATTGATTTTTAATATATTTGTTAAAAGTTTTAAAGAAAAAGCATTGATTGTTTTTATTAAAAAAAAACGGTGCGGCGCCATATTTGGCGCCTCTTGGCCGGTACCCGAAGAAAATGATTTTTGACCGGCTGATGAATGAAAATAGCATTCTCGGGACCAAATTATGACCCCCTTCTTTCTAGTGCTTATCTGAAAGCCGATGATCTGAGGAGTCGAATGATATGTTATTTAGGGTCTGAGTCATAGATAATGACGTCATTTTGGTCGAAATAAGGGCCTTATGGGGAAAACCTATGTAGTGGCATAACTTTTTATTGAACATATAAAAGTATATTGATTTTGGGCTCATTCGTAAGAGGAACTTGAGATCTAGGTCGGGAGCCATAAACCGCGTTGAACCGGCCGGTTTCAAAATTTTGACCACGTGGTTGACCGGGTGGTTGACCGCGATTTTCCTCTCCCGACCTAGATCTCGAGCTGCTCTTTCGAATGAGCCTAAGATCAATATACTTTTATATGTTCAATAAAAAGTTATGGCACTACATAGGTTTTCCCCATAAGGGCCTTATTTCGAGCAAAATGACGTCATTTTTTATGACTTAACCCTAAGTAACATACCATTCGACTCCTAAGATCATGGGCTTTCAGATAAGCACTAGAAAGAAGGGGGTCATGATTTGGTCCCGAGAATGCCATTTTCATTCATCCGGCTAGGGTTAATAGTCTATTAATAATATCTATTAATAAAAGATATCATAAAGAAAAAATCAGTTAAAGAATATAAATATTATATAAAAGTTATCATAAAGTAATTTAAAAGGCCACTAGAAAAGAACAAGCTCTTCGAAGAGAAAGAAGTTTTTTGATGCTTCCCTTGTGTGTCCTCCGCTGGCGCTGCAGCGCGCGAGCGCCGCCCTACCGGCGAATTTGAGTTTTTTCTTTCTTTTCCCGCGATTTCGATAAGAGCTTATCATTGAGATGAACAGCTGAAAACTTCCAATCCAGTAGATTTGACTACGCTGATTTCATTTCTGAAGTCAGTTTTTAGAGCTTAATGAAAAATTTTAGCGAAAATCGCTTTCCAATTTTGGGAAAATTTAGAGAAAATCGTCTCTAGAATAATTTTTTTCCATTATCAAAAAAAATCTAAAAGTGCAGTTTTGTTCAGTTTTTTCTGCTCTTTCCAACCATGTATTGCATGCCTTGGCTAAGAATTTTTCAGATGCCACAATTAGAGACTTCTCCCAATATGCTAAAATAAGTAGCATGAAATCGAAAGTTGTTTAGAAAACTTGGATTGACCGGATCCGCATTAGGGTCAATTAAAATCAAACTCTTATTAATGAAGCTCATCAATTACGGCCGCTTCTTTTAGAGATAAGTTTTCCCAGCCATTCCTGAAATGATACAGGTTTTCCTCTTGGAAACCGTCTTATAGGCCGTCGCCTTGGCCTTTGCCATCTGTCTGATCCTCGTCACATGATCCAGTACTGCCGATCGAATGACAGCTTGCATCGGATCGTAATCTTTAATAAAATATTTTCCCTTACCCGAACTACTTTCCCGTCTCTTTCGGATCTTTTTGGATCTTCTGTTCGCGCATCGACCAGTGGAGACTCTCCAACTTAGATCGTTGAATATTTTTGATACTCGGTAGATGAAGTGTTTCTTTTTCGACTGTCTTCAATGATTGTTTAGGTATATGCATTAAAACGAATCTTACCTGCAAGATAAATCTTCTTCGAGCCAGTTTTTGCAGAAGAAGTTCGCATCTTCGAGGGTAGCGAATGTTTCAATTATAGAAGCAAACAATAAATTACTAAAAAATCATCAACCCTTTCCTGTAAGTTTACTTAGTTCCTGTTTATTCTCGCCAATAACAGTCGATATTCCGATCATCTGCCAAACCGCGTTAATTCTCATCCCCCTTTTTTCTTGTTTCTCTGATTTGCAATAAAAAATGTCGAAGACGTCAGACTGCGCTGGTTTAAAAAGCTGGCGACCGCGGGAGGAGTTGTTTAGGATGATCAATTAGTAACGTCGATTCAGCTCCACCACCACACTGACAGACTTCAAGGTCATCATCACTTTTCCGGATATTAGAGGTGCTGCATGTGTGATATACCGACCGAGATACCGCAATGTGAACCCCTGGAAGAGGTTTCAATGTTGGTTTTTAGAAAAATTCCTAACCCAGGATGTCTTTCGTCTACTGATTGAAATCAATGTCCCTTTTCGATAAAAGTCGGGACTTCAAAAATGCATTATAAAATCCGTAGATACAGTCAGGTCCTGCAATTGCGCGGTTTTATTTTTCGGGATTTTCGCCTAAAACCACGTAATTGCAAGCCGTCAATTTTTTTGAAAATAGGACAAATTTATTGATCTTTTTCGCCTCTTTTCTGCGTAATATATAGATGCATGCTGAAATCTTACGTTATTTTTATTTCTTTGTCTCTAGAAAAGTAAAAAATTGGTTGCATATTCAATAACTGTTCTTATTTGGCATTTTACTATCAAAAGAAGCACTTTACGAAAATGCAAAAAAATTCGAGATTTTCGCCAAAAACCGCGCAATTGCAGTTCGCGCAATTGCAAGACCTGACTGTACATGGTTTGATATCTTGGCGTGTTCCGTCTTTGGATCGATCTGTTTGAGATAAAGAGGCCGAGTTGGCCGACTCTAAAATGAATCAAATCAGTTCCTTACGGAAAAACTAAAATGATACGAAACCTGTTTCACCTGCCCACTTTACTTTGATAAGTAATAAAGAATGAAACAAATGTTTTCCTGTTCTTACAAGTAACTATCAAACATTAGAGTTATGTAATTTATATTAATTTTAAAAAATCCTTCAGCCATAGTTTCTTTTGTTCCCTTCTAAATCCTCTAAATCATGTTTATTTCTTATCTTTGCGTCGCCGATGTTCTCCCTGTCATATAACCGCCAATTGCAACGCGTTTTTAGATTCTTTCGTCTTTGTCAAATCTTTTCATTTTTGCCAAAAATGAGGAATCAAGAACTGATTGACACTCGGTTGCAAGAGTTGGAAAAACACTTTTCCATCATTTACCTTAGAGAACTTTTGAATTTCAGCGTTTGGTCCTAAATCTTGCGAATTGACGGATCTATCAGCAGGAGTGCAGAAGCAGCATTCTTATTTCAAGGGAGTAGAAAAAATCGTCTTCAAATGCAAGGATGGGAAGCCAGCGAACGTGAATATCCTCGATTGCGTTGATGGCAAGCTTTACAAAGGCAAGAAGAACAGAAAGAATGGCATCGTTTTTCCAGCGAATACTCTCATTACTTGCGGTAAGATGACTTGATTGAGCAAAATTTCAGTATTTCAGGTGCCCAAGCAGAATCAAAAGAAACAGGAGACGTCTGCGACGAAAACGATGCATTCGACAGCTATTTCAAACGCAAAGACATGACTTACATCCGCACCAAGGGTCGAGAAAGAACTGAAAATGGCTTGGAGCTAAAAATCGACTGTCTCAAAACTGGAGCTTCCCTCAAAGTAAGAAACGACGATTGAACTTATTCACAATAAATTATAGCTTGTCTGCACGACTTCAAAGAAAGGAGCTAAGAAAATCAGCATTCTAGGGCCAAAAGGAGACAAGAAGAAATTCAAACTCTGTTAAAAAAATAAAATAAAAAAGCTTACTTGTCAATCATTTATTCATTATTTCGCATAAATATTTGCCCAACATTCCCATGATAGCAGAATAAAGCTAGAGCTGGGAAGATAGAATTGAGTTCTTATCAACTGCTTACGTTCTTATGACGGTATAATCGCAAATATAAGCGCGAGAAGGGTTGAATTCTCGAGCCAGAATAAAACAAAATATGTTTTTCTCAAAGGAATCAATATCTTTGATACTTTTTGCAGCATTTCTAGGGCTTTTGGCAAGTGTTGCCAATGCTCAACCCAATCAAATAAACCCTCAAGCCACCAATATATTTGGTTTTGGGATGCCACCATCCACAAAGACAGAGAATAATGCACCTAAAGGTAAAACTGTACTAACACTACTTTCCTAACCGAATTATCAGCGGATTCAAATGAATTATCAACAGAAAAACCTGCGTCTTCCGGTGGCGGACTGACAAGTTTTCTTGACTCGCTTGGAGCTAAAAGTAAGCCTTATGATTTCGTTGTTTAAAACTATTTTGAAAAGGTGTTGTACCGGACAACACAAAAATAAAATCAGTAGCAACAAACGCACCTACTACAGCTCGGCCGTGGACAGCGCCGGTAAGCCGTAATTCGAAAGTGACAACAACGAAGAGTACGGTCTTACAAAACGGGTTTATGTTTGGGGTGAAAAATTCGCAAACTACTACGGCGAAAACGATAGGTTTTGGACCAACAAAGCCCTCGTTTGGGAACTTCGGAGCAACGACGACGAAGTCAATCGTAAATTTTGGAGTGACTAAAGGTCCTTCAATTTTTGGCTCGCAAACGACCAAAGTATGCCTTGCTACAATCTAAACTTTTTAAAACGAGCAATAGAAAACATTTGGCGGCAAATCGTTCGGCTTTGGTAACTCTTTCGGTGCAGCAACAACGAAGAAAACGAATCTCTTCGGATCTTCAGGGATCGGCGGAGCTAAGAACTCATGGACTGTCTCAAAAACTACTGCTGCACCATCAATTCCAAACGTCATCAAAAAGAATCAACCGCGTTCCCTCTTAGAATCCAACGATGAAGCTGATCAAGCTGTGCACATCGCAACAGCAGATCCAGACAAAGCTGATAGTTTTAAAGATCAGACTTTGAAGGACGACTTATCCATTAAAAAAGATGATATCAAGACTGTCCTGAAGGAGTTTAAGAAAAATGCAGCCGATGATATCTTCTTCCGGTACCTGGCGAGGCTCGTGATTGACAACTACGACGATGATTTTGACTTTTACTACAGGTTGATTAAAGTTGATTCATCGAATAATATTTTTCAGGGAAATCGACGCTATCAGCTGTAAAAGCATCAATTTCTACAACATCGTTGTCGCGTACATTACCGACGATACCGAACTCCAGGCCAAGATCAATAGCTGTTCTACCAATCACGAGGTAAAATGAAGCCGCGCCCGATCAAATTCTATTTTTCATAATTTGCTCGAGTCATCTTCATTTTAGCACTTGAATTACAACCAGCTGACATTCAAGGCGATCTACTTTGCGTTTCACTGTTGGAACATCTTGTGCTTTTGTGGGACCTTCTGGATCTTCCAATACGTGTTCATCAAACCGCTTGAGGAAATGATCAGCGTTGGTGGAATGAGCTCAAGTCCGAAGAAACCGAACAGAGCCTTCAAACTGAATTCTTACCTGTATTAACAGTTCAATAAAACAATCCAAGAATTCAGCATCATCATCATTTTTGGAATCCAAGGAAAGTGGGAGCGATAGAAAAAGACAACACTGTCTCAGAGTCTGGGACGCCGGGGAGCACGCTTCAGCGTTTTTCTGATCAGGATGGATAAGTTGTTGATTTCGCATTGAACTCATGTGCTAGTCAGGTCGGTTTGAGACATTCTTGTATCTTGAACTTTAGCATCGGCTCAAATTGAAGTCGGTAGTGCAACATCCTGATGGGATATTTCAATACGACTTGAGAAATGATGATTTTCTAATTTATGATTAGTCCTCGTCTAAAGCTAAGACTCTGAGACTCAGACTCTGAGCAATAAAATAATGATGAAAGTCTAATAATAAAATATTTAATCATCAAATGGATTAAATTTGTTTCCAAAACAGTGGCTTTCCTATTCAGAGTGGGCTATTCTTTTTTCAGGATTGAGCTTGATAAAAGTGATGTGAAACCATCACAATCAGCTCCATCCTGAAAATGCAACGTTCCTTCAATCTGATAGTTCTTCAACAATCTGCATGAAGTCGTGGATAGGTTTTTCAATAATCAGATGCTCTTTCCCCACAGAGTTGCAAATTTCGCTTTATTTTTGCTGAGCGGCTGCTCAGCTAGCTCAGTTTAGAAAATTTGCAACTCTGGTCAGGAGTCCTGACTCAGGAGCAATTTACCAGTAGATTCTACAAGGGGTTCTTTCAACAACGACCGGGCTGATTTGCATGATTGACCCATCAGAGCACAGAATAACGCTTCATGATGGGAATCGTCCCGGTAGTTGTTGAATGACCCCCCTGTAGCATTTTCGAAAATACGCTTTTGAGCCGTGGTGTTTGCATAAAGGTTGAAATATTTCAAAAAATTACGCAATCGCTGGAAAATTCGCCTCAAAAATGGAATGAATGTGCCAGAACTCGAGCTTGTTGCTCGTGATCGAGCGGGCTTGATTTGGACCTGCCAGACTCTTGAAAATAGCGCCCCGTTGAGAAAAGGCGCGGTGCGGTTACCACACTTTCTGCTGGAGCCACGTGAATGGCGGGCGCTGATTCGTCGAGAGGCGAGTGTCGTTTGTACTATTATGGACAGGCTCGTATCCCGATCCATCGAGCCGCTCTAGCCGTTTTCAAAAAAAAACTCTCTCTGCCTCTCTCTCTCGCTCGCTTATAAAGAAACCCTAACTTAGAAAAAAATACTGAGCCAGAGAGAGCCAGAAAAAAAAAATCTCTAAAAATCTAACTTTTTTTATTTTCATTCTTTGAGAAATACAGTAAGAAGAATGGCGAAGAAATCGGATCACTGATTTTTGCTTTTAAAAAATCAGAAATCGGCGATCATAAGCACCAGAATTACTGAACAGGAATGAGTTTTATTCAATAGAAATCCTTTTCGAGCGTGTTCGTTTTCCTGATATTGCAGCTACGTAGTGTTTATGGCTCTGACTACCTAAATTCAGTCTTTCTTTGTGATGAAGCTTGGTAAAAATTTTGAAAAAACGATCATTCTAGTGCCGAAATCAGCCAATTTTGTTGAAGTAATCATGTTTTTGAGTCAAAATAAGTTAAATCCGTCGAATGTCTTATTCAAAATGACAAAAGTCCAACTGGAAAAGGCTCTTCTGAGTTTATTCAGTAGTAAACTCACTAAGTCGTAGTTTTTATCCTAGGCTTTTTTGATTATTTGATTACCACGCATTTGATTCTTTGAATAAGAGTATGTTTGCCTTGGCCTCACTGTAGGAGAGTAAATCATACAGGCCCGGAAAATACGGGGCTCGTCGTAGTGATTGTACTACGACTTTGGTATTTTTGACTAGCATGAATCATTTATTCAAAACTCGGAAAGGGAAAGAACGATGACTGGAATGGTCGAGAAGGCAGAATGGTCTCTTGCAAGCAAGCAGAAGTATGACTTTCAAGCAATCCGAGTCCGGATCTCTGAGCTCATCCCGACTGGGGCCAAGCCGCGAATGTACAGAGTCGGCAGAAATACGCTCGTCAAGGCGCTCAAGAATCGAATTACACAAGCTTCTGAAGGAAAATGGGCTCATATTATTCGAACATTTATCTTTTTCAATGTTAGGACAATTGATGACCCATTGTTCAGGTAGATCAGTAACACTGATTGACTCCAGGACGAGAAAAGAAGTCTCCGAGTTAGATTCTATTGCCGATCTCGTTCCGATCGACGCCCTGACCGATAGCTCTTCGAGGCTCGGCCCCGTCGTTGAGCTCAAGGAAAGCGCTACTCAATCGTAGAGAAGCCTTGGCTTTCCTTGCGTTAGCCTTGAACCAGTTTGAGTATCGCGTGAAAAAGCTTGATTGGGGAAAAGTGTCCACTGAACCGTCGAACGCGTGCCGCCCAGTGCGATCAGCACGCGTTTTCCATCGAAACGTTCGCGAGTGCATCAGCGCCGCAAAGACCGGAACGCATCCCGCGAAAAGGCCGAGGCATAGCGCCGAGGAAGGCCCATCTGTGAAACGACCTCGTGTCGAGCACTTTGTGCAGGTGAGCCCTAGAATTAGTGTCCTTGTTGAAGATTTGCCACAGCTGGCCTGGGTTGCCAGACAGATTTCTGTCGGGTAGACGGACAAAGAGGGCTCCAAATCGTTTCCTGAATGCCGGTGTATCGAGAATAATCCGGGTTTGAGACTTCGATGACAGTAAAGACACAGTATCAGTCGAATCGTTTCATTTTTCGTCAGTCAAAATCATCTTTTCATCATCAATGGCCGGTTTTCATCGCTTTTCGGCCGAGAAAACGTACTCTATCGTCTTGAAAACATTCTTATGCATCAAATTCATGATCCCTGAAGGTTTTTGGAGTCCTTCTGTAAGTAATCACCGTTGAAAATCGACGAAACCGTAACTGGATAATCTCAGTAAATCATCAAGTAACAAAGTCATCATGTTTTTCGACCAGATACACGGATTCCCGGAAATGAATGTTCTCGTGAAGCCTCGTCGGAAACCTCCCCTGAACCGACGAGTGACACCGTGCATAAATGAACAAACTGTACAGTTAGGTACAGAAGGAAACTAAAAAATGATCGCCCGGTCAGCTGTTGTGGGAAATTTGAATGAAATGGCAAGGAGACAGGTTTGACACATGTTCGGGCAACACGCATTCTTTCAGGACACGAGAGGTCTCCAGAAAACATTCTCGCAACTATCTGATATGATGGGTCGGCTCTCTGAGCTAGTGGAGGCGTATGAGCCTGGCACTGAGCGAGAGACGGGACTTGTTTTCCGGAATTCGATGGACGCGTTCAGGTCCGAGTTCGATATCTTGTAAAATTCATGCTTTCAAGAATCTAAGTGTTTTTTGACAGTTACCAAGACACAATTGATGTTTGTTTCAAAAATATTATGATTGCGATTCTTGAACTCATCGAATTACTCTTTATCGAACTTGTGAAAAGATTCATGATTCCCATGATGCAACACATAACATCCTTGGCTCTTCCAGGACCAGTTCATGACCTCTCATTTTCTGATCCTGCTTCCCCATGCTAACTTTAGTTTTCTCAAATAATGATCAGAAAATCGAGCAAATTTTCCTCCGACAAAATCATGAACTCAAAAACAGTCAAGTTCGATCCTAGTTCCGAAATTCTAGCGCTTACGCCCGATATGTCTATCCCCTCACAGCCGCTTACGCAGACCCCATCCCCGTCTACCCAGGGCTCAGTTAAGTCCGAGCCATCTGCCGACGACTCCGACTAGCTGCGCTTTTATCAAGCTTTCCTTATTTTACCATCTTTTCAATAGTTTTTTTTTCTTTCATAAGCTGTTTCAGGAAACAACGTACCCGAAACGGGTTAAAGTGAAGTGATACTTACCAGGCTTTATTTCCCTACAATGTCTTCAGCTATCTTTCCCATTGAAACGTATACAGATTGAATCAGCCTTCAGTGACCAGACGCCGTTTTTGCCAAACCTCACGTTTTTTTCACAATTATTTATTGATTCTTTGAGAAATTGCTCTTTTAAGTGTTTCTACGTCAAATCCAGGCTACTCGGAAGGCCGTATTTGGCTCTTAGCTGGAATTTCATATTTTCACCTTCTACAACTTATATTCGTTTATTGGCTGTCAGGACCAGAGTTGGTAAAAAAGTATACTTCCCCTCGCCCTTCAAAAATCTGCAGGGCGCCCTTCATTCTTGAAGGGCGGTGAAGTGTACTTCACGCGCCCTTCAAAGCCCTGAAGTATACTTCAGCTATCGGTTCATCTGCCACAATTAGCGTGATTTAAATCATGGCGCCTGAGAGCCAATAAGCGCAAAATTTGAAAAAATTCTGGCGGATGGATTCTGATGGCCGACAGAACCAAGTTGAAGTAGAGTGAAGGGCGGAAGGGCGGTTGAAGTAGAGGGAAGGGCGGAAGTACACTTCACGCCCTTCAACGCCCTGCAACGCCCTGAAGTATACTTCATGAAGTATACTTCATTCTGAAGGGCGAGTGAAGTATACTTTTTTACCAACTCTGGTCAGGACCGTCAAAGTTTGCGGTGAAAACGAGTAATTCCAACTAAGAGCCAAGTAAAGCAAGATAACGGCTCTCTGATGAGCCCGGATTTGACGAAGAGACCCTAATTTCGGCCAAATTTTCATTGAAAATCTCCACTCACTTACCTCAGCACTGATCCTTTCTTGCGTTTTACTGGCAGTACTGTACTATAAAGTTCATGAATTTAATTTGACACTGGCTACACTCACTGTAAGCTGACTCTTTTAGAGCTTGCTCGTAGGGCAAAGACGGGATTTTGGGCTAAAATTTCAGTTTTTGCCCGAAATCGCGCTATAAATTTTAAGTTGAGGGCAAGAAACTTGCCCCACTACTTCGTTGTGAAGAAAATATCGTATACTTTCCAGGTGTAAATTTTTGTAGAGTAGATAAGATGTAAATCATTGAAACTGTATCTATAAACGCACGCTTCGCTCTTTCCTCGAAATTTAGCATGTCTCCATCATCTTCCGAAGGTTCTTCATGATTTCCTGTAGGATTCTGAATGTAGTCACTTTAGGAGATGATTTCCTTATTTATGAATCTGGGCGGTCTTGACACTTGTTGATGGTCACCAAATCATGCTCATCAAGAGTTAATTTCATGTTCTAGTATGATTAGTAATCGTGAGAAAGAGGCCATGAAATAAGATCTTAGTGACCTTGATTCGGAGGTCATCAATAAGCGCCAAAAACACCCAGCTTCACAAATAATCTCCCAGAAAGTGACTGTCCATTCATAACTCTGCAGGAAGTCTTGAATAACCTTCTGATGATCAAAAGCACTCTCGATAGGTACCCTTATTTTTCATGGGTCAATCTGATTTGTCACTAACTGCTTTAAACTTCCTCGTATACTTTTAGCTGTAGATCTTCTGTGCATTGCTGATGACATTGATTGACTCGACCCCTCTTTGGTGGCACCGTTTAGGAACCAACTTTATCGATCTCGGTAGAACTGAGATCAAGTGTATAAAATTTTCGCTTGCATACAATTTTAAGTTCGTTTAATCACTCATCAAATTTTCGGTCTTGATCTTGGATTTTGAGTATTTTTCCTCATGATTCTCTTTGTAAGAAATCACTAACTGCATTTATCTACCATTCGATACCAATCATTAAATATTGAAATTTTAGCTTACTGATCGGGTATTTGAGTTATTTTTTATCCGATTTATCTGTTTCATAAAATTTGAGAAAAATAAAGAATAAAAATTTTATGTTTTGTGTCGTTTTATTCATTTTTCCTCAAGTTCTTCTGCAAAAGATTTCTGTAATCAGCCTTCTTTCAGCCCTGTACTGGCTACCGGCGCCGGCCTAGAATTGATACGGTAAAATTGAAAATGCGATGAAGTCTTCACAATTGAAAAATGTTGAATCCCCTCTAGGGCGTTTTGCAATGGATCCGTTTTCACTACGGGTATTTTACGAGCATCGAAAAATCCGGCTTTCTGTTTTCAAGAGTAATTTTCGATTTATTGGCCAAGTTCAACCCCCAGGGAGCCAGTCGCTCGGGTTAACGAGATCCCGATGGTCCTTCTCTGGGGAATTTTCGCCCGTTCATACTCGCCGATAGTTGTATTTTCGTGATTCAAAGCTGAGAGATTCAAAGCTAGAGAATGAATCAGAGCTGTCTTTGCGTAGTAACAAGCAAGATAAATCGGAAGATAAATCGGGTCATTTACGACATCGTTTATCTAATATCATGTTTCTTCCACTCCTAGGTATTTATCCAAGAGCACTGTGTGAGCCTTTTACAGTAAGGTACCTGTGAGGAAGAGAGTTAACTGAAGCTAGGGGCCGGAATCGAGTGTTAAATAACAGGAATTCCTATTCTCCCGAAAATTTTTATCACTAAATCCTTGAACTTAAGCGCTTCTAAAATTATGAATAAGTGTTGGTCTGCTTCATAGAAAAACTCTAGAATACCTCAAAAACCTTGTTTATAAGCCTTTTTTCGTACAAACGCGGATCAGATGCCTACTTTTCGACCTTTTTGTGACCAAGGGACTGTATAAACGTCTATTGATAGCATAAATAACCCGCAGATTGAGCTAAATACCACTGTTGTCCCCTTTTGTATTGAATCTGACGCGTTTCTGCTTGAGTCACGAGCTGTTTTTCTGCGTCCTGAGTTGTGTTATTTGCTAGAATTTGTCACCCAGATTCTAAAACGCATTTTTCATTCAGAGAAAAATTGAAAATGGCGGCGACAGACTTTGGAAATCCGCTTCGAAAGTTCAAACTCGTGTTTTTGGGAGAGCAAAGTGTTGGAAAGACCTCTCTTATCACCAGGTACGTCTTTCTCTTGTGGATGAAAGTTTAAAACTTGTTCAGATTTATGTACGACTCTTTCGACAATACCTATCAAGCGACAATCGGAATCGACTTCTTGTCGAAGACTATGTACTTGGAGGATAGAACGGTGCGACTGCAATTGTGGGATACGGCCGGGCAGGAACGATTCAGGTAAATATCTACTTTTGTTTGTTTATTTTCTTCAAAAAGACTACTCGATTGTCAATAAGTTATTGACGAAAACTCGGCCAAAATTTTGAGCCAACGTAAATAACCACTATTTTTTGTACTTCATCTCAGGTCATCTCTTCAAGAGCACGCCGGCTTCCAACCGGCTTCCTGAGAGCTGATCCTATATTTCAGTAGCTCAAACGCTCATCCTTATGTTTTTCTTTCAGATCTCTGATTCCAAGTTATATTCGAGATTCAACTGTGGCCGTTGTCGTGTACGATGTGACAAATATCAACAGCTTCAACCAGACGAACAAGTGGATCGACGATGTACGCACAGAACGAGGAACCGACGTTATTATTGTTCTCGTTGGTAATAAAGTAAGTAGCAAAACTCTGTTATCCGGGTCTTCCAGAGAACCAGGTCCCGCATCTGCAACCCCGCAGTATTCTAGCAGGCCCACGTGTTTTTCTCTATGCCTTAACCTGGGCTTCTGTCGGCTGCTTAGCCCAGAGGTAATGCTGTCACTCAGTTGGAGGCGAGTTTCGAGCTTGCCATGGTTGTCTCGAAACTCGCACCCGGGCCAACTGAGCTACCCACACCCCGCAAAAGAGTGCGAACTAGTCGTATTTATGCTTACCAACTCGCTGAATGAGTTCAAATAGCTAGAGTTACTCCTTACTAAGAATTTAGACCGATTTGGCGGACAAAAGACAGGTCTCAATCGACGAAGGCGAGCGAAAAGCCAAAGAACTTAATGTTATGTTCATCGAGACAAGTGCCAAAACCGGATACAACGTAAAGCAGCTCTTCAGACGCGTCGCCGCTGCCCTTCCAGGTACTCAAAGTCTTTCTAGCGCCAGTTTCTATCAGCGTTTTCAGGAATGGAGCCCAAAGAACAAACCGCCGCAGACAGTGGCATGCAAGATATTCGACTCAAGCCTTTACCGAATCCAGAGGTACGTTTTTCGTTGAATTACCTGCGCTTACTTTCACTTTAGAATCCCCCTGGAGAAGGCAACTGTTCCTGCTAAACCTGAAATCTTCTGTGTCCCGTGACTGCCACGCCTTCTTAGACGTTTTCCTCTCCCCTCTGTTCGCCTAACCGTTCTTCTTCCACCTAGGCAGGTTTAGGAAAACCACTACGTAAATAATCAACTCAACCCCCAACAACAACTATTTGCATCCTCCTCGGAACTACAGAAAACATGAAAAGCATACACTTTCAATTCAATTCAATTTCATACACATAGCAATTTCACACATTCTCATTATGTGGCCCTAGGCAATATTAGTACTTTACCTGTATCTACAAAGTATTGTCTCTATTCATGGTGTCAATATACAAATATACTAAAAATAACTTAGATAAGTTCTATAAAATACGCAAAAATCAAGTTAAAAAGACGTGAGCATTGATGTTGCGCTCTGGTACTTATTTAGTCTATAAAAACTCTGCCCTCCACTTCAGAGAACCCCTTTATCTGCAGTTAGGAGTTTTTAGCCTATAAGTTCTCCCCTTACTTTCGGCTCCTTCAGGGGGAACAGACTGGTAGCGCCCATCCGAAGTCAAAGACGGGCTTCGAACAGCTTACGCAGGATCCATATTTTATAGCGCGCGACATGCTCCTGCATGAGCATATAAGAAGCCGCCCCGTGGAGGCTAACTGAGCTATCTACCAGCCCGGATGTATGTATGAAATTCGGGCTTTTATGCTTTGAATTTTGTCAAAATTACTCACTCTCATAATCTGAAGAGCTCGAATATATTTGCCCGGAGATAGATAATGTTTTAACTGCTCAGATATGCCCTCAAATCATGCTCACGTCAATTAATGTTTTACTTTTATTCTGCAAGAGAAAGTTTTCAGTGATATAAATTATAAAAGCTTCTCCAGTCAGGTCTTATCACTTCATCGAGTTCTTCGTAATTATAGCTTTTCTTTACCTTATCTTCATTTTCGATGAAATCGTGTAGCGTCATCCATCTATCTTCTCCTGGGGAGGTTCCAGGAGCGCGATCACCACCAAAGATCCTCTTGGCGAACTCTTTTTTATTGTAGGGTTTCACGCACTCATGGACTTTCGAGTGATAGACTTTCCCCGCACAACAGAACTCGTTTGTAGGATCGTATCCTTTGGCTCCGGCTCTATTTTTGCAGCAACCTTGCTCCTTTGACAAAAGCTTTTGACCAGCTCCAGATCCACAGCAATGTTGTCCACTCAGCACACCCGATTTCTTTCCTGGCTCGAAGATCTGATTGTCACAGCATTGATAGCCTCTTTCTTTGAGCTCTTTGTCTACCAGCCGCCCACCACAGCAAAAATGGATTGATGGATTGTAACGAATCTGGGTAACGGGGCAGCAGCGCTCCAGCTGAGATCGAGGGAGGATTTCTGAGAACGAGATGAGGTAGATTGCTAAGGGATAAAATCTGGAACGATCTATTTTATGGTCATTTTTGGCTTGAAAATAGCGCTGATGCTATTGAGGCATTCCATTTAAGTAAAATGCTTTCAATTTCTAATATAATGGCGGCAGTTTCATATCGGTAATTTTTAACAAACCTCATCTCTGAACCACAGCAAAAACTATCCGCTAATAAATACAGCTCTTTATTACAACATCCATATTTCCTCTTGTCGGCAACCTCCTTCCCGCAGCAAATTTGCTTCCTCGTGAAGAACGGCTTTTTCCTACAGCAGTTGTTTCCCGATCTCCTTGAATGCATTTTTCCATTGCAGCAGATTCCACCTTCTTGGTAAATCTCCTCACCTCCGCATTGAGAAAATCGGATGGATATTTTTTGGCCAGTTTTTAACGATTCGTCGTATTCAAGTTGAGATTGGAGTCGTTTTTCAGGCGGAAAGAGTTTCCAGTCTTCGAAGAACATTTTGCTTGGGATTGTCGGATCAACTTTGGCCGGAGGAGCGGGCAGGTCAGGTGGAAGTGGAAAGGGTTCAGGAAGAATTTGACAGTCTTTGGGATTCAGCTGGATGTCATCTAGCGCTATGTTTGACAGGAAATTCTCTCCTCTCACATTTTGAAATAAAATCGACATTCCCTTCCAGTCTTCGCTTTGTTCTGTATCAAATTGAATTTGAAAATACCGCCAGTCCTCTGTATCACGGGCGATTAAGCTGTCCTCGTAAGTCTTCCAACCAAGGTTCTGGTCTTTAAAATGAGCTTATCCCGCGATCATTTCTAGTGGAGGTGAATTAGCGTTCTCAGCCCTTCCTGCTTTATCTGGGTAATACGCGCCGATTCCAAAGATTTCCACAGGCTTAGAAACTCCATCGCGGTTCAAGTGAATTACGAAACTGCCTGAAGGGATACCGAAGTGAGAATACCAGAAACTAAAGCAGTACGAGCTATGGAAGTCCAAATCGATGGTCTTTTCATTCTAGCTCAGAAAACGTGAGTCAGAGAATGTGCAAGAGTTCACCCAAGATAAGAAATCCAGGCCGGACTAATTGATTGCTATTTAGAGCTAGTTCCGGAGTTTCCAAAAGTTGAACCCGTCCAGGTGCGACCCTCGAGCTCATTGATGATAAGTAATGGCCATTTGTGCTCAACGTGCTCACATCAACAGTTGGGTTGAAAAAAGCACTGTTTCGAGCGAGTCCACTTGTGACATAGAAATTTTCACGTTTTCCCGGTGAAATTTTCTCTTCAAAAGAGGAGCTGATTGAGGTTTTTGTCTTCCACTTAAACAGCTGTTTTACAGAAGAAGCTTTACTAACTGTACCTCTGAACAGTATTCTTCAAAGTTACAAGAGAATGAGACTTGTCTGTCCTTCGTAAATCTGTCGAAAATGACCTCGTTCGGCTCTTGAATTTCGATATTTCTGAGGGTTTTATAAACATGCCAGAAATTGTGAGGATCGTATTCGAAGGCTGAAGTAGCCATTTCTTCGGCTAATCCTTTTGGTTCCTGAATTAGAAATCTAATAAAATGGGTCATTGATAATTTACTTTCCTGTAGCATTCCTACCGACATTCTCTAATGATAACTCAATAATCATAAACAACAACAAAGAACACGAATGGACAAAGCAAGTCACTATTTGTCAACCAGTGACTCTCGGACTTGCTTTGGGCCAGATTTGATTTTTTTCATTATGTTAGGAAAATATTTATATTTTTATAGAAATAGAGCAATGAGTCATATAAATGCGCATGTGAGTTAGCTTGTCTGCATCTCCGTTGATGGTTTGAAGCCTTCGACGCGTTGGAGGAGGGCTTCCGAGTATCCGGGCGAGTAGTAACGCACGATTTCTTCGGGGAAGCACTAAAAATAATTATTATTATCTTGATAAGATTTTGGAGGTTTTCTTTGTTGATTTAATCACTTTGAATATCTCCACATCGCTCTAGCCGATTTAATTTGACCTTGTTCTTGACTCACCTTGTTGATTTCTTGAATATGCTCCTGGAGGGCGCTGCCTGGCTCAGCTCGAATCTCTTGAATCTTTTTCAAGCCACCAGAAGTAACGAACATTCTTCGGGCTGATGGATCGTTGGGGAGAACCTAAATCGATGAGCACTCAAGTTGAAATGGTTGAACTTACCTTGCTATACTGGGCAACAACGTGCTTGAGTATATTTGGAGGAGCTTCCTGGAGGAGAGGTTCGAGGGCGGGCAAGTACACACATTTTTGTAGAATATTTTTCAATGCCTTTTTGCTCTTTGTTTGCAAATCTTCACTGCTATCCGGGGAAATGTACGATTGAAGCAATCTAAGATAGCGTTAGCATTGTAAGATTATTTTCCAAATTACTTTGGTAATACGTTGGACACAGCAATGGCCTTAGCGTGCTCGGGCGTGTGTCGGCCAATCTGTCCCAAGGCCCAGACGGTGGCGGCCTTGATGTGGTCTTCTTGCTCATCGGAAAGGATGATGGCCAACTGGTTAACACCCTTGGAGACGATGACTGCCATAGCGAGGGTTTCGGAGTGAGCGGCGACGTATCCAAGCATCATAATTCCTAAAAATTCAATCGTCCGGTTTTCAGGTGTTTCAAGCTTCACCTGGAAGTCGGACGTTTCCTTTAGTGTCGCCAATGTAGTCAACGACAGCGGCAACACCACCAGCGTTCATGATGAGCTGGCAGAGCTCGGGAGTGTGCTTGGCGATCTCTCGGATCAAAGTGGCGGTGTTTTTGATCACAACTTCGTGGCTATCCTAATTCAAAATTTAAATCCGCACAAGAGTCTAAATTTACCTTCAAGCAAGTGAGGACAGCGGGGAAGATCTCCGCCTCGACGACGAGCTCGGCGAGCTCAACAGAGTGCTTGGAAATCTGCGCGAAAGCGGAGAGAACCTGTCGCTTGAGCTTCGAGTCTGGGTTGAGGATCATCTAAAAGAGATACAATTACAGCGTGAATTTAGAAGATTTTCACAAGTGGAGTTTTTTGAACGCAGAAAGCTCCTTTCTATAGCATCGGATCAAGTCAATATAAACTTTCAATTTCTGGCTAATGCGCCTAGGCGGGTGTGTTTCTGAGCAAATGCGGGATTAGGATTACCTGAGCAAGATGAGCAATAGCACCAGCATCCACAACGGTCTGAGCGAGCTCGGGGGAGTGTTTGCAGATGTCGGAGAGAGCAGATGCGGCGATGCGCTTCAAGCTCAATTCTGGCTCTTGGATGCAGAGGACGAGGAGGGGCACTGCTCCAGCATCAACAACAGCCTATGAAAATGTAAGACACGACATAAAAAATTTTATACCTGAGCAAGCTCATCGTTGTGGCGGGCGATGTATCCAAGGGCCCAGGCGGCGGCTTCTTTCACACCGGGATCGAATTCTTCGAGGCAAATGACCAGGGCATCAAGTGCACCGCAGTCAACAACCTAAAAGCAATCGATGCTATCATTCTTTTGGAGAAGAAAACTTACAGTCTGGGCAAGCTGGGGGGAGTGTTTGGCAACAGCGCGGAGAACAAACGCGGCGGCCTTCTTGTAGAAGCGGTTCTGCTCGGCGAGCGAGTACACGAGCTGCGGGAGAATGTCCGATTTGACGACGGCCTCGGCCAAGTCATCGTTGTAGTTGGCGAGTCGGCCAAGGGCGAGAGCAGCTGTCTGCTGGACGGTCTGAATGAACGCTAAGATTGGGTTAGGTTGCTATAAAAACTTACGGGAACAACGTCGAGAAGAAGTGGTCGCAGAAGCTGCATAACACCAGTGGCCTGGAGCGTCTCAATATTCTGTGGTCGAGTTGATAATTCGGCCACAGTTTGGACAAACTCGGTCCGCGCTTTCTGATACTGCTCGAAAACTGAAGAAAATTTAATGATATTTTGCATTTTAATCTATTTTCATTAGAGAGTAAATAGTTATCATCCAGAATTTCTGTAAAAATTGTACTTACCGAGCAAAACTTGTCGCTGGCTCATGTCGAAGGGGGCTCTTTCAGACGACTGACGATTGTTTTTTCAAAAATCAACTTCTAGGGACGCGTTCTAGAAACGATCTCTACTTTTTCCAACTTTCTCGGGTTGCAATTTTTTGTTTCGCCCTGGGGCTTGTGTTTGTCCCTCAGAGTTCTAGAGCTGCGGGGAAATAAAGGTAAGGAACAATCTCTAAATGAGTAAAAATCAAACAGGGTCTCAAGCGCGTTGCTAGGGAACTAAAAGACGCCTTTTTCGTTACTACTTTGAGCTGGGTTATTATCTTAGAGAACATCTTTTTTTAGAGCATTATTCTAAAGAAAAAAAATCAACTAATTATTCTTGCTTTGAATTATTTTGACCGACGTGGAAAATAAGATACCCTATCTTGACTCGGGAAAAGAAATGCTAGCGTTTTGCTTTTAACCGTTGTGAAAATCCGCTCGAAACTCTGAATTCATCAGATACCGTGCTCCACTTTATCACGTTATTTTGAAAATTCTTTCGAAGGTCTACCTCTTCTTATCTTTTTTTTACGTTTCCCAGTCGTTTATATTTCCCGGAAGTGAAGATAGAACTTATCTTAAATTCTTAATGGAGAGTTTTTATGGATTATCTGGCTCTAAGCAAGCTTCAGAAGCTTCATTTAGCTCTTTGGGGAAGCTCTAGCTCTTATCGATACGTAGATAGGCTCAAAAGGTCGGCCCGATGGATTCTAGCGTCGCTACCGTCTTCTTCTTTTTTAAACGTGCATAATCCAGCTTCAAGTCGACAGTCGCCCCGAATAAGTTATTCGAAGGAAATCTAACTCCACGATTTCCATAACTTGATCAGTGATAAGCCCCCGCTGCGGCGCAAACTCGTAGGCTGCTGATTCGGTGGAGGCGGAGAATTCTTCAATAATATCTTTATTACGAATTCCACGGTGGCGGGCGCTGTCACGTAATCTTGAGGAGGTCGAATTTACGCGGGCGACTGGAGCTTTCCCAGGTCGCCCAGAATTCCGATCCATCCCGAGTCTAGTACTTTCAAAAATCAAAATGAGCTGAAGATGAGACAGAATACGCTGCGTCTGAGGGATGAACTTTCAAGAGAAAGAGATTACCCTAAGCAGGTTAAAAACTAGGCCGGATTTTCTGCAGTGTCTTGCTCTAGAAATTTGAAGAACTAGAGCGTGAACAAAGAGGGTATAAAGACTGCAGCAGCTTCGCATATGATATGAAAGTCAGTTTATAAAATGATTCTTTTTTAAATTCTATTGAGTGTTGAAACTTTCTGATCTCCAGTGAAGAAAATATGCTGCTAGAGTAACGACATCGAAACGATAGATTATTAGATTTCAGCCAATAGTAAATAAATTTAAAAACTGAAGTGTTCTAAAATAGTCTTGAGAATACAAGTTCTTGATGGGGTCCTCGAAGACATTTCCGCTCGTTCACTTTAAAGTCGACAGTGTTTGGTTGAACGTGAATGCTCAAATGCCCCAAATACATCGTGCGTTTCTTGAGAGTCCTACTTAGTTCTACTACCTGGGAGTCGAATTAAGAGGTCGAAAATTCTAACTTCTTCTTCGCCTGAATCATTGACTCATTGATGTTCCATTGAACCCCCGCGGAAGGTTTGTTACGGTTAGTTTTCAGTAAATGCCCAAGAAATACTTGCGGGTCTTTCCGAAATGCCAGCTAACAAATCAATTGTAAAATGCGACAAATCAACTAGTGTTAGAAAATTACTGATGAAATTTTTCCGTAATTGAAATCTCAGCAAGAAGGAAGACTTTTATTCATCTGGAATCGACGATGTTTGAAAACTCAACAAGGACTGACAATCTGGCGGAGGAAGCTCTAGTAAACACGGAACTTTTATAAGTTCGAAAATGGGTCAGAAGAATTCAATCAACGTAAAAACAGAGGTATAAAAACTTCGCTGCGTTATTTCCGGTAGACATTTAAAGATAAATTAGGGCCCATTCTATCGTCACCCTTGAAACTATTCTTTATTAAAAACTTCCATCGGAAACTAGTTCTATCCGACTTCGAGTTCGGATACGTCAAAATTTACACACGGAAATCCCAAAAATTTCTTCAAAAACTGGGCAAAGAACGAGTACCGATTTTAGTGTTTGTCTAGGATCAGCAAGAAGAAGTTTGACGCTCGAGCGTATTTATTCTACCCACTGAGTTTCTGGCCCTATCTGTTACTTTCACAGATCCAAAAAGATTCCAAGGCTGAAATTTTCCGTCGAAAATATAAAGAGAAACACTTTATTATGGAGAGAGCGATAAGAAACTGCATCAAAAAGGAACGAGTTCAGAGAGTAAACATCTGAGCTGTTATTTTTTAATTAATAATTTAAAAATTCGATCAACAGAAGCCTTTGTTAGCCGCGTTTCTTGGCGAGTGCATGGGAGTCTTCGTCCTTTGCGCACTAGGCAACTCATCAGTGGCTCAAAATATCATGAATGGTGCATATTTTATCGACATCAACTTTGCTTACGGCTTCGCATGCGCTTTTGGTGTTTATGTTTCCGCTGCTGCCTCCGGTACAATAATTATTGCCCATAATTGGTGGTTAATTTTTATAAATAGGAGGGCATATTAATCCAGCGGTGACGATCACAGAAGTTATTCTCGGGCGCATGAGCGTTGGAACTGCACTTGTGTATATTTGCGGCCAGTTCTTGGGCGGCTTTTTAAGTGGAATTCCCGTATATTTCGTTTACGGACAGTACTTGAATCTTGTTGAGCAAGAACAAGGTATAAAGTCCTTTGGACTCGAAAGTTTCGAGTATTCTTCGTTCAAATTATTTTTCCAGGAGTTTCTGCAGTAGCTGGAGTTTATTGTACCTATCCGACAACGTATCAAGTCAAACCAGACCCGTCACAACCCATACTAGTAGTGGAAGAACCCACTACAGGAACGCTATTTGCTGACCAACTTTTCGGAACAATGTTTCTTGTGTTTATCGTCTCATCCATCACCGACGGTCGAAATTCCAAGCCGCATTCTGGCTTTGTGTAAGTTCCAATAGCTATTTACCGTTCTATCTTTCTCAAATGTAGAGCTAATCAAGTACATTCTGGTTTAAAGATAATATTTGCGAAGTGATAACGTCAGAGTCGTGTCCGAACTGACTGTATATCATCGTAAAGATCCTTCGTAAAAATTTAAATAGTTTGAACTACCCCATTTGAGAACTTTGGGAGTCTAAAATTAGTTCAGACCTCTTTTGGTCGGCATGGTTGTTATGGCCATCGGTCTCTGCTTTGGCTCAAACTGTGGATACGCCATCAACCCTGCCCGAGATCTCGGCCCTCGACTTTTCTCTGCGATGCTTTATGGGGACTATGTTTTCACTGCAGCTGAATACTTTTTCTGGATACCGATTGTTGCTCCGATCATAGGATCCTTTTTGGGGGGATTTCTATACTTGGTCTTGATCAGCGCCCATTTACCGGATCTCCAAGAAGAAGAAAGCTTAGATGACCTTCCAGAGAAGAAAAGAGTAAGTTTTCTTGCTTGAACAAGTATTTTGACTGCGTTCTTTTAGGTATCAATAAATTCTGTTGGCGATGATTTCTAATTCTACTGATTCTCATATTTTGATAAAATAAAGATCCTTGAAAATACGGAGAAATATTTCGATTTTGGTATTTTGCCAGAATAAAGATCACTTAGGAAAAAGCTAGAGCTTGAAGGTTTGATTCACGTGAAAGAATGATCCTTGATTCTCCCACGCGGTCAATTCGCGGCATGTATTTCTTCGACCTTTTCATCCCTTCTGCTGCCCTCTGCAGATAGACCTGAAGTTCGGGTTTTTCCCTAATAAGCACGACGGCTTGTAGATAGACATCTAATACGACAGTATATCAATGTTCCACGTTTTCTGAAGCTAAAGGCTTTCAGCTAAGCCTTTCGAAGTATTCGGCCTAAAGTGAAAAGAACTCCTTATCTACGGTGTCACTTTTCAAAGCTGGACGAATTCTCTGGAAAGTGGACCGGAATTCGGAAGAGTTCAAAATACAAGTTAGCGCGAAAGTACTATCGAAACGCCTAACTCTCAACAGAGTAAATTGCCAAGCATCGAAGATCCCAAATTTCGATGAAGTTTTCTTATGCGGTCCTCATCCAAGGCAGACCTTCTCAATAATTTGGTGATTAATCTAATTGAATTTCGAAACGTGTGAAAGAAAATCCTACGAGCATGTTCCATCAGATGCCCGTGGTGCCAATTTTAACCCGCAGCCGCCTGATCGAGCTCATGTTTGTTGTACACACGGTGAATACCCACTGAAACATCTCTCCCAAAGAGTGCTTTCCCTGGCTGGTCGGTTGGGTTCACTCCTCATTTCAATAACTAATTGACAATTAGCGGCCACAATGTTAAATGTTTGATCGTTACTCAAATTTATAATTAAATTTGCGGAGTAACTCGTAACTTCTATTTTTACCTTCGCTTACTTCAATCGAATTGCTCCATTTTTATTGTCTCAAAGCTTTCGCCTTGCTTGTTTTTAAACACAACCAAGCCCAATCTCAATTACCCAAATGTCAGCAAGTCTACAATCTTGTACCACCGCTCGTTTCTTGCTCTGCTTCATGAATTATTCTAGCGACTAGCAACAAGAACCTGCTACTTGCGATTTAGTTATAATTGAAATATTATATGGCTTTACTCTTCCTTGATTTCAGGTGCTAAGAAAGAACACTTGATTTTTTGATGATTTTGGGCTTTTTATTTAGTTTTTTGCCAAGTTTTTTTTTTGTTTCACAGATTTAAATAGAATAACGAGGAAAGAAATGAACAAAAGTAAAGTTGCAGCAGAATATGTGATCGAAAATGTAAATAGATAACATAATTTAAAACAGAAAATGAGAAGTGATGAAATGTAAAAATGATTTTTGAAAGTTAAAGTTTTTAGGCGGCTTAGTCGTTCACGAACATGATTCTGCCCCGGTTCAAATGGTCCCAAATGTGGTCTCATCTACCAGAAGGATAGGATTTTTCGGTCGGCCGACGAGCCAGAGCACCAATTTGCTTTATGTGTCTAAGCTTTGGTGGTTAGCTCTTTATTGATCGAAGTGAGAAGAAGAGCAGTGTGGTAGTGGCTCCTTGTCCAACCGTTCGGTCATTACTAGCCCGATTCCTTCGAACCGTTCAACCAAGCGTTCGGAGGAGGAGGTGGTACCACACCCGCGGCGCGGCGCGTATATCACCACACCGAGCGCGGGGGTTAATTTCTAACTCCTTTCGATCTGTTAGCGCGCGGTTAGCATCTTAGACGGCGAATTTTTTCACTAGACCAAGAACGCTGACCGCGCGGTATTACTGGCGCACTTGAAAAACCTAGAATTAGGACAGTGTTACGCGACCTAGCACAGCCAATAGAATGGTTACACTTTATGGTTAAGGCACATCAGGGTTAACCTATGAATGCGTCGTAGGTTAAAGAAGTGATAGGTAGGTAAAAGTTAGACAGTGGACATCGCATATAGAAAATAAATCGAGTTCCCATGGGGGCCGAATTATGTCTTATAATCGCTCCAAATGTTTATCCAGTTCCTTACACTAGCCACGTTACCCCATAAAGTTGTTTTTAACCTCTTTAACCTTGAAAAATCCAGCGCGCGCTCAACGTGCGAGGTTCAACGTTGTCGGCAATGGGTTAAAAATGTTTAAATATGTTCTATTTACATGGAACACGATTTTCGCTATTCGGCAGTGGGGTAATATGTGCAAAATTTAGGCGTGTGAGCGATGCGCCAATCTTTTTTTCAGAACTGTACATTATACATTGTGCTTGGTTATGTTATTACTGGAGGTATAAAAACATCGATCCCCATGGGTGTCTCAATTCATACCGTAAAGTTTTTGCTGTGCCATAAGGGCAGGGTTAAGAAGGTAAGGAGAGGATTTCGCCAAGTGCGCGTACATCATCGGGTTGTACAGACTGTGACTGTAGCCAGCGGGATAGGCAGGAGCGACATCGTCGGAGTTATTGCCCGAATCGGTCGATGGAGGTCGGTTGGTCTCCATTTCTTCGTCAGAGGAGCTCTTGCCGAGCAGGTTATCGATGGAAAAGCCTCCACTTTTCTTGGGTGGCGAGGAAGGAGCCTGATGGTTCATGGCCATGTGATGATGATGAGCGGCAGCGGCGCGGGCCTGAAGATGCTGAGCGAGATGTTCAGGAGAATTGACGAGGACGGTAGCGGAAGTATCTCCATTGCGATTAGTGAAGAGCTGTCCGGGCTTTTCATAGGCGGACTTGGGCTTGAACTCTTCAAGTTCACCATATCGAAGTTTGAGCGCCAAGAGCTGTCCCTTGAGCTGTTTGTTTTCTTCAGTCAAAGAAACGACTCGTTGCTCGAGGAGAAGATCATTCATTCGTCGTTTTTCTCGGGATCGTCTAGCGGCCTCATTGTTCTTCTTTCTCTTGACCCAGTAAGACTCGTCCTTATCCTTGTCGTCGACGAAGTTTCGCTTTCGCCGAGAGTCACCGCTGTGTTCCGAGCTGTTGTCTTGTTGTGGCATTGAAACCTGCATATGCTCTTCAGGCTCAGCCTTTAGTCGAACATCAAAGGTGAGTTTCTCTCGTTGTGGAGATTCGCCTCCAGAGGATCCGCCGCAGCCGGAGTCTGAGTGGTTAGTGGCGATTTCTTCGATATGTTCGGTCATGATTATTTTTTCTTCTAAAGGTTCTCGTTAGATTATTGCTCCTGGGCTTTTAATTCAAGCAAGTTGAATTAAAAGAAATTATTTGAGATTGCTACCGATTGGTTTAATCAAAGAGGTTTTCTGCTTGATGATTGTAGAAATTTGTCCGTTGGAAATTTCGTCGTCCGTTTTTTCTTTTGGTTAATATCTGTTTTCAGGGTTTTTCGTTAATCTCGATTTTTGGGTTGTATAAAAAGAGTAGTTTTTAGAAATTGCTTTTGGTTGTGTGTGTTCACGTTGCGTTTCTGATTTGATAACTGACCCGCTATGAATTGAGCATTGCCAGGTCCGCGGTCGTGGTGGTGCTGTGGCGTCGGCGCTCGCGTGCGCGCTTCTCCGAGTTCCAGCTCCTCAAATCTGTTCTAAGTCATCGGCACTTACTTAGACCCCGCGCTTTACTAGCTAGCGCGCTCTCGCCCCCGCGTTTCAGTCAGCACCACCACCACCCAGAATCAGGCAAGGTGAACGATAGCGTAATCGCTAGCTACTACACCCGAGCGCTAGAAATAACCTTGACAGTAATGCTTGCCGTTAACTCATTTTTGTACAGGTTTAAGACAGTAAGATTAAGTGTCTTGTTATTTTAACAAAGATACAGTTAATATCAAAATATATTTACAGTCATAAAGCGCAGAAAATTGTTATTTCTGAAATCAGCTGTTTCTATGAAAATTGGCTTACGATAATAAGGAAGGCATATTTTTTTATCAGAAAAAGATACCTCTCAATGCCAGAAATATACCTGAAAAAATTACATTATAAACTGCACTTCATATTACTTGTTCATAACTTTTAGTACTGGATTTACGGTGAATCGTTCACCAAAGCTGGCCAGATTTGTGTCGGGAATATTGATTGAATATTTGACGGACAAAAAACTATTTCGAAACATTTTTATAATTTACTTGTTAACAATTATTTTGATAATAGATATTATCTTCTTACAATAGTATTTGTCAAAGAGCTTGTACTGGTTTTATATCCAAAATAGCGATTGAAATAATTTAGATCTTCTTTTCGCTGACGTAGCGCTTGGCGGAGTAGAATAGCGTAATCGCACTAGCCTTGGAGTAGCCAGCACCGCACCACCACACTGGCTCTGAGGGTTGGATTACGAGCCCAATGTTCAACTCAATTTTGAAGCGCGGGTCCAGTTCCGTTGCCTAAATAGGAACCCATCCAAGAAACAAGCCACCGCCAAAAACAAACTATTACGAATTCTAAATCATCTTTTGAACAGAATTCTTGTTAGTTTTAATTTATCTCTGCGTTCTGATCGTTAAAATCTTCAATTCTTGAAATTCGTTGGAAGTAATAGCAACCATAATCGCATCTTTAACTTGCAAGAATGATTTCTTTATGATCTCCCTTTAATAACAAATCACCAGAACGGATAGTTGCATGCCGCATGAACTGTCTGACTTTTGTAACCCCTACTGGGGTAGTCTTCGTAAACTTACCAAACCGATTGGATCTAACCTGAATGAGTCTACACACTTACTATTTCTTGAGAATAGGCTGCTGTACAAACACATCAAGTTAGATTCCACTAAAGATGTCGATTCTTGAAATGTGCGAAACAAATAATTTGTCTTAATTTAAGAACATAAGTTTAGAGACCACAATCAGTCGAACTCGTTTAAGTATTTGGATTTACTCTAATCATAATTAATTTCGATAATTGAGAGTAAGTATCGTAGACAGTATGCATGAACTGTCTCTCTCTTTTCAGCACTTTTGAACCCTAAACGGGGTAGTCAACTCAATCTCATCAACAATGACCAGCCGTTTGTATGCCCATTTTCTCATAAAAAATAACCCCGGTCGTTTAATTATTCAAGTGTCATTCCTTATCAATGGGTTCCCCCGAATTGTCTACTAATCCCTAATTGCCTGATACGTAGTATTGTTGAGTTAAAACGAGATTTAACCTTGAAACGCACGCGTGGCTTAATTTGGCTCCAAACAAAGGGAAAGCTCACACTAATTCGCGCTTTCCAGTGGCCCGAAATGTTTATAGCAAGTACAATACACAAAACGCACGAATTGATAATGCTCATCATAATAGAGATTTGGGGATAACATGGCGATTAAATATACACACGAAATGAACACTTCACTATTTCCAACGAACACATCAGTCGAAAAAGAGACAAATAGGGCTACCGTGTTTTGCTTATTTTTATAATGAGTCGTAAAGCTTGTTAAAGTTTAGGAGGAATAAAGGGTTAGAAGAAAGGTGTTTTTAGACGACGTATTCTGCTTCACGACGCTTGTAATTTCTGGAGACCGTTTACGACTCAGTAGCCTAACTGGAACTCTTGTCAAGTCTTGACAATATTCTCAGAGAATAAGCCAAAAAGATTAAAGTAAGGAGCAGGTAAATTCCAAGTTCCCGGTAAGCCGGTAAGAAGCGCTCTTATGCAAGTTGATCGGCGTTGCGCGCCATTTAACATAACAAAGCGCTAGAATTCAAGTTTCCCTCGAAAGTGGAATTGACCGCCGCTTGCGCTCTTCCTCCTCAATGTTGCGTGACGATTTCCAGGTCTGCAGCTCGTCACGCGTGAACCGCCAAATTTTGCAATTTCGCCCACTGCCATTACCGACTCCTTAGGGGCAGAAAAATTCAATTCATTAATATCCGATTTTTGGGCGAATTTACATCAATCGAAGTCACTTAGCTTTCAATCTCTTTTTATAAAGGACTGGTTTGATCGGTTCTGGGGAGGATTGATGAAGATTTAATTGGCTTTAAATTCGCTTCATAAAATTCTAGACCCAAGATATGTTCTCCTGTCTTTCTATGTTCATCTGAACCATGGTTTTCTATTGGAAAGGGTCCGTGGAGTAAGTTTATTTGCAGAAACGGGCAGTTTTTCCGGATAAAAAGGGAGGGTTTAAATTTTAATGAACGATATTGGATTTATTTTATTGTTTGGTAATCCGTTTCTGATATTATTCCTGGTTATCTCAGGAATCGGGAATGTTTTACCTCACACCTCTCGGAGTTAATCGGATTGCCTCAGAACTGTCACCGCGAGAAAACCTGAAAGTCACTCAAAGGTTTCAAAGGTTTTCTGTTAAAAATAAAGACTTAAAATTTGGGGGCTGTTTTGTAAGGTATTTGAAAAAATGGATTTCATTTGCATCTTTTTTGGCAGAGAAGTTCGCGGGCAGTTAGACAAGCACGGTATCTCGTTATCATGACATAACTCGGTTCCGCTTTCTCAAAAAGTCAAAAGCACACCTTGCGAGTGTAACCGTAACGCGTTGGCTTCCCTCCCAGTTGGCGAGCTGCCGATATCAACCTGCGGCTGGTCGCTGGAAGTGGCGCGCGCTAGAACTTCTACTTTTCGGATTTTTCTTTGAAAGAAGAAAGGGGAGGTTGAAAGTCTGCCAAGGTCAGCGGGCGCGGCATTCCAATCATGTCCGGAGTGTAAATAGGAGATGTAGAGGCCTTTCAACTTTACCGCAAATGTCAAGGGCCAGGTTGTCATAATATGGGATACACAGACTTATATAAAGTTGAACAATAACTTATTGTCAATAAGGAGCTTGGAAAAGGGCGAGAGGTTCTCTCCAAGGTTCTGTTCTTGAGAAAATTCTATTTTTCTTTGAGTCAAAACTCTCCCCAGAAAAGCGCGGAAATCTAAGACTTCCACTGAACTGACCCAGTTACTAGAAATAAGCACGGATTACCCTAGATTTACTCTTCAACTTTTTAGCGGTTCATGATTGAACCGAAAAGCAAGGGCACACACGTTCAATTTCGAAATTATAGAGTCAAGAGCAATTCTAGCGTGGACAAGCTTCCTGGGCTGAGTTCTCATGGCATGTTAATGGGGTACTGGACGCACGAACTCGGGAATTCCGCTTTAGTAGTCGCCTAGGAGTCGAAGAGACTCAAGTAGTGAAGGGGGACCAGGGGGACTTGAAAACGGAAGTTGAGTCATTCATAGGCTAAGTCTGAGCTGTTTTTTTCAGGAAATAAATCGATTTATATTCAACGCTACGCAGAGAAAATGAGCATCGATATTCAAAAGGTTTTATAAAGCCGAATTTTTTGCAAATAACATTTTTCACTAGCTTGGGGAGGAAAAACTCAAGCACTACCAGGAAACCTTTAAAAAATACGACAAGAATGAAGATGGGACTGTTACGACTGCAGAGCTTGCGACTGTACTAAAGGAGTCCAAGAAAGACCTTTCCAATCAGCAAATTGAGGTTGAAATTTTCTTGACAAGTCTTTTTTCTATGAAGTATTTTAGGACGCTGTGCAAAAATACGACGCCGACGGAAATGGAATCATTGACTTCTTCGAGTTCATCAAATTGATGGCGAACTTTAATCGTGACGAAGAAGGAGAAGAAGCTATCCGCGCCGTTTTTAGGTATTCGACGAAAAAAATGCTTTTTATTGACTATCTTCAGAGTTTTCGACAAAGACGGAAATGGCTTCATTTCAACCAAGGAGCTCAGAGAAATCCTCAAAGAGCTTGGCGATGATGTTTCTGACAAGGAAATCATCGAAATGATCCGAAATGTGGATATTGACGGCGATGGAAAAGTCAACTATGATGAGTTTGTGCAGATGCTGGCGTAAAATAAATAAATGCTTATGAAAAAAAACTTCCGTACTTAGTATTAGGCTGACTCAGAAAATGAGGGATTAGGCGGATGTTATCAGTACAGGCTCTTGGAGCACACAATTAGCCGTCATTATCCGAGGCCCAGTATGGGTGGGTTCAAACAAGGCTCAAGCTGCGTTATCTCCTACCAGTCACGTTAATGACCCTTCGTCTCGTCAATTCTTGCCTTCGTCAGCTTGAAAGAAGAGTTCAGATACCAAAAAAGTATAGATACCAATAGCGTTCTTGGGTTTCATTTTAGTGAACACTTGATAGTAGATTCTTGCTCCACGTTAATCACTCACTTGAAGAGGGAGTTGAAATAGACAACGGATGACAGGGCTCATCTCCACCCGATGATCACTTTCCGGCTTTGCCCGTCTAATCGCCTTTGAAAATGACTCCGCTGAATTCGCGTTTCTTCCAGCTTTCTTGAAGATAACAATGAGACCTTTCCGGACAAAGATACGACATTTTATTTGTCTATCTTTGTTGATGTCTAGTCGTCAATCCTGGGGATGGTTCTGGTAATCTTGATGATTTCAAAAAACTTTTTGTGGGGCCGGAAATCGTAAAAAAAGTGCTAGTGCAGTTTTGTCAAACTCGTCGAGACGAGTCGAATGATGTGTCTAACTCCTGATAATTCGAAGGATTGACCGAATTACCGGCTGGTTACCGGAAAATACGTTGTCACCGGCCGTTTTTGTTCTAGAAGTGATAGACAAATGTTTGACACCGGAAATCAGTTCTCCTGCAGGCTAAAAGATGAAGGTTTTATCAATACTCTGAAGAGAGTTATCACTAAAAAAAGTAATTTTTACTAAAATTTTGTTGTTGCTGCACGTTCCTAATTTCTAGTCCCATTTTTGCCAAAAATAGTATTTTAGTGATAACTCTCTTCAGAGTATTGATAAAACCTTCATCTTTTAGCCTGCAGGAGAACTGATTTCCGGTGTCAAACATTTGTCTATCACTTCTAGAACAAAAACGGCCGGTGACAACGTATTTTCCGGTAACCAGCCGGTAAACCGGTCAATCCTTCGAATTATCAGGAGTTAGACACATCATTCGACTTGTCTCGACGAGCTGAAGAAAACTGCACTTGCAGTTTTTACGATTTCCGGCCCCACAAAAAGTTTTTTGAAATCATCCTTATGCATGAACTTGGAGAGTTAATCGTTCGAAAGAAGGAAAGAGTTAAAAAACGCATTCCCTTATTTCGCAAGAATCGAAGTAGGAGCCAATTATTGCGTCCGGCATTTTCGATTTATCGCCTGCTTCGAATCAGACAGGAGGAGTCTGGAAGTCGGGATAGAAAAGGTCTGCGAATCAAGGCGCCGCGATGTCCAGGTCCAACCAAATTACAGTCTCGTGAAAATTCTGCCGCTCCAAAAAATGAAGGAAATTAGCACTTGAAAGTTTTAAGTACACATGGCTTAAATTTCCCTAGAATTTTGACACTGGATCAGCACTTATGATAAAAACGAGGGTCTTAGGTGATTAATTTAAGTATTTGAATGACTTTCTATTTATAACTTTGTTTCAAAAAGAGCTAGGGGAAAGGTTGCGTATTAAATTGTTTACAACTTCCGCCAATGTATATTTGCACAAGCCGGTCGGTTACAGAATTCGTTTTGGTCAAAATAATCTTGACTGAGATCATCTTCCACCTTTGCTAACCCGCGACTTTGAATCAAATTGAATAACTCTTCTCGTGGTTACTTCATTTATCGCCAAATAGAAATCCAGTTCTTGCTCTCACTAACATTTTTATTAGCAACCATGTTTTGCCTAAATAAAGCTCTAGTTCTTATTACTCTCTGTTTATACCGAGCCAATCGGAGTAATAAATACGAAGAAAAAGAAATTGAATGAATCATTATCGTTTAGTTTATTGATGATACAATGGGGCTGGCTGCAAATTGTTTGATTTGGGCGAATCGGCTAATCGTGCTGAATGCAGACGGATTGCGCCAAGTTCGCTTCTTCATATTTTAGATATAAAAAGCAAAATTGTTCCGATTGTTCCAGTATATTTCAGCACTAGAATTTCAATGAAACACATCCGCTTTTCTCACCGCTTCTCCACTTGACGTTCCCTCGCTCTGTTCAATCAACGAAGGCTTCAGCATTGAAAGCAACTAAAATAGATAAAGTCTCCACTCTGCTCGAATTCAGCAGAGGTTTTGACATTTCTTCCCTTGGAAAAGTGCTTTCAGAAACGCGAATTTTGAGGGTCCGAAACATATTGGATTCAATGCAATAAACACCAAGTGTTCTTGTTTTCTCCTTCTGAGCAACAATTCTTCATTTTTTCGAAATCGTTTGTTATTCGTTTCCTGATCTCGAATATCAAGAAATCCGCAGAAAGAATCGCTGATGTATTCATCTTCCTTGCGAAGTGGTTATTATTTCTTATTTCTTGGGCGGAAGTGCTCGCTCAAACACGTTATTCTAAGGCCTTCGAAGCTTTTGACAAAAGACCGCGCGAGCTCTAGAACGGTGTTATCATTCGAGGGACATGCTCTGGCGGATTTTGCTCCGTGTCAGAGGTCCTCCGAAGATGTATTCCCCCGAAAACGCAGGTGCCATACACCACTGCTGCTGCCGAGATAGCTCCACCACCACACCGGACAACGGGAGGCGATACTAGACCGTACTGCAGAACTGAAAATTTCACGGGTCCACCCTCTGACATAATTCTGGACTCACCCAAAAATAAACCTTCCTTCACCTTTCAGGAAGTTCTTTTCCCCTTGGAAATTTCGTCGGCTTAGCTTGAAGGATAACCCCCTTTAAAATCTTCCTCTATTGACAATACAGAAGAACGCTAATACTCTCCCTATACTCAGATTCGGTTATGAGCATTTATTACGAAAAAGATTCATAATCTCTTGTTTACGGCTCTTTGGGCGGCCCTTCTGACGGTGATTTTTTCCTTTGATAGATTAGGCAATCCTCTTAAACTTTTAAAGTTTAAAATTTAAACTCTTCTATTCTTTTTTCAGGCCTTATCGCTCCCTTTTAAATTTCGTGTTACTTCGAAATTAATAGGAAGAGCTTGTTATGTCAAGCCAAAATATTTAAAAAATTGCGACGTGAAAAGATTGCGACTTCAGAATTCGCAACGCTCGAATTTGTCCAGAAGACATAATTGTTTGTAAATTTTGATCGTCTCCGAGTGTGGGGGTCTATGATAAGTTTTACAAAAATAGACTGGTAACAAGTTGTCATTTCCTAATCCTCGATTCCACGACTAACATGGTAAAGCGATAAGAATTTACGACTTATCAGCGGGTCCAGCTCCCCCGCTGCCCGCTGGGTTCCTGGATACTAGGGTCTCCAAGCTGATATTTGATTGATTTTGATCGAGTTGATGTAGAAAAAAGAATGTACCTGGAGAAATAATTGTTATCTTTTACCATAATTGACCATGATATGATAGAATACAAAAGAGTGATCAATTCTGATCAAAATACAGATCGAATAATACGGTGTTCATCAGTAGCTCAGTTCGAATCAATCAAAATTGAGCCCGAAGTCTGGAAAATAGCTTTGATGATGATATCTTAAATGCCGAGTATTTTGCTAAAATAATGAATTTTCAAGCGTTTGGAACTTTATGTCGAGAAGATTAGGGCTGTTGATTTCGACTCCTTTTAAATTACTCGCGACTTTTTTCCGGGTAACCCGCAAGTATTAACGCGTGTTTACGCTTTACAATAATTACTCGGGCTGCTTTATAACAGGTGAAAATATTTTTGTGAGATTAATTGACACCTAAATGGCTTTTTTAGTCATTTTTTAGTCGGAATCAACAGCCCTGGAGAAGATGAAATTACTGGCGACACCCTAAGTGATGGTGGTGGTATTGGTGGTAGTAGTATTGCGCGGGAGCTGGAAGCGCGCTCTGGTCTGGTGCAGTTTCGTCCAAACTCAGCGATAACTGAATTATCCACGTTGAAAGTAGTTAGAGCTCGCGCCGCCGTGGTGTAATCGCTACGCTGTGCAGTAGCTCCTCCACCGAGGCTAGTTTCTCAAGAATTCATTTCCAACACCACAGATTATATCAGCAGGAGCAGGAATATTTATTCAATGAGCAGATCACGCATTCACTTCAGGAGAAATAATCAGCAGAATTGGTCAAACAAGGGCATCTTCAGGGGAATGAAGATTTTTCGCGACAAAAAGGATTCGTAGCGAAGATTTGCTTCGCTCATCTTGGTCATTATTCAATAAGCTGGAGAAAGACATAGATTCGCTTCGATTTTTCGTCAAGAAGATACAATGGTATTCGATAATTAAAACTTTCGCTTCGAAAATCTTTTCGATACAGGCTTTTTGTGGCGAAGATTCGCTTCGCTCACCTTTATCTTTCTCAAGCTCGTTAGAAAATGACAAAGATGAGCGAAGCGAATCTTCGCCATAAAAAGCTTGTATCGAAAAGACTTTCGAAGCGAAAGTTTCGATAATCGAATGCCTAATATTTTTGACAAAGAAAGCGAAGCGAATCTTCCGTAGCGAAAATCCCTGGACGGTTATGAAGTCGCCAGTTTCGTGAAAATTGAGCGACTAAGAATCGAGTCTTATTTTTCGCTATTTTCTAGAATTTTCGTAAGGCCTCCCTGAACTCTTCCACGAACAAAACTTGAACTAGAGATTTCCTCTACCGGTATCTAGAGAGAAAAACGCATGTTCTACCCGCAAAGAACTGTCGACCCCTCGTTCCCTCAATTTGTGTGACCTTTCAAAAATGGCGCGTCTCGAGCGGAGTGGTCGACAAAAATCTGACGAGCCAGATGACGTCCGAAATTGATAAATTTTAAAAAAGACTCGAGCAGAAAGAAAATGAAGCAACTTCTTTAACAACTTCCGGAATAGTTATCAAGGATAGAGAAAATGGAATTTAAGAAATGAGAAGATATCAGAAGAAAAATGAAATTAGAGAAAAAAATATTATTCTCGTGAAATATATATATTTTTAATCATTATTTAAAAAAATGTAGCGAAATATTGGCCACCGAATAGTTTATAACCGTCGAACATATTGCTCAAATTTCCTTAAAAATTACCTGGTTATGAAATACTGTTACTTTCAATTAATAACTCATTATTAAAAACATGTACTTTTCATATCAAATAGAAATTGAACATTTCTTTCTCCTTTATCATTCTAGCTTTCTGGCGAACCCTTGCGGATCTCACTGAACGGGAGATGTAAATGAACCCGTGGTAGATATGTTACGTTTCTGGTGGTAAGAAAGGGTGTTTTTAGCATTATCGATTAATTTTTCCACTTTTTTGTATTCGAAATACGAAAGGCGCAGCTTTTCATGAAATCAAGGAAGAGTACATTGAATTTTAAACAAGATCTGATCGATTAAACATCGCATTTATCTTTTATCTGGTAATCTGTATTGGCCCGAATGTGTGTGCTCGATTTTCAAGCATCAATATTTGATGAATACTTGAAAGAAAATGGTGGATTTTGATTTTTTGGCAGAAAAATTGGTCCCCGTTCTTATTATTTATACAGCGATAAAACTACTGTAAATTGTTTCGAAAGTGGTTACAGTGAATTACAGTTGCTAGCAACCCTAATTGTTTTTAGGGTCGAAGAAGAATTGCACTCTTTTTTGGGCATTAGAAAAAAAGCATCTGTATAAAAATGAAAGATAAAAATATATATTTATGTGATGCTCGTCATGGGATGGTTGACTAGTTCCATGATTATAGTTAAAGAATCAATATCGGCGCACTGAGTGGCGTATAAAGAGCTCAGAGGATCCTAATCATTGAATTTTATAGAGATTTTATGCTAAACCTCCGCGGCTCTTCTTTATCAGAGAAAAGGGTCTATTTCAGTTTATTTTTCTGAAGTAACATTAAGGTCCTCAATTTAGGGATGAGTATCCCTTAATTAACTCTTTGGTAATGGTCTTATAATTAATTCTTTCTGTAACTTTTTCTGAATCAACGGGCGCCCAAGATCTTTCGACATTTTCGCCCTTGAGGAAATACAGAAAGATGCTCAAAACTGGTTTCTTTTGGTCTTTAGCCCTCTTCGTCTTCCTCTCTTTTCGAGAACGAGCCACTTGCTCACCATTGTGCGTTTGTTTCAACGCCCATTTTTGGCGATTGATTTGCTCTTCAGCAACTCATCAAGGCACTTTTCGCATCTTTTTCATAACAAAGAGAAATAGGCGTTAAAATTACGTAAGTTATGTTTTTATAATATGGTCCGTATTAACGACCGTAAAAAAGTCGTTAATCTAGGAATAGAAGGCGATTACTTTCAAGTTGCCAAGGTCAGCATTTTCAATGGGAAACGTAAAACTTTCAGATAAAATGACCCTATCTCCGTTTGAATTAACCCCTTCGGATCCTTTGGCAATATTCATTCTTCCAGAAACGAGAACCCCAACAATTACGCTGCTAATTCCTGCAGACATATTTGCGCCCTTCCCAAATTTGACCTGAATTTTATGGCTTTCCAAGTGTCAAGTGGACGCTTGGGCATCCGTCTGTTTCTTTCCAAATGAGTGCGCAAACCGTGTTTCTCATTTTTTTGCTAAGCCGCGATTTCTCGACTTGACGTTTTCAATTGATTTGTTCGAATTGAAACTGAACTCGGTCGTTTAGCTTAGTTGTTAAGATTCCCACATTTTGATCGGTTGTCAAAATTGTTTCCTATTCAACCAAATTTGTTACGGTATCATTTGACAACTGTAATGACTTGAGTAGCATTTTGTTTGAGCAGAGTGTACCTTAGTAATAGGAATGACTTGCTTAGGAGAACTTAAAATTTGCAAACATGATGCAATCGAGTTGCCCTTTATAATACTTTTGATTGATTCTGAAGCTCGACTAGTAAAAGAAGATTTTCGATTCTTTGATTTTTGGCTCGTTGATTTTTATTCTATAATTTGCATAATAAAAGTTATCATAAAACGAGTCATTTCAATATTAACCACTCTTCAAACAATTCAAGTCAAAATTTACTGTACTGTTTTCAAGCGCTCTAGTACCATCATTTGTTAAATCGTAAATTGAAATTTGCAGAAATAAGGGCTCATGCTCGATGGTTTAAGATGATGGTGAATAGACTATTCAGAATAGTGCATCTATAAAATTGATTTACGATCTGTTGCCTTCAAATTACTCAATTCTGACTCAACCTGTCAACTTATATCCCCACAACAACCTGCTCTTCCAGACATAAGTTGAACTTTTTGATTCATTTAATTGAGATGAATGCACAAGCTCAGTTCGTTTTTCGAACCGCAGCTTAGCGCTCCGCTCGCGCTGCTCTTTTTTTCTTCTGTGAGGCGGCGCCCCCAGTTGAATGCTCGAGCTCTCTCACTAAAAAAATCGCGCTCCACTAAATAACGTTACTTGAAAAAATCGTCACCCTTTTTTCCCTCGAAGAGTCCAAAACTTGTAGAGAATTATAGAAAGAGATTCTATCGCAGAAGCTAGAATTTACATGTCCGAGGTCAGTTGAGGTCACGGTGATCCCGGGCAGCAAATGAAAAGGTCATAAAGTTACTCTCTTCTTTTTTAGAAATTGTGACTCGATAAACTGGCGAAAGAGTAAAAACAACGAAATCAACGAAGAGATTTTTCAAAGTGATAGATTCTGAAACGGAAATCATGGAACCTTTGGACGCGCAAAGATTGCGCATATTAATTCTTACCGCGGTCGGGCTGTGCATTGTCAGCCCACTGGTCGACTCGATATTCACTCCCATGGCGATTTTGGTCATTGTCGTCGGTTTTTTCGATAGCCGCCATTTGAACCAGGTTAGACATGATTCTAAACGATGATGATGCATTTCCGCTCATTCTGAATTAATTACTCATTAAATTTTAGAATAACGTAGTATTGCAAAATATGTATCAAAATTAGTAGTCAGCCCACTGTTTTACAATCCAATTATTGTATCGGCATATTCTACCGATTTAATTTTCTCATCCGGCAAAACGAGTTCATTACTCCCCTATCATCTTCCCACCAACACTTTCAAAGTTGCCATAAATATAATACGCCCCTTTCCCATCCATTTGGTTTATAAAACTTCCCCTGTCGACTTGGAGACTTGTTACTAATCCCTTTGCATATTCATTCACTCGCCATGACTGAATGATTTCCCCACGCAGACGGCTGTTACTGTAGTTACCGCCATGGCAAAATCACTGAACGCATAAATTATTGACAAATGGATTAGTAACTTCTTTTCTCGCGAGATGACGCAAAGCCCTCTCTTAAAATTGTGCATGCACGTTCACAAGGAGAGAATAACGTACAGTGTTTACTGTATGAATCTGTATTTATTTGAATGACTGTATTTCATATATATTGAAGTGGATATGCGTCAAATCTTTAGGCAATATTGAATTTGGTACATCAGAATTTTCCGCGAAATCGTGGAAGCCAATACAGATATCCAACATAAATTACGCTGATTATTCATACAGTCAATGTTCCATTTTGCCAGAGGCGCGACAATGTCTGGAATATTTGTTAATTTTTGAGAGATTCATAATTTATTGCTTCTTTGGTTTAATTTTAAGGTCACACTAGTTTTAATGTCTCGACTTAATCATCTGTCAGGATGATTTTTATTACTATCCAGGACTACTTGGGAGGTCAATTGACTCATAATCGTAATAAATTAGCATGTCGCGATAAGATAACACTAATAATTTCCTTTCCTGTTTTCGAGTTAACGAATTAACATTCAGTTTTGTCGAATTATTATTTATTCAGTATTACAATGATTTGATGTTTTCAAGCCATTGCGGGAGACGTAAAATGATTTTATGAATACTTGACTCAAGATTATTGCTTTACGAGACGCTTATTTGATCTGTCATTACGATTAGTCTTCGACTTATAAGCCGAGTAGTTAAAAATGTCATTATTTTTGGCTAAAAGTCAGTTAGATAGTACTGAATATTGAATCAACAGTGTATATTTTCTTCCTGTGAACGACCTTTCATTGCTAGAGCTAGCTGACAGTATCAAGATCGAGATACTATTTGAATAGCTTTTATAAAAATGTTAATGACAGTTAGAAACTGGTTTTTCTCAAGGTGTATTTTGAGAAGGAGGCTCTATTTTCTGGTTATTTCATTTTTGGAGACATCGACGAGAACAATTACTTTTGTTTAGGATAAATACTGCCCTTTAGTACAGAACATTGAGAATCCTAAAACAGCTTTGAAAGCGAATTCCAAGGATCAAGTTTTTTGTGAGTTCAGGAAATCAAAGAATTTATTGTGTGAGCCGGGAAAACGTCGTGTCTATTGTGCCGTGTTAAAATTGATTTCTTTCAGAATCGAAGTGGCCCTCGGCCTCGAATTGTCCCCCGCCAGAATGCTCAAAAGACAGTCAAGTACAAACAGACAACGCGGCACCAGCATCATCATCCCGAATCGCTCAAGCGTCCTGATCAGCTTGTTATACATGTAAGTTCATCTCCCATCGTATCTTGAGCTCGATGCTGATTCAGTTTCATCAATAACAATGAACTCACGCCCTCGAGTTACGTTTACGCTGATGGATTATCGTATAAGAAATTTAATGACTTGAAAACATGAACAAAAGTCCTTTCTCGTCATATTTTCAGAGCCCAAAATAAGAATAATTATCATGAAATAAGATCCCGGAGCCTTGGGATTATTCATCCAAATTATGTCCTAAAATACAATAAGTTACCTTGATACTGAAGCTATTTCCGATTCGTTTTCGTCAAATTTATATTCAGGACCAGTCGAGCCACGATACAGATTCTGTGAACAGTTTCGACCCTGCAGATGAATTGCTGAGTCTCTGTCGATTAGATAGAAGAACTGTTCACCAAGATGATCTTTGCGACGATGTCTTCCTGGCAACTCCCAGCAACTGGAAAAGTCTGCCCTCCTTCTCCGACGCCTCTTGCCCAAACTCCCAACTCCAGCACTCTTCTAGCGCGCGCAGCCGATCCTCCTCCTCTTCTTCAACAAAACGATCGAGCAAAATGCAGCGCCACGAAATTTCGCCGCCTCATGAAAACAACAAGGAAAACACTCACACACTGCTGCTTACTACTGACGACTCCCTGAAGCGACTCCTGTCTACCTGGGCCGATGAGCATATTCGACAATTTCAGGATGAAATTGACGATACAACGATTTGCGATAATGACTTATTTCTTTCAGGTGAGAAAATTTTTAGGAGAGGGCTTATTATGGCAGTCCAAACCAAGATCCCCTGTCTTTCAAGGAACTGACAACAACCTTACCATAAATTTTCAGACGAGGAAATCCAGCTGTACAGAAAAACGCACTGCGGACGCTTGGCAGGATCCAACGCACCGCTCAGCTCAAGCTCAGCTCCCAACTACATCGTGTCCTGAATGAAGATTATTCTAATTTTTCGCAAAACAATCGAAAGATGAAGAAGAAAAAACATCATCGTATTTCACCTAAAAGCCCCTATTTTCCTGTTTTGAACTATTTTTTCTTCTTCTTCTCTTTCCTCTCCTGTTCCCACAAATTTCACCAGTCGAAAATTGCGAAACGCTACAATTTCGGCAACACTCTCAGATCCAGTTTAAAATTCCCAGTTCTACAAGCAACCATTTTAGCGACAAAAATAAAAAAAAATACACAAAGACTGACTCAAGTTTTATTATTTTATTATTACTATTATTATACAATATTGAAACACAATCTTCACGTGATCAAAAAAAAAACAAACAGAAATGTGTATCCCGTAAATCTATTTTGCTGCTCTCTCCTCTCGACAAACCTGCTTCATTGAAACTCGGAAGAAATTCTCTTTGAGCCTGTTATTGGAAATTCATCGTGAAATCAAGGAAGACAATCTTTACACTACGCTTATATGATTTTTTGCAATCTCAACTCGTTATACCATTTTTATCTTCCATTTTGTCCTCTTGAATCCCAAATAACAAGTTTGATGATGATTTTTCCTTGAAATCTTTATGAAAAATGAGCAGTACACCCTTTTATCTTCCGATGAAGTAAATAAATTTATTTTCTCGTTGACTTTCTGTCTGATTATAATCAATTTATTTCCAGCAGTTTTCAATCAATCGTAAACAGTCGCAAATAACGGAATGAGATTTAGTACAGGCAGGTTTTTAATAAACAAAACTAATCAAACTAACTCTGTATCATGATAATTGATAAATAGCTTATTTTAAATAGCTTGTAACAACACTGAATGATAAGGGCCTGATATCATATGCATGATGATCCGCTGTTGCAGTTATCTTGCTGTTCTGGCGCGCGTCCAGAACTGGCATCGACCCAAGATTTCGGCGGATTCGGTGGTCGCGCTGGTGCTGCTTTTTCGCGCAGCATGCTCAACTTGCGCGGCGACGATCGTCTGGGCATTCTTTTTGGCGGCTGATCTTCCGGCAATTCTTGAATTGTGACTGATGAGCGTTTCTCGGAAGCAGCGGCCTTTGCGTAGAGGGCCATTGAAAGTCCTGAAATTTGTGTCTTTCTAAGAATTCAATTAGCCAGAGTTACCTCCTATCACACCACCGCGGACGTATTTACCAGACTTCGCCATTCGAGGAAGTCTTCCTTTTGCATATTTCGACGGCGATGCAGAGTATGGCGCCACTAATTGTCGTGCAGGGCCGGCTTCCAGATCGTCGTCTACCGATATTTCTCCTGGGGATCTATGCTTTCCTGATTTGTGAAACGGACACCATAATCGTAGCTTTCTCAGCCAAAACTTTGTCACCCATAGAATCAGCACCACAGTTACTGTAATAAATATGCCGCCTAAACTCAGCTAAAAAGATGTCTGCTAAATCAACGCTTACTGTTGCCGATTCCGACCACCCTCTCCATCGATGGAGACAAAATCGTCGCCGCATCTTAAATTTCTCTTGTTTTCTCATGGTTATTGCAGTAAGTAGTACCTGACGGAAGAAACTGTTTTAAAATTGTTTGACTTAGCCAGAGCATTATCTCGTGAGCTTGTGATTGATGGGGAGCGAGCTTGCCGTCAACACCTCTAGGTTCAGGGTCAGCTCCGGTTTTGACCTCGAAATTAACACCCGCAAGTTATCACTTCCACTTTTGTACATGCCTTTTTATTGCATCACTTTTAAACTAGTTGCTGTCAAATCTCATTTTCTTCCTCCTGCTCAGATTTGTTTGTGAAGGTCCTTGATAAGAATTTATATTTTTATCAGGCCTCTCGATATTTATATTCATTCTTCGCCGACTTCTTGAGCTTTAGTAAACTGCCCGATTCGTTACGCTTCAGTTCGTAAGAATGACTTCCTGTCTGTGAAATTTTCTTGCGGTCAGTCTCACTTTATTTTGTTGACCTAACATTTTCAAAGTCTACTAAATTTTTTTCTTCCAAAAGTTTTCAATGTCAAGTTTAACTCCCCATAAAACCAATAAACTTCTCCAATTAATCGTCATCGTAATCATAAATCGGCCTTTTACAACACACACACTTAAAAAATTTCGCTGCCGGATGATCCTGGTCCTGAGATTTGCCCCCGAGTGGAAACTGGAATAAGATAGAAATTCTATTGCGACTTGGAGCGCTGCCAAGCTCAAGTTTGGCGGCGCGCCAACACCGGCGTCGCGCATCAGATGATTTGGCGGTGGGCCAGCTACGCTCCGGATTTTCTACCGCTTTATATATGCTTTTCTGACAGATACGGAAAATATACAGAATGGGATTTGAAGAAATAAAGCATCGTTGGTGGCCCAAATCTCACATTCTTGAGGTGCGTCAACCGCAAGAGAGGAATTTATGCCTCAAGTCAAGAATCAACATCAAGTCATAACTGATTCCACGGAAAACAAGCAGCATCGTCGATAATAGCGCGAGACCGTCTCTGAGCAACGGTACATGTAAGATGTCGGTAAGTTTATGCTTACGCATACATTTACCTTTGCCCAGAAATGGAATTTCTCGGCCAAGAAAGTAAGTGAATTTCAAGTCCCTCTCTCTTTTTCTATCTCTATTTCTGTGGATTTCTTCTTGGGGTGTGCTGTCTACGAGCGCGTCACGGGATCACTGTGTGTCCCCGTCTCGTGGTGTGGGTGGAGCGCGGTCTTTACTCTAGGGAAATAGCGAATTACTCACTCTACTACGATTGACATGGGGAAAACGACAAAAGTCCCCGTTTTGCACAATGTCAGGAGTGCGACTCGACTCTACTACTACTACGACTATCTGGCGAGCGCTTCGAACATCGGGCAGCAGCGCCACAACGCGGCGTGGCCGCAGTATGGCTACCGCGAGGCCTGGCATGGCGCCAAACTTAGAAATAAGACCAACACCTTTGGGAAGAGCTTAGGAAGGAGTTGGAGTCGTCAAGATTGTATTGGATTCACTTTATCTTCACTAACAGAAGTTGTTTTCAACGATGAACTATCTTGAATCTGGTGGAATGCCAGAAGAAAAGTCATGATCTCAAAGCCGTCAGCTTCTTTTTTTCATACTCAAGGCTGTTTAGCCTTTGTAATAGCCGCACGCGGCTTTTGGCTGCTTAGAATCTGCTTAGAGAGAGAGAAAGAGCTAAAATCATGGACTCTAGTCCTCATCAAGGTCGAATTTCCCAGAACTGCTAAGCCTTGTCAAACTTTTCTAATCTCTTTTTGACATGGTCAATCTTTGATATCCTTCCCTAAACAAGCCGTTGCTCTTTTTGGACGTTTTTATTGCAATTCCATCATTTATGCGAATTCTAAATACAGTTTCTTGACGGGAGGATGTCTGGCTTGACGCGAGCTGCCTTTGAAAATGCAAATCTGTATATAAAAAAGCTGGAGACAATATATTCGCGGCCAGTTTTTAACTTATAATAAGAAGTCGAGAAGGCATTAAAATGTCCGGGCAATGGCAAGGGGCCAAGATTGCACGTTTGTCGGTGAACAAACGCTTGCTTATCTTACATGCTTCGTTCTTGCCGCGCGCAATAATATTGCATAAATATCAACTTGACAAGTTCGATCCACGCGCACCAAAATAAAGCAGTGAAGAATAGCGCCAAAAAGCTGCTAAAATCTAAACCTAAATGTATCTTTTTGGTTCGATTATGATTTGGTCTTGCGATTGAAGCATGGAAATATTTCCATAACACCAGTTTGCCCTTTTTTAGTTTTTAAAGAAAACTGTCTAATATTTTCTATCTCAAATCTGATATTTCGTAAACAAGGTTAATTTTAGTGAAAGAACATTTGTGAACCCGCAGGTGAGAAAAAGGAAGCACACCAATTTGAGTTGGAGCGAGTAAGTGGGAAGAGTTTCAAAGCGCATCAAATATTTACTAATGGCAATCATAATGAACTTGTGTCCGTTCCCAGAGTCGGTGCTAGACGATTTTGGCAAAGGGGATCGGATCGATGTTGACAAGTTGGAAGGAAGGATACGAATTGATCCCTTCTTTCTGCGCTAGACATTACGTGCGCTTAATTTGAATACTCATTCTTACATCCTTTTCAAAGCATCAGGCAGAGGGACATACAAGGGTAGAAAAGCCGCGCAAAGTGCGTCTTTTTAAATTTTTTCCAGTTTTTCAGCTAACTTCTCGATCTTCTAGGGAGTCATATTCATTATATTTTATAGAATAAATATTTTCTGAAATTTATTTTTCTGCCAGTTTGTTGAAAATATATTTTTTTTCTTGGGAACCTTTAAAAAAATTACCGCTCCAAAAAGCTCGATCGTAAAACGGTCCATCTATAGTGGCGTTAAAAACGTGTTGTTTGGCAAATCACAATCGATTCAACTTTCTTTCATCTCGCAAAATTCCTTCTTTTTTTTCAGAGTTCAGTGGCGATTTTTTACGTTGTAAAAATTTTTACGCTCGGGCTGGCCTAGAGCAAATTTCGCCTGGCCGGGCAAAAATGACGCATTTTTGAGAATTCAGAAGATCTGAATTTTGGAATTTGTGAGAGCATTACAGTGAGCCAATAATCCCGGTCGCTAAGAAACCGGCCAGAGATAACTCAACTAAGTGGACTTTCAACGATTTTTGGAGCTTCCTTTTTCATCACCTCTCTTTTTTCTTTCTTATTTGCTTTCTTTTCTTGTCTGTCTATTTGATCATTTTGTTCTTTTTAGAGAAATAATACTGTAAATTCGAGCGAGAGAAATATCAGAAATGGCGACTAGACCAAAGGGATACGGACTGACACGCGAATTGGCGGACAAAATTAATGCCAAGGTAATTTTTTAAATCGTTATTTGCGGATCGTTTACTACCGTAATAACTCCGGTAGACTCTCCGCGTGCTAATAAAAGTACCCATAATTTTGCTTAACAGTTTCATAAATCCATATAGGAAATAATTTCTGCCAACAAAACAGCCGCGCGCGGCTTTTATTATCAAGATTTTGATTCAACAACGAAATTTCCGTAAACGAAAAAACATTTTTAAACGGTCTGTAGTACTCGATAGAAGACGAGCAAGAGATCATCGCCTGGCTATGCGACATCACAAACGTCGATGGCCCAAACGAAGAAGGCCCTGAAGCTTTCCGACAATGGCTCTCCGATGGAACAATTTTATGCGCTCTAATGGACGTCCTTCAGCCGGGAATATGTAAACGCCCGCATGACGTCAGCAAAATTAAATTACAGGTACTTCACTTAAGATATATTTTTGAATTACATTTTTACGCTATTTTTAGGCGCTGAGAGGACACAAAGCAAATGAAAATATTTCATTCTTTCTTCAAGCAGCGCAGAACTACGGTGTGCCGAGCAGCAACTTGTTTCAAACTGTCGATTTGACCGATGGTCAGAATATGGCACAGGTCCAGACAGGACTGTATAATGTAAGTTTTCCCATTCGAACTCGAATAGAAACTGTACTTCTTTAAGATTGGATCGATGGCCCAGAAAAAGAAATTCGAAGGCCCGGTTATTGGAGCAAAAATGGCCGACGAAAACCGTCGAGATTTTTCAGAAGCGACCCTTCAAGCGGGCAAAAACATCATCAGTCTTCAGGTGAGCCTTCAATGCGGTAACGAGCGCGTTCTGGAGCGCTTCCAATTTATTTTTCCATCAATCTTTATTAATCAAACGGGCTAATTGGGCGTGATCTGAAGTGAGAAGACGTAAAATACGAATTATTCTTGTTGTAAGATAACTTTTTAGATGGGCACTAATCAAGTGGCCTCCCAAAAAGGGATGACTCCTTATGGCCTCGGACGCCAGATGATCACAAAAGAAACCGGCTAGAATTTACCATCTCTTCAAGAAAGAAAACTTCCACCCTACATCTCCTCATATCAGAATCCTTTAGTAATACTAAACTCATCGCTCAAAATCTTTAATTGACTGTTTAAAAGTTCACGTAAAGTTGCAATACCAATAAATTCAAAACGATGTCAATTTTATTTAAATCATTAAAAAGATCCTCTTCGTTGATTTCGCTCCATTTCTTCGAGTTTTTGTTTTTCAAAAGCAGCTTGCCAGGCTTTCATCAGTTCGTCTTCAATGGGATTCTCTTCTATGATTTCTTCTAAGTGATTTTTGCGGAAATGGTCGATGATTTTTCGCTGGAGACTTGTTCGGCGGGGAAAGATTATTTGTTTCTGCTTTTTGTACCTTGCAAGCGAAATTATGAGTTATTGAAATCTGAAACTTACATTTTATTTCTCGTTATTTTGAATTAATAAAGTTTTCTCTGAAGAGCGAGTTAAAAATGCACTGTTTACGAACCCCTTGGCAAATAATGGTCAAGTTTAGCAGCAGTTTTATAATGTTACGAGCTCAGACTTGCAGCTACGAATCTGCTGAGCTCACATCGCCTTGCGTAATCTCAATAATTATGATTGTTTCTTGAGAGAAACAAATGCTCGTCTCTTTATTTTATTGATATCATTTGACTGCACGGCAGCGTTTTCTCTAATAACGACAGTAATAAGCAGATGTTTCAAGAAGAATTGGGTATTTGTACCATCCAGAATGATACCCGATGATCTGTGTTTGCAAGAAGTCCTCTCCAGCAGTAAAATCGATCCGTTGAATTGCATGCTCGTTTTCAGTCTTCGGCCCTCCTGGAAAAACGTAGATAGAATTGCCCGTAAAAATTGCAGACCCGAGACCGTGTGCCTTAAAATGGATGAACAAATTAAAATGACCAGTTTTTACAGTTTGTAAATCACCAAGTTTCGTCCACCTATTGTCTTTTAGTTGCCATATTCGGGAAAAATATCCAACTGCATTATATCCACCAACAAGGATCATTCCACCATTTTTCAAGCCAATTAGGTTATGGCTAGCGTAATTTCTAAAAACTATGATCTGCAAAAGAAGGATTCAAATTTACTCTGGAAAATCAGGAAGAGTCGTCCATCCGGAAGCTGTAAGAGTCTCTGTTTTCTTATTGTTCGTACTTTGGCAGCCGACTGATGTTGGCTGTCCTTTGTAATAGCCGAGGCCTCCAAGATCATGCGTAAAAGTGGAATTCAGGGTGCGTCGAGAAGTACGCCCATCAAAAATCTCGCACTCATTGGAATTTTCGCTAAAGCATATCAGAGCTAGAAAAATTAAAGAAGGGTTAAATTGATTTACATACCTTGAGATCCTTCAGTAATGGACAGTGCCTCAGCTCGTTCATCGCGATTATAGATTAATTTTTCTGCGATTTCAATAACGCTGCATTCGAAGAGAATCGCGATCTAAGTAATATTTATTGAAATTTATTTGTTTTAAAGTAACCTTTGTTCCGGTTCCAAAAAGATAAAGCTTTTCTTTTATGATCGCGTGTTTTGCGAACATGACTTGGCCTCGCTTTTGTTCTTCTATCTCTGCGGAAATTTTCGATGATCCATCTCCAGACATAACATAGCTTTGACTGACATCGTGGAGAATGGATAGTATAGAGACGTCGCCCTAAAAATATCCACGTTCTCGGTTTTTAAGGAGTGCAAACCGGTTCCTTTTGAGTCTGATCTTCTACGCAAGGGCACGATGACACATTCTCTCGGAAAGATTCGTAGCAAGAATCATAGTTTCCCAAAAATGGTGAAGATGACTTCAAACACAGGTCCTTTTCTTACTTGGTTATTTATTTAAAAATATATAGGAATACCATTTGGTCGATTTTTTCGTTCAAACATACAGTTTTTTATGGAATTTCTGGACATCAAATTTCTGGACATTTTTCGAATTTTAAGGGGTTTAATTGGGACACTTTTAAAAACCAAAAGTATCAAATTTCTGGACATTTTTTCTCAAAAAAGATTTTCGACTCCGAAATTTATAGTCAAATTTGAGTTATGAAAGGTTATTCTATTTACGAAGAAGACTTTTTCTTGTAGAATCTTAGTATTTTAAGCAAAATTCGCTGCTTCATCGCACTTTATTATTGTTTTAATCAATTTTTTCAAAAAAAAAACGTTTTTTTTTCCTCCGTGAAAAATTTTAAGCAATTGTGGTGGGACATTTTTTTCAAGGTTATGTATCAAATTTCTGGACATTTTTGTGAAAAGTGTGCGACAAAAAATGTCCAGAAATTCCATAATTAACTGTAATTGGTACTCGTCATTATTAAGTTCAGCATCTTCACAAAAAGGCAAACAAAGAGGGTGGTCACAATCCTCGCATCCAGAGGGACAGTTATATCCACAAGGGCAAAAAGAGTCGCAGTCTATGAATTTGGTAAATGACATCTGATCATTAGAATCTTAACCTTGGAAGTCGAGCAAGCATTCGCTATTGCAGAAGGATGTATCGCAGTCCGACAAGCAATCGATGTAAATTAGTCGACATTCAGTCAGACAAGTGTCATGAAGTTCTTGGTCTCTAAAATTTTGACTCAGTCCTTTTCAGCCATTATTAAACTTACTCGCATTCGATCTCCCTCCTTAATTGAGCAGCGATAACAGCTAATAAAAACAGAAACAAACTCGGGAACATCTCTCAATTCGCAGAATGGAACATGGAGAAGTATAGTTTAGTCGATGAGAAAAGTCCAAATGCTTGATGCAAGTCTAACCCTTAGTTACAAAAAATGCACTTTGGAAAAATTGAACTTTCATTTGCGCATATTTAAACCGCTAAAACTACGTTGTAAAGGTTTAACAAGTTTATTAGCTGGCAGCTCAGAGTGATTTATAGGTTCACATATAAGTTATATGATATAATAAAATGGATCATTTAACACTTTTTTTTCTGCTGATTATCGATGACACGATTATGCGGAGAATAGTTCTGAGAGCGGTTGGATCGTCAAGCTGTCCGATTGTGATAGAGCGCATTATTATGCGTACCAGTCTGATTGAAATAAAAAAAATACGGACTTGACGAGAAGACACGAATTAAAAATATTGTAAAAAAGAAGAAATTAAGAGAGAAATTAAAAAAAGAGAAGCATGTGCTCGCTTAGACAAATGAACACCAACAAGGCGGACAACCGGAATTTTCTCCTAAGAAACGAACTTGAAAGAAATTTATTCGATTCATAAGACAATTTTCGAGTTCATAGAAAGCCTTCAAATCGCAGCTCTTTTACTTTCTTGCGCTTCCTTTGGAATCTTGATCCTGAGCTTGAAATCGATCAACACAACGGTTCATGAAGACGGAAGTCTGCTTGAGCTTGCGAAGGAGGAAGAAATTTCTTGGCGAGTAACAGCTGGAGATGGTATTTTTTCAGTACTGGTATTTTTCAACGGTTAACGATTGTTTGCAGTTCATGTTTTGGAATTAAACATTTTAGTTCTCGTCGTTTATCTGTAGGGTTCGCGCCCAAAAATCAAGTGCTCGAAATACTTATTGTATCTTTCTCAATTTTAGATATATGATAGATAAGGTTAAATATGAAATATCTTCTTTAAAAATTTTTCAAAAATATAGAGGGTTGACGAGAAAACAAGCCCCAAAAATGGCAAAAAATGGGTTGAGCATGTTAGTCAGCCCAAAATTAAAAATTTGAAAAAGGGGATGATCAGTAGAGTTTTCTGACCATTATTTGATAAAAAAATTTTGGGAAGCATCTACGGTTTCCCTAGAATTAACAAAAAACTGCCTTTTTTGGCAATATTTTTCTGTTACGTGATCATGCGCGCGCACGCATAACCGCGCGTGATAGGGGGTGGCCACGCAAAATTCCAATCAATTTCGCCGGAATATTCTAATCCTTCTTTTAAACGCTTTAAATAGATAATTCATAATATAAATAATGATATTATAATGAATTATAGCTAACAATACATAAATTAATTATAAATAGTCATAAATTGAAAATTTTTCTCCATTTTTCTTGGAAAATACGTGAAAATAAGTTTTGCGGAGCATAATTCTAACCCCCATATTTCTTGTACTCATTTAAAAGAACAACTTCTGAGGAGTCGAATTGGCTGTGCAAATCCAGACCAAAGTGATTGAGCTAGAGACACTCTCCGACGACGCAGCTCCTCTCAAACTCGGAACTGTCATTTGAAATGACTCATTTCCTTCGGGCCGTCTCAGCCCCATTCCATGATTTTTAAATTTAAGGGGCTTGACGGCCCTTCGGGCCGTCTCAGCCCCATTCCATGATTTTTAAATTTAAGGGGCTTGACGGCCCTTCGGGCCGTCTCAGCCCCATTCCATGATTTTTAAATTTAAGGGCTTGACGGCCCTTCGGGCCGTCTCAGCCCCCTTCCCTGATTTTTAAATTTAATGGGGCTTGACGGCCCTTCGGGCCGTCTCAGCCCCATTCCATGATTTTTAAATTTAAGGGGCTTGACGGCCCTTCGGGCCGTCTCAGCCCCATTCCATGATTTTTAAATTTAAGGGGCTTGACGGCCCTTCGGGCCGTCTCAGCCCCATTCCATGATTTTTAAATTTAAGGGGCTTGACGGCCCTTCGGGCCGTCTCAGCCCCATTCCATGATTTTTAAATTTAAGGGGCTTGACGGCCCTTCGGGCCGTCTCAGCCCCATTCCATGATTTTTAAATTTAAGGGGCTTGACGGCCCTTCGGGCCGTCTCAGCCCCATTCCATGATTTTTAAATTTAAGGGGCTTGACGGCCCTTCGGGCCGTCTCAGCCCCATTCCATGATTTTTAAATTTAAGGGCTTGACGGCCCTTCGGGCCGTCTCAGCCCCATTCCATGATTTTTAAATTTAAGGGCTTGACGGCCCTTCGGGCCGTCTCAGCCCCATTCCATGATTTTTAAATTTAAGGGGCTTGACGGCCCTTCGGGCCGTCTCAGCCCCATTCCATGATTTTTAAATTTAAGGGCTTGACGGCCCTTCGGGCCGTCTCAGCCCCATTCCATGATTTTTAAATTTAAGGGGCTTGACGGCCCTTCGGGCCGTCTCAGCCCCATTCCATGATTTTTAAATTTAAGGGGCTTGACGGCCCTTCGGGCCGTCTCAGCCCCATTCCATGATTTTTAAATTTAAGGGGCTTGACGGCCCTTCGGGCCGTCTCAGCCCCATTCCATGATTTTTAAATTTAAGGGGCTTGACGGCCCTTCGGGCCGTCTCAGCCCCATTCCATGATTTTTAAATTTAAGGGGCTTGACGAAGGGTTTGAACTCTGAGTTGATCAATCTCAGTTATGTCCCCAACCCCACCCACACCCCTTACTATTTAAATTCAATTTGTCCCATTTTATTTGCAAATTATGGTCTTTACGGCTCATAATGAAATTATTATCTATTTTTTGAAAAATCAAAAAATTACAATTAGTATATGTATAATTTTTTTAATTTTTAATATCAATGGACATTTTATAAATCTTTCTTTGAAAAGAAAGAAGTTCTTTGAAAAGAAAGAAATGCGGATTACGCAGCGTCCACCCTAGCCGCGGAAGAGAAATGCCTGAGGGCGAACGCGGCGCTGTGCGCTGCGAGTAGTTATATCTATGGGTGGGTACCTTGCGATGCAAGTTGTCTGTGATTGGCTAACACCGTTTGGCGCGCAGTTTGAAATTTGTCTACTTTTAGCTCCCTGCAAATCGCCCTCTGGGCATGTTCAGATCAACAAGTGTGTTAATTATGTTAATTGACGTGTATTTTTTGTACAGTACAATAAAATAATTAGTCAGGTGTTTGGGTGCAGTCTTTTCGTTGTTTTCCATAATCGTTTCATATATTCATAATATTCTTTTCGATTTTCATATGTATCTTCTTTGTTTAGAAACCAGACTGGCGGGAATACTCTTTTATCGATTTCAAATAATCGTATCATATCTGAAAATAATTAAAAGAGAAATTCAAAACGTTTAGACCATCTTTATCGAAAAAAAGATCATCATCCTCTGTTGCATTATTCATTCTTCAAGAAGAAAAAAAACAAAAAAAAGTAAAAAGCGTGTTTTCTCTATTTTGTATTTTGTAGACTGATCAAATGCCATTCGGATTTGTTATCGATTTGCCAAAGATAATTATCCCGCCGCGGGCCAAGCCCCACCACCACCACCATTGGTCTGCAATCGCATCGAGACGCTTCTAGAATCACTTGTTTTTGTTTTTCAAATTCGTGGTAATTTTCTCCATTTCCAAGAAAAACAAGCAAATTTTTCTCTAGAACAGCTGCTTACCTCAGGGCAAGAGATGAAAACACGTCAGTTTGCTTTGGAACAGCAAAGAGAAAAGTCGTTTTTCGATTTTTTCTCAATTTCCAGTTCTCGCGCGTCGTCACCTGACTTTGCCCTACCTACCCCCACCTTTCGCCATGGTCGTAAGTACACACAAGTTCACACGCATTTCCGCAATCTAAATACTATAAATTTGTTAAATGAAAAAATTTTTTTATACAAAATGACCGAATATAAATTTGATCAAAATAATCACTCATCTTTAGCAACCTTAATGGAGTTAGGATCAAACACTATAAAACTAAACAAAAATAATATCTTTATAAACTTAAAAAACTTAAAAATCTGAAACTTAATATAAATCATCATTCTTAAATTTAGTTCGTCAAACTCTAACACCATAATCATTAAAAAACACAAATTTTCATAAACTTTTTCAACTTAAATTAAAATGAAACTTAAATTAAATGGTTATCATCCGCTAATTTTTTACGCCAAACAAGTAAATAAAAAATAATTTAGCGAGCCAGCACCTCTGCTAAAACCAGAGCTTCGAAGAACAAGGTTCGACAAAGCATTGGTTTGGCGCAAGCTAACCTAGCGAATGCCGTCGAACTTCTCGACACCCCAACCGTCTCTTCGGCCACCATCCACGAGGATCCCACCACCACCACCGCCGATATGGAAACGGAGAGCGTGGAAACTGGTCGCGCCGGTGGCAACCGCGATCGGGAACAGGCTCCTCTCCGGGCTTTTGCCCAAAAATCCAAGCAGAAATTGGGAAAACTTCTCCAATCTTCTGTGGGGTCTCGACGTAAGTTTATATTTTGATCTTTGTAATTTGATTATTAAATATTTTTTAAGGACCCGAAACAGTTGTTCTCCCTGGTGAGCAGCCTCTCGACCAGGAAGCTCTCCCACGCGAACCCTCCTGGCAAGCAATCTACGACGCTCTTGCGTCAAATTTGGATGCCGCTGGCCGAGACCTGTTGAAGACCGAACTTCTTCGATTGGAGGAGTCCTATGAACGGGCTTTCCACCATTTGTGGAGTGATCTCCGTTCTGGCGCATCCCGAGTCGTCATCACCACGCGGTCAGGTCGATCTTTCGCCGTCGATGGCCCCGGCATGAACAACCGTCAGTAAACCACCACCACCATCACCTCTACGCTCCAAGTGAGCAGATACAAGACCACCACCACCACCACCGATTCAAGCGCGCGCAAAAACTTTTTATCTGTTCCAAAGTTGAGCTGTAATAAAAACAATTATTTTTCTAGAAAAAAATGGTGTTTTTTTGTTGATGTTTGTGCGGTTGTTATGTAGTTTGTAGATCTTTCACCAAAGAAGGGTACTCATTTTGTAGTTTAATTTGATCAGTTTGACCGAGTTGTTTAAAAATTTAGCGTCGCATTTGTGTCTGTTATTTATGGCTTGTGAATAAAAAAAATTTTTTGATTGTGAGGAATTGATAGCTGATATATGTTCGTATGTTCATGTCGAGATTCGAACTCGAGCAACTCTCTTTGTAGTTTAACACTCTCACCCTTTAGCCAAGAAAGGGGCGATGGTTGTTTACAAAATTTTCATTTTATGTCAATATTGTGTTCTAGAGAGATTGTTGCTTGTTATTGTCTTTGGCGAGCGGAAGTGCCGATTTTTAGTAGCTGTTAATTGTATATTGCGATCAGTGGTCAGATCATATGGCAGCGGCGGCGGTGAAGCAGTAATTATGCACTTATTCGATCGGCGATTAGAAAACATGACAAAGATCAAAACAAACTTTTTTTTTGAAAAGGAAAAAACTCTAGCGCCGGGGCCTATAAATACAGAGCGCTTTCTATCATATTCATATCATACAACCAATCGTCAAAACAAACAAACAAACCAACGACAGAACAACGACAAAAATTTTCAATCATGATTGTCAAGATTGAAAAAATTCAGCCAGAGAAAAAGTCTTTTACTAAAAGAATTGTCAAATTTTTCAAAAAAGCAAATCCAATCGTGACTACTCTTCGATATCCAGTTAGTGAGATTGAAGAATGCTTTTGCGATGCGGAAGAAATCAAACCTGTTGGAGCAATTACAGCTGCTTCCGTTGCATCTGTAAAACGCATCTCAAAAGAGGAACCCATTTGCTTACCGTCAACTTACGATGAGGAGACTTTGAAATATGCCACCATTCGTCGGAGCTACTCTGTTCGATTCAAGTATACTCAATTGCGATTGCTCTAAACACCATAATGCGCGACTTGCCTCGATCATTCTTTATTTTATTTGATTCTTTGCCAATTTGATAAAATAATATTCAATCTTTTTTTGACCAAACTTGAAAAACGACATATTCCCAATTCATTCTATCAATGAAATAAACAAAAATAAAAACAACGAGTTATTTACATGCCCAATTTTATTTGTGTGTGTGTGTGTGTGTGTGTGTGTTTTCCAAATCAGTCATTATACCCGAAAATCCATAACCAAGGTCCAAGACCTGGTATTTCACCAAAGTAATTTGTAAGTACAGTAGCTTGATCCATGTTTATGGTATCTCGATTGAATATAACGTACGAGTAGGCAGGAATTCTTCTTTCTTTAAAGAGTTTCATTGCTGAATTGTAGGCGTCCACTTCTCCTGTTTTCGTTGCAATTGTTTTATTCATACCAGTGTCGGTATTATTTTTGAATAAAACATATGCAGTCATACAGTTTCTAAATATAAGGTTTAATAAAATTGCAAACATGTAAACAACGTACCTGAGAGTGATCGCCTTTCGACTCTTTTCGTAAAAGTTTTGAGCGATAAAGATGAGCGAGACATTGAAGTGCCTACGACCATATGTTAAAAGATATTCAATGACTGGATCTTCTACGCATTTAGACCACATATCATCAACAATTATCATACAATTTTTATTTTCACTTTTAAATGTATCATCAACCCAGTTTTTAGAAGGCAAACCTTCCATCAGGTATAATTGTTGATGAGCCAATGGTTGAATATCCAAGTTTTCTAATCTAGGCATAAAATAATAAATATGTTTAATGTCTCCTACTATCCCCTCTTTCTCAATAATATTTTTTACAAAATAACTTTTACCTGCACCAGTGGTTCCCGATATAAGAAGCGCGCTAGGATGTTGAAAGCGCGGATCGGGCACCCATTTGATTATATGCTGGGGCATTTCAATCCACAGATGACGAATCGCCCGTCGATCTGAGATTCAGGATCGGTGATGTATTTGCCTTTGTACTCTTCGGCTTGAGGCTGGTACTCGTAGATTGAGACGATAAGAGTGTTTTCTCTTCGAAGAGCTTCTGGCACTTCTTTTTTGAACCAGTTGCGTGTTTTCGGACAGTCAAGATTGAAATTATTCTCAATTAGCGCAAAGGTAGCCGTCTTGTTAAGCTCCAATTTTTCAATGCCGAACTTTTCTTCTCCTTCAGCGTCAACAAGTTCCGCAATGCTTGCCTTGATGTAATATTGCTCCTTTGTTTTGATGACGTGATGGTTGAAGTTTGATTTCAAAATTCTAGCTCGTTTTGACTTGGCGCTGATTTGTTGAAGTTGATCAAAATTAAGATGTTGAAACATTTTTGAGTTGTGATAGAATGGTGCAAGAGCAAGAGTATTTATACTCACTTATTTATAAAATCCGCATGGTGGCGTGATTGTCGTCTTAGCACCATTTTTATAATTATATAATATAATTTTTGTTTGTATTTATTCATTTATAATTATTCTTCTGAAGAAGAAGCCGCAAACAGTAAAAACTGCAATTTGACCCAAGGTAAGTCGTAAATTTAATTTATTTTGCTATTTTTTTAAATCAGGATGAATAACGCACTGGTAAACGGTGGTTGTTTCGTTCGATTATCAATTTTGGATAATATTGCTTCATTTTGGGAACTGAATCCAAAGACAAATCGAATTCGTGTTATTGCACCAAAGACCAAAGCAGAACCATATCCCGATTATGAGACCGACGAGGACGCGAGCGCCCGCACTATCGCCGGTGTATGCAACAGAGAAATTCCTTACGGAAGTGATCGAGCAACGAGAAAAAGCAGAAAAAGAAGCTTATCGGAAAGCGAAAGCGAAGGAGAAAGCGATGGAGAAAGCGAAGCAGAAATTGACCAATTCTCAAACTCGGAAGACGAGGAAGAATTCAAAATCAAAAAACTCGAGCAAGAGGCAAAAACTCGACGACAAAAACTCCAAGCGCGATCTAAGCGTAGTAAGCTTTCAAGAAAGCCCGTTACTCGAGCAACAAGCGCCCGAAGAGATGCGCGACGCGTCAAAATTCGTAAACGACGGGGAGCCGACGCCGATTCAGCAAGTCCAGTTGTCAAATCAAAGCGATCTGGCCGTGTGGAAAGATCAAATTTCGCGGAACCTGAACCAGTTACGAAAAATCCCCGTAAACCACTCCTTCGCCCAAGTCGCCTCAAAGAGTATCCTATCACCAGCAATGATTACCGAAAATGGAGGAGTGCAATTTCTAACGCAAGTAATCGGAACTCGAAACGAAAAAGGGCAATTGAGTTTTCCGATTCAATTGCAAGTGACGAAGACATCTCCGAGGCGGAATCTATTGCCAATAGCGTCAAATCGAATTCAAGAGTTGCCCGAATCAACGGAAGACGCCGCATCAGAGAGCAAACGCCATTTTACAACAACGCTTATGACGACGCCGACGTCGACCCTAACGAAGACGGCGGGTACGAGAGTGAACGCATTTCAAAGCGATCAAAGCGAAAGAGAACCGCTGGACGTGTCACTACCGTTCGAGACGCAAAATCGCGAAAACTCGCTAATAAACCCAAATCGTCTAGTAAGAACACCGTCTCTCCAACTTCAAGCGCAATCAAAAAATCCCACTATTATGACCCAGACGGGATTGAATCTCGATCAGATGAGGAGTCCGATGACGATCGACTCTACATTGACGAGAATGAATCAATCGGCGGCGACGGAGGCCCCAGCGGCGGAAGAGGAAGTGGGGGAGCAGACATCGACAACTTCTGGGGTTAACAGCGCAACTTTTGAGGCGCCGCTTTTTTCTCAACGTTCAAGTCCAGCCCTTGATTTGTTTTATAATAGTAAAAACCCTTCTTTTTATAGTGGTATGAATTTGGCTCGCTTTAAACGTATGAATAATGCTATATCTTTACATAAACCATTTAAATCAAATTTCGAGCGTAATCCAATTATCGCTACTGGTTTGTTTACATGTTTGTTTTCCGACACTATTGCAGCGTTCAAAAATTATGCCCATTTAAACAATGGCTACAAATATATTCTCACTGTTATTGATGGTCTTTCGCGTAAAAGTTTTGTTGCTCCTTTAGTATCTCTTAAATCTGCTGAAATTGCCAAAGAATTGGAATCAATTTTTGTTAAAATAGGCGAAGATCTTCCTGGACACACTTTTTTGTTCTGATCAAGGCGTTGAATTTGAAAAAGATACTTATGATTTGCTTGCCCGTTGGTCGATGACACCTGTTCATCTTCAGGGTAGGCACAAGGCGGCTCTTGTCGAGCGATTCAAGTGAGTATTTTATAAGTGATTTTTACTCTAACAAAAAATTTTAGCGGAACGTTGGAAGCTCGCTTGGGTCGTTATTTTACTGCTTCTGGTGGCGTTCAACGCTGGATCCACATACTTCAAGAAGTCAACACAGCTATTAATAATTCTGTGCATTCGACTATTGGAGTTGCTCCTTCTGTTATAACGCGTAAAAATGCCCGTGTTTTATTTGATTATCTTGAACAAAAAAGATCTCTTTATAATAAAAAGCGAAAATCGCTTGTAGGATTAGGCGACGTTGTAAGAATAGCAAGATCCGCTAATTCTAAAAAGAATTTTGTCAAAGGTTTTAAAGAGAAATGGTCAAGAGATTTGTTTCAAGTTACTCAAATACATCAGGGAGCAAGAGTTCCCACATTTTCGTTGGTGAATTCATTCGGTCATCCTCAATCTAGGCGATATTATGAAAATGAATTGAATGTTGTTATTCCTATTTCTGAGATGAAATAAAGAACAATATTTTGAAAATTAATTGTTTTTTATTAAGATTGTTAAAGTGTATTCAAATGGCTCGAATTTCGAGGTTTCCACGAGTTTATTCAGTGGGACCTCTTGTGAGAAAAAGACGTTCAAGTCGCCGGAGCACAACAAAACGAAAAAAGTCGACAAGAAAGACTTCAAAGCGGAGACAACAACAACAACGACGACGTCGGCGCCGAGCGTACTCTCGGAGACGACGATGATGAAGGTCTGGCTATGCGGTTCTTACATATTTTAAAGAAAATTTTTAGTGCTCTCCTGGATTTATCGATGGATTCTACAAAAACTACAAATACGCGTCCCTGATTTTTTGCTTTGTTATCCAATTGACTATAATAAGTTTGATTTTATATTCTCTTTTAAAGATAAGAGAAAAATTTTCATTCAACTCTTTTTTTAATTCTCTTAAATAAACTCTCTTTTTAGCAATCACAGTTTATCCACAACAACAACAACAACAACAACAACAACAACAACACCAACAACAACAACGACAAATTAAAGCGAGCAATAAGCAGCAACAGCAAGTATTTTTTATTCAATCAAAACTTGTCAATTTAGAGAGAAAAAACGATGCCCGAGTCAACAAGCGATTATGGAAATCTTTTATTTTATAAAGATTCAAAACGTCCGATGGATCCATTTAATGGGTTAAAAGTGGTCAGGCGTTTGGGAGTTAAAGATTTACCCTTTACATGGCGATTTGAAACTCCAAAAGACAAACTTCCCATCAAGTTGGACAAAATGCAATTTGAATTTGATATTGAAATACCATCGAATTGCGTTCCTGATAATGAGATTGGATCAAAGATATTTTCAAAAATGGATATTAACATTATGGACAGTACGATATTTTCTTCCTACACAGAGGGTTTGGAGTATACTTTTTTTAATCATTTTATAAAAAAGTTAAACTACTCACCTTCAGCACAAGAGATTGAGCTTTTTCCCGAAGGTCATTTTGATTCTTACGATTTGGATGCCGCTGATTTGAATTATTATAGATTGAAGAGTAATAATTTGACAGCTCTTGAGAATCGAGTTTTACATGCAACGCCTATATGGCGAGAAGAAGACGTTGAATCGGCGCGATATATTAAAATTGGGCAAGACCAACGGGAAGTCAAATATGAGTTTAAAAATCATATTTATAAGATTAAAACACCAATTTCTCATGGATTGGCTCGCCAAGCTCGAGTCTTACCTCCTGCTTCTCGCCTCTGGTTTAATACCATTCTTGCTCCAACAAAAAATTATATCATGAGGCATAGTGATTATATCGAGTGTCGATCAGAGGATACGGAATTTTTCTCAGATGAGCTAAAATATCCTTTTAATGAAGATTCTGGAGTCGAGTTTGAGACTAAAACGCTCATTCATGATTCTAAGAATAAGTGCGATTGTGCAATTCCAAAGAAACCTCAAGATCCTGACGATTATAAAGATAAGATAACAAGTGGCGAGTATGATGTCTCAACACTTGAACAGATGCTAAATGTCAATGAAGTACCTGCAACCGATAAAACATCTATTTGTAAGGAGGCGACTTTTAAAGCGCATAAAATCACTAAGAAAGTTCCAAAAATTCGAGTCAAGAAGATTAACGACAAAAGTTATGCTTGCTTTTGGCTACAAAGAGATTTGATTCCAACAGCACAGTCTGCTCGTATAGAAAGTCATGAGCCAAATCTTCATAATTTTTGGCTCAAGAGTGTTTTTTGCAAAGCGAGAGAATGCGAAAAACCAATTAAAGTTGGTAACAGTGATAAAATGCTCAAGATTCCGTTTTTTTATCCTAGATTAAAAATTCACGTGTTGTCAAAGGGCCTCTCCACTTATGAGGTAGAGTTGAGCTCTGGACCGGTGCCTTATATGATCGTTTTGACTGGTATGTCTAATAAGAAGCGTCAAAGACCGGATTATCAACGATGCATAACAAAGACGACAATGCATGAGGAGGGTTTTAAAATAAAGGAATTTGAGGTTTTGGTCGACAATTACAATGCTTTTTTGACACCTTGGACTGATCCGCTGGAGCACTATCAAAATTTCTTGATGCACAATGGACGATATGAAAACAAATCGATTGGAGGAGGATTGGATTTTTTTCAATTTCAGAATCAATCTTGGATGGTTCCTTTGCTATTTGACGATCGACAAGGGGAGAATTCTACAATTACTGCAAGAATAACGTTTGAGAAAATTCTCGAAGAAAATTGGGATGTTCTTGTGATGAAGATACCAATCGACGCTATTATGCTTGATGGAAATCGAAAAGGTTTGTTTTGTTTTTGTTACAAAAGTTGATTATTTTTAGAGGCGACAATTTTATCGACAATGGCTGACAGAAGCAAAATGAATTCGAGGAAAAGAAAAGCCGGCTCTTAATTATGTTCGTGACTATTATTATGGGGCGCTGTTGAGCTATAAAGAAGAAACAGCGCCGTGATGTGTTTGGTGAAATAAAAAATATTTTCAAGTATAAAAACAAGTGTTTTTTTGTGTTTGAAGTTCAAGATTATGAAAAGGTTTCTTCCAAAGAAACATCCTGGCGGTTTAGACAATGCCGCTAAGAAGAGACGCAGACGTTTTTTAACAAAGAGTAAAAACATTCAAATATTATCTGAGGAGCGATTCTCAAATGCTGGCGATAATCAGCCTACAACATCAGCTGAGCCTCATCGTCAACGTCATTCCAGCAGTAGCAGCAGCAGCAGCAGCAGCGAGATGTATGCTCCAGTTGGTGATTTGGAAAATTATTCAAATTTCTATGCCGCTGTTTTAATGGGTATTAAATGGTGGAATTTTTACAAGAGATCATACCCATGTGTACCGAAAAAAATAACGAGAGCTCTCCGCGAGGAATTATCATGTGTAGATCCGGCTGAATTAATTGAAAAATTTGGCAAATTTCCAACTAGAGCAACAATATCTCAAGTGGAGAGATATTTAAACGTTGATATTTATGTGCTGTATGGTGGAAAATTTGCACCGCTTGGTGTCTCTTATCGCGCGCAAAGGGATGAGTTTTTACACGCAGTTCCAAATATTGGTGAATTATTCGAAGGTGCCAATAAAAGTAATAATGAAGATCGCCCGCGTGTTGTTTTACAGTCTGCTCGACCATTTTTTCACCGTCTTGGTGTTTTTCATGTTTTGCCTAATCGAGAATCTGCAGAGCGATGTGATTCTGAGTGGATTTCAATTTGGAGAGCAATCGCAAAGACAAAATGGCCAAATCTTGGAGGAAATCGTCTTGATGAGAAAGCAACCTTTGTTAAAAAAACAATTATCGGTGAAAAATCTTTCAATGTTTTTACGATTGGCGACGATGTTTTTAAGCGAATCCGAACTCGATTTGGAATAAATATTGCTCTTTTCGTTGGAAAAATTGTGAATGACAATGTTAATCTCAAAACTTGTGTATACAAGATAATTGGAAGCTCTCAGATGACAGAATTAAATTTATTGGTGGCTTCATATAAAGAAGATGAATTTGAAAAAGAATTTAAAAAATTGACGTCGGTATCTTATCGCCGATTTCAAAAGAATCCTGGTCTTTTGGCTCTTTTCTCAGAAGACTTGGATTTTAATCGAAGAAGAGCCAAATGCGTTAACATGAGTGATAATAAAATGAATAGAATTCGTAATTGGTGTAATACCGCTGGTCATCGATATCATTGTGCTGCAAATAGCGATGATGATGATGATGAGCAAACAACGCCGCTTCCTACCGCCACCGCCGCCGCCGATGATGACGATGACGATATTGTTGATTTTGATAATTTGACAAACAATGCCGATTCTGAAAGATCATTTATAAATAATCCTTTTTTAAATGCAGAATGCGATCATGAAGATGCGCTTTCAACATTGCCCTCGCCGCCGTCGTCGCCGCCGCCGCCGCCGCCGCTGCCCGAGTCAATTGGTCACAACAATGATGATGACGAGTATTCACCCATTC